AATCAAGTGCCGTCTGACCTAGGCCATGCCACCTCAACATCATTAGCGGACTTTCTGATGCGGATGTCCGAAATCATCGACTGGGGAGAGCTGGAACAATCTGCACCATCCTATATCCCTTCCAATCAAGTGCCGCCTGACCCAGGCTATGCCACCCCAACATCATCAGCGAACTTTCTGATGTCCGAAAGCATCGACTGGGGAGAGCTGGACCAATATGCACCACCCTTCTCTTCTCCTGGACACGATTCCAGTGTTGACCAGACCCGATCTACTCCCGATGCGGGTGGGTCTCAGTTCCAAGACTATGGAAAGGAGGCAAGATGATTGCAAACGAGGTCGTTCCACAATGAGTTGGGATTTCTCCGGATCACACACGAAGCCCTGATTGGAAGCGAGCGGAATGATCTGTCACCTTTCGTACCTCAGATGTCAGCCCGAGAAGTGATTGACCAGATTGGTATTGGATGAACCTTGAAATGACTTTGTATCGGAAAAGTACAGAATGAGGATTGGTCCGGTATGTGAGTCTCATTCAATTCATATCCTCTGCACTGAATTTGGCTCCAAATCGAAGAGTTCCTCACATCATCGACATCATCATCATCATCATCTCGTCCCGCTCTGACTCTTCCGCTTCTACTGCTTCCACTCCTATCTCTCCCGCACCATTTCCTCCCGCTTCGGTACTGCTTCTCTCCACTGTAAAATCTCCTCGAACTCATCCTGACAGGCATTGAGTTCCCCTGCCTGAGCCTGACTTTCTTCCATCTGTCGTAGATCGCTTTCCAGGAGTGAGCATTGCGACTGCAATTCACTTGGAATTCCCTCTTCTGATTCGTACTTTCTAGGATCCGTCACCACTGCCAGTGAAATCGTAGGTCGTAGAATCCTCATTCCCCTACGCTTCATCTTCATCCAACCCGTCCGCTTCCTCAAGTCCTTTAGCAATTCCTTTCTCAGAATCCATTTCGACAGCACTTTTTCCTTGCGTATACTTGTGATCAGCAATGGGATGAATTGGGTTTCTTCCGTTTGGAAGGGCGGTCCTCCGGTCTGGAAGTTTGAATCTTCTGGTTTCTTCTGTTGCTGTCTTGGCTCTTCGGGCCGAGTTTCCAGAGCTATTTGCCACTTCTCTCGGTTCTTCCGCCTTTCTTTCCGCTTGATTCGTGCTTGGACTGCCATGGTGTGTTTCTCGTCCTCGCGCTCCTTTTGCTTTCGTAACATTTCTCTTTGTGCGTCTATCTTCTGACACAAAATATTTTCCTGATGCAACTTCATCTCCTGGCTGTTGCTGTTGTCGTCGTCCTGCTGTGGTTCCTCTTGTTTGCCAGTCTCGATGTCTCGGAGCGAGGTTGGTAGAAGTTCCATTTTCGCTTTCATGATCTGCTGGTGGTTCCATCGAAGTCGCAGACTGCTCTTGTACGAAGGTAGCTGCATGTCTTCGTCGGGCCTCGATCTCCAGATCCTGGGACTTTTGCATAGTCGATTCGATCGCTTTTGCTGATGCTGTCTGATACTCCATCAAAGTCTAGTGTGCTTTCTGTTGGAGTTCAAGAGGAATGATGATGTTGAGTAGTTTTCAGCTGGAGCGAACCAGAATGCGCCCACTTGAATTCAATGTCGCGGTTGACAATCACTGGAGCTGTCGGCTTTATTTGTCGAGGAGAGTGAGTCTCTGAAGCTGAAGGATATCTCCAGTGGGTTTGATGTAGTCAGGAATATCCAGTATTCCTCGTCGTAAGCAGAGAGCGCAAAGTTGAAAGACGAAGAAGCTGGAGAGCGCGCTCATCATGTGTAGACATTTTGTCGAAACAAGAATGCGATGGTCTCTTTTTTTTTTCTATTGTTGCTCGATTGAGCGTCTGTTTCACAAGCCAAGGACCCCTACTTACTAGCTTTGTGGCACGGACGCTCCGTCACATGCTAGTCAAGATTTCATTGAGAAGGAGACGACAATTGGTTGGAGATGTGGGGAACCTCATTCACATTCTCATCGGAACATCAAATCATTGTAAGTCCACACAAGTAATCATCATAATCGTTACTTCATCGATTTGCGCCGCCGTCTCGAAAGGTCAATCTTCTTGTTCTTGCCGAAGTGCCAATGCATCCCCATAGACCCATCTCCAGCACAATACCTCGATCAATTGCCTGTGCCTGTACCTTCCTTTCATACTCATTCTAAGCAACATATCTCTTCTCCTCCCACCCAAACTCCTACCTGCGCCGCTCAGCAGCACGAACCGCCTCCTCGCACCGCTCCACCAACTCATCAACTCCACTCCTCACAGCCGTAACAACAGACTCACGACCCAATTTAGCATCTGGCGTACCGCCCTCCATTCCCGTCCGAAGATTTAATCGATCCGGATGCCAGCGAGCCAATTCCTTTTTCTTGAGAAAGGTTCGAAGAGATTTGATGGGTTCCATATCGTCTGTCAGTTCGAGGATTACTCTCGGTTCTTTGGTAGTGGTGGAAAGGGTATAGGCGATGGATATTTCCTTTCAGGAAGAATATCTGTGTGTTGAGGCTTATGAGAGTTGTGTCTTTGAGGGCTAGGAGTCTGGGAGGTCGATGGTGGTCGGTAATGAAGGTTTTGTTGAGGAGTCCTGTCTCCGTCAGCTCGGGTTTTGGGTATGGCCAGTTCTGTTCGTGGCGTTGCAGGGAATTCCAGAGGTTGTTGTATTGATTCAAAGAGGCTTGAGCTTGGATGTGGTTGCGTTGTGCTTCTTCTTCTTCCTTGTGAGCTTCTTTTTCGCGTGCTTCCTTTTTGCGCTTGTCGGATTCTTTCTTTCGGGCTTCATGTTCCCGCTGCTTCTTCTCCTTTTCTCGGACTTCGCTTTCTTGATTCATGTGGTTCTTCTTACGAGCTTCTGCCTGACGTTTCTCATTCTCCTGTTCGCGGAGTTTCTCCTCCACTATTCTCCTCTTCTCGCGTACCATCATCCTAGCTTCTTCTTCCTGCTCTCGAATTTGCCGCTTATCCATCTCAATAAGTCGACGTAGCTGTTCGCATACCCGTGTCTCCCTTTCTCGGATCTTCCTCGCCTCTTCTCTCTGCTCTCGAATTTGCCTCTGCACCATCTCAAAATCTCGACGCTGTCGTTCCTGTTCCACACCCTCGTTCTCATGCATCTTCTCCCCTAAAGTATTATCAATCTCGGAGTCCGCATTCGTAAGATCGTGATATTGATGCTGTCGCATCTGTGCCGCTTGTCGATTCCGCATGGCCATCCACGTGAAGATACYCCAAATACCAATCGCGATGGAGAAAATCAGCACAAAGTAATCTTGAAGTCCGAGGTCGTTTTCTGTCCAGATCTCGCGTAAGGAATGGAAACTGCTGATCCGAAAACTCTGCATGCTTGATTCCGTGGAAGCAAAGGTACTTTGATGCTGTTGATCATGAGTAGTTGAAAATGGTAGCTGTAGGGAATAGAGCAAATGCGCGAGGCCGAGACAGTCTAGCGCACGAAAATCGAGCAGTGAGGATATCGGTCGTAGTTCAGAAGAGGAGAAATGGAGTATTTCCTTGTGGCTTGGATGCTTCACCACCAGTTGAGCAAAAAAGGTGGAGATGTCCAGTGTTCGGCGCCGCCAGGCGAGGCTTTTGGTTGTGATGCGATGTGCAAGAAGAAGAGATTGTAGAGAGTTCAATGTGTGAGATTTCAGAAGGAAGAATCGAAGTCCTCTCACATGGTGAACTGTTGCCTAGTAACCAAGATAAATGTTTACTATTGAGGTGGATAAACTTTTGAGCTATTCACTTTCATCACATGCCAAGGACCGACATTGGCTCTGCAGCGACACGGAGCACGGACGTTGAATCACATGCTCAGAACACGGTTCCCAAAGTAAGTCACAACATGATCGAAATTCTTATCATAAGATCCTGTCATCGGACGAATGCATAAATCATAACAACAGAATCAACAGGTTGACCCTTCCACTACCTCTCCCCAAACCTCACAACTCACCCACCGCTCAACCCCCCAATCCCAGCCTCAACATTCCCCCAAGAACTCCTCACATCGCTCAATCAATTCCTCCACCCCACTCCTAATACCCACAACCCCAGGCAACATCCCCAACCCCTCATCCCTCAACCCCCTAACTCCCGTCCGCTTATTCAACCAATCCGGATGCCATCTCCCCAACTCCTTGACTTTGAGAAACTTTCTCAAAGCCAGCACATCTTCCTTCCTGTTCCCCGCCGAAAGACTCAATTTCGCATCGAAATCCTCCAATTGGAATTTGAAATCTAGACCGTAACCTTGGAGGAAAAAAGCTTGGGTTTCGAGAGATATAGTCTTTGCTTGCGTGATGTTGTGCGGTGCTTCTGAGTGAGCAAGGTAGAATCCTGAGGGAGAGAGGGATGGTGTGGGACAAGGCCAGTTCTTGTCGTGGGGTTGGAGGGAGGACCAGTGGGTGTTGTATTTCTGGAGGAGGGTTTGGGGTGTTGTGGTGGGAATTTCTGGGACTGAGGAGATGAGAGGCGAGGGATTGCTGTTGTTGAAGAAACAGTCGAAAGACCTGCGCCAGCTTTCTGGTCGCAGTGGCAGCATCTCGTTCTCATGGGTCTCGATAGGAAGGGTTAAAGATGGTTTGTTCGAAGAGGCAGAGCTGTTCAGTGGACGGCGGTCGAATATTCGGATGAAGAACGGGTGTTGTTGACCATATCTCTTCTTCTGTTCCAGTTTCTCCACCTTCTCCTCCAACTTCTCCCGCAAGAAATTCATCCTCTCCTCTTCGCGCCAGATATTCTCGGGCTCCCTACCCTTCAATCCTAGTAACGGCCTCAAAAGCCCGCTCCATAGCCCAACCTATTCCGAGCTTGAAGACAATCCAGATCGAAATGCCCACAAGGAGATACAACAGACATGGCAAGATCGCCGGGTCGGTATCTGGTCCCGCCATACAGAGACAAAAGGGTGCAGTACTTGTGAGATCCCGATGAGTTGGTGATGATGTGCGGTAACGAAGTTGAGTGCAAAGTGTAGTTTCTATGATAGAGATGGGAATTGTGCACAGATGCCTTTTCACATGCATGTATTTGAAGCCGAAGTGACAATACACATTTTCGCCATTGAGGTTCAGAATATTCTTCTAGGCATCCACATGCATTGAAGGGAAGAGAGAAAACCAAAGTTGAGTAAAAGTGCTCGAAAGATTGATTGCATACCTCGCTCCAGTCACTCCCATACACCCATCGACCTCCCGCTACGACATCTCCAGTCACAGGTCCCATCAACTCATACCCATCGAAAACCATCCCTCCAATCCGCAGAAAACTCCTCTCACTTCCATCCATCCATCCATTCCTTGACCTGATATCCACCTTTACTCCCTCCTCCCTTATCATAGCATCATAAATCGGCGTCCCTCCCTCCCCATCTCTCTCCTCCCCATCTGCCCCCTCACCATCTTCCTTCTCCCCATCTTCCTCCTCCCCATCGCTCTCCTCCCCATCTCCCCTCTCCCTCGTCCTCTCCCTCGTCCTCTCCCTCATCCTCTCCCTCATCCTCTCCCTCATCCTCTCCCTCATCCTCTCCCTCATCCTCTCCCTCTCCCCCCCATCCCTCCCTTCAAAACCCCCACCCCACAACAAAATCCGAATCCACATCCAACAACAAAACATCCCCAGACCCGTACAAAGGAGTAATAACAGAGAAGTATCGTTTACAATAGACCCGACGAGAAGAGTCAAGAGCAAGAGGCAAAAGAATTTGAGAGTGAGTGTCATTTTCTCTCTTCCTCTTCTCCCTCTTCTTCTTTCTCGTGGTAATAATCGATCAATGGTCCTGTCGTGAGAAAGAGTCCTGCCTCTCTATCTTTGCAAAAATCGATCTCGGAGAGATGTTCTCGTGGTTGAGAAGTTTTTTGTTTCGAGCGGAGATGTTTGGTACTGATGGTAGAGTTTCGCTGACTGGGATCTTAGTGTTCAATAGAGACAGACAGCGAGGTATACCCGTGATCCTCGCGTTACAGTCGTCAAGTTGTTCGGGAAACACCGATTTTCAAATGAAGTAGGTGTAAACGAAAGCTAGAAGTGGACAAACATGTGTTGATTGCGCGCGGAGAGTTAGAGAAGGAGAAGGCTGGAGACCGCGCTAGTGTGCGTGGAGAAGAACGTCTAATTCACTCACTTTTTCACGCTAGTCCGTCGTGGTTCTAGACCCCCACGTCATGAAACTTCTGCCGCAGATGGGAATCAGAGCCTTACTTTCCCGGTTTCCACAAGCATACACTTTTCAGCAGCACGGAACCCTCCATCTCCATGATTTTGCGGCCTTTCTGCGAAAGTGGGCCGTATTGAACAACAAAAGGGATTCCATTCCACCGTGGTGTGGTGATGACATATATACACCGTCTTTCCTGCTTATTGATCATCCAACACATGCAAGTACTTCTTCTCCTCCCTCTTTTCCTTCTCCGTCATTGGTGGCAGATCATAATATGATGAGCTGCGGTATCCTTGCTGTAAAGTTGAAGATGTCAGGTTAGCAACGTCACAATCTCACAAACATCAGGACCACTCACCAGATACTTGTATGTGAAGTTCGCAATGTCACCCGGCTCGATGCCCAGATCCTTGAAGGTCTTTGCGTTCTTGTCAATAAACTGATCGCAGAACTCCCGCTCGACCGCATCCTTGCTTCCCACATCCCACCATAGCAATTTGTTCATTAGACCCATGGCTGGGGCAAGAACGGCCTTGGGGACGTTGATATGCCGTCTCTTGTGGAAGATTTCCTTGTCGACCAGGTCGGAGATTTCGGCCATGGAGTATTGTTTCGGACCAAACAGTTCAAACGTCTCGCCCGCGGTACTGTCGTCCATGGCGATGGCCTCGACAGCCTTGCCCACATCCACCGAGTGCACCGGCCAGAGACGCTCGGTCATGTTGTTGGCCGTGAGGATGTTGGAGGCTTTGGCGAGGCGATGGAGCAGGCGGTCTTCAAACCCAAAAACGGGCGATGGACGGACGAGGGTGGTCTCGGGGAAGATGGATCGTGCCACTCGCTCCGACTCGTACTTTGTGCGGTAGAATTCCGAGGGCGAGTCGGGGTGGGCCGAGTGCGAGGACATGTGGATGAAGCGGTCGACGTCGTATTTGGCCACGGCATCCGCGATCCGCTGTGTCCCTTCAACGTGCACATCGGCGAGTGAAAAGTTCTTGGTGGGATAGTCGCGACCGACCAGGTTGATGACAATATCCGAGTGTCGCACGGATTCCTCAATCGACGCTGTGTTGCGCAAATCGTACTCCATCATGACAATCCGCCCCAAATCGCCCGTGACTTTAAGATGGCGCTTGGCCATTTCCTCGCGGTAGGGAATGACGACCGTGTTTCCTGCGCGCGCCAGACGGTTCACAACGTAGCGACCAACGAAGCCCGTCGCTCCGAAGACGGTGACCGTGTGTCCGCCGAGCGAGTGTCGTCCACCGGGGACGCGGATAATGGGCTTGCCGGTGCGGGTAATGACAATATCCGAGGAGGCATGGCGGCGGGCGTGGACATGGGCGCTGGAGGCGAGGATGCGCGCCGAGGGGGCAATCGAAGCATTGGGACGGCAAAGTTGGCGGGAGAGGGCCATGTTGGTGGTGCTGAGGCCTGCCATGGCCGGTCGGGGGTGTGGTAGAGGGGAGGAGCGGAGTCGAAAGAGTTCCTAGACGACCATGCGTACCCACCCAGCACAGGTGAGGGATTGTCAAGGAAGTGAGGTGGATTGGTTGTGCAGCTCGGAATTGGGCGGAGGAAACGCCGATCGACGTTGCTCGAGCTTCCACTGCGACATGAGCTGCCAGAGATTCATCATTCAACACCAACCAACTCAATACCATCCTCCTCCAAGACCCTCCTCCAAATACCTCCCCCAACACATCCCCGAATAAGCCGACTTCACCGCCATCATGGACAACGCGGCGAATGAGAAGATGTTTGATTTCCTGCACGATCAGCGTGATTCCGCCCCCGATGAGCTGCAACACTACTTCATCACCTTTGAGGATTACTGGGAGCGCAAATTGTGGCACGAATTGACGGATCTGCTGGTGGAATACTACGCCGAGGATGCCAGCGCTCCTCAGCGACTGCCCATTTTCAACACGTTCATCAAGACCTTTGCCGACAAGATCAATCAGTTGAAGCTGGTGCGCATTGGTCTGAGCACGGCAAAGCAGTGCAAGGGTGAGGAGGACATGCTCCATCTTCACATCAATTTGCTCTAATCTTTCAATCCAAATAGATGACAAGGAGAGACTGACGTTCCTGTCCGCCCTCGCCACGCGCGTCGACAAGCCGGCCTCGCGCGATTCCTACGCCTACGCCCTCACCTCCGTCGCCAACGTGCGCCTCTCTCTCAAGCAAATCAGCGAAGCCCGTCAAGATCTTGACAAGTGTGAGGCCATCCTCGACACCTTCGATGCGGTGGAGACGGCGGTACACGCCAACTTCTACTGGGTCAGCGCGAAATACTACCAACATCAACACGAATTCGCCGCATACTACCGCACCGCCCTCCTCTACCTTGCATGCGTCGACACTGCAGACATCACACCCGTCGACCGCCAACACATTGCATACGATCTCAGCATCGCGGCGTTGGTCAGCGAGAGCATCTACAACTTTGGAGAACTCCTCCTCCATCCCATCCTCGACTCCCTCAAATCCACCCCACACTCCTGGTTACGCGACCTGCTCTACGCATTCAACAGAGGAGATCTCCAAGCCTACACCATCCTCCAACAACACCTTGATGAGAACACCCTCTTCAAGCAACACCAGCAGTTTCTCTACCAGAAGATCTCCCTCTCTGCTCTCACACAGCTCATCTTCTCGCGTGCACCTCAAGATCGCGCCATGACCTTCTCGGCCATTGCKCAGGAGACCAAAGTGCAAATGGATGAGATTGAGCACCTCATCATGAAGGCGTTGAGTTTGGGCTTGTTGAAGGGTAGCATTGATCAGGTTGCGGAGGTGGCGCGGATAACATGGGTGCAGCCCAAGGTGTTGGATCGGGGAGGCATTGAGGGTATGAGGATGAGACTGAAGGAGTGGGATGGTGGGGTGGAGAAGTTGGGCAACTGGATTGAGGGTGTCGGACAGGATGTTTGGGCGTCATAGGGTGGAATGAAGGATGACGCGAAGTTGAGATTACAACTTTGAAGCTCTCTGCATGGAGCACTTTCGTGGCTTTTAGATGGCTGAGCTGCATGAATAGCATGACATGGCGAAATGGAGTGCCTGAGGCTACGATAAATTTGTGGAGCGCGAAGCGAAAGCGGAACGCTCGCTGAACGACACCTCCCAGTCGCAGAATTATGGAATTGTATCAATAGGCTTTACAATACACCGACGAAAAGTTCAACGACCCCAGTTCCGGACCTTTGTCTCCATTTTCATTATTTCATATCACATCATCGTCTTCAAAATTCAGCATTCTCACAGCTTCCGAATCCAGGAAACTTTCTAGGCAGCAGTGGGAGCAGTGCCTGCCTATTTCAGCCTGGCGTTGCCTTGGGTGAAGGATTCTGGACTCCATTCCTTTTCTCTGGAGTGTGTGAGAGTGAGAGAGAGTGTGTGTCTATAAGAAGACGACCGGGGAGATTCACAACGGTGGGAATTTGAATTCTCAATCATCAATCACCTACCTCACTGGCATCGACTGCTTGAAATCTGAGGATTCCGACAAACACAAGCACAAACAAACAAGCGTCGAGCCACATCCTCACCTTTGGTCTGGATTGTACTTTTGGATATCATTGCATCACATCACTCCGACTACCTTGAGAAACGGACAAGTCCGAAGAATCAAGAGCAACCATGGAATTCCAATCCACGCCTCTATTCGGCGGAGCAATCACCGCTGATTTGCCCGTGACATTTCAAGATGTGAGGTTCGTTATCCTTTTCTCTCTCCTCCTCCTCATAATCCACCATTCAACGCAACTCACTAACATGTCTTGAGAAAAACAGCACGATTCGTCAAATCCCCGATACTCAAGAAGTCTATCTCGCCCAAACGGGATATACATCCCTCTTATTCGATATTCTGGAACGCGTCACGGAGCCCGAGGAGGATTTGGAAGCTTTGAAGTTTCATTTGGGGGAGATTGTTGAGGAGGATGTTGGGGAGGTGAGGGTTTTTGAGGAGGGGAGGGGGGTTGATTTGCCTGGGTTGGTGTAAGTTTTCCCTTTCCCTACCGGCCCTCTTTCTCTCGACTGCTATATCTCGAGGAAGTGGATATGAGGACTTTTGAGGGTCATACTGATGATTGATTATTTAGGGGTGTGAAAGCTTTTACTTTGAGTGCTAGGGCTCCTCCRGGGGAGAAGATGAGAGGAAGAGCGCATGAGCCGAGAGAAGTTGGGATTTTGGTTTTGTTGGTGAGGTTGGAGGGTGTGGGGACGGATTTGGTGGTTACGGTGAATGTTCCGGTGGGGATTGTGGATGATTCGCAGGGGCAGCAGAGTGGAGATGATGGGAGGTTGATGGAGGAGGGGAAGGAGGTGTTGGAGAGGGTGAGGAGGAGTTTGGAGGTTAAGGATTGGGGATTGTTTGTGGGTGATGAGTGAGAATGGTATGATGGAGTAAATGTCAGGAATGGGAGATGGGATATTGAAACTGATATCGAGAAGCACTTTTATGATCCGTACGCCAATCTTATGACACTATTGGAACATGCCGCTGTAGTCATTTTTTTTTGTATGAAATGGTGTTGCATGGTGGTTTTCACATTATTCTTCGACTCGTTCCATTGTTGCCATTTCGCAGCGATTCCACACACTTGTCTCGCCTATCAAAGTCACGAGATGGATTGATCCCAAAGCTCCACTATGCATCGATCCTCTAAATATCGGGACTTTGCGGTTCACATTACTAGGGTGGTGCCTGATTTCGGATGGATGTGATTTTGGGAGAAGGCGGGGCGCGAGATTTGGATTTGTAACTCGCCACAAGAGAGGCGCAGCAGTGTGGCAGTGAAGGAATGCGCGTCATCAGCCGATCACATGCGCGCATTCCATGTCGTCGAGAACAAGAACAAGAACTTGGTTCCTCATTCAAACAAACATCTCTGTCACTTACTTACCACAACCCAACATCCCTGACAACAACCATCCGTCCAGCATGTCAGGCACACAAATCCCCGCAGAAGCGCCTCCCACCTATCATGAAGCAACGGGCTCTTCCAATGCTTCGACAACCGCGAATACCCACCCTTCCTCCCACCTGAACGTCCCCGGCGCTTCATCCTCATCTTCTTCCGTTCCCGATGCATACCGCCGCTCCATGGAAGATGAAGCACGTCCCCTTCCCAAAGGCTGGGTCCGCACCTTCGATCCGGAGAGTGAACATCAATTCTTCGTCGACACCACCGTGGACCCACCACGAAGCATCTGGCATCACCCATACGATGATGACGAATACCTGGCCAAACTTCCCGCCGCGGAACGGGAGAGAATCGAACAGGAGAGCATGACTTCCTACCTCGGAAACGCGAAACATGACCCGAGTATGGAGGATTACATCCACTCACATTCCGATCTCGATGACGATGTCCCACACACATCCGCCGCGGGGTCAAGCAGTACCTCGCATGCCGAATTACCACCTCGTCCAGATGGAAAAGACAAGGGTAAAGGCAAAGATCGTTCTTTCGGTCGGAAATTGAAAGACAAGGTCACGGGAACCACACACGACGAGCGCCGGCGCCAGCGTGCTGCTCGTGAAGCAGAGGAGCAGAGGATGTATGAGCAACATATGCGGATTCGCAAGGCCATGACCAAGGCCTTGCAGACTGGTGAGCCGCAGCCTATCGGAAAGGACAAGGATGGCAAAGAGTTGTACATTTCCCCACCAAAGCAGGGATATGGTGGCAACCCGTACGCGGGTGGCTACGGCGGTGGGATGGGTATGGGAGGGGTTGGAAACCCTTACAATCCATATGCGAGTGGCATGTATGCTTCTCCGGGTATGTACGCAAGACCTGGATATGCGTATGGTCGGCCGATGTACGGAGGTGGTGGGWATGGATATGGCAGGAGACCTGGTGGTGGAATGGGTATGCCGTTGGCTTTGGGAGGTGGTTTGTTGGCGGGCGGTCTGTTGGGTGGCGCTTTGTTTTAGACATGACGATCATGTCAGTACAGCGGGCACAGACCGTCTGCTGGAGACAGACCTAAGTCATAAATATTACGAGGGTATGAGCTTATGATGAAATAATCAAGCATGAAAAGGACCTCTGTAGAACTACATTCGACAACTGAACAACAAGTATTCCTTATCAAGACCTTGTCACAAGCAGAGTAGATCCCTCTCTGCACTCAAATCTCCCACTCCAAAACCCTCTCCCAACTCAACGGCCACCTCCTCATCACAAACCTCTTAAACATCTCCTGAAATCGCAAACGAGCTCGTTCTCTCGCAATAGCCCTCTCCCTCAAAATCTCCACCGCCATCTCTCTCCTTCTTCTCCACTTTTTCCTTTCCTGAAATCCGTCATCCCCTGTCCCACTACCATCAAAAGCACGCAATAATCTCCCCACTAGCACCTTTTCACTTCCACTTCCACTGCTCTGAGAAGGAGAACAAGGAGAAGATGATGTATTGATGTGGGAATGGGATGGTGATTTTTGTTGTGATTTGGATGTACCCAGGAGATTGTTGTTTCTAGATCTGAGAATTGCGATTCTGGAATTGACTTTTGCTATTCTTGCTACTGCGTGTGCGAATTTGAGGGAGTGGTCGTTTGGGGGGATGGGTTTGAGCATTTAGAATTTCTTTTTCGTTCACTGCGATATTTGTATGGGGGTGTGTTGGGTTGGTTGTATGGATGAACTTCTCGTGTTTGCTATCTAGTGGTGGTTGGGAAGGATGTGAGATATGGGTCTTTTTGTTTGATGCTGAGGAGAGGGATTCTTTGATATTGCTACCTTAGATAAAGGTGGAGCGGACAAACATGACTTCTTTCTGCTTTGATGAGGAAAGTTCATCTGGGAATGCAAACTTTTGGTGGAATAGAGGTTGATTAGATCAAGCGGCTGGGTTGCATGTTGCATACCATTTGTTGCGCCAAGAAGACTTGATGGCCAAACACATCGATCATTCAAGCTGTCGGTTGGGACAACAATGTGCATGTCTGTGTACCTAGGTAGTGAGGACTCAGGAAGCGCCGTCACAATGAGAGAATCATCGGCGTCTACTCGGCGGCGGCTATGTAGGAACCCGCTGTCGTATTTTGGGAAGGAGCGAATCGCTCGAGTGATCCCTGGCCAATCTTCTTCCTTGGCGCCTTCGGTCAAATCCTTCAAACACGGAGAAAATCTGGAAAACATTCAAGCGAAGGCGACTCTTCGTGATCAAACAATCGCGTCAACAGCTGGATATATCAATCTCCTTCTCCCGACCATCGCATGTGAAGATGGCATTCCACTTCCCCGGAGATGAAGAAGCGTAACGGCAACAAGACAAAAACAAGGAGTCTTTGGTGGCGGCTTGGAAAAGCTTCTGCGGCTTAAGCGTTGCCCTTTTGGTACTCATGACGGCGATCCCGAGTCTCTGATTCGAAGCAACTCGGCTCCACCAACACTTTGACGCGTGGGCGATGATGAAGACGTCTCGGGACGTTGCGKTTGCTTTTGCTGCTACTGCTGCTGCGTCTTCCCCCAACCTCACCTCCATTCATTCGTTCCTTCAACCGACCTTTGCTTTCCACTCTTCCTCTTGCCCTTTAAATGTTCCAATAACAGCATCCATTCTTTACAGGAGTTACAACAGGAAAGAACGAACAGCATGCGCTTCACCAGCCCCGCGGTGCTGGTGGCCGCCATCTCCGCCTCATTCGTCACATCGATTCAACTCACAGTCACCGACTCCTCATCCATCGAATCCGCCGCCAAAACAATCGCTGCAGGTCTCACATCATATTACACGGGCTACAAACCTGGAGACACGCCCGGCTACTTACCCGACCCATACTATTGGTGGGAATGCGGCGCCATGTTCAATACGTTAATCAATTACTGGTATTACACCGGAGACACACAATACAACGATTGGGTGGTGCAAGGATTACAACATCAAAGCAGTCCCACCCAAAATTTCATGCCTGAAAACGCCTCAAGATCAGAGGGAAACGACGACCAATATTTCTGGGCTGCAGCCGTCATGTCCGCCGCCGAACTGGGCTTTGTGGATCCTCCCGAAGGAGAACCGGGATGGTTGGCTCTTGCCCAGGGAGTCTTCAATTCCCAAGCCAATCGCTATGATGCTGCCGACTGTCGAGGCGGCATGCGCTGGCAGATTTTCACCTTAAACACCGGTTACAACTACAAGAACACCGCCGCTAATGGTGGACTTTTCAACCTGGCCGCTCGCCTGGGAGCTTATACGGGAAACCAGACATATTTTGAATGGGCGGACAAATTGTGGGATTGGATGTACACGGACGTACATCTGATTGACAATCAGAATTGGAATGTGTATGATGGGACGAGTATTGAGGATGGTTGTACGACTTTGGATCACACCATGTGGACGTATACCGCAGGAATGATGATTCATGGGACGGCGGTCATGTATAACATCACACAGAGTGATCAGTGGAAGCAGCGAACGCAAGTAAGTACATTCTAGAAGACCCTGTGTGAATGTTGCTAACGACATGTCAGGGCCTCTGGACAGCTGCTTCAACAAACTACTTCAACGAGGGCAAAGTCATGTTTGATGTTTGCGAAGCCACTGTGAAATGCAATACTGATCAAAAGAGGTGAGTTCATGATCTTCAAGAGTGAAAACATCATGAGGAGTTCTTCATTTTCTAATAATCCTCCCAGTTTCAAAGCCTACCTGTCCCGCTTCATGGCCGCAGCCTCCAAACTCGCCCCATTCCTCTACGACCAAATGGAACCATACATCCAAGCCTCCGCCACAGCCGCAACGCAACAATGTTCCGGAGGATCCACGGGCACAGACTGTGGACTTCAATGGACGCATAATACCACCTACGACGGCCTCACGGGTGTAGGACAACAAATGGCTGCGCTGGAAATCGTACAAAGTTTATTGATCAAAGACGCGAAAGCGCCGGTCAGTGGGAATACAGGAGGAACGAGTAAAGGAGATGCGAGTGCTGGTACGGGAGATAGTAATGAGAGTGACTTGAGTGAGGCTAGCACGAGACCAATAACGATGGCGGATAAGGCTGGGGCGGGGATTTTAACGGCGCTTGTTGCGTTTGGGACGCTGGGAGGAGCTTGGTGAGTGATGAGGTTGTGTCGTCGATTCTGAGCATGTCTTTACTAACTTTATCTGTGCAGGTTTATTGTTCAATGAGCGAGCGAGTGCTGAAACTTGGAGTATATATATCCTTCTGCCAAAAGCACATCGTCGGTGGCCAAGAAAAGGAAATCAGCCCAACCCATCCCATTCACGAACAAACACGATCTTCTGACTTTTCACGACACGTACACCTGCAGGAATTGGGCTTCCTGACAGGATAGATCCACCGAGCGCCMTGGTTTGTCGGCTTGGAACTTCAGCTGTGGAACGGAATATCAATCACTGCTGATTCTTGGTTTCAGTCAGAAGCTGCGTCGCTTTTTGGCTCCTCAATAAGCTGCTTCGAAGGCGGACATGCGGCTTTCTTCTTCTGAACAGAGTTGTGCGACGTTGTTGAGAAGGAGTAGGCATGGCGATGTAAAGCCTTGAGAGTTGATGAGAATGGTGAGGAAATTAGTCTTGCTGATGGCAGAGCAGAGAAAAGTTGATTTCTCCGGCACAAGATGCGCAAAGAATAAGCACTCTTCGAAACTCACCTCATATCGCTGGCAAGAGAGGCAGGCAAGTTTCCACAACCAAAATCCTCTCGCTCTCGACACCATCAAAAAAATCTGCTCGTCGTCTTCCACATCAAAAACCTTCTGACTGTCGCCGCCGCCGCACTCACAAACGCCTCCCACTGCACCGTTGGAGATATCGACCGCATTGCATATTCTAGTACCATGGACCATTCGGGCCACCATGCTGCTCCATCACCGTCTGTTGCAGGATGCTATAATGGGTGAGCTGACCCAATTGTCTCTCTAGGTCTGTGATGCTCGTCCGGTGCAGTTCCGCTGGTTGCATCGAAGCCAGGTGTACCGCCATCCTGGCCTAATAAAAGAAGAGATTGTCGTTGCGATGGACGGATTCTCGGCGCTCGACATCGTCCCACATTCGGGTCACCTGGGYAACCGCTCCGGCCAGGTTGGTCCATTTCTAATTGGCGATATCACTCCTCGACAAGCAGTGATTGCGGACATCATTTCAGCCAGAACGACACAAACTCTGGGTCCGGTGTTGCCCAGTTCTGACACCAGCCTCACTGCTGATCCGTACTGGCAATCTGCGCAATCCTGGGAGACGTTGCGGCATATGATTCCAACGTCGATGCGTGGCGCTTGCTGTTTGGGCCATTGTGGTATCTGCGGCTGGTCCATCGCTAGCGATCACCCGTCGCCATTTTCCCGAGCGAAGATGCGCTCTAGGAAGGCGTTCACTAGCTCTGGTGTACACTGACCTTCAGCTACTGGTGGGTCGTTGATGGGGTCGGTCCGAATCTGGCAGGCGACGACTTACGGTAGGATAGTCTCCAGGACTTTTGGCGTGACGCCTGCGTCGATCGCCYCTTGTGGCAGTTGATACGGATGGCCGACCACGAACGCCTGGAGTGCCTCGTAGCTCGCTCTGAGCTCAGGTATTGTCACGCCGTTCAAGGTTGTCAATGTGAGAATCACTCATCGAGACAGTAAAACCGTCGACATGACGATTATTCAACGAGATAGGGCACCCTCGGTCATCTTTGTGAGTCTTAAGTCCTGTTCGTGGGCGTTGGCTTCGATTCACAGCAAGGAGAGGCGGCAAACATTTCATATCACCTGCCCTTTGCTCGTTTACGTCGTCATCTTGATATCCCTCTTCTTTTAACGAAGAACACACAAATGACTTCGCCTTCTCACTTCTGCCTCGCAACCCCAATCCTCTCTCTCCCCTGATCAAAAACCACAAAAAACTCCTTCATAAACGTATCCCCAAAGATACTCCCCGGCAACAATCCACTGTACTGTATCCCTCCAATGCAATTCTCCGATCCATCCTCCGCACTTCCAAAATTCATAGCCGACCCCGGGACTCTCATCATCCTTCCCCCAATTTCCACCTCAACGTCCGGAGGCGTGAGTTTACAAGGATAAACATACGCTCCCTGATCCTCGTCGTAAAAGGCACCAGGGATAGCGGCGTAAAAAGCCTTGGTGGCGGATTCCGGAAGATACCAATTCGAAGTACCAGTATCCATAATCGAGTACCCGACATGATAACTCTCACTACCAGCACTGGATTTATTATGAGAGGAGCCAACGATGGAAAAGTTCCCAGCCCGAAAATCCCAATACGCAGGACTCCGATGCAAAACATCCACATACTCAATTCCCCCCACATATTTCTTCTCATCAACAAACCCAAAATCATAACTCCCTCCCTCAGGCTGCAAGTCCGCGGTAAAAACCGGCTGGTCGGTGGAATTCGTCAAATTTTCAAAAAATGTCGGGCAAGGAGATGGCGAGCAGGTATTCCCGTCCGGAAACCCCAGACCTAAGAATCCGTCTCCCGTTTGTCGCACGAAGCGCGATGCGACCGAGGTTGCGGCTTCGATGGCTTGGGAGGTTACGGTGGCGCCGCCGATGGTGATGTGGTCGGAGTAGACGACGCCTTCGGCGCCTGTGCCGTCGCCGTAGAGGATTGACCAGGTGGTTTTTGGTTGGAGGGTTCCGGAATTGTGGGGATTGTAGAGGTTGTGGGGTTTGGTTTTGGAGGTTGTTGTTGTCTTGTTTTTTGGGAGGAGAGTGGAAAAGACCCAGCTGTGATTCAGGGGATTAGGATTTAGTTTGATGGTTGAACAAGGGAGAGGAGTGGAGGGAAGGGAGATGAGGACTTACAGATCGGAACTCCCGGTATCGAAGTCTAGCATCAAGGTTTCCGAGCCGATTTTTACGGGACTGAGGTATGATGAGTCGTATTGTTGTGGGTTTGCGTGGACGGAGCCGTCATTCGGACGAGGTTTGTAGGAGGGAGGTGGGACTTTGTATTTGTGGAATGTGTGGTGGTGAGCTTGGACGGGACTTTTCGTGTGGTTGGTTGGAATGCGAGGAACTGTGAAGCGGGYATGACTCGTTTCCGAGGTGCATAGCGCCAGGAGAGGGAGGATGGCTGCTGCCAGGAGTGAAGAGGTTGAAGGCATGATTGGGAAAGGTGGTTGCTTTTCTCGTCATCGAGAGTGAGAATGGGAGGACTGCTTTCATTTGTAGGTCAACGGAATACTCCACTGATAGATGGCTTGAGGAATGGCCATGATGATGAGGCGAAGCTTGGCAAAGGATCAGGATGACAGACCGCGAAGGATGGCTTGGGAGTAGTTGAGTGTCTTTACCCACGAGTCAATTTAATGAGCGGAAACATTTTGTCGCCGGAGCATAATGTCAACAGAATCACTATCGTCCACTTCAGAAGATAACCATTTTCCTACACATAACATCTACAACAGTCAAGAAAGACAAAGCTGGCGGATGTGATGTAGATCTCGTCAAAGGATTTACAAGCTTCTTCTTGGAAGCATCCTTCGTTTCCTATCCATCCTTCAATCCCATCCTTCGCTCCTTCCTAATGCGGTATCAGCGCACGGACTGCTGCAAATTTCAAGTGAAGGAATGAAAGGATATTTTCTATCGCACGCAAATTTCAGTATTTCATGCTTTAAAAGCAGAACTGCCGCATATCCCGTCGATGCCTCAACGAAGAGCGTCCTGGTTTGCAACTTCATGGAAACTTCCATCTATTTGAGTCTCCCAAGCAACATCACAATCAGATCAACCGAAGCGCTATTTTCCGCCCGCAATACTTCCTGGAACACTTCATTGGCCACCATGTCCTCGATATAACATGCCGCATACTCAATGACTAACGCTCGGAGCTCATCCATCTTACCATCGCGTTCCGCAGTATGATGGTAGACGTATCGGAATAGCTTTGCAACGTTGCACACACCCTCAGGGTAAAGTGTGAACGAGACCAAGGTCTTGTGCAGGTGGTGCAGGGCGAGGGATCGTAGAGCTGAAATGTCGTACTTGTCGGCAAAGACGTAGACTTGAGCGTGCGAGAGGAAGACTTCGCTGTAGTCTTCGGATGGTCCAGCGTTGCGTCGGTATATTGAATTGCTTTTCATGGACTCCCTTGCCCAGACACGATTTTCGAATGCTTTTCTCGCATACGCAGATGGCCCACGAGGGGAAGTGAAGTTGGCCGTGTAAGCCATGTGTTTAGCCTTGTGGAACATCTTATCTCCGAGATCTTCTTTTTCGGCATCACGATTGAGGAAAACAGCATGCTCGGCAGCATTGTAGTCGCCGGTATACATGTACTCGCAAACCCGTGTGAAGGTTTCCGCATCCACATCTTCTATTGTCGCAACGCCTTCCAAGCACTCTTGCATCTTCCCGCAGATCATGGCTTCCAAAGGTTTCGAATAGTGACAGACTATCGCTGGATGGGGGAAGAACTCGGCTTTGTCTGCTCCAATCAAGAAGCGGAAAGGCTTCGATTGGACGATGCTAAAGATATCAGCTTGAGTAGTAGGATATCGATGTTTGGATGGTTTACCTTCTGTACGGTATCGCCATCTTAAACGCGACGGTGGCTGTCCGGAGTTGAAGGTTTGTGGATTGCTAGTTCGAAAGAGGAGGGCGAGATGAAGAARAGTTTCAAGATATCAAGATGCAGCAAACAAACAGAGATGCTTCTGAACCCTCTGCTAACAGCGAGACTCTTCCATAGTTCATGATAACATAGCTGTGTTTGCTGCAATCCCTCCGGTTGAATTGTCTCCAGCCGACTAGATAGCACCCATGATGAGGAGTGTCAAGACGCTTCAAAACCTGGAAATTGTAGACCAGTATGCCAGACAGATTCTCCGCACTGCTTCTTGCAGATTTCAGGTCTCTGATCTACCCCTGAAGCCGGTAATGTGGGGCAATAGATAACGCACTGTGATATGTTCTTGACTAGTGGCTAGATTGAGTCGATCTCGATTTAACGAGTTATCGAAAATGGTTTATACAAGGGAGTATCTGCGGTTTGACATCTTAACGTTGCTCGCTGGGCGCGTGGGTCCAGATCCTGGGCTAATAATTGGTCGGACTTGCTTCAAGGACAGTTAATAGATGTTCCTCGAAAAGCTAACAGTCTTCTTTTCAATGTAAAGAAGAGCATGGAAGCAAGTACAAGCGGCAGAAGGATGGCTGAGCAGCTAGGTCTTGTCCCGAGCAGCGTTGTTGCCGCTGCAGCTACATGTGCAGGTTGGTCACGGCGAAACCACTTGGCCAGAATTGCTCCACACACATTCAGGTCAGTGCAACCTCAACAGATGTTGCAGGAAGGGGCATGCCTGTCGCCGAGACGCCTCGCACCCTGGAGACTCCACATCCGTCGAGAACCTGTCATGATTGCGTTGCAGTCTAGCAACGATCAACGCCTAATCAGGTCCAGTGGTGCCACAATCGCACTCCAACTCCATTATCGCTTCCGATGGATCCAATAGAAAAGATGTCGAAAGTTCCGTACGGAAATTTAGCGCCAGATTCACTTGGGTCTGGGCCCCTATTCCCAAAGCGGTAAGCAAAGCTTGGCGTAGTTCCTGGTCCAAACTCTGCTTGTCCTCCCGGGGTTCTGCAAGGAACGGTAACCAAAACCTGCATGACGATATGGATCAGTTCCCACTCATGTATGTGTTGGCACTTATCCCCATCGAAGCGCTTTGAGAAACCATTCACGCTCGAGATACGCACTGCCGAGTATGCAGGATAGAGTGTATGCCCCTCTTCCTTCCAATGCATCGGATTCACTTCACATATCAGCGCTCAGAATTACTGCTCTGGTGGGTCTTCTCTTGATTTGGGACCCGAACATGCGTCGCATTACCAGCATGTTTGTCGCAATCATGACCATGAACAAAGCTGGGCGGGGCTCGTAGAAGACATATAAGAGATGACCAGATCTCTCTACATACTCCRCCACCACACAACCATCCAATCTCCTCTCCAACATCTCCCAAACATCCAAACCCAAACCTACTACCCTAAACCCCAAAGCACCCACCGACCTTCAACATGTCTGGCAACGGAGGCAAAATGACCCAAGCAGATGCTGCTCGCATTCAATCTGCCAACGTATGTTTCAATATACTCGTCTATAGTCAATTCAATCGCTAACATATGTCAACAGGACAAGTCTGGCAATGACCCGGGCTTCAAGGCTCGCGCTCAGGCGTCCGCCGACAAGTCTGCCAATACTCAAGGCAACACTGGCAACAAGTCCTCTGGAGGAAAGAAGTAAGCAATAGGATTATTGCGGGAAAGTTGAATGTTGAAGGGTTGGAAGTGCGTGATGTTGGGAAGTGGGAGATAAATTGGAGGAAAGACTACACTCGTTTACTGTTGGAATGGATGGAAGTTTCAATGCGATGACTATAACGCTGCTATTGTTCCGAACTCAATTTCATCTCCAATTCTGGCTTCTTGTTGTTCTCTCAACTTTGAATCATCACTGTCTTTCCTGTCGTAGAATCGAACTGCTGCCTAACACCATAATTGCGCTTTTCCACATCCGACAAGACATCCTGCTGGATTGCTTTCACCATGGACCGCATGATCCGCACCGTTCTACTACCCGGGCTCAAATCCTCCTCGCTCATCAATGGTGGATACCACGTCATATAAGCGTTCCCAGAGCTCTTCCGTGGGCTGAAATCTCCAAGGTGCTTCTCAAAGTACAACCTGCAACAATAGCACGAAGGCTTGCTGCAGCCGATATATCTATCCGATCGGCCTTGTTGGTCTCGCATGGCAAATTTCAGATCTCTCACATCGAAGTGACATGCTATGGCAGCCTCAGCATGGACGCAAGGTTCCTGTTTCTTAGTTTTGAATTTTTCCAGCAGATCCCGAGCATTCCGCATCATGAACGTCGCGGACTCTCTACGTTCGAGACTTGGACAGACTCGGGAAAATACTGCGTCGATATCGTCATCGACTGTAATCACGTGATAGATTACCGGAGATGGTATGTAGCTGACCTGATAGCTCCTCAACTCTGATGTAAAGTGAGAAGCGTTCATGGCTACGAAACTCGCGGCCTTTTGCCATGCTGCAAGTCTGCCGATATAATGACGGATCCGTCTCCATCTGTCGTCGGTCTGTTCTTTTTTCTGGATCTGGTGTTGTAGAATCTTGTACACACTCGAAATCGGTGAGCGAAATCCGTGGGCGAGAAGACAAATCTCTCTGTGATTTTCGACGTCGCCTTTATGTGATCCAGTGATCTGTCTTAGGCTAGCCAGAAGAGAAGCTTTCGTTGTGCGTGTTAGCGTGTATTGCTAATTGTGTTCTCAGAGCCTTGCCTGTTCTGCCGCTGTTGTCTCCTTGAGTATCGATTTCATTCACAATCGAGAGTAGTCTGTGCTGATAGTTTTTGATTCTCTGTGGGCTCTTCCTGATAGCCTCCGCGAAAACAAGCTCCGAAGCATCTTCTTTTTCCATTTCGACATTCCAACCACGCGGAGCTGTGATAGTCTTCAAGATCCAGGCCAGATGTTCTTTGCGAGCGATTTTCCTAGCATCCGACTCAGGCTTCATACCGGAGTTCGTGGCGATCCAGAAGATTCTATGGCCTTTCTTGGTCCGTTCCACTGCTATTGCTGTGATGTCCTCGCCGCCTCGTCGGAACTGACAGAGATGACAGAGCTCATCGAGAAACTGATGCCAGGGCACTGCTTCTGGCTTCTCGGCGTCGTGGTCAGAAGCGTGCTGAGGCTTGATGGACTCCGCATGCTGAAAGAGACTTTTGACCAATAGCCCTTCTTGGATGCTTCTGATATGATCAGCCATCTCCAGAGTTTGGCTTATAACCTGGGCAAGGGAAGATCAATAGGAAGAGGAATGCATAATGATTAATATCTCCAGGCGACACGTGCGCCGTAACAAAGACCCACTCGTCTGGAAGGATGATAGTACAACGTGGAAGTAGATATTTACACGAATTGCTACGTCACACTCGTTGATACCAAGCYACTCCACAAATCCGGGTTCTGCAGAATCACAGTCGCAGAAAGTTGCAGGCCTTCTCCGCTGCCATTTGCTTAGCATCACCCTTTTTCTTTGCCGTGCCCTGAAAGTATCTTTTGGTCCCACCGATATTGACTTGAGCAATATGGTCTCCATTATCCAAAGTTCTGTACTCGTACCGGCTCTCACGAGTACTATCTTGGCTTTGATCGTCCAGGTTCAACTTGGAAACCCAATCTATTGAATCAGAGAGATGCTGCCGACTTCTCGCTAGCTCGATTTCCTGGCGAGGAGGCGTGAATGGTTCAAACTGTAGTCCATCGTCAAATACCGAGGGAGGCACGTGAAAGAGATTTTGTGGTCGCCGAGAGGTACGCCTGTTGCTCGAATCCTTATTCTGGGTTCTGGCTTCAGAAAAATCTCGCATTCCACGTTTGCGGATCATGACACCCATGTCATTCTTGGATCGTGGATCACTCTGGCGAACCAGGGTTCCGAGGTTCGTTACAAACGTGGAGTACTGCTTTCCGGGATCGCTCGCACCCATCGGCAGACCCATCGAGGGCTTCAAAGCATGAATTTCATCCAGACCATCTTGATACGGAAACGCGTTCACAATCGCGGCTAGCTTTGCCTGGTGATCTTCTGTCAGCCTATGTAGCGTCTTTTCGAACTTGTTGCACGCTTACCTCGAGTTGATGTGACGCAGCATTTGGCTGTGCAGTGGCAAGCACCGCTTCCGCAAGCACATACTCGAAGAACTTCTTGCCAAGGAAGTTGTCTATTGTCTGTGATGTCCCTCCGGGCGTTGACGAGAGTGTGTGGTCTGTCTCTGTGCCTGAAACTTCTTGTCAGCGTGATGATTTAGGTATACACAGCTACGCCTTACTGTGCAAAGAGCTATCCGACTCGATTGACGAAGATTGGTCTACGTTCTCGACTTGGCAACGTTCCGACCCAGTGTGGGCTGTATTGAAATCTCGACTGTCGTGGTCGGCCATTTTCGCCAGTCGACTATTCTTTGGCTTCTGGCTCTAAGCTTCCGTACGGACTGTCTTTTATGTCGGATTTGCCGGTCCCGTTTCCGCCGTGAGATCATCGCATGAGCATTCTTCTTGGTGGATAGAATTTGTGACGCTTCGCACGGTCAACATCCCAACGAACAACCCTGCCTCCATTGGTGGTGGGACGTCGATGCATGTTTGTTGCATCATCGAGCTCTCGCACAGTAGATCATAGCCACATCTAAAGCTCCAATATCAAGTTTCTGCAGGTAAGTGGTGACTGATGTGGATACTTTGCAAAATACCATACCTTGTATGCAGGCCTTGGCGGCTGATACACTGTTGAGGTGCCTTTGAGCTTGATAGCGCTAATTTCCAATATGGAGGTCGAGGTCAGCTTAGCGAATCAAAGCCTCAGAGATGATGTTTGATATCGATGGAGCCGCATAAATCACCTCATCGCGTGGTCCTCGCATAAAACAACCATGAGAGATCCACCTAGTGGAGAATTTGCTGACGTGGCATTGTGTATGCGTTGTCATTTCCAAAGGGTAGAAGAAAGGACTCTGTTTACGACGGCCGTTGTCACTTCTTGAACTAGCCCTCGCCATCTCATAGTAGCTCTTCAGCATGGCTGACGCTCCTCCGCAGGCAACCGAGACGGTGATCAAGTTCTCCGGCGATACAGCAACGGTACGTCATACTCTCTCCTTCACCCACGTACAATCTTGATGATGTCCAAGCAGGACGCCGAGATGTTGAACGTCGTAATGGCCAAAATTGAGGCTGAACTCGCGAGACGACCAAGCCTCGGGAAGGCAGCTGGATACCGGATCCGGAAACAGGGGCAAGAAGATGCCAATCGTATCCGAAAGTTCGAAAATTACAAGGGCCCAGACCATGCTACACTTGCAGAGCTCGAGACAAATCTCGACAGCTGGACCAGGTCTCCCTTGATTTTCTGGGATGGTATTTTCAGCGCCGGCTTCGAACTCGGGGAACCACAAGCGTATCCTGCTCTCTGCCACATGCAATTGGAAAAGAGTGATGACGATGACGCTTAGTCTCGCATCGCTCGACGCATGGCGTGCGTTCTCCTTTTCGAGTATCGTGAAGGTAGGAAATCTCAGGTACTGCCGATCGAAAAGACAGCCCGTGCGATCTGCGAGAAAGATCACATCGGTACCTTTGAGGCATGGAATGCCACACTAGTGGAAATGGAAAAGCGCGGTCGGCTCTACGTCCATTGGGAGCGTGGGCTCGGAGTGGGTTCATCGTTAGTGCATGGAACTGGACTTCCCGAGTCTCAGTGAGTAGAACAATCTCGTCACAGCAGTATACCAGCCTCTAATTGAGTAATTCAGCTGGACCGACAGTAAATTGGTGCCTTTGAGTGGGGCTAAGCGCACATTGGTGCTGAAACAGCTCAAGAAAACCAACTTGGCGCACGAGGCGGGAAAGTACGGGCATTTGCGTAAGACTTTGATTGACGCCGGACTTGTGAAGATGGGTTGGGTGGGTCCCGGGCCAGTCAAACCGGTTGTTGAGCCCGGATGGGCGTCCTCTCAGAGGATTTGACGTCCTCTTGTGTGTTGCAGAACGTCCTCTTGTGTCCGTCTTTGGAGCATGATATTGTTTGCTAGATTCCTCGAGCTCGTGCGCAGTATCGGAATATCTCCAGTCGTCGGGTTATCACATCATCGTATGTACATACAGCTCAAAGGCGCGAGGCCGGCACACCGAAGTTTCATCCATACCTTACCGTAGCTCCCAAAGGCTGGCTGTTTGGCGATATCGCTATCGCTGGACAACGTCGCGGGCTTGTAGTTGCAGATGGGCAAGTGCGCATGACATGTATGCCATCGATGGGCGGATGGAAGGGACAAGTAGGCGAATCGTGAGAGGATGGAAGTGCATATGTTCACAGCGGCTTGGCGAGTGACATTGTCATGTCTGAGGTGAAAGTGGGATAGTAGGAGAACGGCTGGCTGCACCGTCGATCTGGGATGGAATTGTCAGCGCCATCGGAACGTCTTCCCCTTCTGGAAACATTGAATGTACAGTACCTAGTTAATTTGAAGGCCGACTTTGGAGACGGCGGTCAATCGCTGTGCGGTATTGTACATACCATTGATATTGTCATGCGTCGCCAGCGTGTCGTGAGGGTATTCACACCACTTCCTTCCTCAACATCAAAGCTARCCCATCCCAGGCCTCCTCAGCGCAAAGTCTGTGCGTCTTCTGCGCGTGTCGTTTTGGGCTCGAGCCTGGCATTGCTCGCATCCCCCGTAGGACTCTTACCACCACCGTTGTCCGTCCTTCTGCTCGGCCCTCAGTCCAGCCAGCTGAGAATGCATCCGGCTCGGCATCATCGACGTCCGCCAATGCAGGTTTCACAATCGACCCCAACTCGTCATTGACAATCAGCGAGCAACAAGAGAAATGGCGCCGCATGTCGGCTCAGCGGAAGTTGGCGGAGGAGAGACAGCGGATTGAGGCTGAGCAGCAGCAGGCGAAGCAAAAAGCAATCTGGGAGGCAGACGAGAAGCAGCGTAAGGCGGCGGTGGCGGATGCTCAGAGCTCAGTATCAAGAGATGATGCAGGGAAGGCGCCGGCTGAGAGACCTACGCGGGAGAAGAAAAGCGCTGGCAAGCACCCGTCTCCATCTGGTACAGCGGCCGCTGCGCCTGCTCCCTCGGGACAGTCTCTTGGTCAGGCAATGGCGCCGGCTGAGAGACCTAAGCGGGAGAAGAAAAGCGCTGGCAAACATCCGTCTCCGTCTGGTACAATGGCCGCTGCGCCTGCTCTCTCGGGACAGTCTCTTGGTCAGGCAATGATGGCTAGCCAACCTTCCCAAGCTGGCCATTCCGAGAGTCACCGGCGAGGAGACCGCGGTGTGCGACCACGAGATCAATCGCAGAAAGAGCGTACACGGTCAATGAACAGGGCGGGGAAGGCGAATCGAGGTGGGCAGTCCCGTGAAGAAAGTGGTGGACAGGGAGAAGCTTTCAGGATACGAAAGTTCATAACGGAGGCTCCACAGAAACAAGGCCCCAGTGCGGCGCCCAGGACTTCGCAGCAAAAGTCCGATCATCAATCTCGGAGTCCCCAGCAGAAGCACCCTAGGAGAGCAGCCACGCCCGATGAACATCGAGGTCCCCAGCAGAAGCAGCCTAGGAGAATAGCCATGACCGATGAAAATCGAGGTCGCCAGCAGAAGCAACCTACGAGAGTAGCCATGCCTGACTTCTTGCTCCCACAAAAGGATTCTGGCCCAGCCCCGGTTCCCACAGCCGGTTGGGGATCGAGGCCTACAGATGTGAAGCCGCTTCAGTATGGCGATATTCCCTCGAATGTTCAGGACGTTGATGATGTAGAATCAAACGTTCAAGATGTCCACGATCTGCAGAACGATGATGGGGCGGACGCAGGTATTCCAACTCACCAAACGTTCCAAAGACTCGACTTCTCCCACGGGATTGAGGAGTCGCTGACTTCGTCTGAGAAGGGTCAGGGTTTCGTCGAAACCAATATGAAGTCGGCAGAGGCCCAGGATTCTAGTCAGTCTCACGCGTCTACTCTGGACACATTCGGCTACTTCGAGGATGCTGCTACTTCCGAACCTAAGTCACAGCTGGACGACCCATCGTCAAGTCACGAGCCATCGTCAAGTCACGAACCATCGTCAACACAGGAGCCATCGTCAAGAAACGAACCAGATTCGCACATCTCAAGTTTCAAGAGTGGTGGCATCGCGGAAGCTGCTATTCGCGCTGCGACATTCGGAGGATTTGGGCAGCCATTCGCGGAAAAGCATGCAGGACCCAACACAGGGAGTGCTCATCCAGACCCAGCGCCCCAAGCTTCGGATGCAGGCTCAAAGACCGCCGTCGCAAAAGATGCGCCTTCAACCCCTCCGCCATCATCCACTCCCGTGATTGTCTCAGCAGACCTTGGCGTGAAGGAGCCAGTGGAGTCGTCACTGGATACGAATCCTGCACCGTCTGCACCAGCCGCTCCAACATCCACAACTCCGTCGCCTTCGGCAGCAATATCACCAGAGCAACGTGAGATGATGGAGAAAATTGAGCAAATGAGACGCATGGTCGAGGACTTTGATCGGCTGAATTCCGCAAAGGCTTCAGGTCCGGTTGCTACACCGCCTGCTCAGCCAAAGGTTGAGCAGTCGCCCACTCCCGCTCCGCCGAAGACTGAACAGGCACAGCCGCCGTATGGCATGGGCGCCTTGCAGACTCCGCCATCRATTGCTGCTTCCGACGTGGGAAAAAATCCACTTCAAAACATCAACAGCCCACTTGCGCAAACTCGCCTGGGCGACACCGGATACAGAGCAACTCCATTAAATCCAGACGAGCTCTTGCAGACTTCCCAGGCACCTGCAGAAGAAGAGGGTAAGTGGGGACTTCTTCGCCGGCAGCAAGATACCAAGTCAACGCCGCCGCCACCGCCGCCGCCGCCACAGACCCCTGCGTCCCAATCTCGATCTGAGCCGCAAAGACAACTCTTCAAGACCAGGGAAGAGGACGCTGACAAGCTGTTCGAAGCGCATCGAGCAACGCGGATATCGTATGCACCTCCGCCTTCCTCGCAGAATGAGTCTTATTCGTTCAGTCAATTGAGCGACCAGGATGTGARGAACAAAAAATGCGCTCGATGTGGACAGATGGGGCATACAGCAACCATGTGCCGGGGATCACTCCGCAAATGTCACAACTGTGGGAAGGAAGGGCATATTAGTCGCGAATGTCCAGAGCCTAGGATGGCGCTGCCTATTTTCCAAGTGTTTGTTGGAGGCGTCAGTCCGGACGCGACTGTTAGCGACTTCAATAACTACTTCAGGAATTATGACGGCGTGGCGAGTACCAAGCTCATTACTCAACCATCCGATCAATCAGGACAGCCTCCGAGATCGAAGGGCTTTGGATTCGTTAGCTTCAGGGATGAACAGACTCGAGAGCGCTTCTTGTCTCAAGGTCCCTTCAAGCTTCTTGGCAAATCTATGAATGTCCGGCTCGATCAGTCTGCGCGACCGGGAGCGAATGCTACTCGACCTAGTGCCGCGATTGACCATGTCGATCGCTCTCCGGTCGCCAATCCTTTCGACTCCACCCAATCYCCAGACAGAGGAAACGTTGTCCACCGCACTTCTAGCGCCGACATCTTTAGCCCTACTAGCTCCTTTGACCCTGCACCACCAGTGCCCTCAGCTCCTGTCGATGAGCCAAAGCGCGGATCACGCGAAGCTCGACGTCGACAGTGGGAGGAGCCGGAAGCTGAAGTTGAAAAGTCCGACAAAGGCGCCGAACGTAAAGGCCGCCGTGGAGGTCGACGCGAGATCGAAGAAGACGAAGAAGACGAGAGAGGTGGTGCTCGTGAAGCTCATCGTGCCCGCAAAGCTGCTCGTCAAAGGCAAAAGGACGCTGAAAAGGACGCCGAGAAGCAAGCTGCTAAGCGAAAACGTGAGATGAAGAAGAAAGAGGCGGGCATCCCCATTACCCTTCCTGAATTTATCAGTGTTCAGCATCTCTCTCAGGCTTTGGGCGTTCGCTACGAGTCCTTTGTGGAACGTCTGGAAGAACTTGGTTACGATGATGTATTCGCTGGCAAGACGCTGGACTCTGAGACCAGCGGTATGATCGCCATGGAGTACAACTTCGATCCAACTTTCGACGGAGGTTACCGCGAGGAAGAAGTGAGGGATTTGAAAGCACGACCTCCGCTTCTTGATAGACAGAGCCTTCCTACCCGTCCGCCTGTGGTTACCATTATGGGACACGTCGACCACGGCAAGACCACTATCCTCGACTATCTGCGGAAGTCTTCTGTTGCCGCCGGAGAGGCTGGAGGTATCACTCAGCACATCGGCGCGTTCTCTGTCCCTCTCTCAGCGAGTGGGAAGACTGTCACATTTTTAGACACGCCAGGCCACGCAGCGTTCTTGGCAATGAGACAGCGAGGCGCCAATGTGACAGATATGGTAATTCTGGTGGTGGCGGCAGACGATTCCGTCAAACCACAAACTCTGGAAGCCATTAAGCATGCCAAGGAAGCGGGTGTTCCCATGATTGTGGCCCTCAACAAAGTCGACAAGCCAGAAGCAGATGTTGAGAGGTGTAAGCAAGATCTCGCCAGACATGGCGTTGAGATTGAAGACTACGGTGGAGATGTTCAAGTAGTTGAAGTCTCCGGCAAAACTGGCAAGGGCATGGACGCGCTCGAGGAGAACGTGGTCGCACTGTCTGAACTCCTCGATCATCGCGCAGAGACCGACGGAGCTGTGGAGGGGTGGGTACTGGAAGCCACCACACGCAAAGCTGGTCGTGTCGCAACTGTTCTCGTCAGACGCGGAACTCTTGTTCCCGGTACGGTCATCGTAGCCGGCAAGGCATGGGCGCGCGTACGCACGCTCAAGAATGAGGCCGGCGTCGAGATCGAAAAGGGTGGACCAGGAATGCCTTGCGAAGTGGACGGCTGGCGTGATCAACCATCTGCTGGCGATGAAGTTTTGGAAGCTCCGACCGAACAGAAGGCCGGCTCTGTTGTTGAATTCCGCATTGAGCTAGCAGAACGCGAGCAAACGAAGCGCGATATGGAAGTCATCAACGCCAACCGTAAACTCGAGCAGGAAAAGAGAGAGAAGGAGAAGGCTGCAGAGCAAGCTGCCAAACGCGCTGCAGCTGCTTCTGCGACTGTTGGACCTGACGGCACGCCAATTGCTGCTCCTGCGGCAGAGGCTACTCCTGCGCCAGCTGTGGAGCCCGAGAATGAAAAGGAAAGCGGGCAAATCGACATTCCTTTCATCATCAAGGCCGATGTTTCTGGTTCTGCAGAGGCTGTTGCAGCTTACATCATGTCTCTATCCTCTCCACTCATCACACCGTCCATTCTAGCCTCTGGCGTTGGCCCAGTCCACGAAAGCGACATCGAATTGGCGTCCGCAGCAGAGGGCCACATCATCGCATTCAACTTGCCCAACGATCCCGATTCGATGGGCAAAGCTACAGCTCGAGGAGTCAAGATCTTGGCTAATGACATCATCTATCGCTGTTTGGATGATGTAAAAGCTGTACTCGAGGAGAAGCTTCCGCCGATTGTCACGTCAAGAGTTACGGGTGAGGCGGATATCAGCGCGGTGTTTGAGATTAGCGTTGGAGGACGCAAGAAGAAATCTATTGCGGGTGMAAAAGTCCGGAACGGTAGTGTGGCGAGGAATGCGAGGGTGAGAGTTATGAGGGKTGGGGATAAGGTTTACGATGGTGAGTTTGCTCCAACTCCTGGTGATGTTTTTGTGTGGTGATTACTGACTTGCGCTAGGTACGATCAACTCCCTGAAGAATCAAAAGAAGGACACGGATATCATGCGCAAGGGCAGTGAATGCGGAATGGGCTTCGAAGATTGGGAGGGCTTCCAAGTGGGCGATCAGGTCCAGATGTATGAGGAAATCTCGGAAAGGAGAAGGTTGTAAAAGTAGGATACGGCTGTCTGATCGTGGGACCGAGAATCAGGCAAGCTACTCCTTCGCTCTGCGTGTTTCATGCTGATGGCCGCAGTGGGATATATCGGCCATTCGGGAATGTACATATAAAATCGGCGCCGTTTCGCACGGACACCGAATCGATCACGGCTCACCATGCTCTACCTTCAATGGCGATGCATTTGCCGCAACGACCATCATGCTCTACCTTCAGTGGCGATATATTTGCCACAACGACCACCACACTCCTCTCTTGCCCACGATTTCTGACTTAACAGAAGATGTCATCGTGCATGACAACGATCTCACCATCGAGCGGCCCAGCGGCTCTTTGTAATGATAGGTTTTAGAATAAATTATCGCCGAAGCACGGAATGGCAAGCCGCAGAACTTGTCTGACTCTGGCAAGCTCAAATCTCCGCCTGCCAAGCTGAGAGAGCTGACTCCACTGCTTGGACTGGGTTGGAGATTGAGAAGCTCGAAGGAGCAGCCCCACGCTTATCTCAAGGGTATGCCTGTCTGCCGCCACATCTACGGGTAAATCTTGACGGTCATCCTTCCTACATCGTCCTGCTCCACCGAAGCTACTGTTCGCCAACACACCACCATCCCAAACACGATCAGCGAATCGCATCGCTCAGAGGCAACGGACACGGGACGATCAGCAGTGCCTGTCCACTCCTGTATGTCGTATGCGGTACAGCGAGTCGTCATTTCGATATGCGAGACCGCAGGTCCACGCAAGAGACTTCTCCATCTTTTTTTTTTCGAAACGCCAAACCCACTCTGAACCCACAACACTCAACGTGAATGCCACTGCCGGCATAAAGGAGTCCTGTCGGTACGTACGCTGCAAATCCGGCTGTTGAAATGGGTTCTTCACGATGCAGACATGCATTATTTACATATGGCTTGCGAACTCTGGCTATCTGCAGGCCATCGCGATCGGTCTTGGTGCCGTCTCCACCCCGGACGCATTGGACCCTTTGAGAGACCAACTCGACGCTGTTTCCAGATCGTATTCCAGCTTAGCTGGCTGCGGACAACGCCGCACGCTCCTACCCGGAGTCTGTAGGCGATACTCCGGAATGCGGGTTGTTCTTAAGACTTATGCACTCCCCGCTGTTCGATCATCCTCCGATTGTTGGGACTGTGCGCGTGCACTTGAAGAGACCCACTCTGCGTGCAGGACAAGACACTACGACTCGGCCGGTCCTCCCTATAGCAAATGAATTTTACCGCACGTTGTCTCCGCTACTGGGGATACCATCGGCTCGGACGACACCAGCTACCAGCTCCGAAGCAACAGGATGCTTCCAAGGTAATGCCATTGTTTTCCTTCAATTAGAGACAACCGGATCCGCACTATTTCAATTGGGAAAAGAAAGAAGGGATGACTTCAGCGGACCGTCTGAGGTAATGTCTGCTTTCCGGCTCGAATACATGTAGCGCCAAAGACGCTATACTTGACCATGCCCGAATGGCCATTAGTAACACTGCCTAAGGCAGCCTCTAGAAACACACTATCATGGATGAGCCTTGTTGAAACATGGAGCTACTGCTCAACACCCATCCGGCCCGGACAAACCTAATCACATTCCCTATCTTTTTGCTTGTATGCGGCACAGTCGTAATGGGAGATGAACGGCTTCGAGGGACGAAGCTGTGCCACACAAATTCCTCATTCGTATTTGATAAGCGCGTCCCGTCCAACTCTTGCCCTGTGCCTATACTTGATCGCGCCATCGTTTGTAAGGTCACGACATCGGTATGACTGACTCTCCAACAATGCAGCAGTCGCCGAAGAACAGACGATCCGTCCATCCTGTGGACCTTTTGCGAACGCTCGAGGTGAGAAGCTGTGTGGAGGTTTATCTGAAACACTCGGTTTGCTGACCATAGTTTTATTTTAGTACCCTCAGCTCGCGGGTAAAACGTACCTCGATCATGCTGGAACGACAGTAGGCTACCTCAGCTGTTGATCTAGCGGAATAGATGCTAACGAGATTCCGGTGTAGCTGTGGGCGAAGTCGCTTATAGACGAGTTCGCTCAGCAGATGGGATCAACGCTATATGGCAACCGTAAGCCTATTGGCAAGTCATGCTGAATGATCGATACTGATCGGTCTCTCCCTACAGCACATTCCGAACATGAATCCTCGAAGCGAGCAGAGACAAGAGTTGAGGAAACCAGACGAAAGGTAAGTCTACACTATATCTAGTTCAATTTTTGAGGCACACTTTCGATGCATACATGTGGATTGTGCTGATCGATCGATCTCTATCAGGCTCTACAATTCTTCAACGCCGATCCTGAAGAATGGGATCTAGTCTTCACCGCGAATGCCACGGCTGCGATTAAGCTTGTGCATGACTGTTTTCGGGACAGTGCGGAAACTCAAAGACGAACGTGGTGGTATGTCAAAGTCGATGATCGATGCCATGAAAACATTTCATCGCAAACCAACTCGATTGTGATCGGCGAGGTTGACTGATGGACCAACCAGGTACGGATACCACAAAGACGCTCACACATCGGTCGTTGGACTTCGTGAAGGAACCCGAACGCATCGATGCTACCGCTCGGATAAAGAGGTCGAACTATGGATAGAGGCCCGTGGGCTGGGAGGAGCTCAGCCGCGGGATATCGGTCTGTTTGCATACCCAGCCCAGAGCAACATGACCGGTCGACGACTACCTCTTGACTGGCCAGGTCGTATCCGCGACCGAGTTCGGGCAGAGGTATTCACTTTGCTGGATGCAGCAGCACTGGTCTCGACTGCTCCCCTTGACATCGGAGCACTTTCCGAAAAGTCAACTGCTCCCGACTTTGTGTCTCTCTCTTTCTACAAAATCTTTGGATTCCCAAACCTTGGCGCTCTCCTGGTCAAGAAGTCTGCGAGTAGGATTTTGCAAGGCCGCAAGTTCTTTGGTGGTGGTACTGTTGACATGGTGATCTGCATGAACGATCATTGGGTGTCGAAGAAGAGTGGCGAGGTCCATGAGGTCCTTGAGGATGGCACTCTTCCTTTTACGTCCATCTTTGCTCTTGACATTGCAATTGTGAGCGAAGCTTTTCAGATTTGAGAAACGCACACGGACTGACCATTCCTAGGACACGCATCGCAAGATATATGGAGACTCACCCATGCAATACATCTCGTACGTGGCGACAAATTCTGATCAGACCGTGGGGTAAATCTAACATTCTCCCAGCTCACATACATCACGCTTGACAAGACTGCTTTTCGAGGATCTTATGACTTTACGACATTCAAACGGCACCTCAGTTATCCAAGTTTACAACGACAACAGCGCCAGCTACGGGGATTCCGCAACACAGGGCGGAACCATCGCACTCAACATCCAAAAGCCATGTGGAGCAATCATATCGTATCAGATTGTCGAGAAGGAAGCAAACGCAGCGGGGATCCACATCCGAGGAGGCTCGCTATGCAACCCAGGAGGAGTAGCATCTTACCTTGGCTGGCAACCCGAGGAACTCCTAGCCGCTTATGACGAAGGACACAGATGTTCCAAGCCCATCTCGGAAATGTTTGGAAAGCAGCTCGGAGTTGTGAGAGTATCCCTGGGAGCTATGAGTAACGAGCAAGACATTGACACCTTTGTGCGCTTTGTCCAAGAGACTTATGTCGATCGAGTCTTCGTCGAGGACCAACCCAAGCCGGTAGCAGTCGCGATGCCGATGATGACGGATATGCCAATGGGCGCCCCATTCGCAGCAGCAGCTCGACCGCCATCGTCTAGAAGCATGGTCGCCCCTAGAGCGGCGCAGCGCAGCGATATGTCGGGCACGGTGATGCAGGTCGACAACTACAAAGACGAGTACTTTGTGTCGAGGAAGAAGTCATCGGATTGGAAGCGTAAAAGCTTCGAAGTTCCGGGCAGCGTCAAGAGCAGAGGCAGCGCCATGAAAAGATTTGGGTACTCGCTCCGGAACGCGATGCCGAAATTTCAGTCGGATAATCTTTTGAATCGACAGGCTACTGTTGTAGAGTAGCGTTGGGGGTTGGGAGCTTTTGGGTGTATTACTGTTCCTAGCCCTGAGTTCAACATTACGACGAAATGGCCTTTTTGAGAAGCGTTGTTTGTAGGGCAAGTCGAGATCATATACTGAGGTGGTCAGCGTGACCTGAAATGGGGTCTGCTTTATTGCCACGCAGTCGACGTAGTAGGCCGTGATACAGGGACATGGCTTGTTGACACAGAGAGTGGGATGAAGATAAAGAGCAAGCTAGAGCTTCGCGGCTCGATCTGATATTGTACCGTCATCCTTTGCACTGTACATGGTATGGCTAAGTCTACATTTCAAGTTATGGTCATGAATAAATACTACACCGGCTTGCGCATCTTGATGCCGCACCATAGAACCGGCGCAAGATTCGTTGCACAATCAAAGGTGAAGAGACTGATGAGCCATAGCACTACCAATACAGGTATGGGTGCTAGCAGGATCTCGGTGCGGCTGAGGAACGGTAGAGCTGTGCTAGTCAGTGTCTGTATTGTAACTTTTTTTTCGCCGTTACTCACCGTTGTATCCCAGAAATACGATCACAAAGTAGTAGCTCAGGGCCATCAGATACATGGTGTTGCCTGGATGCTGTCAGTACGCGCGCACGTCAAGCTGGTGTGCATGAGTTTGCTCACCAAACAGGTTTGACACCCAATAGTCTTGTGCGATGAGAGGCATCAAGAGGAATTGCAGAACGTACRAGAACACCCATACTGGCAGGAACGCTCGGATGGAGACCTGGGATGCGGTTAGCCTGGCGCGCATGTGAAGTTGGAACATCCCACGCACATCGAAGCAATATCCAAACTCCAAGACATCCTCGCCGCCCACCGGAGGCCCAAAGAGACCTTGCCTACGCTTTCCGAGCACTCTTCCGACGAGGAAGTACATCATGATCGACAGCAATAGGGACACTCCAAGAAAGTGCCCCACCACGAAGATCATGGCCACTTGCAATGTCCTGCTGAAGCCATCCGCATATGCAATTCCCCATGCAAGTCCTCCTAGAAACAGGAAGACTGAAAGAAGACTGCGTTTGTTAGCAAGATTCGAGGGGTTCCACGACTTTTCGCATTGCCTACTATGTGAAGGCTGGATCCGCTCGATGGTACGAGTTCTTCGTTTCTGTAGACAAGTCAGCGATTTTCAAGCAACCAAGACATGTTCAACGTACGTTTGTGATAGTAGATGCTTCTGAACACTTTCTTCGGGGCTATGATCAAGTGGGTCATTTCCCAGATGGCCTGGCACTTGTCAGTACGTGGCCTGAACTGAGCAGGCGGGAGACAGTACTGTTTCAAAGTCCATGGAGTGAATCTTGAAGAGCTTGCGGAAGAAAGGTGGGATACGCATCGTTGCGTTCTTCCTTGATGAAGTCGACATTGCTGGTATTACGGCCGGGCAAGATGTTGAAGCTTGGCTGTCTTTGTCTTGAAGAGGGCTTTGTGTTGCGAGCTCTCACTCCCGCTCTCGGTCTCAATGTAGCTCAGATATCCCTCTACAGCAACTCTTGAGATTATGCGCTGTCATATGCTAGAAGCATCAAGTTCGAGTATCAAGGATAGTAGAAATGGTGGTAATCCGCGTCTTCTCATTCACTGTCTCGACTGATGTCGTCGGAGGTCGGCCTTCTATTCTTGGCGAATTAGACTTTTATGCAAGTCGATGCTTCCTGCCACGAGCCAGCGAACTTCGCGACAGCATCTCCACAACCACACCACATCTTCCACTTCATCTTCCGATATCCTGCACTGCACACGCGTCTTCGTCTGCAGCGTAGGCCAAAATCGTGTCCCGCCCCACACTTCATCCCGATCGCGCGCCTCTCCACATCATCGCCGCCAGCACTCGATCGACAGCGCATCCGCGCGCTCTCGAGCAGCGCCAGCGGCGCCAGTCGCCAGGATGGCGGAAGAGTATGATCCAGCGGGTCCTACCGCTCTTGATGATACTGGTGCAGATGCGAATGAGTCCTACGGTTACGAAGAGTACAGACAAGACGACGATGCGGCCGACGAAGACGACGATTACGACCCGACGGCCGGTTTCAACTACGCCGAAAACGACGAGCAGTCCAAGCCGACGTCGTCCGAACAGACTCCGCAACATGCGCCCGTGTCCGCGCAAAGCGATCAGCCCTCCAAGCCGCAGCAGACTGTTGCGGGTTTTGTGTTGGAAGAAAGTGATGATGAGCAAGATGAGAGCGCGCCGACACCTTCACAGCTGAGCGGAGATGCTGGCGCGCTGGCGGCTTCACRGGCGCCAGATGTATCGTTACGTAGTGCACCGCAAGACACTGCTACCCCAAGCACAAGTCTCAATGGGTCCACCACTGTTCCTGTCCCTGCGTCAACTTCGTCTCACCCTAATTCATCTACACTTCAAACTCCTGCTGCAGATTTGGGTAAGGTTGCTGTTTCACCTATCGCTTCTGCTGTCCCGACACCACAGCCTGAGGCGAACGGTATTGCTGTTGCCCCTCCGCCAGTTCCTCAAGCCAATGGGTCATTGATTGCGGCGCCACTTGCTCGACTTCCTCATGACAAAGTTGGCCAGCTCGAAGATCGCATCAAGGACGACCCTAAGGGTGATACAGACGCGTGGCTTTCACTCATCAAGCATTACTACGACAAAGGCCAGTACCAAGGTGCAAGAGATGTCTACAAGCGCTTTTTCGAGGTGTTCCCGACTGCGGTATGTTGATCTCCGGCCTGCTTGTGTGATGTCACCTTGGTGCCGTCCAATGTGGGAGAGTGGCCGCTAACAAACCTTGCAGGTGTCAATGTGGGTGAAATATGTCCAGATGGAGAACGAGTTAGACGAACGCGACAATGTCGTGATCATCCTCAACGAGTCCGTTATGGCAGTTCCCAGCGTGGACCTCTGGAAGCTGTACCTCGACCATGTTCGCCGAGCACTCCCCTTGATTAATGACGCAGATGGCAAAAACCGCAGCGAGATCACAAAGGCGTTTGAGGTTACACTGGAAAATGTTGGCATGGATCCTGACGCCGGTATGCTATGGCGCGAATACATCGACTTTCTCCTCTCTGGTCCCGGCACCGTAGGAGGCCAGTCTTGGCAGGAWCTTCAGAAAGTTGACACGCTCCGCAAAGCTTACCAGCGCAGCATCAAACTCCCTCATTTCGAGTCTATGAGACTCTGGAAGGAGTACGAGACTTTTGAGATGGGACTTCATAAGGCCACCGGTCGCAAGCACGTTCAGGAGCAGAGTCCGCACTACATGCAAGCCCGAACTGCTCGCATGCAACTCGAACAGAAACTTGAAGGTCTGGACAGGAAATCACTGCCCAAGCTGCCGCCAGTCTATGGTTGTGCTGGAGACGACGAGTTCGGCACCCAGGTCGAGAAGTGGCGGGGCTGGATCGAGTGGGAGAGGGACGAAGACCCGCTGGTGTACAGAGGGACTGAAGATGATGCGTACCGCAAGCGAGTGCTTTACGCATACAAGCAAGCCACGCTCTGCTTGTGCTTCTACCCGGACATATGGTTTGAAGCAGTGAACTGGTGCTTTGCTCAGGGTATCAGTGCGTATACCTCAGAGGGTGATCAGCTTTTGGACAAGGCCATTGCGAATAACCCCGAGTCCGTACTACTTGCCATGCTCAAGGCCGATCGTGTGGAGGCAGAACTGGAAACTGGAAACACCGATGAAGTGCTTTGCCGGAATGGTGAAAAACTTGACGTGCCTTATGAGAAGGTGCACACTGCGCTCTATGCCCTCAGATCAAAGCTCAAAGAGAAGGATGACAAGGCGCTGGCGCAGATCGCGGCGTACTATGCTTCTCTACCGCCGGAAGATGATCAAATGGAAGGTCAGGACGATGACGACGACAACAATTCCACGAAGCCAAAGTCTCGGGAGGAGCTGAAGAAGGCTGACATCGAAGCCGTCAAGACCGCCTCGGCCGCACACATGGACATTCTTAAGCGTACAATCTCCTACGTTTGGGTAGCCAAAATGCGAGCTTTCCGCCGAGTCCAGGGTCAAGGCAAGCCGCTCAAGAAGGGCGACACATCGTCCAAGGTCGTCAAAGGATTCAGAGGAATCTTCTCTGACGCCCGACCTCGTGGTCCACTTTCAAGCGACGTCTACATCGCATCTGCTTTGATGGAGTGGCGCTGCTACAAAGACCCATCGGCGATCAAGATCTTTGAGCGCGGCATGAAGCTGTTCCCAATGGATGAGGCTTTCATCCTGGAGTATGTCAAGCACCTGATTGCTCTCAGTGATGTGACCAATGCTCGTGTCGTGTTTGAATCTACCATCCCAAAAATTTGCAATTCGGCGGACTTTACCCTTGAGCAAAAGAGAGAGAAATGCCGCCCTCTCATCACATACATGCACGACTACGAAAGCAAATATGGCGACCTCGCCCAGATTCACAAGATTGAGAAGCGTATGGCAGAGCTGTATCCGGAGGAGCCCGAGAGCAGCCGCTTCAGCCATCGCTTCTCTCTGCCCAATTTCGATGCGATGCATGTTCAGCTTGTTCTCAGCCCAACGCAAGCAATGCCAAAGGCATACCAACCTCAACCTCCACCTGATCTTCACCACGCACCTCAACCCCAAGCCAGCATAGAGAACTACACTCGCAGTCCCAAGGGACCGGAGATTCTACTTGGTCCAAAYGGTCCGTACGTTGCCAGTCCTAAACGCCCACTGGAGGACTCGGACACGGACACTCCGAGGAAGTTCATGCGTGGCGAGTCTCCACTCAAGGGTGCCGCCGGCGTGCGAATCCAGAATAAGCAGGCTGCCGCGGGCGGTGGCGGCGGATTCGCCACGAAAACGTTTGTTCCCAACAGCGCGCCGGTACCCATGGGTCCGCCTCAGCTGCCTCCCGCGATTGATGCCATACTGCGCCGATTGCCCCCTTCAAACAGCTACTTCCAGTATCGCTTTGATCCTGCAAAGCTGGCGATGCTGCTACCCACCATCAACGTCGAGACTGCCTACGCTCAGTATAGCGCCACCGGAAGTGTACAACGCCAGTACTAGAATTTTGCTGGCCTTGATCATCTCGACGATGCTTGTACTGGTGGTTTCAGCCGGTATAGCAGCGCCACCGGTTCTTGGAGAAGAGCGCGCCTTCTTCGTAAGGAACGGTCACATGCTTCACGAGTCCTCTATGCAATGTGATATTTCCCTCACTCGGCAAACTGCTCGGGAGGTGTATAATCCTTCTTCATCCGCCCCCAGAGTATCTGCAAGGCTAGGTCGGGCATCGAGATTTTGGCATGGGGTGATAACGATATGACCGATGGGGCGTTTGCTCAGTATTTCTTCTGATCGATGAGTCACTCCAGCCGATCCATTATTCGTGGCTACAGGCGGGCAGGCTTCAGCTGCGCGTCGTATAGCGCTCCAAAGCTGAAACTATTCTTGTACAATACTGCAGAGGACGCATAATCGAAATGTCATTACGTGTTCTATGCCTCATTCCGTCTTCATCTCATGCTCATCTCGCGTGACACTTCGGTGCTGAGTATGTATTTCACGCTTTCCATGTCCGTCCGCAGGCAGTATGAGATGCCATGAGATATAAGATTTGCAGCGGTGTAATCCCAACATTGTCACTTTGGCGTTCTCACCTCACCACCTCGTATGCGGACGTCGCCTTCTTCCCCGACCTACACTGTCGATTTCTCGCCATTTCTTTCTCGCTTCCAGTTCTTCCCCTCTCACTGATATTTCTCACGCACGCGTCCACACGACTGCTCTCCGTATTGGCGAAGCGGCGTCCGCCTTATCCCAGGTTCGACTGGCGGGAGTACATCCACCGCCAAATCTTCAGACTTGGCGACTTTTCTGCAATGACCAATCGGGGTGACAATGGAGAGGTGCGGAACATGGACACTATCCGTCAATCTGGCGAACACAGCCTCGAATTTGGTGGCCAACAGGGCACCAGGGTCTTGATGGTCGGAAAGCTGATGAGCGAGCGCACTCTCTGTACTTTTCGTTCGAAGTCGCTTTCTGATTTGAAGGTTGCGAAAAGGACCGCATGCAAGTGCTGGTTTGGACTCGCAATTCGAATTTGAGCTAAGAGTGCATATTCATATACTTGTCTGGATTCACGCTTTTGACCTTGAAGGGAAAATACCGCATGCTCTACATGCTTGCTTACATTTGGTTCGTGACGGACGAATGGCCTGCGCCTTCGCGTGGCATTCGGTGTCGGTACCTTCGACACGCTTCAAAATCAAGGAGGGAAACCAAGACAGACCAAAAGATAGGTAGGCTTTGTCGGAGCAGATGGCATGATATGCGTGGAGGGACTACGGAATCATCGTCGGTAGGAGGCAGGGACCGACCACAAATGCTTTCGGGGCGAGCACACTCTGGACTTCCAACATTCTCTCATATCCCAGTGTGAAAATCTTTGCCTCGGAGAGCAAGCGTCGTTCTGTATATCTTCAAGCATCTCTTCGAAAACGCCAGGCTATGCAAATTCGTGTGGGATGTCAGACCTTCGGCATAAGTCACAAGGCCAGTCTTGATTACCATTGTTGGCATGCCTCGCATTGTAAGAGGTTGTCAAGATGTTGCATATATTGCTTCGGTTCGGCATGGTTTTTGTGGAGTCGTTGAATGGAAATGTTCCTCGTTTGAGATAGATCCATCTGGCTACAACGTAAAGTAGGGGTGCAGGTCATCAAACAAAAGTCGTTTAAATGACACTTACCACGGGCTGATTTGTGAGAGAGATGGATATATTTGCTCACTGGCTGCGAAGTTTGAGTCCTTCGCGTCAATTCAGATAGAACGAACACCCTACACGTCCCCCAGGCGTGATGCGCTCTCCGTCTGGCCGTCTTTAGCCAAGTCCTTCGCGGTCCTCCCCTCGCCGGTGCTTCGCTGTGAGCAGACATAATGTTCACCAACCGCGTGCCTTGTGGAGCGCGCTCTCCTGGGTCTGCTGTAAGACTTCCTGCCGCTGGCAAAGGGAGCACTATCTGCCTGGTATTGTGTGCCCTTCGGGGCTTCGATCGACATACCCACTTCAGAATCAGAAGTAAGGTACTCGTGTTTTTCAATGCGCCTCGATGGACTCGGCGGTAACTAAATGGAGCCATGTCGTTGCCACTCTGGCAGTGGAAGGCGGAGTTGTAGAAGCACGCGAAAACGAGAGCATGCTGTCGTTTCCCTGTCGCAAGAGTCGGGGCCGAAGCCGACCAGCCGACGCCACGAGGACATCATCCCTGCTGAGTCAAATTTCACCTCCACCTCCATATCCACGGCGCTCCAACGCGTCCTGCTCTGCCACAACAAGCGTACCAGGATGCCCGTCCTGCGTCCATTGGACAGATCCCACGACTCCCTCGTACCTGACTGAATTTGTGAAATGTCTTTCGGGAGTGATGAGACTTGGTCCGATCCACTGCAGAATGACACCACGAGAGCGGAGAATCTTGGGCGAGGCGCGGAGCGTCATGCGGAGGCTTTGATGAGCCTACCTGAGGACCATGCGGGAATACTCAGCTCCATCGGGCTCTTCTTGCGTCCGGTTCTTCTGGGGTGTGCGGCTGTGAGCGCAGGCCGCCAAAAATCGCTGGCCGCGAGAAAGAGACAGGCCAGTCGTGGCGCCACTCTCTGCAGATTAGTCGAAAGAATTTCTTTGGAGGAGGTTGAAGGCTCAGTCTATCCGCTCTCCTAGGCGTGCGCAGGCCTGAGCGAGTCCGCAACCATTCAGGCCGCACGGCTCGATCAATTTGCTTGCAAAATGCAGGCGCGGAAGGCCTTCTGCCCATGAACAGCTCCGGAAAAGAGGCGTTGTAGAGCAGAGTGTATGTGCAGGGAAGACCCGCAATGACAAAGGCCAGAGACCATTAATGATCCGCTTCCACGCGAAGGCTTGTCATTCAAGCTTTTGCGAGGTCCAAAGGTAAGCGCTCCTCCCACGATGCTTTCCACCATGACATTGCAAGAAGCTCTCTGCAACTTCATGTTCGCCCCCGACGAGCTCAAGTTAAATTCTCTCCCCTTCAAATCCTACACTCTTGGCAAACGATTCGTCTACTGCGCCAAGCTCGTCTCCCAGATACAAATACGCTTCTTCTGCCAGCGCTTTGCAGGACGATGATGGGCATGGGCTAGTGAAGCTGCCCTTGAAGGCTGCTGCAAAAACCTCCGACCCACGAAGCCATCTGCTGCTCTTGAGGATCCCGGTTCCTAGCATCAATTTCGAAGCAAACGCAAGCATGGCTACTCCTCGTGCCTCCCGTTGGACCGCAGCCAAGGGACAGCCAATACTCTTCGGATACCCACCTGGCCGCAAAGAGCCCTTCCGATCAGGTACGACGAGACGTCTGTCATCTGCCGACCTGAACACTCTGGGAATTTTCTTTTGGGGAAGATCTCCTTGAGCTCAACCTTCGATCTCCTGGCCGATCACTGGGGCGCTACGATGATGGATATGATTTCTCCCTCTGGGCTTTGATGGGTCTACCCAGTGCTCGGCTCCTCCACATGTGTCTGGCAGTCGCTTTCCATCGCAACGTGCAAGTCTCGGGGCCCGCAGCCGCCACGTCCTTTCAATGATGTGTTGTGTCTCTTACAAGACGCTCGTGGTCCTTCTCTGACGATCCGGTCGCGGGATACTGGAGATCCAATGCTCCTCCTCTTGGGTGCCCGGCTTGTGTGATTGTCGTCCTTCGTGAAGCCAAATCTAGCGGGCCTTCGTCGTCCCCATCGGTGGTTCTGGTCCGCTCCGCCATCAATATCTTCAATTTGGTCGATTTTGTAGGAGCAAACGATTCGAACCAAGAATGGAGCTATTGGAAGTAAATTTTTGGCCCGCCAAATCTGACCGGCCTGTTCCGATTGCCGGAGGTTTTCGTACAATCTGCTGGATCAGGACTATGCTGCGAGAGAAGCAGATAATGCCACAATTGGCATCGCTGCGGACTTGAATAGGAGCTCTCTCGTTGACTGGGCATGACGCTCTGCTATGATGCCTGGAATACGTGTCACTCGATCAAGAGCATGGAAATCGGGTGTACGGAGCGACAACTATCGCTGTCACTTCATCTATGGCAGGAGACGACAGAATGCATCACTTTGCTTTTGCTGTCTTGTTGAATGGGGAGCCTCTCGTAGCAGATGCCTGCTCGTGAGACTGTCTGGCGATCTGTTGGAGCTACCGCTGATGCTGTGAGCGCCTCGAACCTGGTGGCCCGACTATCAAAGGGCCCTGTGTTGCTCCTTCGACGGAGTGCCGCCTCCAGCACTGTTGTCATTATGGGTAGATACTTCGGGCCATGGTAGAACGGCTCGCAGCAGCTTCGGTCATGACCGTATTCCTCACTATGGCCCTGTCTTACCTCATTGGCCCTGCTTCTCACACATGTCGCTCCTGCCTCCCCGTGCCGTCACTGCACCGAAGCTTCACGTTAACGTTGCTGCACGCCGAGCTTTGACCCCCTCACTTTTGCTGCTGTTGCTGCTGCCACCTACTATAAGTCTCCACCCTCGCTCCACCATCCACCTTCTCTCTTTCATCCACATCATCCTCCACCCATCCACCACCAACCATCACCACGTCACACAATCCCTCTCACACACCTTCACACACTCCACATCCACTTCAACTCCAACCTCTATCCCTCACAATGGTAGGCGCTGCCGTCAAGAAGCGTGTTGCTGCCGAGCAGCACTCCAACAACACCGTCCGCAATGGGTCGTCATCTTCGGGTGACACATCGTCGTCCGGCAAGGCCACCCACTCTGTGCGGTCATCAGCCAGCACTCAGTCCAAGGCTCCATCTCATGCACCATCTTCGCGTGCTCCCACCGCTCGTGCTACCTACGACGGCAATGCCGACCCTCACCCCATCAATGAGCGCAACCCAGCCACTTCGAAGGTCATCGTCGACCCCAAGAAGTTCAACTTCGACTTGGGCATGGGCGGATGGAGTACCGTTCGCGGCACTGAAATTTCGAAGAGCATGCCTCCTCGCCCAGCTGCTTCTAAGCTCGGCGTCGCCACTAAGATCGCCCTGAACAGCTTTCACGTTGAGTCGTTCCCMAACATTCCCATTTACCAGTACGACGTTCAGATTGGCACCGGCGTCGAGAAGCGTGGTGCTATCCGCGCCGTCTGGGAGTCTAAGGCTGTGCAGAAGGAGGTTGGCGGAACCGCTATCTTCGACGGCAATAAGCTTATGTGGAGCGGCAAGAGCATTGATCGCGAGTTGAGAATCAACGTGGACCTTAACATCGAGGACGGGCGTGACATGTCCAAAGTCAAGGGTGAGTTCATTCAGTTTCAGCGATTGCTTTACATTACCTGCCCTCCTACATGTAACTAACACATCATCCTATCAGATCCTTCTAAGCAACAGTTTCGGGTTATTATCCGTCAGACGAATAAGGTCAAATTCGAATCCCTGATGGCGTACCTCAAAGGCCAGGCGTCGTTCGACAACGCCTGCCTGGAGGTGATCAATTTCGCCGATCACCTCCTCCGCATGACTCCATCTACCAAGTACACGCCTATTAAGCGTGCATACTTCCAGACCCGCCTTGCTGGGAAAGCTACTAGCAACGCGGCTATGCTCCTCGGAGGCGGCGTTGAGGCTTTTAAGGGTGTTTACCAATCCCTGCGTCTCGTCCATCCTGGCCGTCTCGCAATCAACATCGATGTCGCCAACGGTGTATTCTGGATCCACCAGAAGCTTCTCGACACTGTTTTTCAGGTCGCTGGCTGCCGTGATGCTTCCGACCTGAGTGCCGCGCTGTCCAGAGGTGGTGAGAGCGGTCGTCACGGCAAGGTACTTATTCCATCCCACCTACCTACGAGACACATGCTGACTTTGACTCGCTAGGCCCTGAAGCGTCTGCGCAAGGTTCACTGCTTTACCCAGTTCCGCGGGGGTGAAGTGGACAAATACTGCATCGAGCGTTTCGTGTTCAACAAGACCGCGAAGACCGCCAAGTTCAAGGTTAATGATGTTGAGACCACGGTGTACAACTACTACGCCACAAAGTACAACATCCGCCTCCAGTACCCCGATCTGCCACTCGTCAAGGCTACTAAGGGCCAGAACACGCTTGTTCCAATGGAGCTGCTTATGATCAAGGAGAATCAGCGTTACAACTACAAGATGGACGAGAAGCAGACCGCTAACATGATCAAGTTCGCGGTCACTGCTCCACCTGAGCGTTGGGCGCACATCGAGCATGGACAGCGCATGCTCGACTGGAACTCCGATCCTGTTCTCAAGAAGTAGGTTCACTCTATGCTGCCGTCGCCTGCATCAGTCACTAACAGTAATCTCAGGTACGGCCTGAACGTCTCCAACAAGCGCACTACTGTCGACGCTCGGCTGCTCACTGCGCCGACTGTGAAGTACGGCAAGGGTGACGCGAAGCCAGGTACTTCTGGCCGCTGGGATCTTAAGGCCAAGCAATTCCTCCAGAGCAATCCTGTGCCGCTCAAGTCCTGGGCCGTTTGTGTCATCTCTGGACGTCGCGGTGGCAAGCCTGACAAGGCCACTATCGACAGATTCATTTCCGAATTTGTTAAGGGCTACATCGGCCTCGGTGGCAAGGTTGAGAACAAGACACCTCCGATGGTCCTCGCCGCTGGCGACGATGCGGGTGTGTGGGTTACCGATACCTGGAACAAGGCTGGTACCGCCGCCAACTCGCGGCCGCAGATGCTTATGTTCATCCTACCTGACAAGGACTCCGTCACTTACGGCCGCATCAAGCGCTCCGCCGAGTGTCGCTACGGCGTTGTATCTCAGTGCGTCCAATACGCTCACGCCCAGAAGGCTCAACTTCAGTACATTGCCAACGTGTGCATGAAATTCAACGCAAAGCTGGGAGGTTCAACTTGTCGGGCAGTGGGCAAGACCACCGCTGGTCCAACTGGCATCTTCACCGTTCCGACTATGATCATCGGTGCAGATGTAACCCACGGAGCTCCTGGAGCGGAGGTTCCCTCTGTGGCCGCTTTGACTATGTCCATCGATAAGCTGGCTACTCGCTACGCTGCTACGTGCCAAACCAACGGCTTCCGCGTGGAAATGATTAACACTAACATTATCAACACTGAGCTGAAGGCTATGGTTCAGCACTGGATGTCGGCCGTTGGAAATGGGAAGCTTCCCCAGWTGGTGATCTACCTTCGCGACGGTGTTTCTGAAGGCCAGTACGCCCACGTTCTTAATCAGGAGGTCGCCGACATGAAGGCCCTATTTAAGACGGCCGATCCTGGGAACAACACCAAGTTCATTGCTATCGTAGGCTCAAAGCGTCACCACATCCGCTTCTTCCCCGAGAAGGGCGACAAGAACGGCAACGCTCTTCCTGGAACTTTGGTCGAGAGCGGCGTTACTAACCCATTCGAAAACGACTTCTTCCTTTGCGGTCACAATGCTTTGAAGGGTACGGCTCGTCCTGTTCACTACTACGTGCTGATGAATGAGACCACCCTGGGCAACGACTACATTCAGACCTTGCTCTACGAGCACGCTTACCAGTACGCCCGTGCCACCACTCCAGTTTCTATCCACCCAGCTATCTACTACGCTCACTTGGCTGCTGCTCGCGCGGTCTCCCACGACCCTAAGTGGAACGGCAGCAGTGATGTGGCTCCTGGCTCCACCATCAACAACAACAAGCAGTCCGGTTCTCAGGGCAAGTCTGGTGGCAGCTCCTCTGGTGTGCCGACTGACTACGAGAAGCTGTTGGAGATGCCTCCTACCGGTGGTATCAGAAACTCCATGTGGTACATCTAAAGGATGACAACCGCGACATTTGGAGGCGACGACCGTGACTGCGGGCTGAGAGGATGATTGAAATGGCGGTGTACGATATGCGATGCGATGCAAGATGCATGCTCTGAGCGATGACATGCGGTGCTGATTGACTGATTGGGCCCGAGACTGACCTGAAGGGCTTTGCTGTATGTACTATTTGAAAAGTTGCGAAATGAACAGTTGTCCTTGAGACACACCAAAAACACATCTCCTTCGCTCTTTCAATGTGACATGTACAACGTGCAGGTGATGAGGAAGACCGCACTGGAAAGTGACAAACTCCCCTCCTACCATCGCTGACACTGCAGCAAACAACACTGATCTCGCATCAACGAGAGCGTGGACAGATTCGCATCATCACTTCCAGTGACCTCGACCGCGAGACACAGCATCATCACATTTCGCTCTTTTCAGGGCCCACGGTGCAGAGCATCCTTGGCAAGACACCCTACTCCTCTCAAGCGACGACATGCGATGCGAGCGGAAGCCGATGGCCGAATCCGAGGAGCGCGAGAAATCGAAGATTGAAGGTAGGAAAGAAAGAGCTGGCAAGCACACACACACACACAGTTGAGAAACATCAGGCCAAGGACAAAAGAAAACGAAAAAGACACGCGGACAATCCTGCTCAGACAAGCCAGTCATCGAAAGAGACACCAAGTACTGCTCAAGAAAGACTGTGCGACACCGGAGGGGATTTTTTTTGCTCAGGAACGACGAGTAGAGAGAGGGCAGTGATGACATCTCACAGCAGCAGCAGCAGCAGCAGCAGAAAGTTGTTGAATAATGGCAGCAAAGCTGTCGCGGCTTCCGACCGGTCAATTCTGGTTTTTGAAAGTGCAGACAGCGAGGCTGCTGTGGTGTGAAAAGCAGCTTTGCATCAGGGCATCATTTTGCTGGGACATTGGAAGAACAACCGCGCTTGATTTTGCAGGAGGTTGAGCATGGCGCATGGAGACTTCGTTGCTTGGCTGGGATCCGACAGGAAGCTTCATGCAGAGCTGAGAAAGCTTGGAGCCAGAAGAACAACCGATGCGAATGAGCCAGGCTGAGGGGAGAAACTTCGTCGGAAAAGAGAAACTTCGTCGAAGCTGCCGTTGATCGAGACATCTCGCGGAGTATATTGGAGCTCGAGCCGGTGGATTCGAAGATGGACGTCTGGGCGCTTTGGACAGTCAGGCCATCAACAGACGTTCGGGCTGTTGAGGATTTCAGCGGATCTGTGATCGACATGGGTAGCAAGAGACACGAAGCATGAATGTGCGGCGAGGATGGCGAGGGCCTCCGCGTGGGAGAATGAGCAAGTGAACACCGCGAGGAGACAAGAACGCGCATGGCTCAATGAGACAGACAGTGATTCATGCAATATCCGCTGAGAAGCATGCCATCGGATTGCTGCTTCGAGGTAGAAAGGAACGTCGTTCAGAGCAAGACTACAAATCGATGTGAAAAGCGCTGTTCCAAACTCAGTGGCAGAAATGTGGGAACGCACCTTTCAGCCGAGGAACATTGCGCTTCTTCTGTATCTCCATGGTGTGCGCTACAWGCCTCAAAGATCGAATGACACCCACTCTCTCTTGGGTGGACACTCTGGCATGATGTCGCGAGGAAACTCGCCGGTGGTCCTGACTTGATCATACCACTCCTTCAACAACGCTCCCTTCTCGCCCTCATATGCACTTGGTTCGCCCTCGGTATCCTTTGCAGAGGATGTTGGACCACCAGTCGGGAACCAAACCCTCGTCTCTTTCTCAACGCCATCTTTTCGCACCATGACCATGGGTAGATCGTTTTTGCCCTTGTATATCCTTTGACCGTGAATCACATCCTTCGGGGCTGCTACGCCAGCTTGAGGCGGTTTGTTGCCAAACGCTGAGGGCCCTGATTGCCCTCCAGACGCGGCGCCGAAACTCGAAGCTGGCTGTGTGTTCTGTCCGAGAGTTGAGTTGTTTTGAGAAGTTTGTCCGAAGGGTGACTGGGCCGATTGCTGTCCGAAAGAGCTCTTCCCAAACGCCGAGTTGGCTGGTGCCGCAGCGCCGAATGGCGACGGCTTACCAAAGGCACTCGATACTGCTGGCTGCGCGGGTTGGCCGAACGCGTTCGCGGCAGGTTGATTAGTTTGTCCGAAGGGGTTTGCCGGCTGAGAGGGCTGTCCAAAGGCACTTGCTGCTGGCTGTTGACTCTGCCCGAATGTGCTCGCTGCTGGCGGTTGCGTCTGCCCGAATGGAGTCGCTGCTGGAGGTTGCGTCTGCCCGAATGGATTCGCTGATGGTTGCGAGGGCTGTCCGAAGGGATTTGCGGCCGGCTGAGAAGACTGTCCGAATGGGTTCGCTGCTGGTTGGGAAGGCTGTCCGAATGCATTTGCTGCCGGCTGCGAAGGCTGTCCGAATGTGCTCGTTACAGGCGGTGGTGTCGAACTAAATGCAGACGGCGCTGCTAGCTGTGAGGCTTGACCAAAAGCACTTGTCGGCTGAGAAGGCTTGCCGAAAACACTACTCGCAGGCTGGGACGCTTGGCCGAAAGCTGGCTGGCCGAACGCTGGTTTTACACCTCCCAAATTGGAGGCCTGGCCGAAAGCGCTCGCACCTCCAYCACCTAAAGCAGATGGCTGGCCGAATGGAGAAGCGCCACCGAGGGCAGAGGCTTGACCAAAGCCAGAAGCAGCGGGCTTAGGTTGGCCAAAGGCAGAACCTGCGCCATTTGCTTGGCCAAACGAACTTCCTCCATTCCCTTGGCCAAATGCGTTGCCTTGTTGTGGAGGCACGGTGGGCTTGTTCACCCAGGGAAAGTCTCGATTACTCTTTTGAACATAATCGAGACGGTTGGGATGAACATGCTCTCCCTCCTGGACGTAGCGCTTCGCGCCTTCGGTGTCGTTGAGAATCCTCTGTATCTGCTGTGTCATCTCATTTCTCATTCCGTTCACATGTYGGTCCTGCGTGGATGTCAGTGGGGTGTCCATCGGGCTCGATCACTGCGAAATACCCACGTATGCTTGAAGCTGCCCAGTCGCATTCGCCAAGTAGCACATGACCCTCATCTCCTCCTCGCTCTGCTCTAGCGGACCTTCGAGCAATTGTCGAGGCGCGCCGACGCCAGGTGCGTATGACGAGAATTCCCATTGCGGCCGCTCTCCTTTCTGTGAGTTGTCGGTCAAGTCGAGGCGGATACCATCAGCTGTGACTCCAAATCTGAGGACTTTGTCAGTTCGGCGCAAATGTCAGCTCTGGTGATATTTACGCACTGTGAAGATGTCTGTCCCTGTCCTGCACGATCGTTAGCACTTTTCCATACATTATAACGTGACATATTTGCAGGATGACCGAGTGACAGTGGTGGTGGGATTTGTGTTGAGAGTCCGGATGGGAATGGCTGGTGGGCCGAAATGCATTGGATCCATCCAGCTGACTCAATATTTTGACATCGCCCCTACTACGATAAATGACTGGAACTTACCTCCGTTACCACCAACCGCGCCTGACCTCCCTCTTGCATTGCCAGCCGACGGGTTTTGCAAAGGTGCGAATCGATTCGTATTTGATGATCCGGCCCCATCACCTGGATGTTCGTTCTTACAGCCGTCTATACGCAAGTTAGCATAGCATACCTTACCAATGGTGAAGGGTCTGCTTCGAAATATCTCACCTCCAAATCTGCACCTTCCCTCCAGAAAAAATTTGCAGACATCGCGCCCGCCTCGATTGTTATTGCGATTGTACATTGTAACAACCTAAGGTAGTCCGTCGACAGATCAACCGTCTCGAGGACAGAGTTCCAAAAGTCGCGAAAAAGTGCGGTCAAGACGCGTAGCGCGCGTCAATTTATGTATGAACACCGTGATGAATACTCGATGCAGCATTCAGCAAACATTCGGCCCTTGATCATTCAAATCGAAGATGGAGGAATGTTTTCTGGTCCCTTCCCCCCGACGTACGGAGCAGTGAGGTCCTGGATTGGATTTTACGTGTTGAGGTCCGTGCGCATTGATGGATCAGATCAGATCTTACCTTACTCGTATCAAACAGACGCAATTCATGGTCGTCCCTCTTTCTGAAGATGTTGGAACACGATGATACCTGTCGATGGATCAAATCGATTGAGAGGTCGACTTGATTTCGCCGCTTCTATGTAACCCGTCGACCACGAGCTCCAATCAAAGGCCACGTTCTCCCGACGCCACGCGCTTGCTATAGCTCCAGATTTCTCTCTCTCCTGTCTGTCTGTCTTGCCGGTGAACGGACGTTACCTTAGGTATTATTCACCCCACTCGCCCGACATCAACAGTCCGGACATGAAGACAAAACTTGATGCATCCGGTTTCGATTCTCACAGTCTTCATCTTCTTGGCCGGATACATCAGTGCACGGTGGGATCTCTTCCAGCAGCTCATAGAATTGAGCGTATTCGCTTGGGATCATTCGGTCATTGTACGCCGCCGAACACACTTCGCAGTCTTCCACAGTGCACCCGCAACAGCTAACAGCTACAAAAGACCCGCGCCGCTAAAGGATTCGCTGTTCTGTCAATCTTTTTCGTTCTGATCCTCATTCCTATCGAGCGCATCGCCGCGCGCGAGGCCGAGCTTGTCAGTCTACCTGCCGTGCATGCCGCATTGAAAGCAGGACCCTTCTCTAATCGCTTCCCACAGCATCCACGCACGAAAGAAACCGGAATCTCCGCGCGAGAACAACTGCGACGACGCGGCTCGTTCTAGTTGCTCCCGCGATGGGAGCATGCCCACCCACAGCCATGGGTTGATGCGCGTATTCTGGGCAGAAGACGCGCCAAGAGAGCGCATACCGGGCGTACTTGTGGGATGGAGGAACTCGGATTTGGATGTCCTGGTCRTTGGCGTTTTGCAGGGCGTGGACGTAGGGTCCCTCACGTCTGGCAACGGCAGTGAGCATATTGGTTGACGTTTTGCAGGCCCGAAATGTTGAACATGCTCTGCGCATGCGAACCCTCTTCAGAGGCAGTCMGCACTCCATCGACAAGCTTACGGCACATTGCGGTGGACAGCAGCTGCAAGTTCTGGGAACATTGAACTCGGACACACCGCCAGTGCCATTCGATCCGAAACTACTATCGTTGCATACCGTTCCTCGAAGCAGCACCCCAAGGGTTGATTGCCCTCCGGATGTGCCAATAAACATTCAAATCATCACCTTTGCCAGGCCCGATCCGAGGCGAATGCAGTACCTATCCCTCACCCCGATTTCGCTGGCCCTGGGAGATAAGCAGGCCAGAATTGACGAAGATGAAGAGCGCGAGAAAAGGCGAAAGGAGAGGCTGGTGGAAAAGCTCAGGGAGCACACTGTAGTGCGACATGAGCGTACCGAGAAAGAGCTGGCACTGTATGACATTGTCACCCAGATCAATTGTTCGGCAGAGCTCAACACCCTGCTCCAGCAAAATATAGGCATGGTCGGCGTGAGGACGAAGAGAACAATGAGTGTCAGTGAGCGGGTGGTGGAGTCCGCGAATAATCTCTGGGAATTTGTTCTTCTCTGGTCAAAGGAAGCCTTTTGGCTGCACATCTGGCCGCTCGCCTCCAAGGCGTTCATTCTGTACCTTATGATGCTTCGGATCGCCGCGGAAGGAATCTTACAAGCTCTGGCCTGGCAACCCACGGGACGCACAGCACTTCGCGATATCTCTGCGACTGCGCAGCAAGTCGACATTCGGCTCCAGCAGTTCTGCTACTGGCCCGACCAGTACGTGACCTTACACGCAAGGCGCAACGACTGGGAAAGCATCACCAACAGCCACCCGGATTACATTCGCTTCTTCAACAGTTTATGGCTTGTCGCCAACGATGTCATTATCGGCATTGCGCTCGGGTCTTACATTATCGAGAATGTGGACTTTGTTGCCGCAAATGTGGATCGAATTATAGCCTCGTATTCTATTGAAGACCTACAACAGATGCTCAAATGGCTGGAACGCGACCCAGCTGGATTGAAACTCAACGAGGAGCTGGCTACCTTCCTTGGAGATCTCTTCCTTTGGGTGATTGAGTACTGGAACAACATGTGCATGGTCTATGTCCGTCCGGCATTGCCAATGGTCATCCGTTGCATTGGAGTGTCAAGTTTTGCAGGAGCCAGTCTACCCATTAGCATGTTCTCGGATCTGCTCAGTGTCCTCACCCTCCACATTTACTCTTTTTACATCGCAAGCGCTCGGATTTACAATTGGCAGCTCTCAATCATCCAGTCCCTCTTTCACCTTTTCCGCGGAAAGAAGCGGAACATTCTTCGGAATCGCATCGACAGCTGTGACTACGATCTCGACCAGTTGCTCCTTGGCACAATTCTCTTCACCCTTCTCTTCTTCCTCCTCCCGACCGTCGCAGTATTCTACGCCACCTTCGCCGGAGCTCGTATGGCCATCATCGCGCTCAAGGCGGCGCTGGATACTTGGCTGGCATGTCTGAACCACTTTCCTCTCTTTGCGCTCATGCTGCGCGTCAAGGACTCCAGGCGTCTGCCCGGTGGCATACGTTTCGAATTGCAAGATACCCCTCGCGCGTTGCTTTCTGATTCTTCTGCTGCTGTCAAGGCGGCRCCTACATCGTGCATCAAAATGAAGGTGAGTGCACGATGCGAACAATTTCAGCAACGCGCATGACTGACAGGTAACACAGTCCGTTCCGTTACCGCTCTCCCAGACTTTCTCGCAATACGCACAGCTCGGGCATCGTTTGAGAAAGCACTACCTCTCACCCAAGGTCTTCCTCAGCTTAATGCTTGGAAAATTSGTAAGATGAAATCACTCAGCACATTCTCAAGGCTTTCACTAATCATACATGTATGAAAGGTCCCGCCTATCGAGCGAAAGAATCTCTACAGTCTCCAATACAGTTCCATCGAACAGCGCATCAGTATTCCAGAGCTATGGAATCTTCTGACGAAGGAACCACAGCCCAAGGACGACATTCCCATCCCTGCGAACGGACATCTTGGTCCGATGAGTGCAGCTGGCAAGAAAGGACACCGTAATGCGAGAAGTGGCGGTATCAATGGCAATGTGGGAGGATATTGGTGGAGTAAGTGATGTGAGATGCAGCATGCGTATGTACAAAAGAATGGCAACGATTTCATGATGTGTTTCTCCGCGTATCCTGATTATCGGAATGGTCGATGAAGGGACGTCAAATCATGGTCGATCATCTTGGCCTGTGGTACTCCCGTTCGATCCTCTCAGCGGTAATGGATTGACGCGTAACGAGCTGCCAGTGCAAATTTGGAGCCCATCGGACCAGTTTTGGCGGAGCTATTCGCTGCGGAAGGGCCCAACGTCCAACGCCCAACGYCCAACGCCCAACGCCCAACGCCCAACGCCTAGATCCCTCTTCCTCTCGGATGCATCTCGAGGACGCCTCGGCCGAAACCGCTCATAGGTATTAGGACCAAGGGACCAGCATTCTCCGGAGTGACGGATAAAGAGGCGACTGCGTAGATGACGCAAATCGCATTCGAAAGACGATTTCTACCGTTAATGCTACGTGCATGTCCTCGAGGAAACTGTCGCGATCCGAGGCGAACTTCTTAAGTACCTGGTCCCATCTCAATGCATTCTCTCCAAAGAGTTGGCAGAACGCCTCGCCAGCTCCTTCCGGCCGCTTTTCGCCTCTGCCCGTGCAAAGAGTCCTGCCATCATCTTCATTGACGAGCTGGATGCCATTGGTGGCAAGCGTAACGAGCGCGATGCATCCTACCTACGTCAAACAGACTCTCAACCAACTTGGGGCTAAACTTACTAGGTAGCTAAGGCGGTTAGGAAGGATGAATCGTGGAAAGAAGCCGCGCAAATCGTTGCGAGGGACAACGAGAAGAGCGAGCGGGTTGTGTGCTTTGAACGCCTGCAGGCGATTCTGAGAGCTGCTATGGATAGGCGACGGTCAAGATATGAAGAAAAGCCCTCGTGAGCCTAAGACGGCGACTTCATGGAGGACTGGTATCTTGTCTTTGAAATGGATTCGTTGAGCAATGCCTTTGAGTGTTCGAATGTGCGATTTGACAACGCGAGGTGCGGGAGCAAGAAAATTCCTTTGAACTTTGTCACTGGTGGTGGTGAGAATAGCCTGTCCAATGTCTTGAAAGTAAACGCACAAGACCTCTCCTTCAGCAAGGAGGTCCCGCATTTCGAAAAAAACCATGCCAGGGACTTCCCAGCAACAAACTTGACAGATACGGCTGACCGTGACATTGCAACTAAAGCCAAATTGGAGCAATCACAGCAGGAAATTTCTCGCGTGGACAAAGAGCAGTCAAAATTGGCCCTCGAACAGCGCCCGGTAACGCTTTCAAATCAAGCAGATAAGCACTCGCAATATATATCGAGTATGAGGGTCGTTTTCTTGTTGATAGAGAGAGGCACGCGTGTCTCCATTCACATCTCTATACAACCTCACTCTGCATCCGCCTCTACTTCAAACCAATCCCGTCAAGATTGATTTCTCGCAGAAGATGTTCAGGGCATCCGCTCATCAGCTAATTCCAAGTCCATTAATGGCTCCTTGCTCTTGCTTCGCTGCTCCGCCAACAGTATATCCAGCTCTCCACCGCATCTTGACTGCACTGCCCTTTCCCCTCTCAACGCCTTGTAACCGAATCACCTGTGAGATGCCATTCTGCTGATTAGGTGCTAGACTGCGCGAGGATTGAGGTTCTAGCTGAAGTGTATATCCCTGGTGGACGTTAGCATGTTCACATCTTGACGACGATTGATCCAACTCACCTTCGTGACGGCTAATTGAAAAGTCAGGTCTCCAATCGGCTGCGCGGTAGTATTGCTGATAAAACTTCGGATGAGCAATTCGTTATCAGTAGACCGCGTGATTGTGAAGACGGTCTTGATGGCTGTGTTAGTGACTTCGAGATGGACCTCCTCTGGTTGTGCGGGAAGAGAGGAGCTGAATTCCCATTCGTCGTCGGCTGCTGCGGTCGTGGATGTTCCATTACTGCTGCTCCCACCCATTCCTAGGAGATCCATGGTATTCGAGGATGCTGGTGCAGGAGACTTTGCTGGCGCTGCGGTCTGGAATGGTGAGCTCTGTCGAGATGACGTGTTGAGCGCCGCGAATGGGTCGGCCTTCTTCGATGCTTGCTGTTGCAGACTTGCCGGAATGGGAGTTGCTGATTTTGATGAAGACTGTGACGAAAACAGATTGAAGTTTGACGCTGCAGGGGACATAGCAGATGAAGATGGTGCAGCCGCTTTTGTTGGCTGTGTGGAGAAGATGGAGTTTGGAGCGGTTTGCGAAAACTGGGCCATAATGTCCGCGTTTCCAAGAGAGATTCCTCCTCCCTGGCCGTAGTTTCCATSTCCCATATTCAGTCCAAGAAGATCGTCCTCCAGAGCATTTCCAGCAGATTTCGGCTGTGTTGCTGCTGATGCTTGTGCTGCCGGTTGTGCTTCTGACTCAGCTCCACCGAAGTCAATGAGAGAAAGCTCATTGTCGGGTCCTTTTTGAACGCCCGCTCCGCTGACGCCTAGGGTGCCCTTGGGAATCGCATTCGCCCCTTCTACATCTCCCTTCTTCATCAACTTGTACCTCTCAATAGTCCGATGTATCGAGTCGTTGATTTCAAAGAGCTTCGCCACGGCCTCTGTATCTTCGCTTTCCTCTTCGCACATTTTCTGAATCTTCGGGTGTGCTGACGCCAATGCATTCGCAAGCTCCTCAAAGACGTCGCCCTCTTTGATCTGATCGCCAGCCTTTTGATCCTGCAGCATCTCCTCCAGTAAGCGGGCTTTTTGCTGAATCCTGCTCACCTCCTCCGCAGCCTTGGCTCGATAGTCCGTTTTATGCCGTGTGTCATAGCCAGCCATGACTTTCATCAACTTGTTGGCCTCCTGCAAATCATGTGGGGTTCCACGTCGAATCAACTCCTGCAACTTTGCGCTCTGACTCTCCCTCTCCTCTGCCTCCATTTCCTCCGCACTCTTCAAGTTGTCTGACGGATTCAGCACAGCAGCATCCTCGCGACTGATCTTTGGGAACTGGTAGCCCTTGTAGTGCAGTAGCCTATGCATGTCCCTCACAAAGCCCAGATCCTCCTTGTATTTGCTGGTCTCACAAATTGTCCGTCTCCATTCCTCAATCAACTCCAAGATCTTATTCTGCACGCGCGTCGTTCGTAGCGGTGGACGCTCGGGAAACCTTCTAACGAGCTCATTGAGGAATTCTTTGGTGGATATCTGAAGGTGGAAAGGGTAGCCGCAGTTCTTGACGCAAATATCCAGGAGGCTCAGAGCCAACAAGCTGACGTTCGGATTGCGGTGGTTGATGAAGCCGACTATCGCTACCGCTGCTTCTCGTGGAGCGCCGCCCTTTTTGGCATTGATCAGGTCTGCAATCTCCAGTGAAAGCGCCAGATTGGGCTCAAAGTTCTCTGGACTGCATGCATTTTGAATATATCGCTGAAGTGGTGTGGCAGCGGGTTCGGCGGGGAATGCGAATCGATCTCGCGCCGCGTATCGAGCGCTGGCGGCTTCCATTGCGGTGGTGTCGTGGAGCGTGGAGGGTCTTCCTGCCCCGATCACTCTGGAGACAGATGCGTGTGCGATTTTGGTACGGACCTGGAAGACAGATTTTGCGCTGCTGACTAGGAGTCTGCGTGCTATGGAAAGTAAAGTAAGTGAGTCCCAGGTCGAAGCTCCACCTAGACGTTGACGTCGCTCGCCAAGGCGCAGCAGTTTGGATGATCGGGACTGCACAACTTGGAGAAAGAGGAACAGAAACACAAACAAGGTTGGAAACTGAATTACTCACAGAAGGCGAGTGGTCGATCACATGTAGTCGCCGGTGACCAGATGTTACCGCATCGCGAAACTAATTGGTGGACAACGACACAAGACAGCAAATGGTTCATTGACATCCTAGTCACTAACCCCTCCACTGCCTACGCTCCCGCCATCATCATCGCCGAGAATCTGCTCGCCGACCTGGAAGACATTTTCCATGGCATCGTTGAACAGCGCTGGACCCCATACTTCATCCTCTCTCCCTTTGCCCTTACGACTTAGCTTCTTTCCCTTGCCTTCACTGTAATTGTCGAAGAACTCCTCATAAGTCATGATGACTTGATCCCTCACAGCAGCAACCAGAGTTTCTCTGGTCCTCGCATCATCCACAAAAGCCTCGAGTTTGGCCCGCAGAGCAGGCACATCCTTTTCAGCAAGCCCACGCACTGTGCGGACAGCCTTGAGAGGATCGAACTGGTCTTTCGCCTGAGCTACTGCACTGCTTTCCACAGGTGCTGTGATGTGGATCGCGTAGCCGTTGACTAAATCGTTAATAACCGTCCGGAGGCGACCATCAAGCTCAGCTTTTGCGTCGAGCATATTTTCCACGACTTTGGGAAGTAGTCCTCCTCCCACAGCGCCGCCAACTAGGCGAACCCAAGAAGCTGGATTCCACAAACTGCCGCGTTCGCGAAGTTCATAGAAGGTGTTTGTGTATGAGGAGAAATCAAACTCAACCTCAGTCGGAACAAACTCGATGTCAAATGCGACGATTTGCTGTTTAAGGTGGAGAAGATGTATGATCAGGAACAGCTGACCGTCTTGCAGGGCTCGCTTGGAGCTTATCTGCTGACTGGCGTACATCAAGGAGGCGATTGTTGAGTGCACGATTCGGTGGGCGAGATCGTCAAAGACCGTGCTGTTGACGAGCCGATAGATGCGACGGAGGAGCCAGATTGCTTTCCGAAGAGTTGGGTACCAGTGTCGGGTGGAGGACACGCTGCCTGCAGTTGAGAACTGCTTGCTGAACACACTTTCTGCATCGTCTCCCACATCTTCTATCACGTCCGGTGACTTCGGGGCAGGCGCCTTGGGTCCAGACGCGGCGCGCTTTCCCGACAGTGCGGGTCCGGTCTTGTGGCCGTTCACCCCTTCTGCTGCAGCGCGTGGAGTAATTTCGAGATCCTCTGGTTTGGGCTGGTATTTCTCAATACTGTCTCGCAGAACATTCAGGGCCAGAAAGACGAGGCGAGTCTGCGCATCTTCCAGAGCAGGATGTATCAGACTCCCAAAGTCAAGTCGCCTCCCCGGATGTCGACCAGCAACAGCAGCACTTTCAACATCTTCGTCTTCATCCGAATCCACGTCCATGTATCGGCCCTGTATCATGGCGCATAAGTCACACAACTTCTCCATTTTCATTTCGTGGATCGTTCTGGGTCGCAGATGATCATACATGGGCTCCAGCAGGCTTTCCAGAAATTCATACAGAGCCCCCTCGGTCTCGAACCATTCGAACCAAAGGTCGTATTCATCCAGAGCAATGCCACGCACGAAGCCAAGACATGCTTTGGCAAAGGCAACAACATCCATTTGTTGATCAATTGTGGCCAGTTCGTTCATCTTCTTCGCTACCAGGGGCAAGATAAGTCGGCCACGTGTTGCAGCGTAGGATTGATATAGCTCGCGAAGTAAGCTGAGATACTCCGGCTCCCGTCCAGCGTCGACATCGTCGGGGGTGGGTACGGCTCGTTTTTGAATCTCCAACCCAAGTGCTTTCAACTCTGGAGCAGGCACACGAAATTTTGCGTAAAGGAGTGCGGAGTGAGTCGTCTCGTTGAGCTGCCCGGCCTGAACTCGCTTACTGATGTCCGCCGCAATCTCGCCCAATGACTTTGTGAAGTAGTGGCGTATGAGTGTCAAGCCTCGAGTCAGCAATAGGCGATATCGACTCCGATAGGTGGCAGACTCCTTGTGCGATGGATGTGACTCCATGTATGCCAGGCAGTTATCCAGATTGGAGAGCATTTCGGAGAAGTCCTTCCCCTTGACGAGATTCGCAGCTCCTGGAGCGTTGAGCCTTCTGGTCATCGGTTCGAGGTACGCATAGTACTGTGCATTCTCATCGATGGCGTCCGCGAGTGCTGTGAGTCTCCTCTGCTCTGTCACAAGCGATTCGCATTGCTGGCGAAATGCTTCAGTCTGCGCCTCAACGGCCTTGAATGAGTCGGAGAGTGTTGCCAAGAGTTCGAGGGTACTGGTCGTCGACACTAACAGATTGTCCAAATGAGCATCTGATAGTTCCAGCTGTTCTTGGTACGTTTGGTATCCCCAATGGCTTTCCTCTAACAGCTGATCCTCCAGTGCTTCGAACTCGTCTTCAAATTGCAAATCTGCACTTGCCGAGATCGTAGAGCTCTCTCGTATTTGCAAGCTCATTCTCTTCTTCAACACGGCCTCTTTTCTGGTGTATGCGTGCACTGCATGGAAGAAGTCGTGATAGCTCCGCGCTCTCCGGGCGACAGAAGCTTTAGGTGGTCCACTCCAGGCATCATCTTCCTCTGCAATCTCTTGTATAGACTCTATCGCTACCTCAGATTTCTCCTCGGCCTACTTCGCAATCAGAATGGCACGGCTGCTGGGCGAAAGATGGCTTACTGGCTGCTGAAGCAGTGAAGCTCTTCGGGTATGCTGAGGGGGCTCCTTGGTAGCTGCTGGCAGCGATGTGAGATTATGGAACCAAGCATCGTCCATTGCGTTGTATCGGCAGGGATGAACTGCCCATACATCAGGACATTGACAAGCTGTACACAATCTCGCAGCGAGTGACGTTCGGCGGCAGAAGTCCAGGTTCTATCCCGCTGCTAAATTCAGCGCCGCCTTGCTCCACAATCCACGACTCCACGAGTTTCCGCCAACCGAAACTCTCTTCGACCTCACTCCTTTGAAGGCTTCTCCCTCGCTTGAGCCACCCTCGCCACATCGGTCTCGCCCAGTCACAATGTGTGCCTGCTCAACAACAGAGTCATGACCCACTCATTCGTCCCGTTGCAGCGCAATGCAATCTATCATCGCGGAGGCGGCCTTGGGTAGCACACGCCTCCCGCGTGTCTAAAGCGAACGCAGAATGCAGGCGAGGATGAGGGTGTCCCGGCTACATGCATGTTCGAGGCCCTCATGCCCTTTTGGGAGCTTCGATGGCTCTATTGATAGTATAAAGACCAAGGACTCTCTTTCCTACGAAGATGTTCTATTCTCTCAGCTCGTTCCACGGTGTCCTTCCCCGCATCGTCTTTCCTGATATCGCTCGCTCCGTCTGTAAACATGGATCCATACCAATGGCAACAGATTCAGCTACAAATGCGCTCGCAAGGGTTCAATCCAGCCGACCCTGATCATTATGACCGCTTCCTCCAAAACGCTCGACAACCAGTGTACGCTACGAACCGGACGGGACCTCCTGTCAACGTCACACGAGGATGGGTTGTAATAGAGAAACGCGGAATCTTCGTCAAAAATCTGTAAGTGCTGGGGGGCTAAAGCGGGGATGATCACAGTTTCTGCTTGAACCTCCTCAACACGGGTCGAATCCAACCATTACCAAATGCTTACGCCTGCACAGCAACTTCAAAGCCAACGAGGAAGCCATTTCCAATTATTTCATGCGCGCTGGCGTGATCCTCAGCCTTGACCTTCAACGAGACCATCAAACCAAAAAGTCCAAAGGGAGCTGCGTGATCATGTTCGACAGCGCCAAATCCGCCCAGAGAGCTATCAACATGTTCGACGGCAAATCTTTCATGGACATGCGTTTGCTCGTGCGAGAAGTCAAGGAATCCACAGCTGTCCACACCCCATCTGCAGCTCCCGCTCCTCCTTCACAGTCTACCGCTAGAAATGCCGGGCCGCCACTTATTGTTACGAGTACCCCAAGGCAGAGCAGACGCACAGCTCCTCGAGATGGTCAACTTTAGCCGGCGCGGGTATCATATGCGGTTCTGATAGCGCGAGAGATCAAAATCAACGTGGAAGCTTCGCGAGCGGTCTAGTTTCACATGCGACGTGGTCGCCAATTGTTACACAGCGTGAACTGCAAAACAAGGCAGGGCGGCTGCTAGTTGGGGTGGTGTGCTTGAGAATCTGGGTTGGCAAAAGAAGATTATGATTGAATGAATTACGTTGCAATTGCGCTCGCCATCGATTGTGTCCATCGTGTCGAAGACGCCTTGATTATTGTCATCATCTTCACATGTCAACACGCAAGCAGAACGCAGTCATCCATCAGCCCTGAAAGTAATGCATCGAAGACTTGCATGCGATCTCATCACGACAGCAGCAGCTACCCGCTGTCACATTTTCGTGCTGCCTTGGGTCCATGCGAACAAGAAGTCATGCCATAGCTGCAAGATATCCCCGCTCAACCGGTTGTCTTCCCGTGGTCTCACGAGCCAAAAGAGTGTAGACGGTCCGATGTCGTCCGACCTGCACGTCAACAGCTTTTTGTAGTACAGGAAGTGGAATGACATACGAGATACGTATTGACGAGGGCTAGACCTTTCCAGGAGCCTGGTATCTGGACGATCGCTGTTGGGTCGTCCAATGCCTCGCCAGGACATAGCCGCGAAATTAATGAGCTCGCCTCTCGCTAAGGCACGTTGGGGAGGCGACAGTGGAGAATGTTATCCGATTCTGCCTGGCAAGAGGACGGTCTCTGGCGCACGCTGCATGCACGAGAAGAGCTGAATGCCGTGGGACATGACTCCGAGTCTGGAGAAACTGTGGAGTCGGCATCAGCTTCAACCACTTTCAGTTACTGTCGTCTGTCGTGAGCGGGTGCTTGCTTTAAGTTGCGGACCTAATCTTCGAATGCTGCTATCCATATACCTGGTTTCTTGTTGGCCAAAACAACCAAACGAGACTCTGGGCTCAACTCCGAAGGGGCGCTTACACAGATCGTCGCCTTGCTACCTTATCCACGACACCGCTGCGGCCCATCACCCGATCGTCTCCTCTGGGCGGCTGTACAGGAGATGCATGTTGTATGCGTGCCGCTGCTCAGTTCTCGTGCGGCTTGACATGGCACGATGGTGCATCCAGATGATAGGTTTAAGGAACGTCCAGGTCAGAGCTCCACTGTGCCCTTGATTGTAAGGTTTTGACCCCGATGCAAAAGGGTTGGCAATGCGATCTGAACCTGTGYCGCGTGCAGGTGGCCTGCAGACTGTGTCGCATGGCATCGGGCGTCGTGAGGAGATCGCTACATCTATAGTTGTTTGACATGTTTTGACCAAGTTCGCTCCCAAATCGGACTGCCGAGAGAGGGTTTGGGCAGTTTGATAGGCTACGGGTGAGTTCTTCCGGGACATTGCTGGATGTGACGGGCCGACTTTCACGTTGCACAAAGACTGATTTTGTAGGCCATACCTAGGTAGCAAGCCTCGCTTTGGCCGAGGTTGTAGCTTGTGCATATGAAGCCACCACTGGGACCATGGCTTACCTGTCGATTTGGGAAACGGTCGACGCGCCTCATCCTTCACGCGAGATCAAAATCGGAGCCTCCTTGTTGCGGGTGCCGCTGGAATTGTCCGTGATTGCGCACGAGAGCGGTTAAACATGCACTTCCTGTACAGCCGGTAAGCGTCGCACGAATTCCAAGTATGGAGCATTCTGGCAAGAGTGTATTCGAATTCATGCAATTCAATGAACGCTACCTGAGCTGTCGTCTCCTGCGTAATTCAACCGTGGAACGCCTCGCAATTCGTGTCAAAATGATCGCTCGCTATAACTGACTGTGACTGTGATTATTTAAACGCTGTGCTCTGGAGTCTCATTCTCCGCAACCACAGCAACTCCAAGACCCCGATCTGGTGACGATCTTATGAGCGCCTCTTGCCTTCTTGCTCTCATGAAGTCGGACGCAGCTCGAATGAGGATGAACCAGCCCACAATCATCAAGAAGTATGAGAGCCAGTCGGTTGTCGACATGCCGCCGTCCGCGCCTCCATCCTTTCCGACATCCGAGGGATCGAWGTCGTGAGCATTGGGGTCGTCTGGTACTGAACCATCTCCCGGCACACTGCCTGGGGCGTCGGGTGCAGTATCGGCAAGATTGGAAGCTGCGTAGCGCATCTGGAAGCCATATTGTACAAGAGTGATTCCCAGTCCGGCGCGAGAGCCATGTTTCGCCGCGTGCGTTGTGTGTAGCAGATAGGTCAAGAGGAAGCCAATGATTTGGAACGACGTGGATATCAGACCATTCCAGATAAAAGAAAAAAATGAGCCCACAAGAAGGCCGTCGACGAATACATCATCGGGGTTGCCAGTAAGATTGTAGGGAGATAGAACGTGCGTTTCCCAGTAGGGCGGCGTCGCGTCCGCAGAAGCTTCTTCGTAGGTCTGTGGGATATAGTTCAGTATGTGTTTGGTCTGTGGACCACTTTACAATGTTACTTACCGGAGGCTTCTCCTCCAAGTCCTCGCCGACTTTAGGCTTGGCGCTTATGTTTGCAAAAACCCCATCGTTGGCCTGGCTGCCTCCTCCGACTACTCGCCCGCTGCCTCCTGCCGGCACCGCGTTGGTGAATGTCGGTATCGCCGTCACCGTCCTCGCTGGCGCATCGGGTCTTGGCGCTAGCGTGGCGCTCGGGCTGCTGCTGGTGGAGTTTCCCATCAGCCTCCTACGGTCTCGGGTGTCGTCATCGTCGTCGTCGGCATCGGAAGGTGCATCAAATGCATCGTCGAGGTCGCGCTCCTCCTCGGAGCTTTGGCGGGCGGTATCGCGTGAGTGGCGGCGGGATGAGGGGTGCGAGCGAAAGGACGGAGGTGGCGAGTTGGGAATGGCTACAGGTGTATTCGCTAGGCCATGATCTTCATCGTCGTTGTCTAATGCTGCGACCTGCATCACACGTTAGTATGTGTTGAGGGGACCGTCATTCTCCAGGAGCCATGCGAGGAGGCGGCTATCACTCACTCGTTCGTAGCGCTGGGAGCTCATGGCTCACGCTGTCGCGGTCTCAGGGCCAGTCGATGCACAATTTGTCGTAAGTAAAGTTGAAATCTGTCTAGAGCGTAGACGTAGAGAGTAGAAGTAGAAGGCAAGGAAAGTATGGGGTGTGGTGTATGGCGGGTTGGAAGTGATCTCGCAGGTCATGATGTGTGGCGCAGGCAGCGTGTCTCACCAGCGCCGATCGGATAGATTGTCCGGGGTACGAGAACCCTATCAGCAGCCAATGTAAAATTCGCCAGTTGCTTTCTTTGTATCTTGTGGACAACTCCATTTATCGCACATAGCTATACTTGTCATCCATTGACGTGAATAGAACGGGTTTTTGGACTTGCCATCATGGGTCTCATCGATGACGATGACGATGACATCCCGTGAGTTGATTGTGATTCCCATCTGCATGTTCTTGCTGACCCTCGCGCAGCCAATTGTCAGCAGATACTCTCAAATTGTTGCAAGAGTTCAATACCGAAAAGGATGAGCGATCGAAACAGTTCGAGGCCTTGAAGACCAAGTCTGAAAATGAGAGCAAGCTATCGATGGATCTGTTTGGGGAGGACTGGAATGCAAGCCAGGTACCGAAGCATTATTCATTCACGACATGCCAATGTCTTCTAACGCGATTCCAGTTCTGGTACACCGATCAGACTGCGCGCCTGTTGGCCCATGAGCTACTCAAAGATGCCACCCCAGATTCTGCAATCGCAGTTGTCTCCACGCCTTCTGTGTATGTCGCGCTTCGCAACATTTTGTCCGAAAACCCAGACCTCCCTCGCCCACAGATGGCGCTACTAGAGTATGACCAGCGATTTGAAGTCGTCGGTCCGGACTTCAAGTTCTACGATTACCAGCACCCTCTACGACTTCCAGCCGAGCTCAAGGGAAAGTTTGACAGGATCATAGTCGACCCGCCGTTCCTGAACGAGGACTGTCAAACCAAGGCGGCTTTGACCGCACGATTCCTTGCGAAGAATTGGGATAGCGGCTCTGTTCGATTCATCTCTTGCACGGGTGAGCGAATGTCTGGTGTGATTCTAAAATTGTATCATGGAATCGGGGTCAAGACCACTACGTATGAGCCAAAGCATAGCAAGGGCTTGAGCAACGAGTTCTGGTGTTATTCCAACATCAGCGATACCGAGGAGTGGAGCTGGCGCGAGYTTTGAAATCATGAAGACTGGCCCTATCATTGCAGTGCGAATGACTAGATTCCCTCCCAAAACAGAGCTCTGACATTATCCAATGTGGGGGAATAGTCAACGTCCACCGCAAGAGAAGACAGATGATCGCATGTGAACGTCTTGGCAAAGGGACTCCAACGCTCGAGGCAAACGTCTCCCGCATCTTAGCGTGCTTTCCAAATTGGTCGAGAAGTCGGTCCTCTGCGGCGCCTCGAAAACTCCACTTCGACATTGACGATACCTCAGATCGAGCGCCGCTCGAGAGGTCCGAAGCTCGCCCTCAGCTTGATGCAAGTTTCCGCACTACGCAAACAGCACCTACGTTCTCCGCAGTCCAAAGGTCTGCGAGGTCTGGATCCTGGTAATGCCGGACTTCCATCAGTTGCTCCTGGGCCAGGTTTTTGTGTCTCCCGTCCGCAACACCGGCCGTCGATTTTCGGTTTCGTGGCCATGCCCAGCATCTCCAGCATCAGAAGATTGATCTTCTACTTCTCAAATTGAAAGTGAATATCGAAGTTGACGTAAACATGCACATCATATTGGATTGGCCGTGAGCTGCCGCGCCGTATCATTCAAGCAGCAAAAGCCCGCGTAAGACACAGGAAGAAGTACAACCCAACCAGAAGCTGCAGCGTCTATCGCGCGCTCGAAACGTGGAAGACAACGCAAAAGCAGGCACAATGATCGGAAATAGGACCCTAGGGAGAGAGTATGGACACACAGACACACACCTCAGGCATGTGATACAACAGGGGGTGCGCAGTCACAGTGTACGCCTGAGACAAAACATGATATCCAGCGGACTTCTGGCATGTGGTTCCGTCATACTTCTTTGGCTCTGCCGGAACAGCTTTACGGCCAGGTCGGGCAAGCTTGACCGCTTCGGCTAATTCGGCCGACAGCAATATTCCAGAGAGTACAATATCCTCGAACATCAGTTGTTACAATTCCAAGAAAACCCTCAAATCGTCTGTCTTTCAGCAAGCGCGACATCAAAATGCAGACAGCAGTAGACGCGGCAGGAAATACACGCCTTAGAGCTTCCTTGGAGCGATCAGCAGCAGGCGGGGCGCCCAGTATTGGCCAATGGTTAGAGTTTCCTGGCTATACACTCGCAAGGACTGTAGCTTCATTGGGCAGTGATTGGGTGCTCATCGACTGCGAGCATGGAAACATTGACGATGCCGCCATGTATCACGCCATAGCTGCTGTGTCCACCGCTGGCTCCAGTCCCATCGTCAGAGTTGCTGGAAGTGAAAATTGGATGATCAAGCGAGCTCTGGACGCCGGAGCACATGGCATCATGGTCCCGATGTGCGAGACTGTCGTCTGTCGAGACCCAGAGGKCAAGCTGTAATGCAAAGTGCTAACGAGCGTGTTAAGGAGCAAGCAAAAGCGGTGGCTCGTTTCGCTCACTATCCCAATGCGTCCTTTCCACAAGGGACTCGTGGTTGTGGCGGACTCTTTGGTAGGCTACCCGATACCTTACAGTCTATTACAGTCGTGCTAACGGGCTATGCCAGCCAACGCCAGCTTCAACGCCTCTCCTCAGGACTATCTGCGCCACGCGAACGAGCGCATAACCGTGATAGTGCAAATAGAAACACGAGCGGGAGTTGAGAATTGCGAAGAGATCGCCGGGGTAGATGGCATTGACGCTCTGTTTATTGGTCCGAACGATCTCGCTTCCAGCCTAGGTCACTTTGCCTTCGATCATCCCAAGATTGCTGAAGTCCAGGAGGCGACCTCGAAAGTTCTGGCTGCTGTCAAAGCAAAAGGCAAATTTGGCGGTCATTGGTGTACAGKAGCCGACCAAGCCGCAGAGCGTCTGAAGCTTGGCTGGCATTTTGTGAATTGTGGAGCGGATATCGTAGCTATTACCGGATGGATGACCGCCGAAATGGCGAAGTTGAAGCAGCTGACATCCAGCTGAGATATGCAGGAGGCCACGCAGCGTCGACACGACGGATCATAAACATTAGCAGCGCCCTCAACTTCTCTCACCATTAAATCACAAGTCGCTCTGCTGGTAGCAAAGGTTCTAGCAGCTCCAGAATCGTCGACCCTGCACGGGGCAAGATCTCAAGCGGTGTGAAGGTGACCGAGGGTATCTTGTCTCGCTAACATATTCCTCATATTCGCAGCTCTTAGAGGGTGCCGTCGTCCTCAGACTCCAGACTAATCAATTCAACTTCGTCAGTAATCCTTCGTCAATAAGCATCGATAGGCTCATGAGCATCATCTGCATCCCAAAGATATGTTCGCCCAAACTCCAGCATGCATTCTCCCATCTTCGCCCACCAGTCATGCAGCCTGGTAGACAGAGATGACGATGGTCATGAACGCACACTTTTGCCCAGGCCTCCCAGAATCGGCCTTGCTCGACAGCTCGACCGATATCCAAGACATCAATCTAAGCCTCGCCACCGCATGCAATATTCCATGGAAGAGGAAAGTCACATTCTGTGCAGCAAGTGCTATCAGAGAAAAGATCAAGGAGCGCAGCATCTCAGGACCTTCTTCCCTGTTATATCTCGTGGACGTCGCGGCCGTGTCACGAAATATTGGCAAATCTCACGACAATCATTTAAATTCCACAGGCCGTGTCACTGAAGACACTTTTACCTCCATTTGCCATTTCGATCTTGTCGAATTTTGATCGCCTTCCCCTCCAAAAAAAAAACTCTTGCCGCCAGCGTGGGTCTCAGATCAGCACGGATGATCTCACTGGTGGTGGCCGATCGAACTTCTAACAAAGGTCAGCAAGGGGTTAACGTAATTGTGCAGTTTGGGGTGAGTCTCCTACCTTCAGCTCTGGCATCGGTTATGGCAGAGTGGGCTGCTGATCATTGCGAAGGAGGAGGTTGAGGAAGGCGATGCGGATCTGAGCATGCCCCATGGTTGAACAATGGGAGAAAGGGATTTTAGGTCGTTCGAATTTATAAAACTTCCGTGGGCCGGCTGCGAGGGTTGGTAACTTTTGACTCACATGTCACCTGCACCAGATGTGCTGCGTGTCATCAACTCGCCTCTTCTTGTTCGCTCAATCGAGATCACGGCCCTGAAAGGATTGGATAGCTGCGATGGGCTGCCCGTGATTAAGTCAGTCGTGATGGTTTCAAATGAGCTCGGCAGTCGCATCGACAAATCACTTACAACATACGTGTATAGAGCAGTATCCTTGCCATGCATAGGCCATGACTTTTGTAGCATGTGTAAAGACACGCGTTCCATCTTCCCTAATCGTTGCCTCATTGTCGATCCTACACCTCGAAGAGAACGCAGCTGGAGGAATAGAAACGCAATGTGCGAACATGATGTATGAGACGGGTAGAAGCATATCGGAAACGAGCTCTCACAGCCACTTACAACATGGCCTCTCCATGTTCACCCTGAGGCTGACGGTAGTGTACAAGTAGGTATTGTTACATAGTCAGTACACCAAAATCCACGATCCTCCACCATGCAAAGCGTCCGCATCGAGCTTACTTTTTCCCATCATCGGCCTCCTCCATTACATGTAATACCTTGGCTCGTTGAACACGTGATAGCGGTGATCTCTCACTCCCTGTCCCTTGAACATGGCTGGGAACCTATACGCCTCTGGGACCTGCTCTTCAGATATCATGTCATTGGTGCCTTCAGGCTGTCCAACAATGAATTTGCCAACCTATCATCCATAATTAGCATTATTTCGTTGCCAGTATACTCTCGCAAGAAACTTACCTGCAGCTCCGTGTCCGTGATAGTGCTCCGACTAACACGAGCGTAACCGRTCCTCCTCATGCCCTTGTAGAGAATGTACTCGCACCAACGATCCCAATCGCTTGGATCCACGTCTCGCATGCCGCTCCTCTCAGAAACATACGTATTATAGTTGCCCTGCTGAGGCTTTGTCACGAGGTAACTGAGCAGAATGCTAGGTCTTGGACTCGCGCCCATCAAATCAGCCAGATACTCGCTCTGTAGCCGTCGGTCTTCGGGATCCTCTTCCTGGCCCGAGTGGAAGACAAACACATCGATGAGTTCGTCATAAGCGAGGATTGTCGCGTGAATGGCTGGTGCAAGCTCGCCCACGGGACTGGGTAGGAGATGATGCGTCGAGTTGATGATGGGGAATTTGGAGAGGAGTGCTGCGCCCCAGGTGTGCTTGTTGGGACCCGGACCGTAGTCAACGTACATGCCGAGTTCCTCAGCAAGGTATTGTGTCGTGTCACGATTGCCCATGATGATACGCTGCAGGTCGCTCTCCAGCAGACCTACCAGATCAAGCTCGGTCTCGCGAATCAGCTGCTCCATGCGACGCTCCGAAGACCAGAGTCCATTGTCAATGCTGAAGTGGATGGTCCAGATCCCGGCCGTGATGAGCTTGGCGTCTTTGTGGTACGGCTCATAATTGTAAGTTGGGAAGCGCAGGTACGCAACGCTTGCACTAAGGAGCTGCAAAGCTAGTAGCACATAAATGTAGTAGCTGCGCTGCCTCCGCGCGGCGGGGTTTTGAGGTGGACGGAAAGACTTTTGCTTGGCTGGGGGGCTGTTGTGTTGAGAGGAGAAGACACCTGCTCCAATCATTATCATCGTTGTAGCCATTACCCAGTCGGTATGCTCTCGGACAAGTGGACCGCCTGGAACAAAAGCGTATGCGACCACCCACACATGGAACAGCACCATGAAGTTGTAGATGAAGAAGCCAAGAAAGAAAGTTCGGCCTGGGGCGAAGCGGACGGCGTTTGAGATGAGAGACGGCGTAACTGCCATTAGGTAGATAGTCAGGACAAGACCACCGTAGTAGCCCGTCCAGTGGCTGAAGCATGTCAGAACCGCAGCACCGATGGAACCGATTCCAAAGACACCCCAGCTACGAGCAACATTGGGATAGAACTGTCCGAGGACCAACCCGATTGCCATTGCGAGTATTGTCCAGGCTCCATGCGGACTCGCAAGCGGGCCTCGGACCGGGTAACCCTCCCAGACCCAGAGAATCATTGTGCTGGAGTCTGAAAGCAGTGAATGAAGGCCAAAGAAGCACCCGCCCAATCCGAGGGCTGCGAGAAGCGACGACCCCTTCGCCTTGGGCTGTGCTGGAGCGCTGTCAATGTTCTTCGAGTCCACCTGGTACGCTCGAGCGAGAGCTAGGAAGAACAGGACAATTCCGGTCTTGTTCAAGCCACCATTCTCCGCGTGCATGATAGGCCAGATGGGATTGTTCGTCCAGAAAGCGAACTTGGCAACGCTACTAGCGATCAGGCCGATCAACCACGCGGAGACTCGGGCTTCCAGCATCGCCGGGCTGTTGCGGTAGCGATGCCACGCTGCAGTCCAAGCGAGGCATCCCTGCCACACAGCAAAGCTGACGGCTGCCAAGCGATACTCTGGCTTCTTGACCTGGTACGCAAGAAGACCGGAAATGGTGGTCAGCAGCACGGTTGGAATGGACTTGGAGAGAAATCTTCGGAGGGGAGGGATTCCAAGAAGGAAGGGCGAGATGGTGGACATGACAGCAACCTCGTAACCTGAAATACCCATGTGCCAGAGCGGGAAATACCACACGACGACACCCAGGGAGGTGAGGATGGTCCAGAATGTGAACTGGGATATGGTCAGCATCCATGATCTCCCTCGGGTCGGTCGATCTTACACCAAGATACACATCCGCAGCCGCATCAAGCATTTCGCCCCAGGAGAAGCGGGTGTCAAAAACCTGAGCCACAGGCTTGCCCTTCTCCTTCTCGAACACCTCATCCGCAACTCGTCGCTTGTCCCTGTACGAATATACCATATCAGCTCTTGCATCCGTGTGATGAGCGAGCTCACCGTACCAGCTATTTTGGAAGCCGCTGCACGTACCCTCTGCTCAGACCCTTGACGTCTTTGACGACCAGCTCAAAGCTGCTAAAGTCCAGGGCTGTTACAGCGTCAAACCCAACATCGAGAAGAACGAGAGCCCATTCGAAGAAGGCGTAGATGGTGTATGCTGCGACAATGATCAGTTTGAGGGTGTCCGACCTGCATGTTCGTTTGGAAACGCACCTCCTGGCACACGATGCACTTTGTGCTGGATGAAGAAGTATACCAGAGGAACCAAGGTCCCAAAGAAAGCACCAGCCAAGTACTTCCTGTACTTGATGGCTTGTGGGTTGGGTGGGCTCAATGCCAAACATCCCAAGGTCCATGGCAGCGTAGCCACCAAATAGCTGATCATGAAAATGTCATGCCAATCGTGATCATCCGTGCTCGTCACATATGTCCATCCTCCACAAGTCAGAGTACGAAAGACACCCACGCCAGCAACGAACTTGGGCAGTGAGCTATTCGGCCTGTTGGCTAGGCAGTACCACAAGAAGACCAGGGCGAATCGTGGACCCGAACAGATGGCGATAAAGAGCTGAAAGACGGTGCGTTCGGGATAGCGATCGCCAATGGTTGCGCTTACGGAGGGGAACCATTCGATGGGATAACCAAAGTGCTCATTCTGCACAATTTTGTGGTAGTGAAGCGCCATACCGACGATCAACGCGCCGAGGAAGGCGCCATATGCGGTAATCGTGTGCATGTGCGAAATAAAGTGACCGGGAATCTAGGCAAGGCGCGTGTGAGAGCTGCAGTTGGCGGATGGGACGGGAATCGCTTACCACGGCGACGACATCGCCGTCGCGGTGTTTGGGAGGCATCCTGGATCAGAGCTTCCCGCCGCGGGTGGTGACAAAAGAACGACAAAGAAAGGGAGGTGAACACGGTGGGTGTGATGAGATGGGTTAATGTTTCTGACACTTGGAAGCTGGAACGCGTGCTATGAAAGTGCTCCTGAGATCCTTGCAATACGAGGCCGAGGATCGGCAGTTTTCACGTTCCGCATCCCGCGTCCCGCGCATTGGGTACAACGATGTCACATGCAAAACCTGTTCGTCGCCTGTATTGTATGAAAATTTCGGTCTGCTGGGCTATGGTTGGTGTTCGACGTAACCTTTGCTGCCACCGTTGATGCGACTCGGATGGACTTCTGTGGGTAGTTTGCACGTCCGGGCGGTCCTTGTCGAAAAGTTGCGGTGCTGAAATGTGGATGATGTTCTGCATATACAGACGCGAAATATATTTCATCAACAATTTAAACAATATACTCAACAGATACACCCGTAGCTGCATGTAGCTTTATGAAAGATGTGTGCTGATATGATCAATACACGCTACGCCTTTATGATGTGAATGAACAGCGGTCGAACAGATCAACATACTACTACCCAAACCCTAACCCTACGCGTTCTCGGAACGTGGCTGTAGCGGAGACGAAGCTTCGCACGCGAGCCGTGGGAGCCACGATGCACAGTTTGGGAGATGTGGAAGCGTGAAGATACGAAACATTTCTAGCATAGCGGGCTTGACATACGAAGGCAATTCGTTGTATAGAAGATCAAGCTGAATGTGCATGCAAATGTGCTAGGTACTCCTCCTATAGAGAGGCCATTCATTAGGAGCAATTGCCGGTTTGAGACCGCGTCAAGTGAAAGAAATTGATTGGACAAGGTCTTCCCGGTGGTTGAACCGTCATGACCAGGATYGTGCCCGCGTGCCGCCGGTGGTGGCCTTTATCCAAATCGTGACAATCAATCCTTCTTTGTTGCATCACACTCGCCGGAAGAGGTCGTTTGGAGCATATATCTCTCCTGGACGAGCGAGGACTTGTACGGAAGATTTCTGTACAAAATCATCATCGTCGACCAGAATCCGAGCTTGTCATCAAAAGTCCATCTTCACAGCTTTGACAGCTTCTTCAAACTTCGCGTGCTGCATCGACATCCTCCCTCGCCTTTGCGCCCGCCCATCCCCAGCGCGTCGAGTACCTTTGAGGTCTGCAGGTCCAGCAGGTCACTTCGACGCCGCGCTCCTCTCTATCGTCTATCGCATCGCATCGCACACCGCACCGCACATATTCACTTCGCCCGAGAAATTCCAGAGAGAGCCGCCCTTCCACCATCCACCATGTCGAACATCATCGGCAACCGCAACAGCACCCCAGAGTCGTCCAGTACGCCGCTATCGTCTCAGGGGTCGACGCTACGCCCGCCGCAGACACGTCCTCTCGGTGGTTCCTCTGGCCACCACTTGCGCGCCTCGGCCGACATGGGCCACTTCGGCCAGTCGTCGACATCTCCCCTGGCCACCCGCGGCATTCGTCCCGCTAGTGAGGTGTACTTCACCCACTTCCAGCAGGGTGTCGGCACTGGGAATGCTGATGAAGTGGCCGAGCGGGCTGCACAGCAGTGGATCGCTGACATAGATCAGTACGAGAACACCCTCGAGGAGATGGCTGCCGCCACACTTGATCAAGATTTCAAAGATGAGCTGAGTGCTATTGAGCAATGGTTTCGCGTGCTAAGTGAGCCCGAACGTACCGCTGCCTTGTACGCTCTCCTCCAGCAGACGACACAGGTGCAGATTCGCTTCTTCATCCAGGTCCTGCAGCAGATGGCCAAGAATAGCCCCATGTCCGGTATGCTCTCGCCGGCCACGTTTGGTGAGAAGGATCCAATGTCCTCGCGTATGACAGATGCCATGAGCAAGCTGAACGTTGAGGGTGGCTCGCGTGGCTCCTTCGGCTTTGGCAGCAAGCCGCCACCATCTCCAGGAGCCAAGCGTATGTCGCAGCTAGACCCAAGCACCATCAAGTCCATGTTCCCAGATGCAGCGAACGCGATCGAGGACCAGAAGGCCGAGTTCCAAAAGACCACCGGCTCCCTGCCCAAGTCCAACAGGAACAGTGCGATTGGCGATCGCTCATCTCAGTACATGCCAGCCATGGCCCAGACAGATGAGGACAGTTCCAAGCGGAATGGTGTCTCTGGCATTCCATCAGGCCCATGGCGGTCTGCTAGCAGCTCGGAGAACCAGCCGCCAATCGGACGTCCTAAATCATCTTCTAGCAATCAGTATGCGACTGCGACTGCACCAATGGGCCAATTTGGTACGAYGCCCTTGTCTGCACGCCTCCCACCAACTCCTCGTGGTTTCCCGATCTCGAGCGACAACAACATCCAGAGTCAGACCATCAGCGCCAACGATAGCTCTGGCATGCCGATTCTCTCTCCGTATGCCCCTGGGGCAAGCTGGGCATCAATGACTAATACTCCGATGGTTCCCAACTTCAGCCAACAGCAAAGTGGACACCAGGCTGACATGGTCGCAAACGCCACAGCAATGAAGTTGGCGGCTCTGTCCACCGTCAACAACCGCCTGCAGCTCGATGACCCCCGCAAGTTCCGCCGCACGCGCTCGCAGGAAGGCTCCCAGCAGCCAATGTCGCCAGGCATGCCATCCAACATCCTCATGACCAATGTACACGGCCAGGTACTCACCCCGCAGCAAGCCGCGGCCATGCAGCAACATCACCTAGCCAGTATGCAAGCCAATCGTTCGCGTCCAAACTCCCCTGGTATCGCCATCACTGGTCCACCAGGCAGCAACGCGAGCATGGGTATGATGCCGCCGCACACGGCGCAACAGAACGGCTATCTTGCGGCATACGATGGCAACGGTAGCATGGGCGGGATGAACAATGGCATGGCAGGCTCCAACTTTGGACAAGTCTACATGGGTGGCTACAGCGAGGGCTATCTCTCTGACGCTGGAGGTTCTGGAATGGGAGGCGAGCGAGGACGCTCGCCGAGGGGGCGGAGAGGCAGTTCCAAGCCGCCAGAAGACCCCACCGATCTCACTCTGCTGAGCGACATTCCGAACTGGTTGCGTACGCTGAGGCTGCACAAATATACCGACAATCTGAAGGATATGCGATGGCAGGATCTGGTAGCCCTGGACGATGCTGGACTGGAAAACAAAGGCGTGGCTGCCAAAGGTGCCAGAAGCAAGCTGCTAAAGGTGAGATGCCTAGACTGTGGTGTTTGATTCCACGCATCGCTAACTTTTCTCAGGTATTTGAGCAAGTTCGCGAAGCTCAAAACGATGGACGCATTTAGAAATCTGCTGTGTGCGCGATCGAGCTGGAACCCGCTCGCCCGGCATTGACCACTATTCTCAAAAGACACGATGTCTCTGTTACAAACGTTACTAATTACGATGTCCATCAGACAAATGACAGCATTGCCCAATGTACGGAGAGCGCGAGCATGAAAAGGGTGTCACTGGGGTAATTGGGTTGATTGTTGAATGCTGCTGGTGAGCAAATATGCAGAGTGAGGTGAGAACAGGGGATTGGACCCCTGACACGCTAAAAGTGGGCGAAACTAGATTCATTCACTCACCTCCACGTGGCGAAGATCACGTAATAAAATTCACAGAACCTTCCTATTATCAAATCTTTTGTTCTATTGTCTGAAGCAGCCCGCATTGTTCAAGGAAAAGCCACGCGGCAATGTCACAAAGACATCCTCTGCACAGATCACAATGATTTCTTGTCCTTCTGACAAGCACAGCACAAGACCGAGGAGATTGCATTCACGGCAGCAAGCAGCCGTCATATAATCGACGGCTCTTTCGTGGCCTGGCCAGATCTTTCGAAACACTCCCTCACATCACCACTCAAACCTCCAAGACTTGTCTGAGACAACTCTTCTCGACCCTATTCCATCAACCAAGCAAACAAATTGCACCGGCTGCAATCTCCAAATTTCACCACCGCAAACCGATCACTCCTCAAACCTTACAACCAAGTCTTCCAGGCATCATGCTTACACGAAATATCCTCGCGCTGGTCGCAACCACAGCACTCGCTGCGCCACACACTCCTATTAGCGCTCGGGCTGCCACTAATTCAAGTTACTCCCTTACAACATCATATAAGGGCTCAAGCTTCTTCGACAACTTCTCGTTCTACACAGGAGCTGATCCTACTAATGGCTTCGTGAATTACACATCACGTTTGACGGCCGCAAACACCGGTCTCGTGGGCTTCATCCACAATCTCACCTCGAACGCGTCCACCGCCTACATCGGCGTAGATTACAACACCACCACATCCGTGGCTCGCAACTCCGTCCGCCTGATCGGCGACAAGAAATTCAACGCTGGCTCCATGGCTGTCATTGACGTTCGCCACATCCCAGTTCAGAACGGCGTATGGCCAGCCATTTGGATGTTGGGGGCTGATGGCATTTGGCCATCCTCAGGGGAGTCCGACATCTTGGAGTATGTGCACACTGCTGAGGGCAACGCTGTCACTCTTCACACCGCTCCGGGATTTGTCGTCGACAACTCAACCGACGCTTTCCAAGGTAGCCTGGTTGACTCAAATTGCAATGCCGTTGACGCTACCAAGGGCTGCTCTATCACGATGGAGCACGACACATCCAACAGCTCACTCGCGACCGCTGGCGAAGCGTTCAATGCTCAGCGTGGAGGCGTCTATGTTCACGACTGGACAAATGACGGCATCACAGTCTGGCTTTTCCCTCGCGACCAGCTTCCAGCCGATCTCGTCGCAGGACATCCTGATAGCGCCACTTGGACTCGCAAGCCTCTCGCGAAATTCACAGGCAAAGGCGATTTCGGCACGACATTCAAGAACATGCAGCTTATTTTGAACATTGACTTTTGTGGAGACTGGGCCGGAAAGGAAGAGGTCTGGAACAACGGACCGGCAAAGTTGACTGGAGCGAAAACTTGCGCCGAGTACGTTGGAGCAAACCCACTCGCTTTCAAGGAGTCGTACTTTGAGATTGGGAGCATTGACTTCTACTCCGCTGGTGCCCCTTCTTACGACGCCCCGAGCAAGCGGTCATTGTCAGAGCATGATCACGATGTCAAGAGCCATCATCATCATGGTCACCACAATCATGCTGTACCTACCGACTCTGCGTCACAAGTTCAGCCTTCTAGCACTGTTGACGCCCCGGTCAAGAGAAGCGCGACTACCTCCGATGCCTCTGCTACAGAGGTCGCCGGCTGGCTAGTGGCTGCAGGTATGTGCTGTCTCATCGCTGCTTTTCTTTGAATGCAGTTCCGTGCTTTACAAAAAGGATAAGACAACGCAAGTTTTACTTCACTTCTCCTAATGTACTTCTCTATTTGATCGTGCTTCGCAAAATGGCATCGCGTCGTTTTCTTTGTAATGTTTTCGTTTCCTGCTCTTCGGTAGTATCTCGACTTATGTATGGCAGCATCTCCTCAATGTCATTGGCGGTAGACCCTCACTAACCATGACTTCTAGACAACACGACAATTCGTACAGATTCGATGAGCTGGCTGAAGGAATGGAATCAGGCGCTTTGGATGTGAGATGCACAGGTTGGCAGGAGTTGTGGGCGAGTTTGAATGTGCTATAGATAGCAGGCATTGAAGCGTTAGTGAAATTCAATCTATTATTCAAGCCACTTTACTCCGACGAGAGAATTCTTTAGTCAGGTCGCGAGCCGGCCAAGAATAGTAATGGCAGGAACCAATGTAATGATCAGGTAAGTGGTTGCCACTCGGGAGATGTGTGTCATCACGAAAAGAAACGTGTGGCACAAACTGCGAACCTTCACCCCTTTTGAGGAACACCTCACACCTGGTATGGAAGCTTACGCAATCCATGCGCCGATCTTCTTCGGGCCAACAAATACGCAGATCACAGAGTTGAACTTCAAGGAAGCCCGCTGTATGCCGTTGCTAACCCGCATCGCAAGCGCGAAAACTAATCCGTGTCTGATCCCTGTGAGACTCGGAAAGACGAAGACGTGCTGCATTGTGATCTGTCGAGGAAGAGGTCAGGCTGATCAATTCATTTCTCAGAACGGACGCGTCGATGCAGTGACGAGGGAAAGCACGGTTTCCCCGCAATCCACGAGGCTCACAGGGCTATGCACCCTAATCGTGGGGTGCACGGATGCACCTCACAGCACATCATCTGGGTTCGTTCAAAGTCAGTTTCTTCGACTCTCCCGGTTCAAGTCCGGTCGGGTTCATCCAGGCACAGGTACGGAATCATGTACATGGCCTGGGCGGAGTGCCACATTCAGGCTTTCCTCGACGTCTCCTTGGGATCTCTGCATCGCATCCCCGCTGACGGAATCCGAATCTCATGTCCGTTCACCTTATGACAACCATCACGACAAGCCAGACCGGGTTTCATGAAGACGCGGATTTCGTGAACCGATGCTATGCTCAGCTTGACTACACCGTACCACTCAACGCCGGCTTGGTGCTTCGCAGTGGATGGACAGCACGGGTGTCGGACTCTTGGCAAACATTCGAGCAAGCGAACATGCGCGTGAGCCTTGAGGAGATGTCGCGGTGTAATGCCTCGTGGTTGAGGCGTGGATCTGTTTCCGGCACAACGTGCCGTCCACGTATTCATCGAGGCGCCACGCCATGCCGTTATTACCGCGAGATGAAGGAGATTTAAGAATATGCCAAGCTCTGTTAAGCTCTTTAGCTTGACCCGTGATCAGCAGGCAGCAGGCTCAAATTTCTGGCGCCAATTCCAACAGGCTACTGTGGTGAAAAGGTTCAAGCCATATACCACGAAGTAAAAACTTTCGGTAAATCACGCAGCCCGCGAAGTCCCCTGGTGTGAGACAACTCATCTTGAGTCATCCTCATAATATCTGCACTCAAGCATTGGAGTTACGCAAGTGAGATCGCTACCGTGGCAGTGCTTTACGAGATGTCATACATTTCAAAGTAGCTGACAATGCCTCTACTCAAGCCACTCGGCGTCTCGCCGTCCGCATGGGCGCCAGGAGGATGGGCATGCAAGGATGGTTCCCAATGCTCAATCGGGAAAAGCCCCGTACGGACCGCGTCATGTCGAGCATACGCAAGCAAATCGTATCCGCTGCAACCAACAATGGAACGGCCGAGAATCCAGATGACAGGCAAGGCAGTGCAGAGCGTTTCAACTCATAGGAGCGTAGCGTGTTGGGTCCGACGACGCCCTTCCTGCCCGGTGGTAGGTCGCGAGTGGCATATGAGGAGGTCGTGTGCTCAAATCCCTTGCTATTTCGCATTTCTGATATTCGTCCTCACTTCGTCGCGAACTCTCATTCATGTTGGTCTTGTTGAATTGAAGCACCATCTCGATGGCATCGCACCTTCTGGACACCAGGGTGCTAAGGGGGATTGCTCCTCTGAACAATGCACCCCTCCCTCCTCCGTCCGTTACAACCCTACCATCGCTATTCCAACACCAAGCAAGAATACGACCCAAGAGCATCGCTTTCTCCTGCCGTAAAGACGAAGATGAACTCGAAACGGTGACATATGCAGAGGCGGATACAATCGCGACATCACTGGCTGCCCAGATTACCCATTTACGTACCGACCATCACGCAAGAAGTGAACAAGCTCCAGTCGTCGCGGTATGGCTCGAGAAAGGCCTTGATCTCATCCTCAGTATACTTGCCACAACATACTCAGGGGCAACGTGGCTTCCTCTGGACCCAGACGTTCCGGTCGAGCGAGCCGCTGTTTGTATACTGGACGCCTCCGCCTCTGCCCTTATTTGCGATGCGGCCCATATTGAGCGGGCCCACGAAGTACAACGATGTGTTTCAGAGCCTTGCGAAGCTTCCAGTATAACCTCTTTCCAGGTATGCACCTATGACGAGCTTTCAAGGCAGGCCAGAGCGGCGGCAGCTATGCAGGTCCTTCAGCCCGGCCCACGCCCAAACGACGCAGCCTACCTCATATATACAAGCGGCACTACAGGAACACCTAAAGGAATAGCTATACCACATTCTGCAGCACTCATATTCTCCTTGAGTGAAAGAGAGATTTTGCAGACCACTACCGAGGACATTGTATGGAATGGATTCTCGCCCGCGTTCGACATGTTCGTAGAAGAGATATGGGTTACTGTCGCCGGTGGAGCACACCTCACCATTGGCACGCGAGCAGAGTGTGTGGACATAGCAGGCCTACCAGGCATCTGGCAGGCTCGAGGGGTATCCATTGTCAACGCAGTGCCGACACTCATCAGTATTATGGGTATTTCTCAGATCGATGGCGAATCCTCTCTGCTTCCTCCAAGCGTTAGAGTCATCAACTTGGGTGGCGAGGCGTGCCCATCAGCCTTGGTCAAACGCCTCGCAAGAGATGGATTACGGATTATCAACACATATGGTCCAACCGAAACAACCGTAACCGCCACATGGGACCAACTACAACCGGATGTCCCCGTCACTATTGGTCGCCCTTTGCCATCTTACCATGCCTGCCTACTGCCCATTTCAGAAGATGTGCCAACCGCTGTACCGCAGCCTCTGGAGCTCTTTGAAGGCGTAGAAGGAGAGCTTGCAATCGGCGGTCCCTGCGTAGGGCTTGGATACGTCGGGCGCCCGGAACTCACGGCCCAGAAGTTCATTCCTCACCCTCTCGCAGCTAGCAGTGGCGAGCGATTGTACTGCACGGGAGATCGAGTCAGATTACAAGCAGACTTCAAGATTGTGTTCCTCGGCCGAATCGACACCCAAGTAAAGCATCGTGGATTCCGTATTGAGCTGGGCGAGATAGAATCCCTAATATCTAGCCATCCAGATGTGCAGGCTGCCGCCGTAATCTTGGCCAACGCCGGCTCGGAGACAGCTAGATTAGAGGCCTTCATCGTGATCAGACCCGAGGYTGATCGCGATGTTGCATCGATCAAGCAACTTTGCACGCAACGTCTGCCGGCTTACATGCAACCAGAGGAGGTATACTTCCTCAACGCGGATGAGATGCCAAGGTTACCCAGTGGCAAGATCAACGCCAAGGCTCTGCAAGAGACATCCGCTCGTAAGGCGACGGAGCTTGTAGCATCGATGCAGAGTCAGGACCAATATTTGGAGTGCTCCGCTGAGAAAGATATGGACAGCCCATTGGGAATGCTGTTAGCGGCGATGACTGTCATTTTTCCTCAAGCTGATCGCATCAAGCCAGACGCTGACTTCTTCGATGACTTGGGAGGTCACTCTCTGACAGCCGCCATACTTGTGTCGCGTCTTCGGCAAATTCGAAACGGCACGGAAGGATACGTGCCCTTTGCCTCAATAGGTCTCCCTGATATCTACGAAGGACGCACCCCAACGAATATTGCTGCTCGATTTACCTCTTCCTACGACTTCGAGAAAGATTTCGAGAGCGTGGACGAAGTAGACAGTACAGGTCCGAGCACAGGAGAACACTTGCCCGTGTCTCAAACGAAATTCGTTGTCTGTGGAATCGCTCAGCTTTTCCCGCTCTTCTTCCTCTTCTTCATACACTCGATCGAGATTTTGGTCYCATATCTGTTGTTCGACTACCTTTTGAGAGTCAGACATATCGGATGGGCGATTCTCGCGGCATATGGAATCTTCGTGGCAATTCCACCTTGCCTGTCTTTGGTCGCAATTACAGGCAAATGGCTGATACTCGGGAAAGCCAAAGCAGGAGAGTATCCTCTCTACGGTGTCTATTACTATCGCTGGTGGACGGCAGAGCGACTGGTCGCCCTTGCGAACCCAAAGCTCATCGCTGAATCAGCTCTCTACGCCTACTTTCTGCGAGCAATGGGCGCCAAAGTCGGCAATTTCTGCCACATGGGCTCCATGGCCATCGGTGCATGCTGCGATCTTGTGGAGATTGGAGACGATGTCATCATTGGATCTGATGTCGTTCTCGCAGTCAGTCTTGTCGAAAGGGGCAGGCTGATCCTCAAGAAGGTCACCGTCCACGACAACGCCATTGTTGGATCCAATTGTGTCGTTGAAGGCGGCGCGGTCGTTGAAGAGGGCGCTGAAGTTGCAGCACTCTCTTTAATCCCCGATGGCATGCGGATTCCAACATATCAACGCTTCCACGGATCTCCGGCACAATTTGAGAGCAATGTGCACGAGGAAGCTGGCGCTCTAGGACCAAAAACGCGACCATCAACAGCACGTGCGGCAGCCATGCTCATTGGGAACATATTGATCAGTGGACTGGTGATACCTCTTTTATATCTTACGCCTCAGCTTCCAGGTCTCCTCATGTTCGATGTTGTTTCACTCCGAGCCGTAGGAGGCTGGGGACAAGTGGGAGCTCTTGCAATTCCCATTGCGCTCGCATATCAGGTAATCATCTTCATCCAGCTGCTTTCGTTCCGCCACGCCATTCTTGGACCGCTCGAAGAAGGCAAATACAGCATCTACAGCTCTTGGTATCTGCGAAAATGGTTTGTCGATCGCTTGATGGATCTTGCTCTGGAGATATTGCATCCAGTCTTTGCGACGCTCTACATTGTTCCCTTCCTCCGAGCTCTTGGTGTGAAGATTGGCAAGCGAGCTGAGGTTTCGACTGCTCGCGGACTACCGTTTGAGCTCTTGGAAATTGGTGAAGAAAGCTTCGTCGCCGATGCCGTCAAGCTAGGAGACGCAGAGATCCGAGGAAACCAACTGACACTGAAGAAGACGAAGCTCGAAGCTCGTGCATTCGCCGGAAACGCCYCCATGATCCCGCAAGGAACCACACTCGCCTCCGGCACTCTAGTCGGTGTCCTATCCATCGCTCCCGTGAAGCCTTTGGCAAGCAACACATCCTGCTTCGGATCCCCACCGGTCCTCATGCCAGCTCGACACCGCGTCGAAGGCCACGAAGACAAACATCTCTTCAACCCCTCCAGACTCCGCATTCTGGCCCGTCTCACAATCGAAGGAATCCGCATCATCCTCCCCCGAGCAATGATGATCTTTGGTCTAGGATTCTCCCTCCAAATCTGCTACCTATTATACACCTACATMGGAGCAGTCTACACCCTGATGATGCTCCCAGCATTCTATTTCTTCATGTTTTCTCTTCCTGCTCTGTTAATCACAATACTGCTAAAATGGACTCTGATCGGCCGCTACAAACCCGCGGAATGGCCACTCTGGAGTCTCAACGTCTGGCTGAGTGAAGCCGTTACCAGTACATACGAAACAATCACAGAGCCTCTTCTTGCGAACCTCCTAGTCGGAACTCCCTATCTTGCAATGCTCTTCCGATTACTAGGCGTCAAAGTCGGCTCCCGCGTCACACTTCTCGCAAGCGATATCACCGAGTACGATTGCGTGAGCATTGGCGACGAAGCAATGATCAATCAGAGCTGTGGGGCCCAGACACATCTATTCGAAGACCGTGTCATGAAAATAGGACGGGTGGCTATTGGAAAGCAGGCGTGTCTGAAACCTTACTCGGTTTGCTTGCCCGGAAGCTCCGTTTCGGACAATGCGCAATTGGGTTGCTTGTCGTTGGTGATGAAGGGCGAGGTACTGCCCGAGGGAACAGCGTGGGAGGGCGCACCTGTTGTCCCTCGTGCGAGGAGGAAGAGGACGCCTGCAGTGACCACGCACTCTTCAATGTGGTCGCTCGGTGGGGGTTCCTCGTTTGTGAATGCCAAGCAATACAGAAGTTCGAGCGATACTGATACCCAAAAATCTGCTTTACCAGTTAGCGGGGGATAGTGAGGGACTGAATCTACTGAATCTCGTTGCCATTACGGCTGAAAAATAATGATGCTTCATTCGTGATGGAGCATAACCTCAATTTCGAAGCGATGAAATCTCCCAAAAATTACGCGCCTTAACACCTCGCTAGCGAGCAAGACCCATTTCATCATATCAATCATGCGGACCCAGTGATTGCTGACAGCAACGTCGTATCATCATTTCGCGACAGCCTTCACTCCACTTTGCCGCCCTTTACTCTTCATCGACTCCAACTTCTTCAAGAGACTCTCCTGAGTCTTCCTGCTTCCCGCCCAGGACTCCGCCATCTTTCTCATTCGCACACTCGCCACGACCGCCAGCCCTACACTCTTGAGAGTGCGTTTCTTGGCGTGGAATGAAATGTCTGGAGTGATGCCCATCTCCGCGAGAAGGTTGAGATGTGCTCCATTGCTGCGAACAAGCTGTTAGCGTGACACTTCTACCATCGAGACCAATTGACTTACCAAGCATTGTACATGTCCACCTGGTCCAAGAACCACTTCTTGACAAATACCAGAGCCTTGCGGAAGCCTTCTTCGCGCTTGAGGTTGGCTCGTAGGAACTCAATCTGCTTGACCAGACCTTTCAGCTCAGCCTGGTACTGCTTCACAGGAACAGTATTCGCAACCTGCTTGCCGTCGTCCTGGGAAGATCGCAGACCCTTGTACTTGGCTCTAAGCTCCTCCTCCCGCTTCAACGAGCCCTGCAACTTCGTTGTACGATCTGCCAGTTGATTCTGTAGTGCTTGGATTTCGAGCTCGGCGTCTTCAAGCTGAGCCTGAAGATCCATGCGACCCAAGGTGAATGTGTCGTCAGTCTTTGCGTTGCGAAGGCGCTCGCGTAGTTCCTTCTGCTTGGCAATCGCAAATTGCAGATGGTTGTCCTTGTCCTGTGCTTCAACCTGGACGCGGTCAAGCTCGGCCTGGGCCTCGCGAAGTTGGTTCCGAAGCTCAGCTTCCCGTCTCGCATTGCCAGAAGAACTGCCTTTGCGATCTTGTAATTGAAGCTCAAGCTCGTCCAGTTGCGATCTGGCAACCCTGAGCTCCTTGATCTGGGCCCGGTACTCTTGCTGCTTCGCTGTGGAAGATTCCAGTCTCGTTTCTAGATCTTGGACTTGGGCTTGAAGGTCCTCAGCGTCCGTCTGGGCAATCTGCAGTTCATGGCGCAGATCACTTTGGGACTTGCGCATGGCAGACTCCTTCTTGTCCCGCTTGCCGAGTTCAATAGAAAGCTTCTCAGCTTCGATCTTCGTGGTCTTGACCAGGTCGTGCAAGTCGTGTCGCTCCTCGGCGATTGTTTTCTCTTGCTGTGCAAATAAGAGCTCAGTCTCCAAGGTCTCGACTTTCTGCTGCAGCTTCGATACTCTATCCTCGGCATCGCGAAGCTTTTGGCGAAGATCCTGCCTCTCTCTGACAGGCGTGCCAGTGGACCGGGACTTCTGCGCGGTCTCAAGATCGCCCTCGAGGCTCTTGACCGTGACGAGAAGCGTATTACGCGCACTCTCCATATCCTTAAGCCTCTGACTGAGCTGTTCGCGATCACTTGCGGATGATTCTGCCACGTTCGCTTGCCTGGCTGTCTCAACCTCATGTTCTAGCTCCTGAATTCTCTGCTGAAGAGATGCGTTGTTCGCCTTGAAGACGTCAAACTCCTTGAGCAGAAGCTCAATCTCTGCTTTGAGGACCCTCTCTTCCTTGCGATGCGCTGTGACAAGCTCAGACTTCATGGCGTCCATACGACGCTGCACCTCTGCGACATTACCTTCGCCGCTCGAGCGAGCAATCTCTAGCTCACGCTCAAGCTGCTCTACATCACTCCGCCGTTGCTCGACAGCCTTTTGTAGCTTCGCAGTAAGAAGATCAAGCTCACGCTCAAGCGAATTGATCTGCTCGTCCTTTGTTCTAAGTTCCTGGTCCTTGTGGCCGAGTAGACTGTGATCGCGGTCTGTGGTCTCCAACTTCTTGCGATGGGCCTCTAAGCCGGCCTTGAGCTCGGCGTTTTCAYTCTCCAAAGTTTGCAGATGCTGCTCCAGCTCGTCCAGCTCGGCATCCTTGTCTTGCTCCAGCTTGTTTAACTCCTGCTGAAGTGAGCGCACTTCATCGGCTTGTTGCTTGAGTAGGCTGTCTTTCTTCGAAGGCGTCTCCATAGCTCCGAGTCGAGACCTCATCATCGTGATCTGCTGAGATTGATCTTTGAGGTCACGATCCTTCGCCTTGAGCTCAGACTCCAGATGCTGCAAACGCTCGTTCCTCTGCCTCAGCTCAGCGCTCTCGCCTGACTGCAAAGAGCTGAGACGGCTCTGCAGACTCTGCATTTCGCTCTCGCGAGCCTGGATCAGTCCGTCTTTCTCATTGAGCTTGGCCTGTGTGCTTGCAGACGCCACCCGCAACTTCTCCTGCAGCTCACTGACTTGATCCTCGACCTCTCGCGCACGGTGACCTTGCTTTCGGACGGCATCATCCCGAGCATGTTCGGCGGTGCGCACCCTCTTTTGCAAATCCTCCAGTTCCTCGTCTCTCTGCTCGATAACGCGGGATTTCTCCCGAAGCTGAGCCTCTTTATCGTGAATGAGGCGGTCCTTCTCTTGTATACGGGCATCTGTCCTCTGTGCCTCAGAGTCCCAGCTCCCACGGGCAGTCTGAACGCGTTCCTGAAGCGCCTTGATTTCCCCTTCCTTGTCCGCCAGTTCGCGCTGGGCGTTGCGGAGATTCTCATCGCGTTGACGAAGTTCAGAAGTGTGAGTAGAGTTGGCCACTTGCGCCCGCTTCTCCAATGCTACTAGCTTGTCGTTACTTTCGTTCAAGGCCTGGTCTTTCTGACGTAGCTTGTTTTGGAGTTGGCGAAGCTCAAAGTCCGTGGAGTCAGCTGACTGTGCCCGGCTCTCAAGAGTCTTGAGCTGCTCATGKGCCTCCTCGAGGTCCCGATCTTTCAGGCGTAGCTTGCTCTCGAGTTCACGCAGCTCAGAGCTCGCAGAGTCGGCTGATTGTGCCCGCCTCTCCAGGGTCTTCAACTGCTCGTTGGTTTCTTCCAAAGTCTGCTCTTTCTGACGCAGCTTGTTCTCAAGATCGGCAATAGCTTCCTGGAGTCGCTTGGTAGATGACTCGCGGTCGTACGCACTGTTCACACGTTCTTGAAGCTCTGCTATCTGTGCATCCTTGTCCTTGGACTCGTCCTGCGCCTCCTTGAGCTCGGCTTCCAATTCGTCGATGTCTTGCTGCATGATCTTTACGTTCTCATTATCAGCCTCCACATATTTGAGTTGGTCTTCCAGATCTTGCAGCTTGGCATCCTTCTCCTCCAATTGGCGCTCTCGATCACGAACGTCAGATTCCAAGTCCTGGATGTCTTCCTTGAGCCGCTGCAGGTCATCTGAGTCGGCCGGTGCCTGCTCTGCGGATTGCAACTTCTCTTGCAACGCCTCCAATTCAGCGTCCTTTTCGTCCAGCTCACGCTCTCGATCACGAAGGTCGTGCTCCAGATCCGCAACAGTGTCCTTGAGCCGTTGTGCCTCATCTTCATTGTTCTGCAGCTGCTCGGCCATGTCCAGCTTGTCGCGCATCTCCTCCAACTCCTGCTCACGCTCATCCGCAATCTTTTGTGATTCCTCGGCCATCTTTTGCAAGCGATCGAACTCCTCTTGATCGCGCTCGCTCGTATGCCGCTTCTTAACCTTCTCCTGGTACTCCTTCAGCCACACTTTGTATTCCTCCAACTGGTGCTCGGCTTCGTGTAGACGCTTCCGTTGTTTCTTCAGATCGATCTCGAGCTCCGCTTTGTTTGTCTTGAGATGCACATTCTCTTTTAGTGTTTGCTGGTGGAACTCATTCCCGGTTTTGCGCAGAGCTTCCTCTAGATAGTGAATCTTCAATTTCAAACTGAAGTTGTCCTTCTGAATCTGGTCAAGCTTCGCTTCCTGGTCGCGAAGCGTCAAGACATTGCCCTGCTCCAGCACACCGGCGCGGTTGGGAAGCTGTGGCATGGGCGTTGAGTCCAGCATGGAGGAGCTCACAGGAGCAGGTGCCATGGGCGTGGCTTCCCGATCACCTGAGCTGCCAGTATGGTCGTCCAGCATTGAGCTGTTGACTGGCAAGCCAGGTGTGGCGCGGCTCCCGTAGCTTTGCCTCAGTCCGGCCGGAGTTTGCATCGTATGGTTCCCGGTCGAGTTCTCCTTGTCCTCCAGAATGCTCTGCTGCATGAGCTGGTTACGTTTGGCGCTCTTTAGTAGCGGTGTGAACTCCTGCTTCGCTCCCGGATTGCGCTTATCCACGAGCGCTGCCCTTGGACGCGGTGTCCTCATAGCAGGCGCGGCACCGCGCAGACCGCGCATTTGATTGCGCAGATCTTGTCCAGGCATCTTAGACGGCGATCCAAAGGGTTGCACGACCGACATGTCCAGCTGCTTCGAAGGGCTGAGGAAAGTGTTGTCGCCGCGGTCGGTGCCCGGCGTGTTGATGTAGTGGTGCGCCATGTTGAATATGGTTTACACGTCTGATCATATGTTAGTGTCCGGCATGCGCGCGTCCCAGCGGCGGCGGCGTCGTCGTGAGTATGGTGAAGACGCGGTATCAAAAGAAGCTTGGGGCGCGTCGAAAGCTATGTCGTCTGTTTTGGCCATGTCAACAAAGCAACATTGATCGGCAAATTTCACCCGGACTTGCCCCGATCCAAGGATCTGCCCTAGCCAGTCCATCCACCATGACTGCACTGCACTAATTTTCTCTCGTCCCAACACAAGAACTCCACAATGGACGATCAACTCCCAGACGATGGTCTGAAATGGTTCGGCGAAGGCTTCGATGGGTTTCCCAAACGTCTTCCTGATGATTGTGTCGAATACATCATTCAGGTCATCGATGAAAAGCTCGAAACAGCTGCCGCCATACGATCAAGACTAAACGAAATTAACAAGGCCGCGAATGACTTGAAGAAGAAGCATCTGAAAGACTATATCTGGCAGAGGGATGCCTTTGATTTGAGTATACATCCCAAGCTTGATCTTTCAAATTCTGCCACCGTCTCGGCACCACCACATCTACGAGGACGATCGAACTTTGGAGATTCGGTAGCAGACGAGTGGACAATCGTGTTCCTCTTACTGGAACTCAGCAAGAAGTTTACGGATGCTTGGATTAGAGTGTACGATACAGATGGCGAATTTCTGCTTATCGAAGCCGCAAATTCCCTTCCGAAATGGCTGAACCCAGAGATTGCGGAAAATCGCATTTGGATCAATCAAGGCCATTTGAAAATCATCCCGCTGGAAGCTGAGTCTATGCCTCGCAATATCTCTCTGCAGGATGCGCTTTCGACGATCAAACAGGCCCCGAAAAGACTCATACTCGAACCAGCAATCGAGAAAGAGGCCTTCTATCGTCTCCGGGAGTACCCTTCAGCTATCTCTTCTTCATTTCATCATGCTCTTACAACCATCCCAAGGAGTCTCGCTTACATTCTCAATCGCAACCCTACTTACATCTCTCCAGCTGTCGAGGCATTCTACCTGAGAGATCCTATCAGCCTTAAACCGCTCGCAACAAAAGATACATCCATCCTGAACTTCCCACCAGAGGACTTCGTCACGGTAAGCGTCAAGTTTACCAAAGTCGGCTTTGCACAGCTGCGAAGTCAAGTCTTTGATCCCCCACCCGCATGGACAGGCATTATTCCTCGTATGCAGGATGAGAAGGTCGCCCGGGGAATGAAGCTCGCATGTGGATTCGAGATGCTTGTGTCTGATGAGCAAAATAAGGATAAGAGGGCTGTCAGGGAGATTAAGCTTCTATTGGATGACATTGAGAGTGGTGAGGATCACCTGCCCACGGATGCTGAGATTGCGGAGTGGCTGCAGACGCAAGACGATGAGAAATGGCTGGACRTTGATTACAATGACTTCGAGAACGAGCTTTCAGGAAACGCAGCGAAGTCTGGAAAAGATGATGAGAACGGCGGCTTTGGGGACACTGGCGCTCAAGAGAATTTGCGGAAGATGGTGTCACGTTTTCAGGACTTTCTTGAAGACGACGAAGCTGGTGCTGAAGGTGTTGACGAGATGGATGATGATGACAATATTTCGGACCAAGGCTCAGAAGAGTCTGAAATTGAGGATGAGAAATCTTCAGCGACCGACGAAGCAGAATTCGAAAAGTCAATCAAGAAAACCATGACGATGCCCACACATCACATCGAAGAAAGCGGCCTCCTAGACGAAGCCAGAAAACTCGCACTGCAGGACGACGAAGGTGCCAGCGACGTAGACGAAGACGAAGAAATGCGAAAAGTCATCGAGCTGATGGAGAAGGAACTCAAAGGCCACGGAGCCTTGAATCTGGATGGAAAGGGCAAAGGAAAGGCCAAGGAAAAGTCAGCAAAGAAAGTCGTCTTTGGGCCGGAAAGACCTCCTCATATGCAAAGTCAGGCCGTGGGGAAGAGTGTGAGTTTTGAGGATGCGGATGAGGAGCTGGAATTCGGGGAGGGCGAACTCAGTTCTGATGATGAGGATTATAATGATGTGGATTTGGGGTTGGCGAAGAATATGCTGGAGGCTTTCAAGGGTCAGGCGGGAATGGCGGGGCCAGCGGGGAATATGATGAAGGCACTTGGGGTGGGTATGCCGAGGGATGAGGATGAGGGATGATTTTGCACCGTCCGCATCTTCCGAGTCGTCGTTTATGAAGTCTTCCTCGTTGCAATCTGAAACCTCTGCGGCTTCGTTGGTCACGTCGGCATCTTCGCCGTCGTCCGAATCCTGCTCCTCGTTGTCTAAATCCTGCTCTCACTCGTCCAAATCATGCTCACCGTCGTTGCCTGGCTCTGAAGCTCCATCGCCGGCTAAATCTCATGCACCGATGTCAATGTCGCTGTAATCATTCTCTTGGTTTTAGTTGGCATAATCAGGCTGGACGAAAATCGGTAGACCCTACCACGGACCACAAGTGGAACTTCCAGCAGGCGGCAAGACATTGTCCGGCCGGCTGTTGACGCCCAGGAATGGCTGAGACGCTGAGACATGACTGGAGCTGGACACCTTGGTGTTAGACTAGATCTACGGTATAGCTCGCTGTCTAGTTGAGAAAGTGGTTGTAGATTATCGGTTCGTAACAAGAATCAAGTCTATAAGGTATAGTAATGGAAGTTGGAAGATGCTAAGAGTAGAGGGGGGCAGACTTGGAGATAAGGTACAGGAATCTGCACTAGCGCTGAACACATGAGTAGACACGGCTCCTTCTTCCGACTCTTGGAGCGACGTGAGGTGGRGTCCATTGCTCGAGCAGTCCACAGGAACTCTACCTGGCGAAGGCACTCATCCTCGATTGACTACTCGCCTTTGAGCTTCCAGTTTGCGGCATATGGAGAGACAGCACGTGAAGGTAGACGTATTTTGTGGCTCGTATGTGATTTGGTACTCCGCATGCCCGCCGCGAAATACTGCGACGTCRCCATGGTCGAGAGATCTTGCAGATTTTGAGGACGTTCGAGATTGGGACCGTTGACGCATATTGGAATCTCCGGAGGCAAGATGTTCTACTATTGAGCTTTGTAATAATACATCAGCCATCACTGCTTGGCTCACTCGCACTTACATCGACCTCCGTCTATCTCCTCAACCCCCTACGGACCCACTGCCAGACGCCTCCATATCCTCTTAAGCTTGTGAGGTAATACGCGGCTCCGAACGCCAGACCACCAAGATGTGCGGCATGCCCAACTCTACTGGTCTCCGAGTCGAGATGGTAAAAGTCGAAAGCGACATAGCCAGCCGTGAGAACGAACAACGGCATAGGCACGAAGAAAACAGCAATTCGGGCCATAGGAGCCAATAATGTTGCTGTTGCTCCCATGCCCATCACGATGCCACTTGCACCGAGGCCGTGCCATATCTCTATGACGCGGGTGTTGCCATTTCCGAAGCGCTGCCAAATTCCGGAAGCAGACTTCTTGAATTTATCCTTTGAGGATCGTTGATAGTACAAGGCGTAAGAGCTGGCTATTGCGCTTCCAAGTGCTAGCATTGTCATGTGGACTCCTATTGCAGGGATCAGTTAATGTTGAATGGTTGACTGAAAGATATCGTACCACCAATGCCGTGACCCGAGGCAACAGTACCAAATGCGTGGAGTGCCATCTATTGTCATGCTATCAGCTACTGATTCACAGATCTTTGGTAAACAATCCCACCATATTGAAAACGAAGTGGCCTAGATCTTTGTGAGAGAACGCGTTCGTGACGAAGGTGTAGTATCGTCCAGAATCGATGTTTCTCTGAGATAGAAGTGCATGCCTATGCAGTTTACCGAGGAGCTCATGGTTCTTGGTGGCTTCCGCCACCTGCCACGCGCCGAAGACTGCAGTATTGAGTCCGATCATCGTCCAGAGCACCCGCTTCGCACCAATATAGCCACGATGGGCAGCTTCAGGGCTTGAGTGAAATGCGCGGGCAGTGATGGAAGACCCTGAAACATTGGGACCGAGGATTCTGGTCCAAGGATTGCTTTCCCGGGACCAGAAGGGTCGTCCGTTAGACATGAACGCTCGTCTTTGAGGTTTATGTGATTGAGAGAACGATGGCTGTAGTCTGTTCTTGAGAAGAGGTGCTCGCCGCGTGAGCATTCTCAGAATGGTGTTCTCCCTGATGGAACGTTAAAACTGTAAACGAAATGGAGGCAGTGTACTTACATGTGGAGGCAGTCGAAGTGAGAAGCAAGGAGTTGAAAGTGATGGGATTTGCACCGATATGAGTGTGTGTAACATTCAATGCTTGGCCGAACGATTGTACCCGATGTTCCGGCCTCTTCGACTCACAAGGTTTTCTCGTTGTGGATGGTCGATGTCAGATGTAGTCCGTAGAGCCACATGCAAGAGTCAAGACTCGAGAGGGAGGTCTTGGTGTGGGGCCGTGTGCTTTTTAAAGTTCAGCGTCTCCGAACCGCTGACTTCACCCCAAATCTGTTTCAAAGCTCGAAGCTTGTCCATTGAACAACAACAATCCTCTCATCACTCTCGTCCAGMCCAACTGACCGCTGCAGACACGGACTAGGCACTCGCATCACTCCACATCCGCCCATTTTGCTGGCCGCAAGCCGCAGAAACCACATTCTCCCTCGAGCACCAGAAACACCCATTTCTCCTCCGTCGGACACGCAGTGCCATACCGCCCATAGCTCAGCTCACCGCGCCCGCGCTGCCCTCCCCAGGCTATCGGCTGTGCTTGACGCGAATCGAATACTCGAACTCGGTCATAGCGCCAAAAACCATATCTTGCTGCCACCTCACCACCACCATCAGGATCGCGCGCGCACAGCAGCTTCCAGAAACACCAAAGCCTCAAGATTGCGGAATTTTGAGCTCCGCGAACACCTGCAGAAATGGCCTCTGAGCTTGCAAGCAAGCTCGAGGCGACGAGTCTCAATGACACAACTTCAGGCGACTGGAAATCAGGGCTAAACGTACCTACAAAAGACGGTAGACATCAGACAGAGGATGTCACGGCAACAAAGGGCTTGGAATTCGAGGAGTTCTACTTGAAACGAGAACTATTGATGGGGATTTTCGAGGCGGGATTCGAAAAACCATCACCCATCCAAGAAGAGACTATCCCTGTTGCGCTGTCTGGCCGCGATGTCCTTGCACGTGCCAAGAACGGCACTGGCAAGACGGCAGCGTTTGTCATCCCAACACTCGAGCGAGTCGACCCGAAACTCGACAAGGTGCAAGCGCTTCTGCTCGTGCCGACTAGAGAGCTGGCGTTGCAGACATCTCAAGTATGCAAGACTCTTGGCAAGCATTTGGGAATCAATGTGATGGTGACCACCGGTGGTACCAGTCTCCGAGACGACATCATGCGACTCAGCCAGCCCGTCCACATCATCGTCGGCACTCCCGGGCGTATTCTCGACTTGGCCGGCAAGGGCGTCGCTGACCTCTCCGAGGCAAAGACTTTTGTCATGGATGAGGCCGACAAGCTTCTCTCACCTGAGTTCACGGTTACTATTGAGCAGCTGCTCAAATTCCACCCTAAGGACCGCCAGGTCATGTTGTTCTCCGCCACTTTCCCCGTAGTGGTCAAAGAGTTCAAGGACAAGCATATGAACGATCCCCACGAAATCAACCTCATGGACGAGCTCACCCTCCGCGGTATTACCCAGTACTACGCTTTCGTCGAAGAAAAGCAGAAGGTGCATTGTCTCAACACTCTTTTCAGCAGACTGAACATCAATCAATCCATCATTTTCTGTAATAGCACCACGCGCGTGGAGCTGTTGGCCAAGAAAATCACCGAACTCGGATACTCGTGCTTCTACTCTCACGCTAAGATGCTCCAGCAACACCGCAATCGTGTCTTTCACGACTTCCGAAACGGGCAGATGCGCAACCTTGTCTGCTCGGATCTTCTTACCCGTGGTATCGACATTCAAGCGGTAAATGTGGTCATCAACTTTGATTTCCCCAAAAACGCAGAGACTTATCTCCWCCGTATCGGTCGATCTGGTCGATTTGGGCACCTGGGTCTTGCTATCAACCTTATCAACTGGGATGATCGATTCAACTTATACAGAATTGAGCAGGAGCTTGGGACTGAGATTCAGCCGATCCCACCAATCATTGAGAAGAAGCTTTATGTCTATGACGCTCCCGAGAACATCCCCCGGCCCATCAACACGGCCCCCCAACAACCAAACCCTCAGCAGGCTGGCAGACAGCAAGGAACTGGGCAGGACTTGATCGACAATCCTGCGAACCGAACATCAGGCGGATACCGCAACGGTCGAGGCGGCGGCGGCGGTGGCGGCTTCCAAGGCCAGGGTAGGGGAGGAGGATTTCAAGGTCAGGGACGGGGCAGAGGTGGTCCTCGCAATGATCAGCAACACTATGGCCAAAATGGTCAGAACGGTAATGGCTACCAAGGTCAGCAGAGACAGGGTGGCTACCCACAGGGCCAACAGAGGCAAGGCGGGTACCCAAATCAACAACAACAGCAGATGCCGCAGGCTAGCCCGTCGGCGCCGCCGGCATAGTCGCTGGGGTGCAAGACCATTTTGACGCGTCGTGTCCGGAATTTTAACCCCGGACTTCGCGATCTGCAGGAGTACAGCAGGCGTTTTCTTTTTTTGTTTTGGGCGAGTGGGCTTTTTCACCGGCAAGGCGGGCTCGTGGACGGTGGCCGGCGTGCCACTGGCGTTCTTCTTCCACAGGGCATGACTCATGATGCGTCGACATTTCGGCGCCGGCTGCTTGATATTTGTTTCCACTTTTTCGACGACCCTCGGATGCAAGTAGAGAGGTTTCTCTACACCATGACGACGACGCCATGGAGTTTCTACAAGGAATAGGGACCAACCACCTCTTCTCACACGACCACAACATATTGTATAACTTTGTTCTACATCTTGCCGACCTCCAAGATGGAAACCCGACAATCGCGGCCACAACTTCTGGCTTTTGAGGAAGTTGCCGTCGTCGCACCAACATAAACAATGTTTCGCTGGCACTTCGCAGCGAAGCGAACGATAACGTTGATCACATTTTCTCACTCTGTCGGAAGATGCTGGATCAGATCTGGATTAAGATACTCGGAGTGCTGATGCATCGACAAAGGAGCACTGGATCGAACTTGCATCTCTGCTGTGACCCTAGCKTACAGAGATGTTGCACCTTTTGCAAGGTGCTTGGCATGATGGGTGGAAAAGTCTGGTGGAACGAAAACAACAAAAGCTTTTTTGAGTTTGATGGGAACCTCGAGGGCTGTGATGTCCATTGTACGTCAATGTGTCTGTCAAACAGATGCTGGATGGCTACTCTGTGTATATATAGTGCTCTATGGAAAAACCATGGTTCCTTCTCAGCATGCTTGTGCTATATCGTGCGGTTCATGTGGTCGACAGCGACATACGAGTGCTTCGAGGGAGCGCCTCAAAAACATACCATCTGTGAGAGCTGAGCGAGACCCAATGCGCCCTGTTTTCCCATCATGTCCTAGCCCTGCTGTGTGGCTCATTCTTGATAGGTACGACACCGTGATGTGAATGGTACGGGTAAGTCGGATGTAAGCAGACTCAGGATGGTCGCTGAAAGTACAGGGGAAGTAGTCGGGCTCCGACAGARGCAAGCGAGTAGCATGGAACACCGAGTCTGAAACATACCGCAGGTAGCATTCCTGCCATGATATGATTGATTGTTATTTAAAAGCGAAGGAAGAGAGAATGGGAGATGCAGAAAGGACGTGCTCCGTGGAGGTAAACCGAAACACACCTCAACGAGCAATTTGAGCGACTTTCGAGAATGATGAGATGGCGTGACATCGATGGAACACTCCCCATCCTCTACACAAAGACTGATCATTTGTGTAATTTGTTCTCGGCATCATTTTAGGCGATCACATGAGATTCGCCGCCGCCGCCACTGTGCATTGGGCGGTCAGGTGCGCGATGGAAATCCACGCATCCAAGACAGAGACAGCATAGCTGTGCAACGCCGACGAGGCCTGAACGCGCAAGGATATAAGCAATAGCGTGGATTTGCACGAGCAATAATGATCAGTGTGCGACACTGCGACCGCGATATGCATGCCAAGCGCGGTGTGGACTTGAAAATGGGAGAGGAAAAGAAAGAGGGAGAGGGAGGGAAGAGCAGTGAGACAGTATGGGAGAGCAGCTGACCCTATCAAAATGGATCAAGCGGAGGAATAAAGTCGCAGCCGGCCAGATTCGCGTTAGCGCCGAAAGAAAGCGCGTTGTTGTGATCTGGAAACTGACACTCTTAGGGCAAGAGTATATAATGTGTAGTGCCCCGCCTCTGCGCGAGCTTCGCGAGCACCAACGACTTTCATCAACCCACCACGCCACCACAACACGCAGGTCATTGCTACTAAGACTAATCAATCGACTCTCCAGCTCATCTACTTTCCACACAAACGATCAGATCAGCAAAAATGCCTCCAAAGGGTTCCGGATCCAAGGCGGCAGCGGCCAAGGCGCCTGCTCACCCTTCTTACCAGTAAGAAAGAATTCTACGTACTCGCAGCCACGATTGTCGCGTCGACTTGCGAGTAGCTTCATCGTATTCGCCAGTGGCTAATGTATATACTGCAGAGACATGATCAAGGAGGCCATCATCAGCGTGCGTACATATTCCCGGGCGCAACCCTCGTCGCAATCTCTCCACGGGGAGTTTGAGTCGTCTCAACGATCACTTCGTTCCGAGTCGCCTTTCAATGCATGAAATTTATACTGACGCTTCTCCTGATGTAGCTGAAGGACAGAACTGGTTCCAGGTATGTTAAGACGCAACCTCACCGTCGCCGTCGCTGCTGGGAAAATGCCCAGTCGGCACGGCTTTCGCTCGACTTTTAAGCTGACAATGCGTTCCCAATAGCCGCCAGGCCATCAAGAAATACGTCGAGGCGAACAATAACATTGCTGGCGTCAGCTCGGCGACCTTCAGCACTCAGTTCAACAAGGCTCTTTTGAAGGGATCCGAATCTGGTGTCTTCGCACGGCCAAAGGGTACGTCGGTCCGAACGATTCTTTTCATTGCATATTGCTTTATCATTGCAACTTTCGAAGTGTTTCGATTCCCCAAACTACCACTTCGTCGCTGCCAACACTATGCGTCTTCGCGCCTTTTCTTTTCACGGCCATCTCGCTGACCTCGTCGTCACTCACAGGCAACTCCGGTCCAGTCAAGCTCGCCGGTCCCAAGACCACCGACGCCAGGCCTGCCGCTGCAAAGGCCACTAAGGCACCGGCTGCTGCCAAGAAGGCACCAGCAGCAAAGAAGACCGCTGTCGCAAAGAAGGCACCGGCAGCTAAGAARACCACCGCCGCCGCCGCGAAGAAGTCTCCAGCGGCTAAGAAGACCACCGCAAAGAAAGCTCCCGCCGCGAAGAAGGCTCCTGCTACCAAGAGCAAGGCCAACACTAGCAAGGTTCGCAAGACACCTGCTGCCGTAAGTTGCAATCTAGCACTCTGCTATCGATCGAGCAATATGCCTCCTTCCCTCTCGACCGTCAGGCAGTGATATGATCGGCAATGCTAACTTTTTCAGGCTCCCGCCGTTGCTCAGCCCACATCGGTTGTTCTAGGAAAGACCAAGTCTGGTCGCGTTACCAAGTCCAGCGCACCTCAACCCACAGTAAAGAAGGCCGCGCCGAAGAAGAAGGCTGCCGCAGCGAAGAAGGCAACTCCAAAGAAGGCCACCCCCAAGAAGGCATGAATGGGTCCTTTTTAGCTGTGTTTTCACCAACAACAGTCTACGAATACATTATGAAGTGGCTGCCGGATGCATGCTGACGTCGATGGTTGGATGAGAGTCTGCCGAGGCGGTTGATGAGGGAGTGTGTGTGGCGTAAAGGCGCCTGTCGATGGGAGTGTGATACCAAATGGGTTTTATGATGCGTGGATTTTCTTACTCAGTCCGGCGAGGCTGCTGTCAGGGCTTTTATCCCAATGGGTATATGGGACGGCGTTATGGGCTTTTTCTATGGGATATGTCGCTGTCGAATTGTCCAAAGTCGTACATAGCAATGACTTGAAATCTGTTTAAATCATTGATTTCTCCACRTGACAACCGGTGCATGTCTTTGTCTGGAAGCAATTCTTTTGAAACGCTGGACTGGCGGCGGAGCAAATATCTCGTTGTAAGGTGTTGTCAAGCTTCCAGAGACTCTGTACCCGTTAAGACAAAGGTGAGCGAATATCAGCGCTCACAGGCAAAGAGTGTGATAAATCGTGAGCCCGCAAATGAGAGTATTACGCCAGAGCACGCGTCGTTGGTTGTTGTCCTGTCCTACGGTCTGACGTCGTGCCCAGGGTTCGTCATCTCGTATCCCGCGCGGCTGGGCGCCAGCCGTGCCTTAGCCCCGGGAAACACCTCCAATCCTGCACCTAGTCGGATGCTTCCAAGGAGGAGCCATTAGAACTAATTACCGTTCCGCTGCGTCCAGACCTACACGCAGCAGCACCACCTTCCAACCAAGCCGTATACAGCGACTGTATACTTACCTCTCGTGGACGAAAGCGAACGGCCAAGGCGACAGCACCGCTTCACCAAGGAGGCTATTCTTGGGATTGGCGTMTTGGAGGRAGAGGTCGGATACCGCCTTTCCAGCTCACGAACTGGCTACCGACGCCCTCGAGCGACCCCGCGACGGGGAGAACGATGAGGGTGCGCAGACGCAGCCGCTGAGGAAGTCAACGGAGCTGGACTTCCATGCCCGCGCTATCTTCATGGTCCACCAAACGCGGGACAGAGACATGTCTCCGGGCACCCTGCACACCGACGGGACGACATCGGTTGCGCAAAACTACAGTCTCCCCTCCTATGAACCTCGAAACAGCACTGCAAGTCGGGGCCATCCGTCAGAGCGCGGGTCTTTTGAGCAGTCATACGCGGTTAATGGCGGCGGGAATGGCAGCCTCAGGGAAGGTTTTGGTGGTAGCAACGGCAGCGCGATAGGCGTTCCTTACAGCGCCAATGGATATGAGCGGACGCAGAGCGCCAAGAGCCTGGCGAGTTTGAAGTCTCGTCGCAGTGCGACCAATCTGGCGGGGGCAGCTGAGGGCGAGCGGCGGTCTGGCGAGGCCGTCAAAGAGAATGTCGCGCATCCGCGTGTCGCAGAGGAGGGATACCTAAACGCGGCGGCGGCGGCGTTGAATGGAAATGGGAAGCCCAATGTACCATCCAGGTCGCCTCTGAGTCGACCTACAGCGTTGACAAACGGCGACAACGCGCCGCCAACGGCTGTGAAGAGCGGCAACCATGCTCAGCCACCATCAACACCCATTTCAGTCCTACCACCCTTGGTGGAAAGCTCGCCACAGACCACACTTCCAGACGGCATGCTCAGGCCTCCTCGGCATGAAACATATCGCCATCGCGCTTCGTCACCTCCAGCGTTCAATTCGAGCGCCYCATCGAGCCCTGCGGTCTCCCGGCCAGATCGTCTTACCCACCGGCATACTCTGGAAGTACCGAAGGTCGCACCCATACGGACCTCGCGAGATGGCAGCGAACCCACCACTAGCATGGACGGTGCCGTGGTATCGGCCAGCGGGCGCTTCTCCCCCAACACGCCAAGTCGTCGGAGAGCGTCGTTGAACCTTCACCGAAGACAGACGAGGTCGATCCATTCTGAGTTGCACATGGACGAAGTGCCGCAGGATGAAGAAGCCGCTAGGTGGGCAGAGCACATCAAACAGAAACGAGCGAAGAAGCAACGGCAGGATAYCGATGATGAGAGAGTAGTGGTTGGCACGAAAGTGGACGACACTCACGTCAACTACGTAACGGCCTATAACATGCTCACTGGAATTCGTTTCGTTGTGTCGAGGAACAATGCCAAACTGGACCGAGACCTGACTGACGCCGATTTCGCGATGAAGCAAAAGTTCAGTTTTGATATCACCGGGAATGAACTAACGCCCAGCACGAAGTACGATTTCAAGTTCAAGGACTATGCTCCGTGGGTCTTCCGCCATCTGCGCTCCAACTTCCAGATCGACCCGGCGGGATATCTCATGTCCCTCACATCGAAATACATCCTTTCAGAGCTGGGCTCGCCTGGCAAGAGCGGTTCATTCTTCTACTTCTCACGAGACTACAAGTACATCATCAAAACGATACACCACGCCGAGCACAAGTTTCTGAGGAAGATCTTGAAGGATTACTATCTTCATGTCACCGAGAACCCGAATACTCTGCTGTCGCAGTTCTACGGTCTCCATAGAGTGAAGCTGCCTTTCGGAAGGAAGATTCACTTCGTTGTGATGAACAACCTGTTTCCTCCTCACCGGGATATCCACCGCACATTCGATCTCAAGGGCAGCACGATCGGTCGCGATTTTAAAGAAGAGGATCTCGAGAAGAACCCGCGAGCAACTCTGAAAGACTTGAATTGGCTCCGTCGCAACCTACATTTGGAATTTGGCCCGACCAAAAAGGAGGCTTTTGTGTTGCAGATGCAAAAGGATGTTGCGCTGCTGCAAAAGCTGAAGATTATGGACTACTCGCTTCTTGTCGGCATCCACGATCTCGAGCGAGGAAACGAGGAGAATCTGCGTGACAAGACACTGCAAGTCTTCCAACCGGATGGCGATAAGCACGACGAGCAAGGTCCAGCAGGACCCCACAACTTACAGCGGTCGCCCAGCAAGATGGAGAACGCGAAGCGAGCAAAAGAGCTGAGAGAAATGGTCAAGCGACAGCGTCCGGTGCCAATGGATCAGACTCTCAACAAGATGCCAGACGAAGCACACAAAAGCTCGTTTTACTTTTACGCCGACGATGGAGGATTCCGAGCCACACACGAGGATGACGTTCCCGGCGAGGAAATTTACTACCTTGGTATTATCGATTGTTTGACGAGGGTGAGTACGCGCGTCGGACTTGGCGAGAAGTACGATTGGCTGACAATGTATGCAGTACAACTATGTCAAGAGGGCAGAGCATTTCTGGAAGGGCATGGGTGGTCATGAGTCCCAGATCTCGCCGATTCCGCCCGTCCGGTATGGCGACCGTTTTGTCAAGTTCATTTCTGGTATCACCATGTCACGGGAAGCCGCTGAGAAAGATCGACGCTCGGCTGCCTCCGATGCGAATGTCGTGATCTTACCAGGCGGTCGCGAGGCCATAATCGAGGACCCCAACTTGGGAGGTATCAACGTATTCCACGAGAAGCAATCCAACCCAGCCGGTACCGAGGCAGTCATGGAAGAGGCATCTCACGTTGCTCTGAAGTCCATGCAACACGGTGCATCCGAGGACAATGTTCCTGATCGACAAATCACCACGGTCAGAAGTCCTGGCGGTACTGAGACTGATGTTTCCCAATTACTGCCCGTGATTGGCGAGGTCGGTGAGAGCACCAGCAATGCGAGCCGCACACCTTCTCGTGTCACCCTTTCAAACAGCCAGGAAAMCATGACTGACCGCGAGCGTTTGGTCCTCCTAGGAAACGCAAACATGCCTGCGGAAGCTGTTGGAGAGGTGCCGCCTCCGACTCCACCAAAGTTGGACGGCAGCATCGATACTCGTGCTGCGAACGAGAGACTTAGCTGGGGCGGCAAACCTCCGCCTACTCCTCCCAAGGACGATTCCCGGAGCAGCGACGAGTTGAGGATGAGTAGAGGTCCTTCTCTTGACAAGGCTTTGCCGCTGCCGCCTGCCACCCATCAGCTTTCTATAAGTCCAACGAGAATTGGAGATGACGAAGGTGATGGATGGGGTGGTTTGATGACGAGGTAGAGTCTTGCCACCCTGACAATCAACCCCTAATGACCATCCTCCCTCCCTACTACGACTGCTTGTCATCGCGTACGTCGGCGACTGTTCATTTTCCTTTGTCAACTTTTAGTACGGGATGTTCTGGGTCGTACGAACGGCAGAATCTACGGACTGCTTTTCCCTTGTTTGTTTTGCGTGTGCGATGGCGTTTGATCGAGGTGTGCGTTGTCCACTTTGTTGCGGAAGCGATTGATCGATCTCAGGATCATGATGTTTTTCATTGTTAGCGAGCAAAGCACTATACCAACTTTGGATGGAACTGGGCATGGAGTGTCGTTGTGTAGTCAGAAGGCTGCAAGAATGGACAGAAAGAATGAATGGAATGTAGATTTAGTTAGACGGGACGCTGTTCGACTCGACTCGGCTTGTGTTGGTTGGGTGGATGGACGGTGGGATTATGGCAGAACTTTAATTGAATTTCTGTGGTTGTGAATTGGAAAATGTCTGCTTCGAGTGAGTGAGAACCAACAGACGAACTTGAAGAAAGCATTATAGAATGTAAGAAAGGGCTATACATTTACGACGTATATCACCTGCAGAATGGAAACGCTATRCAAGTTCAAAGAAAACCCACACCTCTCAACCGCAAGCCTCCTCACCCCCATGGTCATGATACCGCTCACACATGCCCCTTCCCATCCACGGCTTACACCCACTCGTGTCATTTGGCAACGTCCACCCCTCTCCCGCATGCCGCCTCAAACACTCGGAGCAAAAGGCCTTTTCGCAACTCACACATTTATCCACCGAAATTCCCGGTTTCAAAACATCCTTACACCCCTCGCAAGCTTTACTCGTGCTCCAACTTCTGGGTCTCCAACTCACCAGTTGATGACGAWCAATAGCCTCTGGACCTGGTCGTTTGAGTTTCACGACGAGATCGCGTAGGAAACGGGGATGCCAATCATCTTTGTGAGTTTCGAGTAACTTGTCGGTTTTCTTGTAGGCGAAGAGGTCGAGGATTAGTTTTTGTAAAGCGGAGTTGGGAGGGAGGGTGTCGTAGAGGATCCAAGTGTCTGAAGGGGTTGGGACGGAATTTGTGCTTTCTGACAAGCGGGCGAGGGTTGTTAGGATGTGGTTTGAAAGGGGAGTGGTGAGGAGGCGGTCGGAGAGGGCGTAGAGGTCAAGGAGGAGGAAGTATTTTGGTGAGCCGGCGGAGTTGCGAAGGTCACCGTCGAGATGTTGATCGATTAGGGCGGGATGGGTCGGTGGTTGAAGGGGTGTGGTTTGGCTGTGACTTCGGGTGGCGTGGTAGCCGCCCATTGCGCGGGCGTGGACTTGATCAGGCGTTGAAGGTTGGACTGTCAGTGTCCCGGTGTAGAGCCATTGAAGGAACCATTCGAATGATTCGGGCTTTTCTTCTGGTAAGCGGACGACTTGATCGAGACCTTCTGCGAAAGTGCTGTTCAGAGCTGCGGCAAAGAATGGCGATGCAGCGGTGAGCAGTTCCTTGTGGACGAGGTACTGCGTTTGCGTACGACTCTTGCTGTTTGATTCCCCGACTACAACTGTGGCGACGCCAGAGAAGTTGCGGAAAGCTGTCCGCAGAAGAGGTCGATTGGGTGAGCGACCTGCGCGTATTGATCGACGGGGAACTTCAGCCACGCTCTGCTGAGTGGATAGAGCAGTGGAAGTGTCGGATGGAGCTGGAGATGGTATCTCGATTGCGGGCACGCCGAGTTGGTGTACCAGAGTTGACATTTGATCTGGTGGGCTGCGGAAGGGAGTCGTTGGATTTCGAGGTAGATGGCGGAACCAGACTGGTGTCRGGGGAGGATCCAGCTTGAAGGTTGGAACAGATGTAGCTCGACGATGCGAAAGAGAGTGAGTATGAGAGTTCCTCGTGCCGATGCTTCTTTGTTGAGGAACTCGACTTGTCGACCCTCCGAAATGCAATGCGAAGTCTGTGAATTACTGAAATGGAAACCGCGATGTGATAGCAAATATTTGAACGCAAGCAGACGCGATGAACCAGCGCAGCGACATCTCATGCCTCTACTGAGTCGCTGTCGCATGCGGCAGCATGCAGCGCGAACCAGCCGGAAGCGGATGAACTACACGTTCATGCGGTTCGAACCGCGCGCAAACAGACAATGAAACTTGCGGGAGAGCCACACATACCTACCAATGCGGTGGCTGCAGGAGACTAGAATTGAAGCAAAGCTTGAGACGTCTTACAAGTGAGATGCTTGTCTTGATGCATGTTTGCCATTCTAAACCACCGCGGTAAGAAGCATTCCACAAAAAGCTTGCTACACGCACGTGGTAAACATTACATTCCGATCGCCTCGGACGAACACCATCCTATTCCTGACTCCTGACTCCCGAACGCCGTAGTACTTCCATGCAGCGCCAAGACCGTTCCTTTTCTCTTCCCGTGTCGGAAATTGTCGTGGTAGCGTAATCGGAGCCTTTTGATGCGAGATGCCTCATCGCTTGAACAGTGCTTTGAATTTTTCGGGGCATTGTGAATGCACAATCCTAGTGCTTCTCTCCCTTGTTCACATCGCCTGTGGTTGAGAAAGAGGTTAGCGTGGAATCAACAAAGTAGAAAGTGGATGGAGGCTCGAGAGCCGGATAGTGTTTGACTTACCCAAACGCGAGTACAACATGTACAGAGCCATTTGGTTGCACTCCTGAGTTCCAGTGATCGTTACGAGACGCTCGTTGTTGTTGTCCTGCGGCTCATTGATCTTGATGACGCTTCCACTGAGCTGGCGTATCTCATTGATCTTGGCGCCGCCTTTGCCAATGATCGCACCAACCATGTCGTTGGGAATGAATATCTGCTGCGTGATAGGCTGACCAGGGACCATTCCTTGCATGGGTTGTTGAGGGGGACCAGCGTGGCCTGCGCCCGGTTGAGGCGCAACGTGAGGGTAAGGCTGCGGCTGCTGCGGTCCGGCGCCGACATATGGAGCGCGTGGTGAACCAGCACCACCGTAGTGAGAGGGTGCTTGAGGATGTTGCTGAGGAGGTTGACCGTGCATGTATGGTGCGCCATAAGCGCTGGGTGGGCCACGCTGAGGCTGGCGAGGTTGAGACCGAAAGGCCTCTGGCTGTGCCATCTGTCCGCCAGCGTTCTGAGGGACGTACGGCACCACTTGCATGCCACCTGGAACAACGCCCTGTGGTCCGCCATGTCGACCCGCATAGTTGGAAGCTGCGGCTCCACCAAAGCGATCAGTCAGCTGCTCCACCAAAGTGCTGCCTACGTAGTAAGTAGCAATATGGACAGCGTCCGCGACGCCAAGAACAACGAGGGAACGCTCGGTGGAAAGGGGAAGGCATGACTCGGAGGCGTTGAGGCGAGCTCCAGATGCTTCCTGAATCTCGCGAATGCGAACTCCCTGTTTGCCGATAATGCTACCAATTAGAATGTGCGGGATGAGAAGACGGAGAGGGTAAGTCTTGGATTGGGGAGTCGAGGGCTGATCGAGCGGCTCTTGGTTGAGGGTGCGGATGATGAGGCCGAAAGCTTTGGCAACTGCATCGACAAGACCACTCACGGTCAGGATACGCTCAACAGCACCCCGGGTGTACTCGCTGACAGTGCATTTAGCACCTGCCATGCGGCGAATCTGGGAGACGTTTTCGCCGCCCTTACCAATCACGGTTGCGGCTTCGGCACTAGTGATGATCGCGCGCACGTGAAGCCACTGGCTCTCGTCTTGTTGGTGGTATGGCATTGGGGCCTGCGAGCTCGCGCGGCCATCTGCCGACGGGCCGCTGGCGCTCACGGCTGATGGAAGACCCTGTCCCAGAGCAGCGACATCTGTCGGCATGCCATTGGAGGGCGCATCGGGGACAACCGTATCACCTTGCTTGTCTTTCACGTCATCCTCGATTGTCGCTTTCGCGTCGACTGATACAGCGCCTTCTGTGGTGGCATCTGCGACATCGCCATTCTCAGCATTGACCGGTGCATCGTCCTCGGCAGACTCTACTTTGGGCTCTGCAGTCTCCTCTTTTAAAATCTTGTCAAGGGCAGGGCGCTTAGCCTCAGGCTGATCGGTGGGGCCTGAYGGCGAAGAAGGCTCTTCGAGAGGGCGCTTTTGGGTGGCGACAGGAGTCTCTGGGGTTGGGACAGAATCCGCCATTGTGATTGTGCCGGAATGATTTTGAGGATTGACGGAATTGAGATCGATAGCGTTCAATCTGAAAATGTTCTCTTGATTGCTTGATTGTATGTGCGCCTACGTATTCGGGCAATGCAGGCAGATATCGGGGTATGAAAGGAAGCGGGCGGTGGGCGGAGCGGATTGGATGTGATGGTGGTGATGGTGGTCGAGTGTTGCGAATGCGAAGAAGCGTTCAAGGAGTATGCAGCAAAGTGGCCAGGATGTGTTGGGCAATGCTGGACTGGGAGAGCAGCTGAAAAGACTGCGACGAGGCGGGTGCAGTGCTCGGAGGGAGGATCGGAAAAGTGGTCTTGGATGGACGCTTGAAGCAAGTGATTGGATGATTGATATTGACTGCAGTCTTGATGCTGCTGGTGAAGTCGGATGCAAGCTCGGTGACGTGGATGTGTGCGCGTTTGGACGGTGATGGTGGTGGTGAGGATTGGAGTCGCGCAAAGAAGTGTTCGTCAAATGGCCAGTTTCTCGCCTTACTTGCCTGTGTCGACTTTCAACACGTCTCGATGGCGACTGTCTTTTGGTAGCGGTGAGGTGATGTGGTCGTGGACAATGAGACGGAAGATGAGGAGCAGAGGTGTAAGTTTGTTTCAGATTCGAGCCTTCGAAGGAGAGCTCCAGCTTTGTGCTAAGTCATCATTCGTGGTACTCCTTCTCCTTCATTACCCTCGACAACACCAACTACCTGTTGATAGCCTTCGATCTGACCATGGCACGTCTGTATAGCTATCTTGTTTTTTGCAAGTTCCTGTAGTCCGCATTCTGTGAATCTGTACAAGACAATCTGGTGCCTGAGGCAGCACGCGGCGGCCCATCCCGCGTGCTTGGCGCGAGACTTTGCGGGAAAGAGCGGCCGAAAAAAGAGCAAGAGCTATTTTACCTTGCGATCGATCAACCTCCAACAACAGTGTAGTGCCGGATATTCTACTCGTTGCGCCTCGAATTGCGCATTGAGTCTACGCGAATCCGATATACTATCAAATCCAGGCCGAGGAGCTACACAGATATCACAATGTCATTCCGCGGCGGAGGACGAGGCGGAGGTGGATTCGGCGGTGGTGATCGCGGTGGTCGAGGTGGAGGTTTCCGCGGCGGCAGCAGGGGTGGACGTGGAGGATTCCAATCATATGGGCCCCCAGACAGCGTTTTTGGTGCGCGCGACAGTTCCAGCAGATCTCCATCCGCAGATAACTAATGCCTCGATAGAAATGGGCCAATTTCTCCACGCAACCGAAGGCGAGATGGTCTGCGAATCCATTAACGTCAAAATCCCGTACTTCAACGCTCCAATCTACCTCGAGAACAAGACACCTATCGGCAAAGTCGACGAGATCCTCGGACCACTGAACCAGGTTTTCTTCACTATCAAGCCACAGGAGGGAATTCAGGCAACTTCTTTCAAGACTGGTGACAAGTTCTACATTGGAGGTGACAAGCTATTGCCACTTGACAAGTTCCTGCCCAAGCCCAAGCCACCGCCAGGTGCGCCCAAGGTCAAGAAGCCCAGAGGTGCTGGATTCGCAGGTCGGGGTGCTCCTCGAGGAGGCGCAAGAGGTGGACGCGGTGGATTTGCCCCAAGAGGCAGAGGCGCACCCAGAGGTAGAGGTGGCTTTGGCGGCGATCGCGGCGGTCGTGGAGGTTTCTCCGGATCTGGTGGCTTCTCCCGCGGACGCGGAACTCCCAGAGGAAGAGGTCGCGGCGGATACTAGATGTGAGAAAACGAATATGAGGCATTGGCACAGGCGTTGGGAGCTCTGTAGGAGCGGAGCGGAGTTTAAGGCGTCTTTTGCTCGGTGTCAGACTATGGAGCGCGAAAGGCAAGTGCGACCTGGCGCGAGTCACATGTATACTTCCGTTTATCAAAATGCTGTTCACGCTGAACTTGTTCATGCTGTAGGAAGGGCGAATTCTGTCGTGTTCTTTTCCAGTGAGATGGATTGAATCACTGATGGCTCCTGGTGTTCCTCAGTTGATACAAGAGCGATTCGGCGCGGCCCCTGGACCAGCCTTCAGTAAGGCTACAGAAGCATACAAGTGTACAGCTGCGGCCCGCTTCACTCTACTGTCACAGGGAAGCAACTGGATGTATGGCGGTCATATGCAAAAGCACTCATCGCTCAAAATGTTGAAGGTACGACAATGTACTTACACCAGCGCAGCCACTTCTTCTTCTTCTCTACAGCCATTTCTTCAGCATGAACTATCCTTCGTCATCGATCACTATTGACCACCAACCACTTTTTCGGCCCAACTTACCCACTACCACAACTACTTCTTCTCTACCAATCGTTTCTGCGATCCGCCACCATCAAAACCCTGCGAACATGGCTGTCATCACTCTGAGGACCTACACGTCGCAGAGAGTGAAGCAGTACATTAGTAGCAATTCCATCCGGTGCACGGCGTAGCTTGCAAAGCCTTCCTGCGAAGCATCGAAGCGTCAATTCGCTATCTTCGACACCTTACCGTCGGGAACTGCTTCGCGGACGAGTGTCTCGAAGAAATCCTGAGACTGTTGAGATCTGCGAGATCTTCGTATACTCTGACTCTGGATACGGCTACATGGAGAGTGCTACTCCCACCAGCGAAACCGGTCCTTGCATTGGCACCAACGCTGCGGAGTATTCAGAGCTAGAAGGTCGAGAGGGAGGAACATTACTCGGTCGTTGAAATGGTGGAGCTTTTCCCGGCGGAAGAGGGTCATCCGAGCGAAGGCCTCTCATTGCACGCATACAGGTCCAGGGTGAAGCGTCTACTGGAGGAGGCGTTGGAGTGACGAACTGGCGGAGGTCTGTACGAGGAGCTCGGCTTGGGAAGGCTGTCTTGGTATGTGTTGGGGATGCAGACGAATACATTTCTCTCCTTTGTTCAATCCTGAACAAGTCAAGATCCTAGGACTTGGAACTCAGAAGCTCCGAATGCGACTCCGTCGTGGAAGGCGCGTGAGGGCAGGACACCTTGGCAGGGATGGGATGGAGCTCAAATTCGCTTAGGGTTAGGGTTTGGGTAGTGGTAATGGTTAACAACGACAGTGACGTTCAGTTTTGGTGGCCCAGATTGATCTCAGTAACTAGGTAGAGGTTTCTTGATATGTTTTGGGGTATAGTCATCGTCCTATTCCCTTTATAGAGATGTTGGCTGGTAAATGTGCGTTTCATTCACTCGAATTCGGCTTTTGCGAAAGTCCACACGATGTTAGTATGCCAGAGGCAGTCCTTGTATTTGACACCCATCCAACAAACCACAACTAAGAATGGACACGACGCGGCACTTGCGCAGATAACAGGCATCGGATGACCAGGAACGAGCATGAAGAGATTTCAACATAAATCATATCTGGATTTCATCGCGAGTCTAGTTCATATATTCCCCCTCCCCATTCCCACCATGCCACGAAACGCCAAGACCAACCCCAATCTACGCCTTCGCCTCATGCAACCTCAGCGTAACCGGTCTCCCAGGACAGTTGGTGAGAGAAAGGCGACTTGTAGCCCTCTGCTCCAATTCACCGGGCGCAGCCTCAATCTGATCAAATCTCTGCAATAGTCTCACAAGCACATAACTCGTTTCCGTCAGCGCGAATTGCTGTCCGATACAGATTCTAGGGCCGCCATTGAAGGGTAAGAACTCCCAGCCTACTTTCCTGTTGGCGAAGCGTTCGGGGCGGAATTCTTGGGCGTCTTCGCCCCAGAGATCTTTGCGACGATGCATGACGTGGACGGAGTAATCTGCTGGGGTGTCGGCGGGGAGGAAGACTGGGGAGAGGCCGTCTGGTCCGCCTCCACGAGGTAGAGTCGTGGGTTTGTTTGTGCGCTGAATGTTGGTCAGTGGGAGATATTCAAGGGTTGACGAGCTGGGGAACTCACGCGGCCATTGGTGGGAACAACGGGCCAAAGACGAAGGGTCTCGTTGATGCAATATTGCAAGTATTGACAGCCTTTGAGAGTTGCGAAGGTGATGTCTTGGGGGTTGTCGTATGTGCCAAAGGTGTCGACGACAGTTTGTCGGAGTTTGTTGAAGCAATCTGGGTTTCGTAGCATTTCGTGGAAGAACCACGAGAGTAGAGAGGCCTGGGGATGTTAGCAAACGACGCTCTTAACAAGATCATGATGTACTCACCGTCGTGTCTCTGCCAGCAAGCAAGATATTGAGCAACTGTGCTCGGAGCTCATCGGGATTCCTCGTGTTCTTGGCCAGCTCATGCATAAAGACATATTTGTCGCTTTGCGGTGCCTTCTCGATGTCTGCTGCCTGACCTTTCCCAAGAGCCGCATCAACATATGTCCGTACGAAGTCATTGACAATCTTGTTGTCGACTTGATACTCCTTGGGATTATGCATCCAATGGAAATTAGCTAGTCTGAATTTCGTCGTCATATGAGCTTGGGCTGAGTCGAAGTGGATGCTAAAGGCCTTCTCGTCACGCAAGTTGGCCTTTGCGACAGCGGAATGACGGCCTTCGGAAACTTGGCTGTTTACTGATTCTCCAAACAGGAATTCCGTTGACGCATCGATGGTCAGGCGGAAGAAGAGAGTTTGGATGTCGGTGAAATCTGTCCACCCAGTTGCTTGATTGACTGGTAACTCGGCCATCAGATGCTCGACATGATGCTCCTCCATATCCAAGTCGCTGATCTGATCTCTAACAAAGTTGGGCCTCAGCATTTCACGAGAGTGCTTCCACTTTGGGCCATCCTGCGTGAACTAGAGGTGGAGTTAGTATCTGATCTATTCTTGCGAGGCAGCCGACGTACAATGCCAGATCCGAGGACTTCTCCCATGATGGTATTCCTTATCGGCCCCAGATCAAAGTCCTGGAACTGGGTGGCCAGGATAGCCTTTACGTTTTCTGGGTCGCTGGTGAAGTAACCAACCTGCCGAATTATGAGTGGATTGTACCATGTCAGTGGTAAAGTGCACATACCTGACCGAAAAGGTGTCCCTTCACTGTCGTAACCYCACGGCCAAATTCCTTGCTGATGCTATCTTGTCTGTCGACTAAGAAATCCGGAAACAGCTGCTGTTTGTCTGCAGCCATTGCTCGCTTGAGATGTGATATACCGAGAAATCCCAGATTTCTAATCATTGGAGGCTCCTTGCAACCCAGCTCTCGCGCTTTGGCTGTGGAGCGTTAGCGGTATGCCGTCGGAACGCCAGATAACGCGATGACCATGTTGTCCACGGATGATCAAGCATTGACAAGCTCGGGATGAGATCCATTTCTCAAGAGCATGAATAAGGGGCAACGTACCGGCATTCTGTCTGCTAACAGCGATAGCCACCACTGCCTTGTAGAAGGCAAAGACTGCAAGACCGAGCAATGCGATGAGAATAGTATTATTCATCTTGTCGGAACCCGGAGAGACGTGCAAGGAAAGAGATGAACGACGGAGAAGAATGTAGGGACAAAGAAGCGGCGAGCTTGCCTTGTATTAAGGAGTAGTTGACGTGCAGGCAACCAGATTAGTGATATTCAAACAAAGAGACTCGGGACTGTCATGCTTCGCTGATGATGGACGGGACGACTAACTGCCCGCCCGGGACAGCCCATGCGTGTCAGTTATGAAGGAAAGCGTGTAATTGGAGGAGCCTGAATCGCGCCGCATCTCACACGTTGATGTGATCAGCCGCAACCGAAATCTGATGTCACGTCGACGTGCCGGGAGCGTCGTAAAGACGGAGTCCGCGCAATCCGTCCATTTTTTTCGCACGTGCGGAGTCCGCGGAATTCGGGAATCCTGGCTTGAACTCCGCGCAACATGTCCTCCTTGCCTCCCTCCGACTCAAGCAAATTACCATTTAGGGGAGCGCTGTTCGAGAGCAGACGTACGCCACGACTTGATGTCGCCGCCAGGAATACCGACGAAGGCGACTCCGCCATGAAGCAAGCACATGACGAATGGGGCGTTGAAAGCATTTCACTGTGCATGTCTACAGACCAGCATCTGGCACTGCAACTAGCAGCCTGGAACTAGGTTGTTCCATGCGCTCGAAGCGAGACACGATGCTTACCGGTCTGGCGAGCTCGACGTGAGACGCTCCCTTGTCAAAGGATTCGAAGCTCACTTTGCTCTTCAAGAATGTAACTTATGTACTGTGTGTCGGTCAATGAGCAGCCATGGGTCGGACAAACCAACCAAAAACGCCTCGCTGTACGCATCTCACTTTGGGTATATCGCTGAAACGCCAATCAACAAACCAGCCTGCTAAAACCAAAACGACTTCTAATCCCTCGTTGACCTGTCCTGAACCATCGTTGCAACCCTCCCATCCAACTCGAGCTTCGYAGTGAACATGGCTCTAATACCGCCGAGCTTTGTATCGTTGACTCGGGCGTGAAATGCCATGTTCCACCCACCATTGCCATCGTCGTGAATTCCGACAGAGCCTGGGGCCTCAAGACCCCAATCACCAGTCATGAGCAGTGTGGCGTGGGCACGCTTGTATGGCCCTGCCAGATTCTCCGACGTGGCGTATTTGACTGCGTAAGTTGAATCTCGGGTGCAGACCGAAGAGAAAAAGAGAAAGTAGATTCCCTGAGCGGAACGAACGATCATGGGCGCTTCCACGAGCGGCCCATCACTGGCGATGCGATCCAATATCTGGACCGGCTCGCCGTCTCGAGTGATGCCGTCAGCCATCATCTTCTGCAGCATGATGGGCGTGGGCTGAATCGGCTTCACCATATTACCGCCTGCGCAAAGACATGGTTAGCATTCGAATATATAGGGCTTGCTATTTGTGGATATGCACTTACATTCGCCTCCATTTCCCACGTTGTTACCATCGACTTTGTACACAACCCAGATTGTGTCGCCCTCCGAGTAGGCTTCTGGGTCGATGGCGCCCCCAACTTCTATGGGACATGCCAATGCTTCCTCCACAGCCTCGTAGGGTCCACTTGGCGAGTCGCCCGTGGAGACCGCAGCTCCCACACAATGCGGATGTGGGTGCTTTGGGCGAGGATTCAAGCCACCCCACGGGGAAGCATAGTACATTACGAGTTTCCCATCCGCGCGGCGTATAACACCAGGAGCCCATGTTCCACTCAGTGGTGCTCGGCCGAGTCTTGGTTGATTCAGCCTTTGAGACCACGTGCCAACCGCTGGGAGCGGCTCGTGGGGAATGGAGGAGATGGTCCAGTTGAGGAAGTCATCCGAGGTGGCCATCTGAACATGAGCCTCTCCAAATGCGACAGTGTTCTTGCTGGCGTTGGCATTCTGCAGCTGCTTGATACCAGCTGCGTTGTTGCTCGCGTATGCGTACCACGTGCCGTTGTCGCACCAAAGGGCGGGATCTGGAAAGTTTGCATATATGGCGGATCGGATTGGTGATGATCCCGGCGTGTGAGGTGGAATGATTAGTCGAGGATCCCCTCCATTCGGAGTGCGATGACCTTGTGCCCGGGTTCCGAGCACTCCGGCGACCACGATAGCTGCAATGAGAGCAAGTATCATGGCGGAGGATGATATAATAAAGCCTCTGGATGTGACCGAGAACTGTCGTTTGTTGTCGATGTGATGAGCAGAGTCGGTTGTTGTATCGAGGTCAAGTGTTACAGGCTTGGTAAAGTGTCGTTTAAGGAACGTGAGCTGGCGGGAGGTTGTGTCTTGTGCCGCATCTTGATAGAGATTGTCCTGTGGTAAAGGGATTTTGGCCTGTGAATTTGCTTGTGGTATAGCTTCCGCAGGCGCATCTGCCAATCTCCCTGCCTCGTGCTCGAAGGGGGCCATTTCGGCAGGTGCTGTCCGAGGTGATGAATTGACAGAATGGAATGCCAGTGACATGAGCTAAGGTCCCCTTCCGTGAGAAGATTTCGAGGCTTGAAAATACTTCAGCCAAGTGGACGATGGGGCTGTCCCGCGAGACTCGACGCGCAAAAGTCTCTGATTAACAGACGGTCTCGCCGAGAGACTTTGAGGAGGTCAAAGGAGTGAAGGATTGAAGGAGTACGAGGCACACGCAATCATTTATTTTKAGTCATCCAAAGGCAAAAATTGAGGACTGTAGGAGAAACTGAAAAAACTGCAAACCTCCAGACTAAATAAATTCCACAGACGTTCTACACAGGCGCAGTGGTTTGTTATAAGCGCTGGCGCATGTGGTGATTACACCACAGCAAACTCGATGACTTTGTGTGTTCCAAGAATGTTACCATAGACGCCGCGATCACCGTGCCACGCACCGCGCCAACGAGCGCATTCCTTCGTGTGGAGTAGTGCTCAATGCTAATCTGGGTTTGGTGAACGTGGCCTGAATAACACTCGAAGGAGTCAGGAACGTTCCGAAGACAGACTGTCTCATGCATCCTGCAGCGGAAGCCACATCGTTCCCTTTCTCATCCCTCCTCTTCTCCGTCCTTCGATCGGCTTCCCGAGGCGTCGGATTGGGATTGGTCCTTGAAGCAGAGATGCAGTGTGGGAAAGGAGCTTGCTGGCGATTACGCGCTCGTCATGCTCGACGTTGTCGTCGCGCTGCATCGCGTCGCGTCGATCAAGTACCTAGCTCTGGCGAAGGCCAAGCCGGGATTCTCCGCCGATTCCGCCCGAAAGCGTGGCCATCATCTAGCGAGTCCTCGCTGTGCTCAGAGGCCGGCCCTCAGCCCGTCAATATTGGATGCGATCTCATCATGCTTAAATGTGCTGGCCTGGTCGAGGGAGTGATTGGAATTGAGGACTTCATAGTATATTGACAAGATAGTTTTACGCCCATGGCACTGTCCGACTACGTACGTGGCCAACAATCAACAGTGGCAGGCGACACATTTCACACGCTTCGCATCGTCACATTCATGTCCGTGTTGGCAAATATGCCACCATTCTCCAGCAAAGCGAACGTGTACTCTCCCTTCTCAACTTCCCACTCATACTTGCGATTCAGGATCTTCAGGTATCTATCGACTTCCAACTCCATCGTCACTCTCCGCGATTCATCCTTTTCGAGGTAGACTCTGTCAAAAGCGACCAGCTGTTTCACCGGTTGAGAGATTTTTGATACTCGTTGAAGGAGGTACACCTGAGCCACGTAAGAACCAGCCATGGCACCGGTATTTCGCACATCTAGCGAAAATTTGATGGTCGATCTGGACGAGAAGGTATCTCCTGAAGCGCTTGCGAATTTGGCCACAGTGAAGTTTGAATAGCTGAGTCCATAACCGAAAGGATAGGCCGGAGTGCTATCCACGTCAATGTACGATCGAACGCTGGACGCCTTCATGTTGTAATAGACGGGCATCTGACCGACGTGCTTTGGAATCGTCAAAGGGATTCTACCGCCTGGATTGAAGGATCCAAAGAGGACATCGGCGACTGCTCGCCCGGCACTCTGACCTCCGAATCCTGTAGACAGTACAGCAGCGGTGGAGGTATGGTTGTAGATCTCGGGAATCGCGAATGGTCTTCCTCCTTCCAAGATCAAAATCACCGGTTTGCCAATATCCAAGACCGCTTCTGCAAGCTGCGTCTGATTGAGAGAGAGGCTCATGGTTGCTCGGTCACCGCTCTCACCGTCTGAGTTCCATGCTGCTCCAAGAGCTAGAATGACCGTATCGGCTTCTCTTGCTGCCTGGACCGCTTGCTCTATCGCAGCGTTCCCCGGAGAGACCAGGTTCCAGAAGAAGAGGACTTCCGCATTGAGAGAGTTTCGATTTGCGATCTTCTGGTAGAGGTTCCAGGAAGCAAACTCTAGTCGCACTTTGTGCGTGGCTCCAGGCTCGAACTTGAAGGGAGCTGAGCCGGGTGGCGGAGCAGTACTGTTGACGAGGTTGTATGCGCGAGAAGGTATGTTGGACAGTATGTTACCTGTTGTCGTCAAAGGAACATCAACATGCATTACATCGTCGATGAAAAGTTTGGCCGTGCTATTCCACGCGATAGCAACCCCTAGCCATCCGTCGGTAGAGACTGACACCGGCACAGTCAGAGTGCCTTCCCAGGTGGCACTGAAATTGTTCGATGGTAGACCTGGCGGAGGGTAGAGGCCCCAGTCGCGTACAGGAACTTCCATCTTCTGGACCAGTGGAACTGAGAAATCGGGTTTGGCAAAGTAAGTTGCTTGCAATCCACCCACAGTCCCGTTAGGAGTGGCAAGATGGTAACCTGTCAATTGTTAGCTACTGTAATCAATCAACGGTAGAGCTGAACATACCGGGGATCGGGGACTGAGTATTGGATTGCCATGTATTGGCACCCCAAGCCGTGAGCAAGTCTTTCTGAGCGACCTCCTCGCTCAATGTCTGCACAATGCCTTCTCGTATCGTCGAAGAATGTGCGACCGGATATTGGCCAAACTGACCGGAGTAATCCCCATAGTTCAGAGCGTCAGCGAAGGGTCCGATCAGTGCAATCTTGCCACAGTCTTTGGCATTCAATGGCAGCGTGGCGTTGCGGTTCTCCAACAAAATAATACTCTTCTGCGCAGCTTCAAGAGTGAGTGGAATATGCTCGATGGTCAGAGCTTCAGCATCGATGTCGTCTGGAATGTATGGATTGGAGAACAGACCGAGGTCCCATTTGACACCCAGGATCCGACGCATCTTGTCTTCTAATGTCGATATCGCGAGGGTGTTGTTGGATATGAGACTGAGGGTAGACTGAGGATAGCGTCAGTCGAAGGCAGTAGCACGGAGAATCTCTCTTGCACTGTACTCACATCGAGATACGTCTCTAAGGGATAGTCATAGTAGGAGATCATTCCCCCTGCATTGAACCACTGCCCGATGGCATCTTGCGGCGTCTCGGAGACCATGTGAACATCCATGAGCTCGGACATGCCTGGAAGTGTGGATCAGCACAGTGCAGTCATTCTTAAAGTACGATAACGCTTGACTTACCGGTGTCATCCGCAATCACGAAGCCGTCGTATCCCCATTCACCGAGGGCATCGTAAAGCATCGGATTTACATGAGCCGGGACGTCGTCGAGCTCGTTGTACGACATCATGACACCGCGAACGCCTGCAAGGTCCACAGCTGCCTTAAAAGGGATTAGCAGGTTCTGGAGAACTTCTCGATTGCCATGTCCCATAAAAGGTGCTCCATTAAGCTTTGCTGAAGTCAGCCATTGTCGTTATTAATGCGTTGTATATCTTACACCAGACTGAGGAGCTCCATGAGCAGCGAAATGCTTCATCACTGGCGCTACTGCATCGGCATCACCCAGGGTGCCATTTTTTGACATTCCAGAAGCATATGCTACTCCCATRTGACTCGTCAAGATATGGTYCTCACCCCAATCCTCTGTAGACGATTCGTCAATCTTGTGGGATGAGAAGTGGAGATATCATCTCACCTTGACATCGTCCCCATCTCGAATCTTGACAGACATCTAGCACGGGACTGAGACATGCATGTATACCAATGGCTCTCGCCTCGGTCCCTATTGCTCGACCAACACGATGTACGAGATCGGTATCCCACGAGGATGACATGGTCAAAGCTTGTGGAAACATCGACTGCTTGAAAGAGCCCACACCATGCAAGCATTCTGCAAGGTGCAAGAAGGGAATCTTGAGGCGGGACTTTTCGATGTTTAAGCGCTGCAAGGAATTGATTTGCGTTTTGTTGAGGGAATACCTGGGAAGGCTATGTTAATCATTTCTTTGATCCACCGATATAACTTACCAATCGTGAATCACTCCAATACCAGCGTCAGGAGCAAATCGAAGTGCGTGATCTGGGATACGTCAGTGATGAATGAAGCCTTTAACTTTGACCGATGCGACTGGCCATAGAGCTCATTGTTAGATTCCGGGCCCACAGCATCGTCTGCAAAGAACAGGTACAGCTGCATTACTGCAGTCGAATTAATTTCACACTGAGCACTGATGTTCGATATAAATACCCATCTCTGGCACCGTCATCTGTTTCACTAGATTGTTGATGAAGGCATCTTTGTCGGATGAGCTCTCTGTGGTGCTGGTGCCCTCCACATTTTGCGCCGGTATCAAGGCCAGGATAGAAGAAATCGAGAGAAGCCAAACCGAACATCGATTGAGAAAGAAACGCATGTTGACAAGATTGTGCTCCAGAAACGGTGCATGAATATCATGAAGATGTACTCAATGAAGGTCTCCAAGACTGATTTAGTCGAAAGTAAGCTCACCAAGCCAAATGCCTGGAAAGGAACCCCAAGATGTGACTGCAACGTAGCAGTCGTAGCATCGCATACCACTCGACAAGCGGGGATATGAAGTCGATCGTCTCACATCCGTCCCAATCGGTCGAAGGCTTTTAGCCGGGCGGCTGTAGACCTGTGTTCCTGCATGTTCATGATGAAGTGGAGAAGAGAGACTTGGGAGGGGATGCTTTGAATCTCKGGCCATGATTTGCCGAGCAGGGATCCGGATGTTGGAAAGCCAAGCAAAGCTTGGAGAGAGTGGTATTTTGACATCATTTCATTTTTCTCATGGAGAAAGAAATGCCCACAAATGGGAGGAGTGATGGCCCTGATGAGAAAGAGAGTAGATCTGGCTATCAAGATGTGACCTATAAACCACCACCTCTGCCAGCCATCGACACGAAAGCAATGCATCAAAATTTCATCAGGTCATGTCGGCATCATAAAAACACTTCCTCCTCCACCTCCTGCACCTCCACTTCTCGAGTTGCCACGCGAGGAACCGGCACTCGTGCCTCCGTTCTTGTTGGACCTCTTTTCAACCCCCGAAGATGACGACGCACGGCTCCCGTAGCCACCGGAAGCCTTTCTTCCACGTCCCCGTCCAGCACCACTCCCGCCACCTCCAGCATGACTCGCTCTGTAGGTCTTTGGTTTCTTGGCAACAGCGGCTTTCTTCTTGGTCACTGGTGCCTGAGGCGGTGGCATGGCCATGGCTGCCGATTGAGAGGCTGCGAATCGATTATTGAATTCAACAACCTTGGAGTCTGGTCGAAAGTAAGTGCTTTGCTCGCCCTCCTCATCCTCGTCCTCGTCATCATCCTCCAGATCCGACGGTATACTGCCATAATCCTCACCGTCGTCGCTGACTAGGTCGATGACGTTGCGCGCGTGCTGATCTGGCTGCTGTTCGGTATGACCCATCATCTCGTTGTATCGTTGACGCTGTTCCTTAACCAGCCTGATGAAGTGCTTGCCATAAATGCCAACCATATCCTTGTTGATGCGAGGAATCTCAGCCATCTGCTCCTCGTCCTCGATCCAATGGACGACCATGTGCTGAAGCATGGTGTTCGTGAACGGCACCATCATCAGTCCTTTCTTCTTTTGGATCTCTTTACACTTCTTCTCTGCGAGAGACATGAAGTCTTCCAGCACGATTTGGTGTACTTCACTGAGACTGCTGATAACTTCGTCTGTCGTGATGCGTGTTCCGAGGCCTCTTGCAGCCGGTGCCTTTTGACGCGGCTTCCTAGCATCGATCACGGGAGCGAAGCCATCGTCGCTTTCAGTATCTGCGTCCTGGTAGAATTCTTCCTCTTCCGCATCAGAAACGATGAAATTGTCCTTCTTGTACCCGTTCGCGTGCATCTCGCCAGATTGCGCCGACTTCTTACGTCGAGACGCTCCATGAAGTGGAGACGAAACATTGGTGGACATGGGAAGCTCCCTTCTCTTCGGGCCTGCAGCCTTTTTGCTCTTGCTTGCGACAGCCTTCGTCTTTGGCATTTTTGGAGTCGTGCTGATCTGCATGATGAGCTGTTTCCTACTCCCAGACCGGAAATCAGTGCATTTGGAACCGAGATTGACGTGCTGCGTCGGAAACTTTTTCTTGTTGAGCTCGCTGTCTTCTCGCAAAACGTCTTCGCTCAGGAGGCGGTAGAACAGTCGTTCGACGTCGCTGCGATCAAGATCCTTTCCAGCGCCGAATTCGTCAATCTCAGAGTGACGAAGATGTTGTATCTTCTTGTTGCTGGCTCCGCGGAAGACATCAACGCAGTGCAGGACCGTCACTTTGTCACCTCTGACTTTTCGAACAAGATCAACGGCCTGGCGCGCATAGCTCGTGAAGTCAATGTCCTCGAAAGTTGACGTGGAATTGCAGTTGTCGCATTGAGCGTCGCAGTCTGCTTGGTTGAAGCGTTCACTAAAGTACCCCAACACTTGGACGCGACGGCAATCACTTCGGTTTTCGCAGTATTGGATCATCAAGCGTAGCATGTGGTGCAGCCGCTGCCGCTGTTCCCAACTTGAATCTTTTTTCGGATCGTCGATCATCCTTCGGAGCTTGGTCGCATCTCCATACCCGTAGTAGAGATAGCATCTCGAGGCCAGACCATCGCGGCCTGCCCTGCCTGTTTCCTGGTAATAACCTTCCAGGGATTTCGGCATGCTGTGGTGAATCACGAAACGTACGTTCCCCTTGTCTATTCCCATCCCAAACGCGATTGTCGCGACAATGACGTGATAAGCACCTGCCTGCCATTGTTTCTGAATCCTGGACTTTTCCGCGTTCTCGATCCCAGCGTGATAGTGATGAGCTTTGATGCCTTGCTTTTGGAGTGCAGCAGCCATATTTTCGCAATCCGCGCGGGACAGGCAGTAAATAATGCCAGTCTTCCTGTGATGCTTCTCTTTGATGAGCTCTGCGATATCCTCGATATCAGCTTTGCCCTTGTTCTTCTTGCGGACTTCATAGTAGAGATTCTTCCGGTTGAAACTGCTCGTGAGGACCTCACACCCATCAATCCCGAGATTGTGCATGGTGTCAAACTTCACATTCTCAGTCGCCGTCGCTGTCAGTGCCATAACAGGCACGCCCGGAAACTTTTGGCGAACGTCGCCGAGTAGTTTGTAGTCTGGTCGGAAGTCATGTCCCCACTGACTGACACAGTGGGCCTCGTCGATGACGAACCGGGCCAGGCGATTCCTGCGATGTAGACGGTCGAAAACGTTCATCATGGCTTGGCTCTTGCTCAGCATCTCCGGGGTCACATACATCAGCTGGATGAACTTTTCGACATCCCGACTATCCAGTGCATTCATAATCTCACGACGTTCTTCTTGTGTTGTCTCACTGTTGATCAGAAACGCCTGGATTTGGAGGTTACGAAGGTGCTGCACTTGGTCCTCCATCAAACTGACAAGGGGCGATATGACGATCGTCACGCCTCTCGTCTTGCCGGATGAGATCAGAGCGGGGAGTTGATAGCAAAGGGACTTGCCACCACCTGTAGGCATCAGCACAAAGGTGTCTTTGCCGGCCAGGGTGGCATTGATGGCTTCCACTTGATTCTCGCGAAAGCCGCGGAGCTTGAACCGGGTCTTCAAGGTTGTCTTCACTTCGTTGGACCATGGATGCGAGAAGTTTTTACGCTCGAGCTCGTTTTCTTGAGCAGCACTGAGTGCTTTCGATCCCGTTTTCTTGGACTTGCCGGAATCATGATGTCGCGCCTGGGCATTATGAGAAGTTTCTGCTAGAGCCGATCGACCAGGTGGCTTGTCCGGCGTTCTTGTTGATGAACCTCGACTTTCGAAATGCTCTACCACCTCTAGCATATCTTCGTCGTCGCCAAAGCCGAAATCGTCATCGTCCTCGAAGCGTGCAGGTGGCGAGCCCATGCGGTTGCTGTACATGTTCTCAGCAGCAACGAACGTGCCATGATCATCTATGTTCTCAAATGTATCGTCATCGAACATTTGACTATCGTGGGACACAGACTGATTATAGGCAGTTGTATGAGACGGTGCAGTCCGAGACAAGTCTAGCGGGGATCGCATATTGCTCGTATCCCGGAAAGGCGGCGGCCTGGATGTTTGAACGTGCTGAATCTGAGGCATCTGCGTCTGAGCAATACGACTGGAGCTTGGAACGTATGGTCCTTGATCGAGGGCCATCTTTGTCGGCGCCTGGGTCGATCGAACAGCTACCTTCTGACCCATGAAAGGCCCCGAACTCTCTACTTCCTGGTCGGTAACAGAGAGAAAATCGCCTTCAGATTGCCTAAGAGCTGCCAGGCAGGTTTCTTGGAAGGCTCGCAGTCGATCTCCAGCAGCTCGGTTCTTGGCCTGGGCGGCGGCCTTGGCTTCTTTTTGGCGCGACTTGACCGCAAGCAAAAGAGCTTCCCTACGTGATTCCTTTTCCACAGTGAGATCGCGGTATTGCGGCCGCCGATCCCGTAATGTAACAATGGCGGCGTGCCGCTCATCGAGGATTTCTTGTTCCCGTTCCAAATCGTCCGCGTTGTCGAAACCCTTGTCGTATAGGTCTGTAATCGCTTCCGCGAGAGCATCTTGGCGATTTTGGAGGCTGCTGAGAATGCCTTCAAAAACACTATCGGACAGTAAGAAGACTTTGTGCAGCAGAGCAAACGCAGCCTCATCTTCCGATGACACTGCTTGTGTTCCACCTGTAGGCGGAGGAGCGTCAAACAATACACGCTGAACAGGTGGAGTCACTCGTCGCTTGAGATCAGGATATACTATGGCCTGGGGTTCCACGGCTTCAAAGTCGTCCACTTGCATTAAAGAGTCATCGTCCAAGATCTCTGACTTGATAGGCTCCAGCTTTGTTAGAGCGCGACTTCGCTCTGACGATGCCGCAAAGGGCTTCGGTGTATTTCGCGGTTTCCGGCTTGAAAAGTCAACAATGTCATCGTCGTCTTCCGAATCGGACATCACACGGCTCTGATCAAACCTGGGCTTTGACGGAGAACGAACGACTGTGGTATTCGCGCGCGCGAGCTTGGCCACCGTCTTTGCCTTTGGCGGTGGTATCGTTGAGTAGGGCGGAGGTGCATCGTCTGATGGTCCAACTTGTTTCACGGGACTTTGCGAGTCATCCATAAAATCATCCAACGATTTGAACTCCTCGCTAATCCTTGGCTCCGCCTTCCGTCGCGCTGCTGGACGCTTGATCACCTCGGACTCGCGCAAAGCCTCCATATCGCACTCAAACTCATCGCTGGTCCTCTTCCTGCCAGTGGTGGTGGCCATTTGCAGCTTTGGCGCTGGACTGCACAACACAGCTACACCGTCGGTGAGATCCAGCATTTCTACATCCGCTGGAGGCATTGGAATTGGTCGGGATGTTGATGGTACATGTCTTGACGTCGTCATTCCGTGGACAGATGGTGGCCGAGATCCCGTAGGCGCTCTTGCAACCGAAGGAGCCCTGGAGGCAGATGCTGACGGTGCTCTGGATTGTGCAGAAGCGGACCGAGCATTTCGTGATGGCGAAGGCTGAGGCTCGGGGACTGCATTGCCAATCCACGTCTGTGGAATGCTGGCGGACCCAGGCGCAGTCCTCGCCCGCACCATGGCCTCGTTGTTGCTGCCTCGTTCCCGCGCGATATCTTCAGGTCTTCGGCTTGACTCTCGTGATCGACTCGTGAGCTCTTGTGTACTGTCACTGTCGGTCGCGATGCCTTCGTTCGGAGTGGCTGTTATGCTCGGGAACAAGGCCGAGACTTGTGGCAATGATGTCGACGTGGAGGGTATAGAGGGCTTCGCCTGCAACAGCCAGTTCAGGTGCTCGTTGAGGTTGTGGCGCGTCATTGGCGGCGACCATTGCTGACGCGGGGCGAAAGATGGACAAATGCTAGGCGCATTGGGATTGTTTGTACTTTGTCTCGATTGTGTGTGTTTACGCGGTGAGGTCKAGACGGAGTTTAGACGCGTCCATTTTCGGGGTGGGGTCCGCAGATCACTCGCCTGCAGGAACGAATTAGGCGCCAGGTCACGAGCCCGCGTGAGGCTTGGCTTGGCTTCTCGATGAAACTGGAAACGCGGCCATTGTGAATCTACCTTGTGAATTTATTGAGGGACATGCTGGTGATCTTCATCTCGTCTTCACGTCCTTTCGCGCCCTTCTTCATTTACCAAACATAATGAGCACGATCGATGAGTTCGTCCTCCCCGCAGTGGCTACAATCCAAGACTGCCGATCCAAGCTTCTACGAACGATACCCCAACGCGGACTTGGAACGGAAGACGTCTATCAACACTTACAGCATGACATCGTACCAGGACTCAACAGAAGCAGTCAATCTGCCAGCTTCTACGGCTTCGTAACTGGTGGAACTACCCCAGCAGCCGCTTTTGCCGACAATCTCGTTACTCAACATGACCAAAACGTACAAGTTCATCTCCCAAATGACACTATAGCTACGGATGTCGAAGATGCAGCATTACGAATGCTCTGTAACTTGGTCGACCTAGAAGAACATGAGTTCAACAATCGGACATTTACAACCGGGGCAACTGCAAGTAATGTCATCGGCCTCGCATGCGGGCGGGAGTACATCATTGCAGAGATGGCTAGGCGGCAGGGTAAGACCGCTTCTGTTTCCGAGGATGGTATCATCGAAGCCCTTCGGATTGCAGGAATCGATTCTATCCAGATACTGACTACTGTCCCTCATTCTTCCCTACGGAAAGCTGCCTCCATCGTTGGACTTGGGAGAACGTGCGTGAAAGATCTGGGTCTTTTCCAAGCAAAACACAATTTCGATCTTGCAGCTTTGGAACAGGCCCTGAAGACCCCTCGTACAGCCTCGATCGTTTCAATATCCTGCGCAGAAGTTAACACTGGATTCTTCGCTACATCGGGCGACGACATGAAAACCATCCGACAGCTCTGTGATACTTACGGTGCCTGGATACATGTCGATGCGGCATTTGGCCTCCCCGCAAGATATCTACCCAAGTATGAACCCAAGTATGCAGCCCTTGTCGATGGAGTGAAGAACATCATCCTCGCAGACTCCATCGCTGGGGATTGCCATAAGCTCTTGAACGTGCCGTACGACTGTGGAGTCTTCTTCTCCCGTCATCTCGACATTGGCACTCGGGTGTTTCAAAATCCAAACGCAGCTTACCTCAGCTCTTCTTCAGAAAGCAGTATACCATCGCCTCTGAACATCGGCATCGAGAACAGTCGACGGTTCAGAGCTTTGCCAGTGTATGCTACGCTGGCATCATACGGCAGGGAGGGGCATGTCGAACTTCTCGAGAGACAAATCTCCCTCGCCCGCTGCATCGCGGAATTCATCGCCAACACTCCTAGTTTCCAGCTGCTTCCTCAATCCCCGCCCTCGTTTGCAAAGGTTAAGGAGCAAGGGATCGCTCGCATATACAACATCGTGCTTTTCCGTGCGACTGATCCCGAAATCAATAAAGAACTTGTCCAGCGCGTCAATGCGACAAGGAAGATTTTCATCAGCGGTACTCAATGGGATGGCCAGCCTGCAGCTCGTTTTGCAATTTCGAATTGGCAAGTCGACGTCGATCGGGACATGGCGCTGATCAAGGAAGTACTGCTGAGCGTAGTGAGCTGAACTGTTCAAAACATGGCATATCATGAGCATATAGACATAGGCCTGGGTATTCCTTCTCTCTTAAACGCCTGCTCTTTATAGCTGTCAAACACCATTCCCATTCATACACTTGCTCCCAATCATACACGTGGCCCCAAACTCCGATTATAGTCCCGTCTCGAAATCAAGCTCTTGATCGACCATCATCGTCGCCATACCCGCCTCGCGCCACCATTGATGCGAGAACAATCAGCCAGACCAAGAACACAGACCCAACGACCCAGAAAGCGAACACAGCGGACCAGCTTTGGCAGATGGAGTTCTGCTGTAGCCACGCCAGAGTATCCACACTTCTCGTATCGCTCGGCTGGTTCATGACAAAAGTCTGACACTTGCTGTTGATATCTCCCTCTGGCCCGAAAAGCTGAATCGCAGTCTCAATGAGTCCTGTTATGAACAACACGAGCAGAATAAACGCGCCGAGGATAAGGATACCGGGGAGCAGGCGCCGTTGGACGATGAGGCTGAGCATGAGGATTATGAAAACGACGAGGAGGGAGCCGACTGTGAGACCGAATGGCATGATCCTGTGGGGAGAAAAGAGTCAGTATGGTTGAGGCTGGGATATCGGCCGTTGTGGCAGGGTGAGGAGAAGATAACGAACCATGGTATTCCCAAGTGATCGAGGCGATTTTGTATTATGATGAAATTTGCGTTGATACCGATGAGGACCCCGCCGGTTGCGAGCATTACGATGATCCAGAAGTTGAGTTGCCAGTCGGGCCAGTAGTAAGACTGGCGGACGACGACTCGCTCGCGACGACTGCTGAGGACGGTGCTGCGGCCCATCTTTGCGGTATTGTCGGCGAAGAGAATGCCGGAGGAGGCAGGTGTCACAGCCTGTCGTGTCGTTTGTCACACAAGTAATCGTGTGAAGTCCGTGTACTTGAAATCGTGTAGCCTCGGGGGCGAAGATGGCGGCGACAGCTATGCGCCGGCAGTTGTCGAAGAACAGTAAGGCCCTTCTGCCGCTATTGTATCCACTGATGTGTATCTCAGGCACCGTGCGTCCCCTTTCCTATTGTACCGAAGGCGAATCCCGCCGCGTGTGTTGCGTGAAAGTCTCCCAATCGCGGTGTGCCACGAGTAAGTTCGAAGCTCTCGGTGGGGTCGTTGGGATAGGAGAGGTGTGGAGATGAAGTTGTCGAGTGACGGTGAGATGTTTGGGCAAACAAGAACACTGAAAAGAGCGAATGGCGCGAAATGGGCGATGAAGAAAGAGTTCACGCAAGTGAGTTGCGGAAGTACACGATGCGATGCGCCTACGATTCATCCTTGTTGACGTCGCGCGCTTTTTTGTTTGGTGTGGCTGGAGGTCTCCCCGCCATCTTTGGAGAACCCTGCTGCGCTAAAAATACCGATCCCTCTACCCACCTACCTTACCTACCTTACTCCGTACCGAGTCCGCAATGTGAGATCTTCTGATCTTCGTGTCTGATCAAGCAGATATTTCTCACTGTGGCTATCACATGTCTCAATGTGCTGCAACGCCGTTTTCACTATGTCAAGGTGATGGCATTGACTCATGACGACTAGCTGACCTTTTTTTGCTAGGGCACGCCTCACGCAAAAAGTAATGTACGTACTTTGTATAGGTCTGGGGGACCTTAAAGGTCGACAATCGCACTCACCAGGTCATCGTAATGCCAACAAGCTTCACGTCGCCACTGAAACCTCCCGAGCTGCTCCTGGACGGCTCAGTATCCATCATGCCGTGCTAAAAGCAATCGCCTACAAACCCGTACCGCGAGCCTGAGCGACTTCATCACGAGGTCGGAGAATATAAGGCTGGGAGCCACCCACGAGTGCAACGACTAGGTCTACACACCTCACGCCTTGCGATGCCTAGCCGGGCAGTGTCCCTGCCAATGCTTGGTTCATGGCATCAGCGATTGCGGGCTGACTTTGACGTGCGTGCTCTTGGAACATTTCCAACATTGAGTGACCGACAGGAGTTGCCATCGACTCCCCAAAGTCCGACATTGGAGCACTGATGTGAAAGAGCTCAAGGCTGGGACGGCGGCAATTCCCGGTTATGAACGTGGAAGAGACTCCATCAACCCGATCCAAAATATGTACCTGGACGTGTAAAGTCTGCTCCGCAACCACAAAGAGAGCGTGCTCGACGAGATCCGGGCGTTCCCATCGTGCAACAGTGCGGGCCTACGAGGTGAGGCCAGAAGTAGTGCTCTCATGGCGCACGGATTACGCAAGGAAGGCATGCCAAAATCAGACACTAACACCCACGACCCGTCAGCGATTAGTTCCACAACGCCTATGATCTCATGCTGGCTCCAAGTGAATGCGTTGCCAGTTTCGGTCGGTTCCTTCTACTGTCCATAGGTCTACATGCACGGACAGAGGGGCTAAGTCGACTCTATGACTGCACAAAGAGACGCAGCTCGACATACCCACCTTGATATTCCTTGGTGCAGAGTAAGCCAACTTTCGGTGTACGCTGGAAAGCTCATAATGAGTGCTTAGGCAGTTTCGAGATACACCATGCATGAACAACTTGGAAGCCTGGAGCTCTGAGCAAGTTATGAATATGGAACTAGCTAGATTTCTCGGAAAACGAGTACTCTCCTCGTACCATTCGCTTCGTCTATCACATCTACCAAAGCTCTGTATGCGTCGCAATACGCACAGTACTCGAGAGAAGCGCCCGGTGCTTTGACGCATCACATCGCATATTGGATCTGTTCAATCATTTGACGAATCGTGGGTTATTCGGCGGTGCTGGATTAGTTGGACTGGGTGGCGGTGCTTGATTGGTTGGGTTATTCGGTGGTGCTGGATTAGTCGGGTTGGGCGGAGGTACTTGGTTGGGAGGCTCGTAACCCTCCTCTGCTTCCAGTTCCAACTGTGCCTGAATGAGGGCGTCAAGTTCGTTGTCCGACGGACCAATGTAGGAATCCGGCCGAACCAGCTCGCAGGTGCTACCAGCCAGATACAACAATTCGGAACCCTCACATGGTGTCAGTTTGAGCTGGTACTGCTACCCATCGTTGCTTGAGAGAAGGAAGCCAGATGGAGAAACGCATGCATACGTACATCGCCGCCCGGAGGAACGACAACCTTAGGGTCGGTTGCCTTGCATTGCAGGACAGTACCATCACAGTTGTTCCCGTAAACTGTTACCTCGGTTTCGAGGCTTGAAAAGCTGTTGAAGGGCATGTGGTTCACAATGTAGCCAGATTTGGGGATTGTCGAATTCTCGTTTCTCTGCCACGTACAGGCTGATCCAACGAAGTTTGCGGTGCAACTCCCAACTACTACGGCATCTGGCCTGTTGCCGTCAACTAGGGAGTATGATCAGTAAACCAGCCAACTTGTCTCGAGCCGGACACGGATTAGGGTTGTGCATAGCTTACGACTACGAATCTGGATCTGGTGTGTCTGACCGCCAAACAAGCTAGGCTGCCGCCCAAGAGTCGAACGCTGGAACTGTAGAACGCATCTGTTGTCTGCGAAAGCTGTGGCAATTAAAAGTAAAAAGATGGATATCGCAGCGTTGGTGAAGGAAGGCATTTCGAAGAGTGTATATCAAAACTGCCAAAAGATTGTCTTGATTGTCTGTCGAAAACCTTGAAGACGTCTTGGAGTGCTACTTATGTAGTTCTTCGAGCTTTTTTCGCTTCAAACGCGCTCGAGGAAGAGGACAGAATTATTTTTTGGTTATCATCAAAGCTGAAGCTTCACTTGTCATGCCAAGACTTGTAGCGCTTCATTTGACCATATGGGGACATGATTTTCCTTGGCTCTATAGCCAAGGGAACACTGCCATTCGGCGGTGATATGTAATGCTGGGCTATATCTTAGGAGCAACCTCTACTCCACCATCGCTTACACATCCGAGCAATTCCGTCTAGGCGCTCCTATGGGTTGGTACCGTGTAGTATCTTGATTGGGGGCGATATTTGGGTCGGTTAGATGTGCATATGGTACTGCGGGTACTCTGACTTGCTAAGATGAAGATGTTCCATGGAGTAAGCAATCCTTCTATCGTGTCCGCAGCATTCGATTGAAAATAGTTCGCGTAGATACAGAAGTAGTTGCTTTGGAACCGACGTCTGATAAGGTTCGGAGCTAGTGAAATTTCCAGAATCCAGGTGAATGTTTTAGGGCGTCGAATCTTTGCTCTTAGCTGCCTTGTGATGAGATTGACATCGTTGCTTGATTCTAATTGAGTGAGTCACTGGCTATGTAATTGGTAGCTTTCTCATCAGAACTTCCTTAGTACAAATTAAACAGAGTGAGGGAATGTTCTCGCAGTTTGTCCGTCTCTGTCCGAGCCGACTCTTAGATTAATTCAGGATTGACCACATCTCGGACATACGCAAGGCAAGACATCTTATTGACGCGAGCAAGAGATTGAATGCATATATGCTACGATAGTGCGATGTTGAAATGGTGACATTCATGCCGTTCGATTTCATCGGGCGTCGAATATTGTAGCGACCCCAATCATCTTCGTGATTCTCACCATTCACAATCGAAGTCGATAAGCGCTACCATGGACTTCAAACGACCGCAGATACAGCTCATCGCATAGAGACGGGAGTATGGTCTGTCAAACACGGCGACGATCTTGGCTTGTTAAACCTGATGCATTGGCTCTGACATCGACTTACTATTGTCCCCGGACATCACGACTCACTTTTACAAAGAAGCGTTGCGATAAGTGCGACGTAGCTCAGGTTGGGCGACGTGTAAACTTCAAACACGAAAAGTTCTTTCAGAAGACCTTCTCAGATCACGACGACGCCGTTATGTATGTCAATCGGCTACATACGGTCTATTCCCTCAAGTCGAACTTCGCACCTGGTACAATCCTACTGAAAGCGCATCGTCCAACACCGCCTTCGGAGGCTTCTGCCTGAGCGTCATCATTCTCCCCAAGCAGTACTCGTTGCCAGGCGAGGATGATCGAGACCGTATGGGCGAATCATTCCTCGAAGGCACAGACAAGCTTTCACTTCTGCTCTGTCGCCCTGAGTAGGCGTTGCTACGCCGAAGCCCAGCGTCTGCCATTAGCCCAGGAGACTTCGAACGAGCTTGTTTCTCTGGAGGTACGCCAGGTGATTTTGATCGCGGAGCTTCAAATCGCGAGTTGGAAACACTGGAAGCTGAGCGTCTTCRCGGCTCGGTACTCTCTCGTAGCATAGACCATAAGTTCCGAAGCCGTCGCTGATTCTGCTCGGGCTTCATCACCCGACGAACTGGCAGGACCTCTGCGCCGGCCATCTCCCTTGTTGGCCAAGGAAAGCTGACGGCCATTTCCTTTAATGTCATGGCATTGAGCTGGCGAAGGATGATCCGCAGCTGCGGCTCCACATTGACAACTGGTTCGAACGCCCAGTCGTCTCTCTCTTCCAGACGATCAGCGATCTGCGTCATGGCACCAATCAGCCATTCGATGGCAACTTTATCCGGCACGCTGTTGGCCTTGTCCAGAAGCCAACCTAGCATCTCTGGCGTGCCAGACTGATTGAGGATCGGAATGCTCCGCTTATCGTGCTCGCGGCCTTGCAATTTGATGATGAAATCGTTGTATTCTTGCATGGCGTCCAGTCTCATACCAACGAAGCGGCTGTTGTCCAGAGCATGTACCAGTTCGTCACCCAGAGCTATTCCGGCCTAAAGATGGAGTTAGCAGTGTTCTACAAGTGTGATGCCCACTTGGCTTGTTCTACGTGCCTTGATACCACTGTTCAGTCCACGGCCGGGCCAAAAGTGTACTGTCATCGCTGCATCGCCAGCTACGGCAACTAATGCATGAGGTCGCCTGATGGCGGAAGAGTCTACCGGGGGCAGCTTCTGGACCCCTTCCTCGACCGCCTGCACGACAATAGGTATTCGAACGATATTGATGACTTCACTCTCCTTGAATCCAAACAGCTTCAGGCCGTCTGAGATGGCAACCCAGAGCGGGCTTTGACGATCCATGGATGGAGCAAATACCTGGCCTTCGTCGAAGCCTGGCGGTATGCTCCCATCTAGAGCTCTCAGACAGCCTGGTCGACCGAAGTGCACCGGTTGGCCATCAGCAGTGACCATCTTATGCCACTCCTCTTCCGTCAACTGCATGTTGAGGTATCCTCTACCATCTTGATCACTGGCGCTATTGGAAATGATTTTCAGCTTATGTTCTCGATATCAAAGACGACCATGTGGCACTTACTTTAGAAGATAACGGGTTTGTCCCAGAGTAAGGAAGACATTCAAAGGTTGAGACCATGGCAGCCCTGCCGGACGATCGAAAGCGATGCCGAGTGCATAACTGCGTCCACGCTCGTTTTCGAACTYCGAGAAGTAGGACTTGCGGACCCAGGATGCAGCACCATCAGCGCCAAGAAGCACATGGAAATCGCCCGCTTTGGCGATGTCATCTCTAGTTATACCTTCTGTGTGCAAATGGATCAAGCCACGAAACACTGGATCCTGTACTCGTTTTAGAAATCGATCCTCAACCTCCTGATTTGGATGTTGGCAGAGCCGGGCCACACTCGTTCCGGGGCCCCTGCGAAGAGAGCTTGATAAGAAGCTTGACTTAGCAGCGTTGTGACAGAATCTTGTAAGGTCACCACTTGATCACGACGCTTCGCAGTATGCGGATAGTCGACGTATACGCTGCCGTTCGAAGACTGTTTCCTGACCCAGCGACGCTCGTACATATGTACTTCGACCTTTCCGCCTCCTTTCTCTGCGAGTGATATCGCAGAAGCCAGAGCCGTGGGGCCTCCTCCAATGATGACGACTTTGAGACGTCCTGATGGATATGGGTATACGACTGAGTCTTCGGCAGCCAGAGGAAGAGGTTTGAGATTCCTCTCGATGGTCGGATCGAAGAAGAAGTCCAGTATGCTGATGACTTCTGGCGTTGGTATGGATTCTGCTACTTTCGTCTTGATGAGCATGAATCGGACGACTTGCATCCAAGGACTGGTGTTGAAGGATTCATGGCGAGCTCTGAATATGTTCTGGCGAATCGCCGCGGCTAACTGGACAACGGAGCAGTTCTGCTGGTCTGTTATGATGGCTCGAATTTCACCCGCTGTCCTGAGATCTTCTTCCATGTTTGCCATGCGAATCAGAAATACCAAGCTCCGCTCGAGATCGGTTCGTTCGGTTGGCTGCATTTGGGTTGCTACATCTCCCCATGCTTCTTCGTAGTATCTTGGGAACGATATTTCATCAATGGGAGGAGTTGATGTAGGTCCGAAAGATGCACGGCTTCGTCTTCTGGAGTTTGCGATGGGTACTGCGCTCGGCATGGCAGCGAAGTTGATTTCTTTGAGATGGCTGATTGTAGAATGAATGGGGATTTGGGCCAACGTTGTTGTTCTCGAAATGTCAAATTGGGGAGGAAGGTACATAACGGCAGCAAAGAGGCCTGAATTCCATCTTATAACACACAGAATTTTGGGCTGTTTTTACAGAACAACTCGTCCGCAGTGTGAAGCCGCCCTCTCGCAAGGCCGCTTCCTCTTCCAAGCTCCCAGTCATTCGGTGTCGGTGGCGTTGATTCCAGCCTTTACAACACCAACAAATCTTCTACACATCTATATCCGATTGAGACATATCGAGCGGGAGCCATGAGGGTCCACCATATATGCATCTGGTGTAGCACGAGACACTCCAAAGTGGTGCAACTCAACCCAACCCAGAACGCCATCGGGGCTGAAGTGCTGCGTTTTGTGTCACCATACATCATGGGGAATGCAGGAGGCGTCTGCCGTGTTACGAGGAAATAAAGAGAGACTCAGCCGCTCCGCAGTATGAAGGAAGCTATGTGTAGCGCTATTTGTAGCCGTTGTTTATGTGTAGACTGCGCTGTGCCGTGTTCATGGCCCAGTAAGGTACGTGTAGTGGCGTATGGCTCTCGGAAAGCGATCTGAGCCTACATTCAAGGAAGCACATAGTGAATCATAACTTCGTGTCATTTTGAAGGTGGGTTCTCGGACCCATGCTACTACTCCTTATCGTACATCCCACCGCCGCGGCAATCTTTCAAATGCATCGCTTTTTGCCGCATCAACTTTCCTCTCGGATCAGTGTAATCTGAGGCAGAACAACCATCTTAGCATCCTCAATCAGTGGGAGTGCATGCCACCAACATGACCAGCCTCCTTGGCAGCCTCAGAGCCCTTCTTGAAAGTGCCATCAGCATTACGTCCCGAGCCGTCCTATTGATCAATATTAGTGTCAACGAATTTGCTCTCAACGGATGGCAGCAACTTACATCATTCTGAACCTCCATCTCATTGACGCCAGTCAAGTGATGAGAGTGAAGACCACCAATATGACCAGCTTCCTTCGCAGCTTCTGATCCCTTTGTGAAAGTGCCATCCGGGTTGCGACCAGGCTGGTGCTCGAGCTTGGGGTCAGTCTCGCCGTGAGCATGGAGGCCTCCGAGGTGACCAGCTTCCTTCGCGGCGTGAGAGCCCTTTGTGAAAGTACCGTCATGGTTGCGACCAGGCTGATGCTCGAGCTTTGGGTCAGTCTCGCCGTGAGCGTGAAGGCCTCCGAGGTGTCCTGCCTGCTTTGCGGCTTCGGAGCCCTTGGTGAAGGTGCCGTCTGGGTTACGGTCTGGGTTGCTGTGGTCGCTCTGAAGTGATGTTAGCAGTCGCATGCGAAGACCTTGCGACTGAAATACCTCGGTCTTGTTGTGGCTGCCATGCGAGGCCTTGCCGCCCATCGATGCGATCTCCTTGACTTTCTCAGTAGCCAAGTTAGCGAAGTTGGCGGGGTTGGAGTCAGCCATGATGTTGTTCTGCGCCTGTTTTGGTCTGTGGGTTGAGATTAATTTGAGAGTGAAGAGTGGCACGGGTGATGTTGTTTTTGAAGCAACAGTGTGGAGCGAAGTTGAATTTGTTGTGAAGTCGTGCTTGTGATTGCGATGAGTTTAAAGTTTGATGTCATAGAATAGGAAAGAACGTCAAAAGCAGGTTTCATGATACAAACCGGCCTCAGGAAACCCGCTTCGTATCCAATCCTTTGCAGATGTGGCCTGGAGCAAGCGAGAATACCAAAGATGCACGTTCCCGATGATGTAACATAGCAAACAACAACTTACCAATGAAATTCCGATACGCTTGATGTGATTCCTAGCTGCAGCTCCACTTCACGCCGAGACGGATTGCGCCCCTTCTTGGCAGCAGTGTTCCTTTCACGCCCATCGTGATTTATCCGCATGACGGCCTGGAAGTTGTACCGAGCCGTCGCTGTGACATTCCAGGAGGTCAGGCATCACTGCTCATCCTCTGCAAGCTGCCGCTCCAACACTTCCTTCGCGGGATAAATCGTAGGCAGACATCCGCTCACATGCCAGCTACCGCGATTGTCTTGTGCGCTGATAATTTCCCAACTGATGTCTTCACCCTGGGCACTCGCAAGAGCTTGCATGTCCTCCCACCTGGCCCCATCCTGACAGAACCCATCCCAGCAAATGAGACGCCGGTAACGGTAGCCTTGAGCCACCAAACGCGCAGGAAGCGTCGCTGCGGGATCCCTCGGAATTATCGAATATCTCTTGCCTCTGCCAGGGCGATGCAGGTAACTGGGATCTTGTAGCAGAGGCACGAAAATTTTGCCACAGACTAGAGGCAGTGCAAGGTCCAGGCTCTGGATGCTTTGACCCACCTCTCGGATGACATTGCACAAGTGATGATCGGGATGTTCTTGGATCTCGTGGACGTATTTCATGTGGTTGTACTGCCAGTCGCTCCGAGGTAGTGGCTGTAGGTGTAGTTTGAGATGTTGCAAAAGTTGCAATCCGCGCTGAAGGAGCATGCCTGTAATGCCACGTTAGTAACTCAATCTCAAGAAATGTGATCTTTACTTACTCAGAGCCGCGAGGTCGGTTTGTCGTAATGAAGGGCAGTTTGCGATCTCCAAATGAGTAAGATATTGTGGGATGATGTTCGACCCAAACAGAGACTCGAGCACTGTTGCATTCAGCAGACTGTTGTATTGCAGCCTGATCTTCCTCATCTTCTTGAGACCATAGAAGGGCGTGAAATCCGCCTTTCTGCGACTGTGGCCAAAGCTATGGCCATGATACTCGCGCGTGTTGCATTCGGCGGCTTCCTGATACGTGGCAGGGAGATCCCCACGACACGTGTGATGCGAGTCGAACTCGATGGTCTGTAGGTCCGGAAAAGCAGAGCCCGAGAAACACAGCTCCCAGAGGTTCCGCGATTTGGACCGTCCCGAGCGCCTCGAATGGGTTTGTTCTTGCGCGTCACCACCGAGAAGTAACACCAGATGACGCACGTCTGGCAGGTACACGGTCTGAAGTTGCTGTAGCAAGCCATGCCATGGACCATGCAGGGTGAGACGGATAGTTACGCCGCTGCGGCCGCGCGAGATGGCTCCGATACATCGGGAGAGTAACTCGCCATTGACTGGCTTCGAAGGGTTTCTTTCGCCGTGAGAAGAGTCTAGCACGATGTTGAGTCGCTTCACGTCGCGCTCCCGTAGCTGCGCATCGCTTAAGCTCTGCCACCGAAGCCGCTGTCGGGCGCTGATTTTTGAGACGACAGGCGGCTTCATCAGTGTCGCCACGAGTTTAACAAGCTTGCCAAAGGATGTAATGTCGATTTGGGCGAATAGTGACTCCTGGACTGACAGGTAGTAGTCTTTGCTCATGCCTGCCAGGGAGGAGAGGTCCGACGGCGACAGGTAAGAGCAGACAATCAAGTACAGCTCCCGAGGAAGCGTCAGCATGGACATGGCCTCGAGTTGTTGTTGGTACGTGGAGTGATGGAGAGAGTTGATGAAGTGGAGACGGGGTAAGTAGGAGACCTGGAAGGTGAGATGCCGGATCCTACCGCCAAAGCAATGTGAATGAATTGTCAGGGGAGACTGGTAGCTTCCTTGACATGAGTTCTCTGTCTGGTTTCAGGGGATGAATCAATACTGGCATGCCAGTTTCGGATCAGCAAAATCAAAGAAGAGGTGATTGGACACTTTTGCACTGCGGTATTTCTACCACCGGGCAGTGTAAGCAGGAGGGTGGTCCGACAGCTCCGAATGACTCTCTCACCTAGATTGTCGGCTACCGACACATTCAAGACTGCTGTCTTCTGGTAAACCTGTCGCTGTGAAGAGATGGAGCAAGAGAATATGTAAATGTCAATGGCTCGCACGGGTTCGCGCAAGGAGCCGACCGCGGACTCGCCCGGAGGTGGTGACTGTCGCTCTCCACTTTGGCGACCGTGATATTTACTAGCCTAGCGGCTCTTGCACGGAAAAAAATAGTTCTACCCAGTGTCCGTGACAAGGAAGAAGAATGAGGAAAGACGTGGGGGAAAGTGAAGGCGGCTCTTATAAGCTTTTCGGTCCACGCGACCCATGTCTGCCTAAAGTAGAACCTATGATGATATAGCTGCTGACCTCAACTTTCGCACTCCCTCGAAACAAAATCACCCAAGGGGTCTTTGCGATGCCACCGGCTGGGAAAACCGCCCCAAAGCTGGTGAATGACTTTCTAGCCTTCGATCCCCAGAATATCGTCTCTGGCAACTACCTGACAGCCAATCCTCCACCTGCGGGCGAAGGAAAACCGCTTGAACCGGGGTTAAAGTCATGCAAGCATGAATATGCGATCAAACCGGTTCAGAGCGTGCTGCCTCCCCCCGATTCCCGACCGCAAAGAGGCACGCAGTACAAGATTGCGGTCCTGTGTCGCCGCTGTATGATACACGCCGACATCCACATCACATACCCACGCTCCACAACACCCTGTCCCTCTGCAGACAATCCTCTGCATCATTTTCAGTATCGGAAGGAGCAGGATGAGGTGGGCCCAGAAACAATAAGATATGGCTGGCAATGCTCCGTCCAGAGTTGTCAAGCGGAGGTCAGGATATCGTATAGGAGATCGCGGATAAGTACAGAGGACTATGAACTGCTCACAGCGCGAGAGCGGCTGCAGCGGAGGTATGATGCAGTGTTGCAGGCGGAACCTGATAGGAACGCAAAGTTGGCAACACCCACATCGGCCATGCACACCTTGCAGCGGTATTTAAAAGATGCGCTAGATCCGGCAGTGGAAAAGCGGCGGCTCATGGCAGCCAATAAGTTGTTCCAGACCACGTTTGGCATGCAGGGGCGCGACTGTAATGTGCTCCTCAATAGAATGGGCTTCACCTTCGTACCGCAGCACGGCGATGACGAGGCGCGATGGAACCTTCCGAACCCTCCCCCAATTGAAGATCGATTAGGTGCCGATGGCAGCAGCCCCCGCGAGATTCTGGAAGATATCGAAGCGGAGGCAGTCGTGTACGTGGGGAAGCTGTCACTTGCCGCTGGTGAGAGTAACCCTGTTGCAGCACGTGGAGGAGCGACGTTAGCGTTGGCAAACCGCGAGGTGGAGCGGGTTCTGGGCGCACAAGACTATCCCACGTTCTTGTCACTCAAACGCCCACAGCCAAACGATCTTCGCCCGTATTTCGCGTCACTCGGCGCACTACCCAACTTCACCGACACACTCCTGGAATACGCATTTGATCGTCAATTCGACTGCGATCCAGCCTTCAGTGCGTACTACCTAGAGTGTCTGCAGGCCATATCTGAGGAACGCGGCACGGAGCAGCTTCAAATCAAGGTCGCGGTGCTGCAGTCTCAGGACTTGGTCAGTCGACGAGACTTGCGAGCGGCATATCGCTTTCTGGACGTCAAGCAAGAGGACACTGACGAGCAAATTGTCAACAAATTCAACGTTAGACAATCGAACTGTGGCACGCAAATTCAGGAGGAGAACAGACAAGCTCTGGGGAAGATTGGCATAGCGCGTCAGAGTCCGAGGCTCAACAAGGCTGCAAGGCAGGAGCTGGAAACATACGACGACGCGTTAAGCTGGGTGGGTGTTAGTAGGGATACGGAGACTGACTTCGTACTATCCATGTTGGTACAAAAGGCCGACGAAAGTCGTTCCGACGCGGAAATGGCCAAGAAGGCTGCGTCGATCATCGCAAAGGAGCGCGGCGAGAGCGGTGTTATCCATAACTGGCTAGCAGGAAATGCCACAGGAACGTCTTCGATGGGCGTTGACGAAGCATTGCGCGTTCTGAATATTGAGGTGGCCCTCAAATCCATCGACCAGGCCACCCTTCAAGTGATCTTCGATTCTGCAAGAAGCGACAAGCCTGGCGCGCACACTGACAATGCAATCAGCGCAATCGAGAAGCATCTGGCAGCTGAATCATCCCGTCCGCCAGAGCTGTGGCCAGTGGGCCTCACAAGTCATGGGAACACTTGCTACCTCAATAGCTTGCTTCAATACTACTTCAGTATCAAGCCGCTGCGAGAGATTGTCCTGGACTACGATCAGTATAAGCTGGACACAGCTGCGCATTCGGAAAAGATGGAGCGTGTTGGACAGCGCATCATCACGACTGTGGAAATTCAAGGCGGCCAGAAATTCGCAGATGATTTGAAGTACCTCTTCGAGCGCATGATCAAGGACCGCCAATCACACATCAAACCGGAAGAGGACCTCGTGTGTAGAGCATTTCTTGAACCCAAGGACTACGCGTTGTTGACATCGGAGGTACGCGGAGACAAGGGAAATGGTGCCAAACCGAAGGACACGGCCATGGAGGTAGATGAAATCACAGACAAGGTCACCGCGGAAGACACCCCACAGTCTGGTGCCAGTAGCGTAACACTTGCTGAGGAAGACACCGCAATGAAGGACCATGACTCACCACCGACGCCGCCTGGATCACCAGCACAGAACGCGACCAAGGGTGACAATCCAGAACCGACGGAGCCTCCACCGCTTCCACCGCGACGGTTCTCCACCACCAAGGAACAAGCGCTTCTCAAGGCGGAGCAGAACGCCCGGCAGCAACAGGACGTGACGGAGGTGCATGACGGCGCCATGTTCCGTCTCAGATCAGGCATGATCGCCAAGGGCATGGACGACCGCGGCGAACAACAAGACCAGCTCAGAGACATTTTTGAAATCAGTCTGAGGGCGACTACTGTTCAGGAGGATGGCAGCGAAACTTCAAAGATGGAAGCTAGCTCCAGCATTACCACTGATGTTCCGAATGAGTCCACCGACGTCTACGCACTACTAGATAAGTTCTTCGACGAGCAGGACATCCCGGGAACGAACAAGACGACCTATAAGACGATCGATACAGCACCTCCCTTGCTGCAGATTGCAATTCCCCGCATTGGATACGACAGTAAAAGGGGCGCCTTCAAGTCGGAAGAGCTCGTTCTATTGCACGACGAGGTGTACTTGGATCGGTACATGGACGTCGCTGGGGTGTTGCCAAGACGTAGAACGTGTTGGGGTTGGCGAAAGCAATTGAAGGCGTGGAAGCGAGAGCGCAACTATCTTTCCAAAACAACTATTGAGCAGGATGGGCCCACGGTCCTCTCCGAGTGTGCAAACTTGCTGAGAGAGTTGGGATCTATCAGTGACGAGCTTGAAGACGTCGGTATGGGAGAAGGCATCGATGTCGAACCTGATCTTCCCGATGAAGTCGAATCTGAAGCTGCGAGCGCCCGCTCTCGTGTTACGAAACTTCAGCAACAAATTGACGAGCTTCAAGCCAGCTTCAACGAACAATTTGGCGATATGAAGGAAGTGAAGTACGAGCTCGCAGCTGTATTCATTCATCGCGGCGGCAACAGCAGTGGGCATTACTGGATTTACATTCGCGACTTCCATAAGAATTGCTGGAGGAGTTACAACGACGAGACAGTCACGGAACTTTCACATGAAGAACTCCACGCAGCAACAAGGGAAGCCAAATACAGCAACGGAACACCAACGTACGCAGTGTACGTGCGTGAGAGTGAAAAAGACTATGTCCGCCCTGTCTGCCGTGCGCCGGAACCCGCACCCGAAGTCGTGTGGCATGATAGTTGGGCAGAAGATGCCTCTCGAGCAACAAACGCCAGATCCAATGAGGGGACGGTCCAGGAGGGAGGCAATTCGAAGTGGGATGAGCAACGGCAAGTTCCTGCCGATGGATGGTAGAAAGGTGGGCGATGATGAGTAATGCTGATGTGATAGTGATCAGAACGAGAAATCTGAGAATCGCAGAGGAGCGAGTCAAGGAATTGAAGGCTACGGCTGCAGTTGTTTCTCCTCCGAAGCGGAAGTCTACGGGGGCGGTGTCTCCGCCGAAGAGGCAAAAGTGATGCTTGGCCGAGACGGGAGTGGGATTGGGAGAGTGTATGGCTACGATATTGCTCAATGTATGATCACAATCGTTACGAGCGGCATGTTCTCTTCAACCAGTGGCGGACGATTTCGACATTCTGGACCGCTCGTCTCGTTGGAGAAAGATGACTTTGCTGTCATGGRGCGTGTGCTCGAGGCTGAAAGCGTCGTTGTGCCGGGAAAACGATTTTGAAGCTAAGCCAGATTCGAATGCAGCAGGAGTGAAACTGATATGAGCTAGATTCGCTCATATTTGGGGGTTTCGCATCGAATCGTGATGTCGGGGAGGCGCCTCGTAGGATGTGACGGGAGCTGAGGTCCTCGTTGAGAGCGCTCCAAAGGGTTCAAGTTTCGCTGACAGGACCTTGCCGCGATTCTCCGGCCTGCGGTATCATATCTGCTTGCTTGGAATGGCGTTCAGGACCTCGTCCCCACGAGTTTGCAGTGAATGCTCACACCTGGCATTCACCTCGTAGGATGAACGCTACATGCTTCGTCGAGATCGCATTCGCTGAGAAGTATGAGTTTGCGTCCAAGTATATCTGGCCCTGAAGACCGGTTGAGCTGGACGGTTCCTTCTGCTGGACTGAGAGACGTAGGAGTATACTGAAAATCCATATCGTACCTGCGAAGCGATGGCCTTTGTAAGGCAAGTGACGCCGTCCCTCCCGTCCCTTCCTCATGCTGCAACTCTGCCACCGAATCACTGGCAGGTACTAGCAACTTTGAGACGCCCCACTTTTTTGTCCTATGACGGCTACCTTACCTTACTACCCAACCGCCTCTCCAACTCCTTTTCAAACGACTTGCTTCATAGTTCTTAAACGCTCAATTATCGGCGGTTCGCAACCCCCTGGCCTCTATCGCCCCTGCTTAACCGGATTCTGCGATGTCGTGCTATGCAGTCATCCAGAGGAGGCAGATCTCATGCCGACGACCACAAATTCTCCAAGCCTAAATCCATCCATCTGGCGACTTGGGAGCATCGTCCGTTGCGCAGGCGGCACTCGATCTCTGCCACGATATAGGCGGCACTCCAGCCTTTCCACGACATTGGCAGAAATAAACCAACGTTCACAAAAACAAACTACTCTCGTGGCACTAGGGAGCTTCACAAATCTAAGGCCACATACCTACAAGCCGAGTGTACTRAAAACACGCGTCGTGCTCGATTCGCAATCAGAGCACAAGCAATACCAAAACCATCAAGCAACGAAAACCTCGGCGATATCTGCTATGATAACACGGAAGCGTAAGGCCTATCAAAGTGAAGATGTATGCCTTCCATCGAAGCCGTGGAGCAATGCGACTCTGGAGACCTCGAAGTGCAACCAGGACGACGCGAGGACCAATCGGATTATTTTCGAGAGCCCAATCTGTTCTTTCAGACCAAGATTCGGGCGACTTGTCCTCTACCATTCTCTTCCTTGGCTCTGAGCCAAAAATGCTCTCATCCAAGAATTTGCAGTGGAGCAATTTGCAACAAAGCTCTCCAGTCATCCGCTCACACCATAAATCGTGGACTCGACCACTTGGCACTTCCACCTTCCCCGGTCTCATGACCGCTCATCGCCTTCGCATCTGTTCCTGGTCAAGCTGCACATGGTCGACAAAACTTTAAGTCTTCCTTAATTGATCAGCACCCGCATCATGAGATTCCCTGCATCTTGTACGGCGAGCGAGCTGTTCGACACAGCCTAAAATGGCATTGCTCTTGTACATGAAGCCTTCACCTCACAAGCTACATGAGACTTTGCACAAAATAACATATGCGCACCATTGACAGTTTACTTTTACGAACCTACGAAACAGGTACCCCATGACTTTCATCGACTATCGGTAGGTCCAGAGGGCGCCCATTATTCCACACTTAGACTTGAATTCTAATACCAAGTAGCCTTTTGTTTTTGACAYCTTGGCTTGCAGAATTCATGGAGTGAGCCACCGGCGCGACACCGAGGATACACAAAAGTACATCCAACAAGCCTTTATGGACCCACGTAAACCTCTCCGCACCTTTCCGCATCGAATATAAATACAGGGCACCTTTCCGCATCGAATATAAACACAGAGTCCTTCTTGATTATCTCCTGACTCTCTCTTGACTCTCTGTTGACAAAAATTCCTCATCCATTGAGTACCAAAAACATGGACGGCTTCGGAGATATCATCACGTCTATCGACACCGACTTAACAACATCCAAAGATGGGACGTCCGCCATCAACGGCAGGACATTTACATCTGACAACCGCACGCCCGTGTCCACCGAGGAGAATTTCACTGGGGATAAGGATGCAGCCAAGGCCACCCGCGTCTGCGCGAACAGATCCACGCAGGTGATGGAATCGACTAAAGACATACCTTCCCCTCTCCATTACGAAGAGAGACCCCAGAACGAGAACGAGCCACCCGCGCCTTCGTTCGTAACGATCGAAGATGAGGAAAAGTTGAGATGCACCCAGGGCAATGGACGACGGAGAGATGCCGCCCTTGTCATCTTAACCAAACTCCTCCCTCTAATCAAAGTTAAGCCAGCGCACTGCCCTCTCTTATACTCCTACTACGAATCGGTCGCGGCCTATGTCAACTGCATCGACGAGTTCATCAACACGAGAGGTCGTACCTGGTTCTACCCGCCTAAACTCTACTACCTATCCACCGTCAATCCCCGCGTCAAGGTCGACGTTTATTCGAGAATCGTGGATGAGAAGCGAGAAGCTGCCTTGAGTGTCATTACGCTCGAGGGGGAAGTCGATGCGAAGATGCTCGATTACTTGAGATTGTTGGGGAGATTGAGGAAGGCGGAGCTGGAAGCTAGGTTGCAATGGGAGGATATGGAGAAGAGTTGTGATCGCTTTGTGAGGAAGCAGGGGTGTGGCAATTGGTATGTGAGGACGAGGGCGCAGGAGAAGGAGTATGTTAATGCTCTGTTTGCGAAGTGGGGGGTTGATGGGAGTAAGTGGTTGGAGAAGCAGTGGCAGGGAAAAGACATGCGAATGAGGAGATTCTGGGCGAGAGTTGGGATCGAGGTGCTTTGTGGGGATGGAAAGAGGAAGGGGTATTGAAGCCATTCGCCGGGAGGAGAGGCTTTGAGGTAAGTAAGTGAGAAGCAGCTCGTGAACCGTCCCGATAAGTGTGTGGACTACTGGRAGAGTTGCACTATTAATGGGATGCGAATCACAGGGAATAGAAATGCCGACGTACACGGAAATGGAGAGCCCCTTCTATCCCCCACTACCACCACCACCACCATCACGACAACAACATTCTGGAAATCCCATCGACAATCATTGACAACCATCGGTAAGTCCCATTGCGTTTAGTCAAGTCATAAGCGTTGTCACAAGCCTAATTGCGTTCGAAATAAAGGTACATCTTCAGCCACGCATCACCAGCACCAGCACCAGCACCAGCACCAGCACCAGCACCACCACCACTACAGCAACAACAACATCCTGGAAACCCCATCGATCCTCGTCGGCAATCATCCACAAGTTCCACGGCGTTTAGTCTAGTCATACGCGTTGTCACATGCCAACTCGCTGTCGAAATTAAGATACAACTTCCCCCCAAATGCCTGCGAAAACCCCATATATTCAAGGCATGTTTGCATGCATACACCCGCTGACTCCATACAGTCCTTCCAAGTCGCCACCAGAAAGCGAAGTACTCTGCGTGTCATACGTTGGTAAGTCTCCCGCTCGAAACTACAGCAATCGCTTTTTTTTCAGATGAAGAATATAATTTCCTGTACATCTCCGGATTTATAGGGGAACAAGCATAAACGCAACGGTGAGAGTCGGAACTGATATAGTGGTTCGTTGGAGCGTAATAGCCAACCGACCTTTTCTCAAAAGTAGTCCGTAAGGTTCCGTAAAAAATGAGCACGATCTCATGACTGCTGTGTTCCCCTGGAAGATTCACCACATTTTCACATCGTCCCCCTCACTGAGCCAAAATCTCCGTCTACCAACCCCTAATCCCCATCCTCTCCTCCTCAGTCAACACAATCCCAAACCACGTCTCCAACGCCTCCACCCTCTGTCTTTCACTCAATAGCACCTCCAACACCCCCGTCTTGCCTCCAAGATTCTCCTTGACGACATTCCCACTCAACATCCTTTTCCCATAAACTTCTTGCCCCACTCCATCTTCCCTCTCCCGCCGTAGGAATTTCACCACCAGCATCAATTCACTTTGAAAAGAAGTCGGGCCACTAGTCCAAGAATTCAGAATTCGAAAATCGGCGATCAGAGCTTCTTGCTCGGCGAAGGCGTAAAAGGAATTCCAGGGTTGTGAAGAGGAGTTACGGTATTGATAAATCCAGAGTTTGGTCTCTTCGGTCCGCAGAGTCTGCGAGGGGATATGATCGCGATGGAGACGGATTTCTTGATTTCCGAGATTCTTTTGAGGGAGGTCCTGCATCAAGGGCATGGGAGCCGTGGCGCCGTCTCCGCCGAATGCGACGTCGACGTGGTATTTGGAGCCGTTGGAGAGGGTTACGATGTTGACAATGTGCGCGCTGGGATATGTATATATTTCTAAGTTACATGGTTTTGGAGTTGAGAGAGGGAAGGGGTAGGGAAGACGAACCAACCGATGTAATCTCCCGCGGGGATTCCGTCTGTACGATAGCGGATTCGCACCATGGAGGTGTATGCGGAGAAGCCCAGGGCTCGTAGGATGTGGTTGTAGAGGATGGAGAGTTCCATGCAATACCCGCCTCTCCCGCGGGCATTGGAGATGATTTTGTGGAAGACGTCGAGGGGTTCGATGGAGTTTGTGTGGGAGGGGTTGTAGTGCAGGGAGAGGTTTTCGTAGGGGATGGTGGAGATGGTGTGGATGTGTAATTGGGTGAGGAAGTGCAGGGCTTGGGTGGGATCGTGGGAGGGGCTGTAGTGGTATGTGTGGAGGTGGGGAGGGAGGGAGATGTAATCGAGGAAGGAGGAGAGATGGGAGGGAGTGAGGATGGATGTGGACATTGTTTTTTCTTTTACTCGGAGTGGCGGGAGAGGKTGTACTTCTGGGAGATGAGAGGATGTTGGAATGAGGGGTTTGGGGAAGTTTGACTTGCTTGTTCAATTGAGAGATGTGAGTCAAATGAGGCTGGGAGATTGTGCTGCAGGATTTTACTCTAGTAGAGAGCACGCAAGGCGGACCTGTCTGCGGCGTGAGTGAGTGAGTGGAGTGAGTGCTTATATTGCTGTACCCTGCTCCGATATCGGGAATCGAGACACTAGCTCAGCCCTATCGATGGAAGCTCCGATTCACTCACTTGCATGACGCATTGACTGGAATAAACTACTAAGTAGCTTACCTTGCATGAATGTCGAGTTGAAGAAGTGATATTATTCCACAATCAACAACGATTGATAGGATACACCCAACATGGCTTCCAAGCACGCCATCACTCGTACAGCAGCACAGAAAACGATTCCCCACGGTACGCGGTCGGCAAGCAGCCGAGCAGCTTTTCTCGCAACCCAAGCGCAAGAAGCCTCATCGTCCCGCGCCGCCACCTTGGCATATTCCGCCCGCGCGCAACAGAAACAATCGCACCTCCGCAGATCCATCTTCACTATTGTCGTCGCCGGAGGCCTGGCCAGCGCCTCGCAATTCTACCTCAACAACGGCCATTTCCTCCAACAAACCCACGCCGAAGCACCGCCGCGGGAAGAGGACAATGTGCCCATCATTGAACAGTCGAGGAAGAAGGCGGGCGTGTCAGTGGAGGAGAACCGGGACATGATCAGCAGTCAGCATCATCAGGTCAAGAAGAGTTGGGAGAATCCGGGGGTTTATGCGTGGGGGAGCAATACGGGGAGGGTGGCGGCGCCGGACAGCAATGAGAATGTCATCAAAACGCCGCGGAGGATGGCGTGCTTTGATGGGATGTTGTTGCGAGACATCAAGCTGGACCGCAATTTCGGAGCGGCCATTGATGAGGAGGGAAATTTGCTGCAATGGGGGGTCGGGTACGCCGCCGACACCAAAGCGCCCGTGAGGACTCTGGCGGGGAAGAATCTGGTGGAGTTGGCCATTTCCCGCGATCGGATCCTGGCCTTGTCCAAGGGCGGGAAGGTGTACAGCATTCCCGTTTCGGCGGAAGAGCAGCGGTCGGGAAGCAAGCCGTCGGAATCCTCGTGGATCCCATTTGTGTCGAGTAGCAGTCCCATCGCATACCGCACGCTTGCCCCGTCCAATTTGGCGTCGGGAGAGAAGATTGCGGCCATTTCGTCGGGACTGGAACACGCCCTCCTCCTCACAACCGCCGGCCGCCTCTTCTCCACCGCCTCAGCCTCGGATTCCTTCCCGTCAAGAGGACAGCTCGGAGTTCCCGGTCTGACCTGGTCCACGCGGCCGGAAGGAAGCTTCGACCAACCCCATGAAATCACCACCCTGCGAGGCTTCCCCATCAAATCCATCGCCGCGGGAGACTACCACTCCCTCGCATTGGACGCCGAGGGGAGAGTCTTTGCCTGGGGAGATAATGCTTCCGGCCAGCTGGGCTTCGACTACAACCCCGAGAGTTCCATCGTCGATGCCCCGTCCCTCCTCTCCACCGCAAAACTCTACTCCGGCTCCGGCCAGCAAGCCAGAATCACCTCCATCGCGGCGGGTGGAAGCAATTCCTACATCACAGTCGACGCCACCAAAGTCGCCGCCCAGTCACGAGGCAAGAATTCCGAAGAGGAAGACCCTCGAGCAAGACTCCAAATCGGCAGAGTCACCGCCGATACCTTTTCCTTTGGCGCCGGCATCACTGGAAGTCTAGCCAATTCCCGATGGACTCACGTTCAAAGCACCCCGACCAAAATCCCCACCCTGTCCGGCCTCTTCGAATACGACGAACAAAACAACACAGCCGTCCCCATCCGCCTGGCAAAACTCAGTGTCGGATCCACCCACGCCGCAGCCGTCATGGCCAACATCACCAAAACGTCCATTCAGGGTCAAAAGGGCGACACCGACGACGACACGAACTGGGGCGCCGATGTCGTCTTCTGGGGTGGCAATGAACATTACCAGCTGGGTACGGGGAAGCGGAATAATGTCAATGTGCCCGTGTATTTGCAGCCGCTGGATGCCGAAGCTGAAGTCAAGCGGGCGAGGAAGAGTACGGGTGGTAAGGAAGAGCATCGATTTCATGTCACTCCGCGAGCAGAGGTGAAACTGGGGGATGGCAGGAGGAGGAGCGTGGAGCAGAGAGTCGAGTGTGGGAGAGGGGTTAGTGGTGTTTATTCGGCGACGTAATAGATTGATGGAAGAGGAGGAGGGAGGGATCAGATTGGGGAAGTGTATATTATTCACTCACTTATCCATCTCAAAAAGGGAAAGCAACAATGAACCAGAACGAATATTTTTTGTTTTGATCGAAACCCAACAACATCGTTCGAAATGTCAGTCTACCTCTTCTATATATAGGTATCCTCACCGGGAGTCCCGTTTTTCCTCCCCACCTTCCATCCTACCCCCACAAACTTCCACCGTACTTATTTACTCCCCCCTTTCATCCAACCACTTCAATCTCATACTCACAGCCCTTTCATGAGCATGCAATTCCTCAACCTTTGCAAGCTGCATCACCGCTCCTCCCACATTCCTCAACCCCTCCTTGGTCAATCTCGAACTGGTGATATGTTTGACATAACTTCCAAGATTGACTCCACTGTACTGTTTTGCATATCCATACGTGGGTAGAGAGTGATTGACCCCGGCGGAATAATCTCCCACACTTTCCGGAGTCCATTCCCCGCAGAAGACACTCCCGGCATTGATGACCATGTCCCGCACCGCGACCGGGTCGGCGGTCTGCACGATCAGATGTTCGGGGGCGTAGGCGTTGGATAGTTCCATGGCTTCTTCCATGCTTCGCGTGACTAGTGTGACCGAGTGAGAAATTGCGCCGCGGACCATATCAATTCGAGGGAGGGTTAGAGCTTGGTTGTGGAGTTCATCATCAATGGCTTGGAGTTGTTGCTCGTTCAAATCCACGGCGATCAAGATGACTTGGGAGTCCACGCCATGTTCGGCTTGGGAGAGGAGATCGGAAGCTACGAATGCTGGGTTGGCGGTCGCGTCGGCTATGACTAGGACTTCGGAGGGACCGGCTGGCATATCGATCGATACGTTTGCGGTCGTGTCGTTGCTGACGAGCATCTTCGCCGCCGTGACGAATTGATTGCCGGGTCCCAGAATCTTGTCGACCTTGGTGACGTTTTCGGTGCCGTACGCCATTGCTGCGACGGCTTGAGCGCCCCCTGCGAGCACGATGGATTCGGCGCCGATTTTGTGGGCGATGTAGACGATTTCCGGGGTGATGGAACCATCGGAGCGAGGTGGAGAGGCGAGGACGATGCGGTTGCACCCTGCCACCATGGCGGGGACACCGAGCATCATTGCTGTAGAAGGGAGGACGGCGGTTCCACCGGGGACGTAGAGGCCTACTCGTTCAATCGGCCGGGAGAATCTCGAACACACCACGCCAGGCATCGTCTCAACTTCCAGAGGCTTCTCTTCCTTTTGCGCGGCGTGGAATTTACGGATGTTTTCGTAGGAAATGTCAATGGCTTGCTTCGTTTCTGCGGACAATTGCATCAATTCCGGAGCGAAGGGTGCCTTCAACACGGGTGATGTGAGTGACGTTGCTTTTTCAAAATTGTGCGTGAATCCCAGAAGGGCCTTGTCGCCTCCCGTGCGGACCTCCTCGATGATCGGTTTGACGATGGCCATGATCTTCTCGGTGGAGCGTTGGGAGGGTCTTTGCAAGACGTTGAGGATGGTCTCGGGCGTCTCTTTTGCAGTGAAGTACTTGGGCATTTCAATGCGACCGTTGTCCTCGGGCTTGGGCTTGGATTCGGTCCCATTGGCTTGCACTTCCTTCTTTGGGGTGCCATTGGTGACGCCAAACTTTTCAGCATATGGTCCCTTGGCGTCGCCCTTTCTTCGCTTGACCTTGAAGCTCTTTGCGTCTAGATTTCGCTCAATATCCTCGAGAGTGACGCCCGCAGCAGTGGCTTTCGCAAGGGTAAAGTACAGCACATCGGCAGCCTCGGCGGCAATGTCCTCTTTCGATTGAGCCTCGCAAAGCTCAGCGGCCTCTTCCATAATCTTTGCGTGGACCATCTTGGGGTCGCTGAATAGACGAGCAGTGTAGGATCCCTCGGGAGCAGATCGCTTTCTCGATTGCAGAGTCTTCTGCAGCTTCGATAGGCCTCGATACTGTCCGAAGCATGTTGCGGTCTGCAGGTGACAGAACCCAACCCCTTGCTGTCGGACCACAAAGTACAGACAATCCTGATCGCAATCCGCTTCTATGCGCACCAACTCCTGCCAATCCCCGCTCGTGTCGCCTTTCCTCCACAATCCCCTCTTTCTGCTGTGGTAGACTCCCCGTCCCGAACGCAGACTCTCTGCGACACTCTCCTCGTTACTGTACACCAATCCGAGGGCAATTCCTCTCTCATCGGTGACGAGAGTCGTGAACAATCCATCCGGACGGTCACTCTGGGCTTGAGCAAGAAGAAGAGGAGCAATGCGAATCTTGCCATCCTCGGCTTGAGTATCTGTCGTGAGCTGGGTGGCAGGAATGATGGGAACTGCATTCTGGCGGGACAGCTCCACCGCCTCCTCCTCGCTCATGTTGACTTTGGTGACATAGACGGGAGGATGTTCGGGTCCCAGCTCTTTGATCGAATGAACATTGCCCACGTTTTGCAAGAACAGGCCGAAAGTCGTTCCCTCCAACACATTCACCTCGTCGTCGGCGTTGGCGGTGGTCGGGTGGTAGACGATGCGGGTGAGATCGAGATTTTTGACTTGCTTCAATGCCGCCGCCTGTTGTCGGATGACGAAGACCTTTGTTGCGCCGGCGTCCAACAGATCTATGACATCTTGCACACCTTCTAGCGTGGACACTTCCAAATGGACGTGAAAGCGGGCGACGGTGTCCTTGAGGAGAGAAAAGGCAGCGTCAATGGTGTTGGGGGAGACGATGGCAGCAATTCCACCGGCGTAAGCCAATTCCTTGGCCGCTTCAATCTGTTCGATTCCCGTGTATCCCGCCAGGTCAATGGCCGCCAAAAAGGGCGGCGGTCGTTCGAGTGCCATGGTTGGATTGTGGTGGTACGGGTGGAGGAAATATGAGGGAATGACAGTGGTCGGAGATAAAGTAATAATCTTCCCATGACTCCATCACTTTCGGAAAAGTAGCCAGACACAGACCCCCACCAGGATTGTCCCGCTATCGGATCCATGTCTTGGACTAACCATACCATCATTCCTCTACAACTCACAACGCACATCCATCCAATGTCGCCTTCCATCACGCAAGATAGCATGATGCGATGAGAAGACTGCTGCTGATGAGCTGATTTCTAGATGGATGAAAGCTGACAACACGTCGACACTCCTTCTTGACATGCTCCAAGACGACCCCGAAGAACCGCCTCGTCATCTTCGTAAGGTATGCTTTACCTACTAGGTAGGTATACTTCTACATTGACAGCCCAGGCGAGCTCATACATGGTTTAAGAGCATTGCGGCTCCAATTGGCAACGCCACGCGTATCATGGACATGTCGCATCGGATATTGCTATTTTCAACTCACGCAGCATTCGGAACCCTCTACTCTCCATCACGTTGCCCCAGAGATTGGATGCTGCAAGACAAACTCCGCCACAATCCCTTGGATGCCCTCCTCAAGCCCTCGTCTTCGATCTCGTACTTTCCGAATGAGTATTTCGACCCGACGCGTTGCAAGACGTTGAAAATCCGTTACTACACAGGGCACCGACCTTTTCTCTGCTCATCGACGTTGGCGTTGTCTACCAAACCTCAACGAACCACATGATGTGTCGATGTGAGAGCCTCATCCTCCAATTGTGGGACGTTCACCAACGTCTCTGCCCTGGTGATATTGTCGAGCACATCATTCGCCATCCTCCCCTCTCACCTCACCCACATGCACGCTGTACCCTCGCGACCGGACATGAACTTACCACTCTTACCTGCCCGCCTTACACATTTCACATCATAGCTCCTGCTCCGTCCGCGGCAACTGTTGTCATGCCTACATCTCCTCCTCAGCAGCTGCAAATCATACAAGTACATGCACTGCAGGTAGAGTCCGTTCTTCGATTTCTCATGCATGCCTTCACGGATTGAAGCACAATTGTTATCTTCTTTACTCATTACACCACCACCACCACCAACACCAATCATCCCGGACTATTCAGTACACAACCAAACAGCCGTGAACATCCCGCAGTCTGCTCGTGTTCCGAGCCACACCTTTGACATGCCGAGCCATCACAATCGCTCCAAGACGCACAGAGCTGGCGTTGTTGCATCTACGGGCTTGTTACTGGCTCACGGTGCAGCGGCGGCGTTCAATGCCAACGACAATGTAGCAGTGTACTGGGGACAGAACTCATACAACCAAGCCGAAGGAGCCCTCGCACAACAATCACTCGCCGACTACTGCGCAAAGTCAGTTGCCCGAAGACTAGCAGAAGACTAGCAGAAGACTATTACAAGACAAGCACTGATAGGAGGTCCAGCTCAAATATCGACGTGATCCCCATGTCATTCCTCGTCCAAGTCACGACAGGTCAAGGTGGGCAACCCGTGATAAATCTCGCTAACGCAGGAGACAAATGCAACCTCTTCCCCGACAGCGCCCTTCTAGACTGTCCTCACATTGGCGAGGACATCAAGACGTGCCAAGATACATACAACAAAACCGTACTGCTCTCCATCGGCGGTGCAACATATACAGAAGGAGGCTTTGCTAGTGAAGAGGCAGCTGTCAAAGCCGCGAATTTGATCTGGGACACTTTTGGCCCTGTTGCTAACTCTAGTGTTGCTTCGAATACTACTACTAACATGACGACCGTGGCCAAGGAATTTGCATCGACGAGTGCTGGAGGACAGAATCGGACGGCATCCGCCGCTGCTTCCAGTGCGACTTTGGATTACGACCCGCAAGATCCCTTGTGGGCGGTAAGTTTACTGGAAAAGGTCACCCAAACAATAACAACAACAGCGACAACAGCTGCAGCAGCGACACTACAAGATCTCAGCGCGCTCAGGACTACCGGGACTTCCAAAGGATCATCCGCGGAGAGGACTGCTAACCCCACAGCTTCCTCCTCGGTCAATCTCAGGCATAGCTCCGCACAATCTAGACTGCAGACGGCCATTTCGAGGACCGGCAGGGCCAAGATAGCGAGCTCTGAGGCGGGGAACAACTCCAAGACTGGATCCTCCAAGACGGAAAACAATTCCAGAACATCAACCCCACAACCAAAACAAACCTCTCTTACAACACTCTACCAAACCGGGACCGAAGACCCTCAAGACCGCGTCCAAACCATTGTAGATGAGCACGGGACACGATTCATCCCACCAGGCAAAGTCTCATCCACATCATCCTCCTCCCCACGCTCCACCCACGCGTCTCAAGCAGCAAAGGAGGAGAAGGAAGAACAGAAAGAAGAAAAGGCCCACTCTTCCCCCAAGATCCGCACAGTAAACTATGATGGCACGCGCAACTTCCGCCGCCAGTCCCCATCCTCTGCTACTCTCCGACCATWCGGCAACGCAGCAGTAGACGGTTTCGATCTGGATATTGAAGCCCCGGGCCAGAATTTCGTGGCTTTTGCAAACCAACTCCGTAAACTGATGGATGCCGAACAATCCAAAACCCACGTCGGAAAGACGGAGAGGAGTTACTACCTCACTGCTGCTCCGCAATGCCCATATCCAGATCTCAACAATGACGCGATGTTCAATGGAGGGGTGGCTTTTGATGMTGTAAGTCGTGTTCCCACCTCACAAACCTGCAATCGGCCAACTAATCATGATCAGCTCTTCGTCCAATTCTACAACAACTACTGCGGCGTCCAATCCTTCGTCGCCAACAACACCAAGCAAAACAACTTCAACTTTGAAGTTTGGGATACTTGGGCCACCAGCAAATCCTCGAACCCGGACGTGAAAATTTACCTCGGCGTCCCGGCTGGTCAAAGCGCTGCGGGAAGTGGATATACCCCTGTCGCGAACCTCGAGCCCGTCATTGCTTTTAGCAAGACTTTCAAGAGTTTCGGAGGGGTTATGGCGTGGGATGCCAGTCAGGCGTATGCGAATAATGGGTTTTTGAAGGGTGTCAAGGCTGCGTTGAAGGTGCCTGCTACGKGCGGGAAGGAGGCGAAGGAGGGGAAGAAGGAGATGGGTAAGCGGAGGGGTGTTAGGAGGGGAATGAGACAGGCTTGGTGGGCTTGATTGCTACCTTTCTCTCTTTCGCTCTCTTTCTATCCCTTCCGTTCGTTCTGGGCATCTTTCCATCTCTTAACATCTCGATTTGAGAAGTTGAGATTGAGAAGGGGGGCGTCGCTTTGCTTTGCTGTGCTTTGCTGTGCTTTGCTTTGCTTGTACGAATTAGCGACTTTACCCTTCTTCTTCTTTACAGGTCACCGCCAAATTTATGGAGATCTATCCGGGGCCGCCTGACTTTGTTTATACCAATCAATGAGTTTGGTACGTTTGGGTCTCGGGAGAGATATATGAGAGCTGGTTCTCATATATGGACATTCTCATGGCTTGGGGATGATGCTCCTCTTATCTATCATCGCCTTTTTAATGATAGAGGATAATATCCTTGTAACTTTTTTTTTCTTTCCTTTGTGATGAACAAACTCAATCAATATCCTTGAGGGAAGAGTCTCAAGGATTTGCGTGGTGTGGACTTTTTCTTCTTTCTGTTTCGCTATGAGAGGTGATTGATGGTCGACGTTCTTTTTTAGTGTGCTATGCAGGCGATTAGAAGAAATGTAATGTCTTTTAGAGCTTTATTCCGTCTCAAGAAGATAACATGAGCAGGAGGGAGGAGAGAGTTGCGATGGGAAGGTGAAGTGAAGTGAAGTGAAGTAAAGAGTAAAGTGAAGGTGAAGTGAGGTGAATTAGAAGACTATAGTGTCTTTGGCGAATCACAAAATTGCTATATGCCGGTAATGTCAAGTGAAGGGAAGTAAAGTGAAGTGAATCAGAAGACTATAGCGACATCGCTTTGTCTTTGACGAATCACAGAATTGCTGTATGCCGGTAATGTGCAACGGCAGTAAAATCTGTCCGAAAGAGGCTTAAGTGAGGAGAAGTGAGAGGTGTAAATCAGCTAGATCGGAAGATGCTGACAAATATCGCGCTGTAAATCTGGTATATAAAGCCGTTTTCCCCGCCCAAGATCCCTGACTTCGTTGTTCAACCTTTTATCTGCTCGAAATAGCCGCCTCAGGCATCAATATCTACTCTTGGCATTCTTCTATCAATATCAAATCCGCTTGGTCCGTTAAGTTTAAAGTAAACATTAAGCAATATCATAAAGTAATTTAAAGATAATAGGTCTCATATCTTCTTGGAGGAAGGGACATTACAATTCTCAGTGAGGCCGTTACGGCTCTCCCTGTTGCTGCCAAGACATATCTTCTTGCGTTAGGTCGATCCAATATCACATGCGTTACTCTTGTTGGACAGCATCTATGATTGAATAAAACATACAACCAACATCACGGGGACAAATACTAGACTATCTACATTGGTAGTTCTGGTCATACGACCTACGGGATACTTCACATCCGAGTAACGTATCGAGACTGGTCATCCTGTTCCTTCTTCGACCGCTCTACCTCTTCATAAGTTACCCTGGCACTTAGCTTCCCTGAAGTGAGATACGGGAGTATTATCTTCGACGACTGAAGTCAACCCCAAACGACTTCACTCAAGGCAAGTCTGATTTATTCTGACTTCACTCGGAAAACATTGGACGAAAGAAGCAAAGTCTCACCTCAAGTTTCCCGACCTCCTAGCTAGCTAGGAAGGAGCAACGTCATTTACTGCCTGGAGTGGGGCACTTCTTGTYGTTGTTGTTGTTGTTGTTGATCGGGCTCGTCGTCATCGACCAAAGACGCGACGAAAACATTAACATCAACACCACTTTCCTACCTACCCGATCAAATGGGGAACGAACAGTCGACCCCGCTTGCTGGAGGCGTGGTGGCGGCAGGCGCACCTGCTGCTGCTACACCCCCAAACACTCTTACCCAAGAGGAAAAAGCAGCTAGGTTCGCGGCGGAATTGGAAAGGAAACGGTTGGAGAATATTGCGAGGAAAAGAGCGGCGCGTGAGGCCGTGGAGAAAAAGGCTGCGGCGGACAAGCATGTTGCAAATGAGCTTGCCGCTTCAAAAGTCGCGGAATTACTAGGCAAGGTCGCGGAAGAGAACAAGCGAACCCAGGAGGAAACGAGAGCGGCCTTGAGCGCGAAGCTCGAAGCCCTTCCGCGACAGCTGGCTGAGCAGCGACGTCTCATTGCGGATAGGAGAGCCCCGCCAGCCACACCTGCAGGAGGTTTGCGGGCGGAACACATCGAGCCAGTTCGCACTCGCGATCCTCTTCCTGTCACGAACAAAGTTTCGACGAAGAAAGGAACAGCTGTTGCGAGCACAGCCCAGAATTCTGAACGACGAGGGTCGAATGAAGGTGGGTCTCCTACTGAGAAGCCAACAAAAACAAAGGCCCTGCTGAATCGAGCCCGCAATGACGATGGCTCTCCGAGACGAGGATCAAATGACTCCGGGATCGGGATGCCAAAATCAGCGGCCACGGACAACTCCAGGCCCATCAAAGTTCCAACAGGTCCACGTCGCCGCGTTTCTTCGTCAAGTGACGATGACAGAGGTATGGYTCCACGAGCGACCAAGCGCCCGGCTGGTTCGCTGGCCGGGACCGAGGAGAGATCTAAAAGACCAAGGGCCTCCATTCCAGCATCTGCATCTGCATCTGCATCCGCGTCTCCGAAATCTCCAGCAGCGGACCTCCCGGCAACGCCCTCTGGAAGCATCGTCGACCTGCAACCTCCATCTTGGTATTCTGCCCTCGCTTTCGTACCAAAGCGTGGCGAAGCTGATGCAGCTGTCGAGCCTTTGCTCAAGACATTAAGGACAAAGATTGGGTTCTGCAAGGATCCGAGGAACATGTCAGGTCCGAGAGACATCCAGCAAAAAGCTTTCAATGATATCAGGCGCCGTATCCATGAGCTCGTTTTCCAGACAGTTAATGAGAAACTCTTGCGCAACAATAGCATGTTGCACAACGACAGAGGACTTCCTCAGCTGTTTGTGGAGCAATACTCCGGTGGTGTCAAGTGGCCATTTGACATCAAAGCCGACGCCAAAGAACTCTACTGGAAATGGTGCAATCGTGTCTTCGAGACTGATCTTCTTCGGGGTATTATCCCGGGAGGTGGCAAGTCTGGCGGCGACAGAAGCTCCGACAAATTGGATGACAATTGGCCCTACAGAGTCAACCCAAGATTTCACGGCAATGGCCAGCTCGTCAACGGCCAGTGGTGGCCCACTCAACTCGCAGCTTTGCGTGATGGTGCCCATGGTTCTTCCCAAGGCGGAATTTACGGAGAGTCTGGCGGAAGCGCGTACTCCTGTATCATGGCAGGAAACCACGATTACGCGGACAAGGACGATGGCGATAAGGATGATGGTGAAGTCGTCTATTACTGCGGCACAGACTCATTCGATGGGAAAGTAACAGCAGGAACCAAACACATGATTGCCAGTTGTGCGGATGGTGAACCTGTTCGATCAATCCGCTCGCATAAAGTCCAATCCAAGTATGCACCGGAAATGGGGCTGAGGTACGATGGACTATACGATGTTGTGAGCTACGAGAGATTGGACCCAGAGTTTTCTCTCAGGCAGAGGCATCGCTTCAAGTTGGTCAGAAGGAGCGGACAGGATCCTATTCGTGGCGGACATGGGCCGGAGAAGAGGCCCACGCAGCAGGAATGCGAGGCTCATCAGAAGGATAAGCGGTTGCGAGGCATTGGTGGTGCCCCGAAGGCGCTCAAGGGAAAGAAAGGAGAGGTCTTTCCTACATGGGGATGAACCTGGAATCTTTTGGAACTGGACTCTGCAGTAAGCTCTGCCCAGGTTGTCTTGACGGAGCGAGTATGATAAAGCTACTGGTTTTACGGGAGATCTTTGCCCGGAAATGCGATGAATTGACGAATGAGATGACCATGAAGTGCTGGCATTACGAATTCAAAAACACCTTCTCCTTATACAGACTGGAAAATTTTCATTGCTCGCTACTACCTTATTGTTGGTCACTTTTGGAACGGACTGTGGATGTGACGATGCAGAGGTATTCTTCAACAGAATGAACCTTGCAAACTAACTGAGGATTAAAAGCATTGGAGGCCATGCCGAAGAATAAATTCGTCGACAAAGCAACATCTTTGGGGAGTGTCTATTCGGCGTTGTGGTTGCTTCTTGAAATAGACTGAACACGACCTGATGAAAATTGGAGAGCGTAAACTGGGCAAATTGATAGACAGAGACATGCATTACAGGTATTCTATAGGTCATTATCGTATCGTGATCGTCCTTGCTTCCGTTCCATCCTTGCTTCCGTTCCGTCCTTCCCAATGCAATGTATGTTCCACACTCATGAGCGGCGTTAGGTTTGATCGTCGTTGACAGTTCATGCGTTGAAGGTGATGGCACGCTTGGATGGTGTCAAGCCACACTTGTCGACACCAACCTTCGAAACGGTAGCCTCCACTCTTCCAAGAAAGTCCGCCTGATTGTTGGTGAGCTTGTTCATGGCAGCCTTGGAAAGGACCCAGCCATTAGCCGCGTGATCGATGGCGACGGCGTAGAGGGGTGCACCGCCGTTGTAGGAGAGAGAGAAGCATTGGCCGCACTGATCGCTATTCCAGCCGGGAATGTCTGAGGAAGCGCCGATGTTGGGGAAGCTGGAAGGTTGTGAGTTGGATGAACTGAGGATGAGGAACGAAGGAAGGTGTTGAAGACTTACCCTGGGATTGAGCCTTGAGTGGAGTATCCCTTGGTGATCATGCCGTTGGGGCCGTCGGAACAAGCGACAGCAGTCATAGCACGTCCGCCCTCGTCGTAGCCAAGGTCGTAGCTAACGGAGGTGGCAGACGCCGCAGCGGCGAAGAGGATGGCGGTGACTCCGATGAACTGCATGATGTTGATGGTTGGGGTGTTGTTTGCTGTTTTGGTTGCTGTTGATGTATGATCTGATGAAGAAGAAGATGCTCGCTGATGCTGAATGTCAAATGCTGGTGTTGGTGTTGATGTTGATGATGAAGGAAATGGGATGGGATGGGAAGGAGAAGTTATATAGAACGCGAAGCAAGCAAGATGGTTAGTACCTACCTTACCGTACATTCCCATCCGGCCATCAGTCCACCTTCCGTGTGAGATACGAGGCAAGTGTGACGCTGAATGCAACTGCGACAGGGATGTTGAAGAGATCCGGAAAGAAAGTCGCATCGATGAAGTCAAAGCTGCGTCTATTTTCGTAGGGGCCCTTCGGATAATCCTTGCGAGTAGCGACGATCATGTGGGCGGTGTGGTCCGAGAGGCGGCACAAGGAGAAATGCCCGGACGGCAAGCTCCTCATCAGGCTCATCAGATCTTCTTCGCACCACTCATCGTCCAGCGGAATGCGGAATGGCACCCTCGTACCGCATGCACGATGACTGCACTCCCAAAAAACTAATACGAGCAGAATGAAGCCGATGACTGACCTTGACACTACAGTAGTAGCTCGACACCATCACCGACGTCAGCAACAATGCTTCAAAGGGCGAGCTTCGGGGTGGAGAAGCAGACTATTAATAATAGTTGAGCAGAAGCAGCGATAGAATACAGATATATGATGGCATGGCTTCGAGCTCTCGCAAGTCTCAAGCATTCCACGCAGTGGATGACAAGCAGCCCCAAGGGCGGTATCTATTCCACCCGCCTGCCGAGTCACAAGCCCTCTCTTGTATCGCTACCTAAATGTACAGTACAGACACGAGTCATCAGCAGGCAAACGCAGTTGCGGAAGTTTTCCGTGGAGCTATACAATCTACCTGGAATCGTTGAAGCACGACGCTGGAGCTGGAAATCCGTCTCAAGCTGATGGCCGCACTGCAGTCTCAAGTAAAGGCGATCATCCATATCGCTCGCTCCGTGCATCTCGCATCACGCTTTTTCTTCGCCCGCCATTCGCCTTGGGTAGAGCGACGTACCGCGATTGGGAACGATTGCCTCGCCCATGAGGACCGCCAATCAAACTTGAAGACGGTAGGTAGGGTAGGTACTGTGGTCTTGTGGATCCTGCAATACCCTCGGAGATATTACTGTCACAGCGACAATCTGACTGTGCCGACTTCCCCACAGCATGTATATATACTCAACATGAATGAACTCTCCCCGCCTCGCCCGCCCGCCCGCATCTTTGCTGGCCGCTCGCCGCTGATGCATGCGACTGCCAAGTACCAAGCAAGACACCAAGACCCATGTCACTATCAAACCTCCCCTTGTAACTCCAATGCCATCACGCAAGCCAAGGAATATTCACCCCGCTGATAAATGCTGGACGATGGTCCTTCCTACTCGAGACAAGGCGCTCACCATACTCCCAGTAGCGATCTCAGGCACCCGGGCATATATATGCCTCGCATGAGTATTAATCTGCATCTCTCACATTTTCTTGGGGCAACACAAACATGTCCACACTCTCTACATCGAGCAGGGTCTTGCAGGCCATCTGCTTGGGACTTTTGAGCGGTTTGGTTAATGCGCAGTCGGACCCGACTCCAAGATCTGGGAGCACCTATGGCGGCAATTGGCTCGAGACCATACGTGATAGCGATATAGTAGCCTCTGCATTTCCTGACATCGAGGACATTGACCTTCTCTCCCCTTATTTCACAAAGCCCGACTCAGTACTCCCGGGCTTTCAGAATGGCACACAAGGTCCCACGAGTGATAGCGAGCTTGGTAGAAGCGACCACCTTGTAGCCCTTTCATGCAATTGCTGACTTTCGACAGACTACTTCTATCGCACCATAGCTGATCGAAATGACTGGGTTACGTACAAAGCGGCGGAGTTCCTCACAGAGGAAGGTCGTGCCTTGCCATATCTATTCCTTTCGGAGCCGTCCTCCGGTTCACAGGCGGCGGTGATGAATAGCACGAAATTGAAAGTCTACATTCAGGCCGCAATCCATGGCAACGAGCCAGCAGCGGATCAATCTGCCATGGCACTTCTCGGGAAGATGGACGCCAATCAGACGTGGACAGCTTCACTACTCGAGAAGATGGACAYTCTCCTCTTTYCGAGATACAATGCTGACGGCGTGCACTACTTCCAACGTGCCCTCGCAAACAATCTTGATGGCAATCGGGAGGCTATTAAGCTCGATCGGAGACAATCTCGAGATATCAGACGAAGGTTTGGAGAGTACGGGCCTCACATTGCGGTGGACCTTCATGAGTTCAGTACGTTCGTCAATGTATTTGAGATTGACATAGTCTGACAATCTTCTAGCGGCTCCGACCGTCTACGGAGGTGACTACCAGCACGCCGCAGATGCTCTCATCTCAGGCGGAATCAACCCAAACATCCACCAAGACATCCGAGACGAGCTGCTCGAAAGGTTCATACCAGCCATCGGCGAACGACTGGAATCTTACGGCCTTCGATGGGCACCCTACGTGACCGGCGCATCGAACACAACCTCGGGATCACCCATCAAATTCACCGAAGCCGTAACGGAAGCTAGGACTGGACGTAACGCAATGGGACTCTCTYAAGCCATTGCATTTCTGTTTGAAATGAGAGGTATCCGGCTCGCGGACCAACACTTCCAACGTCGCGTAGCCACAGCTCTGATCAAACTCGAAACCATCCTTGAGACGGCAAGAGACAATGCCGAAGAAGTCTACGATACCGTTGAAAAAGCAAGAGCGGAGTTCATTGCCAGCAATGATGAGATTGTCATTACGGATTCCTTCACTCCTGCGAACACTACTTTCCCACTAGTGAACAGAGCAACGGGAGAAGTTGAACAAGTCCCGATTACTTTGATGGAGACTACACCCTCTGTTGCGAACCTCACAAGAGCACGTCCAGAAGCCTACCTCATCCCACGCACTTGGTCGGATATCGTGAAGAAACTTGAGATTCTGGGTCTAGAGGTTCAGACGCTGGAGTATGAATTCCAGGGAATGGTGGAGACTTTGAACATTGCCTCTAGTTCTTTGGATGAGGAATTATATGAGGGTCATGTGTTGAACACTGTGACCACGAATTCTGTCATGAAGGAGGTGAGTGTCGCCGAGGAATATCGTGATCGTGCATGAGAGGTCGGCTAACGTGATGCAWAGGTACATCTTCCCGCTGGCAGTTTCCTGGTCAGCACAAGGCAGAAGAATGCTGCGCTGGCTTTTATTGCTTTGGAGCCGGAGAATATCGACTCGTATGTTACGTTCAACTTCATCCCGCTGGAGACTGGCGATGAGTACCCGATTTTCCGTGTKATGGCGGAGTAGGTAATGTTTGAGATGTGTGACCTTGCGAACAGCTGGAATCTTGTATACAGACAGATACATATATATATTTCAAGCCCAGCCTCCACAGGCACTGAATTGTTCAACTCGATTCGGGTATATAGCAATCATGCACCGCTTCACTATCATGCATACACAATGCACTTGTGGCCCTCAACTACCTACGCACCATCAACGACCCCACATCGTCTGCAGCCGTCCTTCACGACCTTGCCAATAACGTGAGCATGCGCGACCTTGGCACCTACACTCCTCCCACCAAATCCAATAGCTCCATCTTCCGCATTCTCCTCTGCAACCCTCTCCATCTGCTCAATAACATTCTCGGCCTCCTTTGAACCCTTCATATCGGGATTCGCATCCAACAAACAGGAAAGATGATAGACGTGACCACACGCAAACCCCAGCAAGGGTTCCCTCTCCAACTCATGAAAGATTTCATGACATCMCACACATCGCCCAGGTTTCGTCGCGCCCATTCCCTCATGTTTCTGCGCTTTCGTGGCGAGACGCTTCGGAATGGGAAGCGGATCTTCGCCTTCGGGAAGACGAGTAGGAGGATCGTGAACTTTGAGCTTCACATCCTGCTTCTCCTCCTTGTCATGCACCACTTCGAATCGCACGCCTTTCTTCCTCCCAGCGCGGAGAGTATCCATACCCATCCCAACTTCTCCACGCAAGACGCGAGCTACGCCCTCGGAGATGGACATTTGGATTTCGAATTCACGTACGAGACGTTGGATGCCGTGTTTGAGACCCTCAATCTCGACGCCTTCGGGGATGCGGCGGACGACGTCGACGGGATCGAACCGTCCTGCTGCACCAACTTCTTCAAGTAAGCCGCGGATGAAGGACGGTCGGACTTCGTTGGGGTCCATGGAGTATTCTAGGAGATCATCCCAGAGATCGGGATTCTCCTTTGCGAAGTTGATTGCTGCGCCAACATCACCCAGCTCTCCGATGATAAGGAGCAAGGCTTTCTTTGTTTGGCCGGTCTTGCTGAGGATGTGCACCAGTTCAGGGATGAAATGTCTCGACTCACAAATCTCCGCAGCGCGATCATATGAGTATACTTCGCTACTCTTGAGGAATTCAAGTAGTAAAGGTCGGTCATACTCAGCGAATAGTCGAACGGCGAGATCTGCGTGCTCGTTAACGAGAGCGCGGGCTTCTTCAAGATGGCGAAGATCTGTGCCTCTCCGCCCAACACGTTTGCTTTGCGAGGCAGTCTTGTCGTTCCAAAGTGCTCGTAAGTAGAAAAATATGAATGGCTGAAAGGAGTCTCCTTTGCTGAGCAGCTGTCTCACAACCGAATCGGCGGGGATGGTACCACGATGTGCTTCTTCAACTAGAAGTTTCACTGCTTCGGACGTGGCTTCGTCTAGATCGGAGAGTGGAGCGTTGCGCATCTGATCCCTGCTCACTCTCAGCATGAGAAGCCCAGGGACGTCATCAACGACAGCGTCGAGGAGTTTGGCTTCACGAATGAGTGAGAATACTTTCTCGGCGTCTTGAATCCGAACGTATGCTCGTAATGCCTCTCTTGCCCTCCCATCCGCAAGGTAGAGACGAGCAAGAGATTCCATCAAAACTCTCCAGTCTTCGCCGTCATCCTCGGCGACCTCATCTTCACCACTGTGAAGACGATCCTCGATGGCTTTAATCACACTTCCGACATCGAAGAGCTCCGGATCCCATTCGTCAAGCAATTGTCCCATCCGGCTTGGATCTTTGACAATGTAGTTTGACAAGATGACTTCATAGACCAGGCTTGGTAAAGGCGGCCGAAGACTTGTGCTTGGTATGAATGGTGTGATCTCGTCGAACTTGTCCGCCTGTGCAAATGTCCACACCCAATGCTCCCATCTGGAGCTGGTCCCCAACACCTGTCCAGCAACAGCACCAGCTGCTTTCCATTCATTATTGCTGACGAGTTGTTGGAGCCAAAGATCTCCTATTCGGCGCTTCTCCCGTTGCGCAGCGACCGTCTCCTTCTCTCCGCTCGCGGTACCGCGGACGCCGGAGCTTTGAGAGGAGTTTTCGTCTGCGAAGAAATCTGCAAGGCTGCCGTTCGCACCTTGTCTGCTGGGGGAGCTGGGAGTTTGTGCAGGACTGAGACTGCCAAGCTCTGAAGTCGAAGTGGCTACCACCTCGGGTCGCGCATCGATGAGATTCCACGCTTCACCATAACGCTCATGGCTAAGCAACCACGAGAAATGATCGTCGAGCTCGGTCTTGACCGATAGGATGCAGTCGTATGGACTCATGAGAAACAGTTTGAGACCAGACTGGAGGGAATATGCATGCGCAGTATCGACAGAGGTCTTGGTCAGGAGATGCGGTGCAGGTGCAACGCCTTTCCCACTGCCGTCCTGTTTAGACGAGGACATGGATGGGGTCTGTTCTTTGTCACCACTGGACCCGCTGAGAACACTCGCACTCGAGGTGAACATCCTGGTAGCATAACCGCCTCCTGATATCTCCCAAAGGCCTTCCAGCTTCCCTCGCTGTTCTCGCACGGTCTTCTCGGGAAGCGGGGGCGGTTGCCAAAGAGTTGCGAGATGGTAGTCCTGAGCAGATAATGTTTCAAAGCGCGAGACCCTGCTTAGCTCATCGAGCACGACCTCTTCTCCATCGACCACATTCACAAGGCGGAGCTGAGGTGCAAGAGCAGTATGCCTGTGCTGTCTTCCTTTCCTCCCAGGTTGAGTTGGTTGCGAAGACGTGGCAATGGGCTTGTCATCGTCGTCTCGCGTGCGATAAGCCAAGATGGCCAATAAAGAAGGCGTGTAGAGCGAGATGYCAGAAATRATGCAATCACGGAATTGCATCTTGTGGATAATATCCGCACTGCCGACCTGTCGCTTACCATTCGATGTAGCAGACGATGCCAATGAGCTTCCAGATTGAACATGCAGAATCCAGGCCGTATCTCCCCAACCCACCACCAGCTTTTCAATCTTCCTCCGCCCTGCTGCTGACGACGTAGGACCGGGCTTCGCGCCGTGTGATGAGGTCGGAATCAGGCTATCCTCGTCGCTCTCCAAAGTCTTGTCATCGATCCACTCGCATCTTCCTTTCCAAACTCCCGCCATGTCCTCCCAACCTTTGCGATTCGGTCTAGCTGCATGCGCAATCCTTCTCCACGCATCTTCGCTCTCTTCACTGCCAAGTTTCAAATGCGATCGCATAATCTTGATGCCCTCCTCATTCACCCACACCACCCACTTTCCGCTCAGACTCCACTTGATTGAGGAGATGGCGCCCTCGCCTGAATGAAGGTTTGTATCGCGTCCCGTATTGCCACCACCGAGTCCTATCGCACCTAACCAGCCTGAAGCCGTCGCTGCAGCACTGTTTGTATTCGCGTCCACGCTCACACCCGCTTTACCTCCAACGGTGAGAATCAGATTTCCAGCCAGACCCCCTGATAGATACGTTCTGTCGTTCTTGTAATCCGGCGACAATGCCACTGCATTTACAGGACGGGCAAAGTTGCGCAATTGAACATCTGCCGAATCCACCAACGAAGAAATGCATACATGGCCATCCAGCGATGAGGTAGCTATGTAGATTTGATTGCTCGGCGAATTAGCAATAGGAGCCTGCTGTTGCTGCTGTCCTTTTTGCGGTGTCCTCGGACTGGATGTGCTTGCGCTGGTATTGGTCCGTGTTATGCCTGGGATGTAGCTTTTGCCTTGCTGCGGCGCCTCCAACATTGCAACTGCATTTTGACCCGACTCCCGCACCAGGACGGGCGGAGAAGGCGTTGGCGATACACTGACACTGGTCACGCTGGCAGAATGGGCGCGATATGTCCTCAAGCTTTGCATGTTTGGCAAGGCCAGTACGTGAATGCTGCCATTGTGAGTGCCKACAACCATCTTGTCGCCGGCGACAGAGAAGGCCGAGGTGGAGTCGCCATTGCGGTATACGTTTGCCAGTGATGCCGTCAATTTGGCATATTTCAGCTTGGGCTCCTCCTCTTCCTCCTCCGACTCGTCTCCATCGTCATCCTCCGTTTGGGCGGCTGTGTCCGTCGCGGGCTGCTCGTTGCTGTCGTCGCGTGGATCTGTGAATGGCAGCTGCTCCTGGAGGTCCGCGGACATGCTAACGGCATGGAGACGCGAGGGTGGCGAGCATCAACGAGAGATTTGGTGGAAAGCGTCTTGGTATGCAGCTTGGAGCTCCCGCGATCGAAAGTGATGTCAAAGCGAGCTGACTCAAACGGGACCGAAACGAGAACGAGGCCACATGATATTATCCCCGAACTCTGCACATTTTACATCATCATCTTCAACATATTTATGAAGCGCAATGTCGTGATGAGTTATAACTCTTGTCCTCTGTTCTGATCAAGACCAAGGAAGATGAGCTGGTGCTACATTACAGGGACGAGTTGATGGCGAGTGCTTCACATTATTCCAGTTAAGTGTTTACATACTACCTGGTGAAGGCAAAATTGACATTTGAATAAAATCGAGCATCCGGGTCAAATGATCCTTCTCAGCTGAACGCCCTCCTCCCAATTCCGTCTGGTGTGTTGTTTTGGTTGCTTTGCAGCACTTAAGCAAGAGTACCGTTGTGGCAGTTCACAGGGAGGATGATAACCTTGCCGACCGGCAACGTGGTAGGGTCGACACCGTAGTTGACCGACATGATTTGTCCGATGCTAGTCTGGAAGGTGTTGGCCAAGTCGAAGAAAGTGTCGCCGGRCTTGATGGCCCTGGTTCCGATGCTCTCGCAGAGGGACTCACTACAGATGGGGATGTTGATGATCTGGCCCGGGAAGATGAGATCAGGGTCCTCGATCTGCGGGTTGGCAGCGATGACTGAGGCGAGGGTGATCTTAAAGTTGGCAGCAATGGCGGAGAGTGAGTCGCCGGAGCGAACATCGTAGGTGGAGCCGACACCAGGCACACAGGTCGCGGTGGCCTCTGGAACGGGAGTAACGTTGCAGGAGGTGTTGTCGGGTGTGACGCAGTTGGTGGGGATGGTGAGAATCTGGCCAGGCTCGATAAGGTTGATGTTCTCAATGTTGTTGGCCTTGGCGATGTCGCAGATGCCAGAGTTCCACTGCTCGGCAATCGTGGTGAGGGTGTCACCAGAAACAACGGTGTAGTTGGTGAAGGTGGTCGAGCCGCAGCCTGGAAGAAGTGTTAGTACTGACGGATGCAGCATCAATATATTGGGAAGAGTGACAAGTACTGTTGGCTTGGCGAGGCAGAACGAAACCGTTTGCGACGGCGCTCAGCGCGGCCGCGGCCAGAATGACGAAGGACTGCATGTTGACTGACGTGCTCGAGGGAATTTGTTAGAAATATGCGGGTGCTTGAGTTTGGAAATGAACGTGTTAACGAGCGTGTGTTTAAGGAGAGTACTGAAGCGATGCCTCGAAAAGTTGATGATGGAGTAGGAGGGACTACYACGAGGGCGAACGGGATTGTTATAGGTGGCCTCGCTTGTAGGCCCGAAAAAGATATCACTAGCCATGACAAGCATCCTGGGAAGAGGACAGGGAGCAGGCGTCGTAGCAAGATCTGATCATTTGGGTATTCACTGCTGCCCCTGGACTTGGCGAACTCGTATTTCTTGTGGTGGAATGGCGGTGATTGGGCGGTGGGAGTTTCTTGTCGTTCTCACATGTCGTCTCATTTGGAGCACAGAAACGTGGCGCATTCTGCCAACTAGATACGACAGTACGGAGTACCTGACAGCTTGCTCGAACATCGGGATCCGCGTGTTCCAGCAAGTCTGACTTGCTGACGAAAACTTCTGAGCCAGGCGTTGGCCCATCAGCACATCCCGGCAAAGTTCGTAGTAGGCCAAGGCTTGGAAAGGAGCCGGCAGTCTGCCGAGATGACAGGTGAAGTCAATTTTTAGCTGGGCGCGGAGTTTGGGGGAAGAGTACAGGGATTAACCACGGCCGAACCGCGGGATCGATTAGATGGCCTGGGTGTTGAAATTGACCGAGCCATATGGGTGTCGGATATATCTCGCCGGAGTAGTCCGTGACGCTACAAATCATCCCTTTCGCTGTCGCCGTCGTCAAAAGCTCCGCCGTCTTCCCCGTCCACGAGCGGGACAACACGAAAGTCCACGAATGTAACGCCATCGCTGCCACTCGAGGCCATTTCAATAAGATACTGCATGCTCAAAACACCATCGTCATCCAAACGCAGTGACACTTTGGAAGCCGAAGCCATTGCGCGTTGAGCGGCCTTGAAAAGACTGAATTTGAAACTTGCGTTGGTCTTGGCAGCGCAATGGAATGTCTCCAGTATTGGCGTGTCGGAATCGGTATTGGTTGTGAAGTCCACGGTCGCAGATCCTAGCGCTCCGCTTGCTGAGAGAGAAAGATTGGCCCCAATGGAGGTATTTGGTGAAGCTTGGAAGGACAGATTCGTGGGATTGACTGAGCTGAGCTCCGTGATGGCATCGAGGAGATAAGTGGAGCGCATGATAGTCTTGAGCGCCACGCTATCGCGACTGAAAGGAATCTCTTCGGTTGTGTCGGCTTCGTAAGTGGTTAGTTCGCATGTTGTTGTGACTCCAGCTTCTGACATGTGGACGTTCAAAGAGCTCCCTTCGCCATCGTAGGACAGGGTACAGATACCACTTACGCCCAGTGCTTGATTAGAGAAGGCATTGATCCCAGTGTGGCGGTTGATGCGGTGAGCGGTAAAGTGCTCGTACTCATCGCGCGAGCGATGTGATGCAGTATGATCCGAAAGGCTGAAGATGTTCAATGTCTCAAGCAGAGCGGTCAAATTGATCTCGAAAACTGGCAGATCGGGATCTTCTTCTCGTGTAGATGGTGTTGGAGGTGAGTTGTAGGTAAACGAGGTGAAAAGAGACTTATCGAGGAAGACGAAAGCCTCCATGACACTGCCTTCTTCAGTGCTGAAGCGTAGGCCTTCGGGGGAAATTCGAACATTGGCCTTTTGCGAAAAGGAAATGCAACGTAGGAGGAGAAGTACCTGGCGTGTGGAGGATGAGACGGCAGTGAAAAGCGGCGCGTTGGTTGCCATGCTAGCAGAGGAGATGACGTGGAGCGCGTAGATTGGTATGTGGTGTCCACTATTTGCTGCTCCTTGCTTKTAATAGCCGTACGAGATATAATGCCAAAGCAAAAGCCACGAAAAACCCAGTGACACCTAGCGATAGGATGACCAGCGTCGATGTCACTGGATGAAAGGGTCGCCGGCCTGGGGCGGCTATGGGCTTCTCGACGTAGCGTGGTGGTCGGTACAGAGCGTACTCCCTGGTCTGGGAGTGCCGTTGGTATCGACGTGAATCGGGAGGCGAATGTGACCTATACATAAACGCCGACTGCGCAGATCATGTAGACGGCACCGAAACTGCATTTCGTCAGATGTGTCATGTGTGGAATGGCATTAAGACCTTCTTACCCGAATGCCAATGAGGCAGGTAGTGCGAGGACGGGAAGGTTCTTGAGGTTATTGTCTGGCATATATCAGTACACGGTAGTTTGAAAACCCGGTTGGTGGGAGCCATTCACGCACTGAGTCCAAATAAACCAGAGAGAATGATGGCACCGAGCAGCAGGAAGAAGCCAACTGAGAATTGGGTGTCCTTGGAGACGGCAGTGATGTAGGGGTTGCTAGACGAGGCGTCCCAGAGTGCGTGGAGTGATTGGGTCGACATGGAGCTGGTCGGGCGTGAGTGTGTAAGACGAGGGGTGTTGTTCGTTGAGCGCGAAGTTGGAGCTCGACACCAAAGTGAACACCTTCGCGCCGGCAGATCTTCATCAAGGTTTAACACGTGGCGCGCGCCTGCCCCGTCCCCCGCAACTGCCGATTGTTGCATTGATCACAACCAAACACTTCTCTCTCTCTCAGCACAACGGCACCTCATCATTACTTTCCAGACACGATGGCACCGGGGAAGGAGGTCAAGACGGAAGACGTGGAGTTGTCTAAGCGGAAAGCCTCAGACGAAATCACTCACGATGCGAAGCGCGTCAAGCCATCTATTTCACCATCGCCCAGCGAGAGCGCGCCGCCGACCGTCAATCACGATGCCTTTCCCGTGAAGCCTGCAGTCACCGAAGAGCGAAACGGGGAAATCTCATTCTATGTTGTCAACAACGACGGCGCACCCACCTCCACCATCATTCTCACTGGCCTCAAATGCATCTTTCAGAAGCAGCTGCCCAAAATGCCGAAAGACTACATCGCGCGTCTAGTCTACGACCGGACGCACTTGAGCATCGCGATAGTTAAGCGTCCTCCGGAAGGCAGCTATGCTGAGAGCTCCGGCCTGCCTGGTGAGGTTGTCGGAGGCATCACATATCGTCCTTTCAAGGGTCGCCAATTTGCCGAGATTGTCYTCTGTGCTATCAGCAGCGACCAGCAGGTAAAGGGCTATGGCGCACACTTAATGAATCATCTGAAAGACTACGTCAAGGCCACGAGCGACGTCATGTATTTTCTCACCTACGCCGACAATTATGCAATTGGATACTTCAAGAAGCAAGGTTTCACCAAGGAGATCACGCTGGACAGACCAAAATGGATGGGATACATCAAAGATTACKAGGGAGGCACCATCATGCAATGTACTATGCTACCCAAAGTTCGATACCTTGAGTCGGCCAGGATGCTACTCAAGCAGAAGGCCGCAGTGCACGCCAAGATCCGTGCTGTCAGCAAGAGCTATGAAATCCATCAACCGCCTGCGCAGTTCAAGAAGATCAAACAGGGTCAACCGCTGCCGGAAATCGATCCTCTTGCCATTGATGCGATCAAAGCTACCGGTTGGTCTCCCGATATGGACGCCCTTGCACGACAGCCGCGAAGAAATCCATCCCACAGCTTGCTCCTCGGTCTGCTTTCTGCTCTACAGACCGGCTCATCTTCTTGGCCGTTCATGACGCCCGTGAACGGTGATGAAGTGCACGATTACTACGAAGTTATTAAGGAGCCCATGGACTTGGGTACGATGGAGCAAAAGCTAGAGAAAGACCAGTACGAGAGTGTCGAGGACTTTATCAAGGTAAGCTCGACCGTTTCAATTCATCCCTCTCTCAAGAGTTACTGACTTGTTGACAGGACGTCCTTCTTATCGTTCGCAATTGTAAGCGTTACAACGCTGAGACCACCCCGTACGCGAAAGCAGCCAACAAGCTCGAGAAGGAGATGTGGAAGAAAATCCGTGAGGTGCCAGAATGGAGCTACTTAGAGCCTGAATCCTTCGAGACAACAAATCGAAAGGCAGAGTAGAAATCTGCCGTGCATCGTCGTACTAGCCCGAGGACTTCCGGTCGCGGCCAACGGCAGGCCGGGAGGCGCAAGCGTCCACCCAAACCCAGGTCTATGGCCCATACAACTTTCGCGTGCAAGTTCATTAAGCTTGATGATCCAGATATGGCCTATCTCCTGCAGACAAACAGAGACGCAGCCTTCCAGGACTTGGGATTCTGTACTTCTGTGCCTACAAAGCAGAAGGTCCAGCTGAGGAGACCCATACGAGGCCAAGTCCCCTCCGCGGCTGTCCAGCATGTCGGTACTGTGTCTCGGTGGAACGGCGCTGCCTCTCTTGGAAATGGGATTACCAAACCCAAGCCCTTCCGGTGTCATTGGTGCAGGAAGAGCTATGTGGCAAGGACTTCCCTCATCAATCACAAGTGTAACGGCGACAGGCATTGGATCATGCGTGCTCCGGCGGAGACCCGTGATGCGAGTCCTGAGGGCACCAGATTCCTTGATGGCGGATTTGCGAAGCAGAACGTTCAGCGGGGCAGACCCACGACCAAATTTCAGCCATTCCAGTGTGTCGCGTGCGGCAATCGCTATGTCGTGCTTAAGACTCTCATGGCCCACAAATGCTCGAACCGCCCCATCGCGCCTGCGGTTGAAATCAGCGTAAATTCTGATCAGGATGCCGAGTTCAAGTAGGACGATGAATAGCGAGCGCCATCTGTCGTTKACTCCATCGTGAGCTTCGAGGGGGAGACCAATCGTGGGGTAGAGCGCAACGAACCACGCCTCTCGCCGCCTCCATGAGACGTCATGCGTCCAGCGGCAAGATGGTCTAGCAGTCAAGATTTTTTGGCACTCGGCGACGCCGTGCTTGAGAGTGTCTTTAATGTAGATTGCGGTTCTGCAGACCGGAAGACATGACGTCGCACTTTTGTGAGGGGGATCTTTGTCCAAATGACAGAAGCACACCGGTTCAGCTTAGCGAGCAGAATCTCTTCTGCTTGCATTATCCAAAGGGCTTCAAATGGCGGAACCGGTTGCGAGATCATATACTAGCTGTACATCAGATTATTGCGACTTGGTACTGAGGCAGAGAAGGCCCATGAGATACCACGACTATGGCCGGGTTAGTAGAGACATTCATTTGTGTCATTTACAGCTGTCGATCATGCTTCTGCACTTTGTTTCCACGCTCTATGCGTGGCAGAACAGCAAGCATATTATTGAGCAGGCGGCAAGCACCTGCGTCGCATGCTCGATTTTTATTTTAGGGTTAGGGTTGGGGTAGTACCATATCTCATCAGGGACAAGTTTTTGAAGTTTTAGACGAGAGATATTGCAGCCCTACTTACCAGGCAGACATTATGCGATCGTCAAGGTTGACTTGTCGAGAACTGAGAAATGGTTGTAGTCCACATCTCCCGACCTGGTGATTGGAGAGGAGGAGGGTGGCAGTTCCTCCTCTCGTATAGGTAAATTTGGAAGGGACGCAGCCTTAGAGGCGACAGACAATGCAACGTCTCACTTTGCCATCGGTGTCCCGCTACAGAGAATACGGTCATACGACCCAGCACCAATTAAGATCAAACAGTGTAGCTGCTTTACACATTCACGTGCGAAAGAAGCAAGGCCAAGGATGCCGTTCAATATCTGGCCACCATATGGGCGGCGACGTTCCATTGCCATTCAAGACCGATACAATGCTTCTTGAGTGTTAGATTTGCTTCTTTGTGACCATGATCTCAACTTCAGACCCATATGTCTTTTCCCTTTCGCCCACCATCAACAACCTCTTCGCCAGGAAGTTGTCCCCCACAGAAACAGAGCGATACCTACGATGATCGGAATACCACAGAGCGCCTCCGGGCATGTATCCTGCAACATGCCTGAGAATCCCCAGAACATAGWTCCATACTCATCGAACTCCTTCTTGAAACATGCGCTCTTCCATCACCTCTTCCTGCGGACGGATGGTGAGCTCCTGCGCGACACCGGAGGCGTTGACTGGAGCGCCCCGTTTCGGCTGGAAGATTAACGCGATCTACAACAGCTTCTCTATATCCAACGGTCTGACAGCTACAGAGCATGCTGACTCGATGGATTCTGTTCCTGGCGTGGGGTGTCTTACTACTCGACGAGGGACGACCTCTTCTGAACGCATCACATTGATCCGTGAGTTTGCAACTGTGAATCTTTTCGTCGCCCAGCTGCCAATAAGCGACAAGGGACCGTTCAACTACAAGTGTCCGCGCCTTGGACCATTCGCGGCGCGACAGAGTCTCTTTGGAAGGACGTCAATCATGGCAATCCACGGAACTGTGGGTCCTAGCTACGGTGGAATGGTTGTAGGCCCTGGGCRCGGATACTTATCATTGGCAAGACGAGTGGGAGAGCGGAACTTGTATGGGCGACCGAGGAGCGGGCGGACCGTTGTGGAAAGGGAAGCATAGGTTTTGTAAAGAAAAGTGGGTGTTTGAGAGGGGGAATTTGCGAAGATCGCAGTAGATGAGAAAGCTGGAATGAGGGAGAAGGACATCTAGGGGATAAGGAGGGCGGCGTGGAGGGCGATTACGACGAATATTGGAAAGGGTCACCGAGCATGACCGTGAGGATCCGAACTACGGATGAAACCGTTAACGAATGGATCTGCCTATGAACGTTTGTTAGCTTTGTGTCGTGAATCTAAGAGATCACGGAGTGCTGCGATATGTGTTGAGGGCACATTCAGAAGTGTGAGAAGATTTTTATAGCTGGTATTTAAGCATGGCCGACCAGAAACGGCTGGCATCTTATGGCCCCAGCTGCTATCATCGTGGTGCTGGGAGAGGAATGGGATGTGCTGGATTCGGCTTACCTGATGGCCATTTGGCGTTGGTGAGGAAGGACTGTTTACTCCCGAGGTCCTTGCCAGGTTAGTACAGGCAATTCGATGGCACTCCCTTTGTTGACCTGGGCGCCTTGTGTCTTGAGAGAGAGAGCGAGCGGGGCCAAGCTGAAGTAGTTCGCGTGTCGTCGGGTTCTCGGAGATCATCCCCATCCAGTGAGATCCCATCAACAGGGCAAGGGAGGTCTTTGCATATGACAGACACGCAACAAGCCTGGACATGGCAGTGGCCCGATCTGCTGACTCGGACTCCGCCACAAATGTGATGTGATCTCGTGGTGCTGGGTAGATTAAGGTTGCATCGCACTGACGAAGCGGTCATTGCCCCATCTTCTTGAGGTGCATGCTGTTCATAATCCAAAACAGGTGCGCCTTCAGCCGTCCTGCGGATGTCGCTTTGTGGACACTGACACCAACAATTGGATGTCTTGCAGACGAGGAGCCCTGGTGCTGTTCGTGCCTGGACTCTGGACTCTGGAGCCAAACTTTCGCGCGGCAAACAACGGCGGCGGACCGGACGTACCGCCGGCTGACAATAGTGGGCAGTCGTTCAGAGTAAAATTGAAAGTCGTCGAGCGGCCGTCATTGTTTGATGAAAGAGAAGTAGCGGTCGAGTATTTGTTGTTGCTCTCTGCTCTTCCGCCTCGTTGATGAACGTAACTTACTTACCTATGAACACTTTTCAGAGCTGCGTGGGAATCATCCAAGTTAGTTTGCTGTCCACCCCTGTAGACGATCCACCCCGGCACCTTAAACGATCCGCGGCGACGGCGTTGCGGTGGTGACGTATCTCGTCCTCTCCACGGAGAACCGAAAGCCAGCAGACGCGGTCCGCTGACGAAGACGACCTTTGGGTCTTTATCTTCGCCCTTCCGGCCGGTCCGCGCAAGGCAGCACGCAAGCACGGAAGCAAGCAAGCAAGCAGACGGGGCGTTTTGCGGTCGCTCGCTGCGTGATTTTGCTTTTGCTTATCGTGTTTCGTGTTGATAACATGCCGACTCAGTGTACAAGGATTGAGGAAGCCATTCATCATCATACGAGCTGAGCGAGTCGATAGACACGCATGTCAACCGACGGACGATACCAAGCACCCCGAGGCGTGAGATGTCACAGCCAACTACGGTCTGGCAGCGCCTCAAATCAGGCAGCAAATCCGGCTTCGACAAGGGATGGCGCACTTTGGACAAGCTGGGAGCTCCGGTCAACAGACTGAGCAACAAGCTTGGATCCGAAGCCTTCTGGCCGACGACATTGGACAAAGAGAGCGACAAGGCGGCGAGGATCCTGAAGAGCTTTTGCAGTGAGCCATCCCGCTGCTGTGTGAGCGTGACTGCATGCTAATGTGTACCGCAGAGGATGGATTCTACGTTGAGGAAGACACACAAGCAGAGGATGGTCCGACGCGAAAGCAAAGAGTCGTAAAGAAGATACCAGAGGAGGTCATACGCAATGCCAAAGGGCTTGCAATATTCACAACCATGCGAACTGGACTGTGGGTCTCTGGCGCTGGCGGCTCCGGTGTGCTGGTTGCAAGGCAGTCGGACGGCACCTGGTCTCCTCCTTCGGGAATCATGCTTCACACTGCGGGACTGGGATTTCTGGTTGGGATTGACATTTACGACTGCGTTCTTGTGCTCAATACGGAGCAGGCAGTGGAGGCTTTCACCAAAATCCGATGTACTCTCGKCGGGGAGGTCAGCGTTGTGGCGGGGCCAGTGGGAGTCGGTGGGATCCTGGAATCCGAAATACACACGCGACAATCGCCCATATTCACCTACATGAAATCGCGAGGGTTCTATGCAGGCGTGCAGATAGATGGCACAATCGTAATCGAGCGCATGGACGAGAATGAACGGTTCTACGGAGAAGAGGTTCCGGTCAAAGACATTCTTGCTGGAAGAGTTCGGCATCCACCACTTGAGGTCAATGGACTGATGGAAACAATCAAAGCGGCGCAAGGTGACACACACTACGATGCGACGATGATACCCGATGAGCCGCCGCCGGGAGACTATGAGTTACACGACGGAAACATGTTTGGTGTACCGGACAGAGAAGATCCTGATCCCTACGGCGTGCTCGCGCTTGAAAAGGAGGGAATGAGTCTTCGTGAAGCAGGCACACAGCAACGCGCGAGTTGGGAGCAGTTCAGCTTCAATCCCGCACCGACGAGTCCCGTCCACAGCATTTACGCACGGAACAGTCACGACGGAGGAGCGCGAGCTAACAGTAGTCGTAGCAGCTGGCGCAATACCCTCAACGGTGAGCCGAGAGTGTCCAGCTCGTTAAGGAATAGCATCACGTCTGCCAGATCAATCAAATCGCCCATGGCAGATTCCTCTACGCAGACCGACCTCACGGACGACCTGCCCTCTCCCCGGGGACGAATTGGCAGCAAGMGAAGTAGTCAACAGAGCGCAGCTAGTAGTGGCAGCAGTCTTCCTCGTGCGATCCCCGAGGATGAGGTCCTCGATAGTAGGGCCGAGCGGGTCGGAGCCAGTGAGCCTAGCAAAGTCACCAATGAAGTTTCCAGGCCGAATGAGGGCTCAAGAGACTTGACTGGGCAGATTGGATTCCCAAAAGATGACCCCGTCAGCTCGACCATGCAACCCWCCCAGTCCAGCGACAAAAGCACGCCAGAACGAAAGCAACTCTCCAGTGTGAGCACAAACAATGGCTATTCCACTCCTCCAAACACTCCACCCGCAGAAGCGGGCATTTCAAAGCATGACGACCAGCCTCTGGATCATGATGTCGATGGAGACGTTACTTTATCTGATGACGAGTACGACGACGACGATCTCGAAATCATCGAAGAACCTGTCGTTCACTCTGTTCAAGCCCTGTCGTTGCACACGTCAGCCCCGCAGGCTTTCCCAGGAGCGGCCAGGGTTGTCACAGTGCCAAAACGGCTGCCGCCAAAGCTGCCGGAGAGGAATCCAAATCGTGGCAAAGTCAACAGGCGCGTTATAACCGATAGCTCCCCGCCAGTGGATACTGCATCGTTCGAAGCTGCTGTGGCGAATGCTAGTTCTGCTCTAGTGTTGCAGGACGTTGATACTTTCAAAACCACCAACTCAGATTCGGAGTTTAGCCCCGTCGGTGCCAGCAAACTCTCTGACGAGGATCTAGATGCCGTCAATCGAGTAACGCCAATCATTCCAGATGTGAGCTCGCAGCAAGGGCAAAACTTGGARGAGAAGATGGATGATTTCAAGCTAAACGGAGATAACTCCGCACCGGTACTTCGTGTCGGTGACGAGCAGCAAAGCCCTGAAATCATTCCCAAGGTTCCAGGTGGATTTGATTGAGGAAAATTCCTGAGCTTGCATATGCGTTCGCAACCACTTTGAACAAAAGTATATCGACATTGGAAGACCGTACTGCCCACAGCCACTGCCTACGCATCAGCCATGGACCAGAAACCCAAGAGCGTTGCGAGTACTTCCACAGCTCCGAAGCGTTCGAAGGAATAACGATTCGATAAAAAGTCTGGTTGTTCCATTAAGACGCCCCTGCGGAATGATCGTTGTTTGGTGCGCTGACCCGTCAAGCTCCTTTGTGACCGCAAACGGTCAGCTATACCGAGCAAAGTATTTTTTCGGTCTTCCGCGAGACTCGTTGAAGAAGCTTTGATTTCAGGTTGAGTTCTCTCCAACGGCATTGGGCGTTCTGGGCCTCTCGCCATCCAATGAATGGAGTATCGGGGACTTCGAAGTCTGCGGCCACCGCCTTGCGCGGCATCTTTACCCCGACAGATGTTCTTCTCTTCACCTAGTGGAGCGTCATACGGAACTCTTCAAGTAATTGCAGAATGCATACGAGGAACTCTGCGAGAAGGGAGAGCATAAGCCTGAAGAGCATTAAGCCTTGAAGTTGCGCAAGACGGACAAAGCCAATCTTCTAAACCGCCTCCCTCCGAATCTCAAATGGACGTAAGGGTCCCTCTCGAAACGCCAGTTCAACATCCCTATCACGAGCACGACTCGAACCTTTTCACAGGTGGCCTTGAGCAGCCTTTCGTACATACGCGGAGCGCTCACGCGAGGAGGGATCAAGACACGTAGGCAGGGACATAAGTGGGCAATAGAGGCGCAACCCAGGCGCTCTCAAGCAGATGCCACGAACAGGGTCACTCTGCGCACAGGAAACCTCTTGAGACTCGCCCAACTTGGCCGTCCTCGAGTCCTTCCTCGATTGCGGTCACTTGCTAGCAGCAAGTTGCATTCACGAATCGCGCAGCACTTCGCGCTCTTGACGTCGGTCTCATTCATGCAAAGTAGTATTTATCATCGTAATTGCATCGACATTCAGTTCCACAATCAGTAGTGTACATATACCAGGGCGAAGATGCGGTAAGGCTAGTGAGAGAGGGGGAACTTGGGGCTCACACGTTCTCCACTTCTTGGCATTCAATACCGCACACTTTGTCATCTCCCACATCGTCAATATCTGAAGCTACCATGTCATGACGCATCGGAGGACCTCGAGCTTTCGGAGACTCCCTGCGAAAGATGTGCCATAGCCAATGTCATTGTAGGCATTGTGGGACACAGCGATTCGGACGGAGAAGGAAGTCCTTCGCTACGCCAAGACGCTATAGAGAAGGGTCTGAACAGTGCAAGTCCATTATTGACGGAGTTGACCGAGTTTCCAATGCAACGTCCGCTTACTAATTGGTCACAATAGCGTTCACTAATGATTGGGCGGAATACTCATCGACGAGGAGACGTTTCACTAGCTCATAGCTCAGCGGTGTACCTTTGAGTGTGGCATACTGAGGAAGAGTGGGGCGCATGCCTCAGGTGCCCCACACGGTCTGGTAGAACTGCGAACTACTTCGCTGTACACGTCGGTAGCCCTAGCAGCTCCGAGGCAGCGCCAGGCCTCGGTGGCCACTGCCTCTCCTAATTCATCTCCTTCGTATGGTGCATTGAGTGTCGTACGGAGACTTGTTGACGAAGTTACTACATTCAATGCTTGGCTGATGTGCGGAATTTAGTTCCTACTACATACCAGCGTCGTATTACTTCGTATGAGCTGATCGCTGCTGCTTCAGTTGATCATTGCCTGAGAGGTCCATTGCATCCAATCAGCAGCCGATATTTCTCATGGAATGGTTCGCATGAGTGAAGACGAGTGGGCGCCCGGCGGCCCTCAGAGGCTCAGACGATGAAGACGTGCTAGGATGCTGCAAACCTAATACATAGGTCGCTCAGTAGCGCGAGCGCACTGGTTTCCGAATACAGACAGACGCAAGTTCGGTCCGCATCTTCTAGCGCAGCTGGCCGTCGACCTCATGCATGTGATGAAACACATGCACGAGCTCGGCAAACGACCAGAAAGTGCTGCGCCTCCAACCCGGATGGACACTTCCCAGAGTTCCCATGAACCCTAGGACGCTGCGGTCCGGCCAACCTTAGGCGTGCGACCCGTTGACGGCACCATTGCTGTGGACCTCATCCCGCGCCTACGCTTGCTCTGGTCCACTCGTGGCAGCGTCTGGCCCTCGATGGCCCGCCTCATCATTGCGTGAAACTTGATTGCGACTCCGAACACACCTTGAATGATACATCCACAGGCCAGCTTGATGGCCGGCCGCTGGCCGTCAGAACGATGGTCCAGTTTCCGAGACTGAGGTACCTTGAAACGGAGGAGAAGACTATGCACCACGCTTCCCGCTAAAGGTCAGATTTGCAGGCTGCTAACGCCATGTGGTTCATATAAGGCACTGGCACAGCTCCTCAGTCAACATCGGAGGCTGGCACTGTCGATCAGTACACTTCGTTCTCGGATCTTTTCCATTCCATACCGGTGGTGCTTCGCCTCTCGTCTGCCTCTAGGTGCCACGCCCACGGGTGTGATTCGGGCGTACACCGTAGTATCTTTGCCAACCGCACAACTGGATTCTCTGCACACCGGCATTAGCTTCGCATGCGACAAGCGCTGGCGTCAGTGCAGTTTCAACCACGCGTGGTGGCGATGCTGATCTCTCGAAAGCAGAGTATACATCGAAGTTTTCCTTGTCTTACCTTACTGGGTGAGTCTGTGCATATTTTTGGCACAGTCAAGCAAAAGATGAGTGCGATTCTAGTAGCAAGACTTGATCGAAGTCCGCTTTYCGCCTCGCCAACATGCTATTCTGCAATGAGCTCTGGGTGTGCGAGCTAGCCTGGGCCATGTGGCATGCTCACGCCAAGTTCCGATATCGAGAGCCGCTGGTTGCCGCGCGTGCTCACCACTTTCTCTCAGCGCAAGGCTGAAAGCGAGAGTGATGCCCTTGTCACTTGACCCTGCTTACCACTGCGACCGCTAGTAGGCGCATCTTTTAATCACAGGGCATACCAGTTAGTATCACGGTTTTCTCTACAAGGAATGTTGTCATCTATAGAATTGAGCACGACGGCCATGCCTCCGGCAGGCTCGTTTATTGCCTTTGCGGCATTTTTTGGCCACTCTTGGATCGTCGCGTTACCGTCATCGCGCTACGGCGCTTATGCACGATTGACGGCCGGACAGCCTCAAGGACACTGTGTGGTATCAAAGCGTATCCTCAACGGGCTTCTCGAGAGATGAAGAACTGCTTACAAAGTTTGTGCGATCATGCAACTCACCTTTTACCTCTTTAGGGTAGTGTTCTCAGCTTGCCTGGTCGATCGAGATGAATATTTTGGTACATYGTACAGATGGAACGTCGTTATGATCAGGCGACTACTCCTACACGTTGCGGACCGGTCTGGTATTTGGCGGTGAGACCCACCCAGCGAACGACCTGACCACTAGAGAGCCCCCATAGTCCAACGGTAACGTGGACCTCGTGGCGGTGCCCCTGGGTGTATGTCGTTCAAGTTGGATTGCACACATGCCTAGATGGTCGAACGGAACGAAGCGTGGCTGCTGGTGGATGGCGCTTGCGGCTGGGACTTGATGTGCTGTCCAGCATTGTCCTACAGTGTACTCCCATCCTTCATTGCAACATCAAAGTGATCGGCTCCGCTATCTCTTTTGTTCTTGTTGCACGTTCCAAGATGGCTTCCTCCCTGCGCCTTAAAACAACTAGGTTGCGACCTGCTAATCGTGCGGCGATTCCGCTGGCCTCCATCATATCCAGGCATGCACCCATCCGCCGGGATCCGCAGCGGACGACATATGCTGGATTAGTTGAACATACAAAAGGGAATGAGCACTCGCATGCCATGGTGGGAAACCTCCAGATGCCACCACAGCTTCCGATGAATCGAATCCAACAGATACGACCGCACCTTTCCATCCATCAAGCCAGGAACGTTCCTTACTGGCGCCACATCAAGGCGTGGAAAGATATTCCGGAAGAAGAATTCCTCAGCTACCGATGGCAGGCAAGACGGTTCCACGACGATCAATTGTTCTACAGCTAATACGATGTTAGGTGCGCAACACTATCGACAGAAAAGAGAAGCTGTTCAGCTTCCTCACCAGCGTCCTTCCCACTCGTGTTCCACGACCTGCCACCATTGCCACGAGAGCGACAGACTACGTCACCAGGGATGGCTTCCTTGAAGACGTGCACGAGGGCATGAAAGCAGCTCCAATGTCAATTCGTTTGACCCCTCATGTTTTAAGTGTGGCCGACTGGAATAACCCCTTCGAAGACCCCATCCGTCGTCAGTTCATCCCCCTGAAGTCGGCTATCCAAAAAGATCACCCAGCTTTGTCACTCGATTCCCTTGGTGAGAAGGACGATTCCCCGGTATCTGGTCTGGTACATCGCTATCCAGACAAGGTTCTCTTTCTCGGTGAGCTTCGCTGCTTACTCTGCGTCGTCTCCTGATTCACTCCTCTAACGCTCGACAGCAACTTCTGTTTGCCCTGTATACTGCCGCTTCTGCACACGATCCTACGCCGTCGGCAACAACACCGAGTCAGTAACGAAGGACTCCCAAAAGCCAACGAGAAAACGATGGGAGGCAATGTTCCAATACATCGAGTCCAACCCGCAGATCTCAGACGTAGTGGTCTCTGGAGGAGATTCCTATTACCTACAACCCGAGCAGCTACAAGCGATAGGAGACCGCCTTCTCTCCATRCCACACATTCGACGCTTTCGCTTCGCCACAAAAGGACTCGCTGTATGTCCCATGCGAATACTGGATCCCGAAGATCGATGGTCACAGGTCTTCGTCGAACTTAGCGACAAGGGCCGGATGATGGGCAAACAGGTCGCTATGCATACACATTTCAACCACCCGAACGAGATCACCTGGGCGACCGAGCAAGCCGCAAACTACCTATTCCAACGCGGCGTCACTGTTCGCAATCAGAGCGTGCTATTGAGAGGCATCAACGATGATGTTGATACGATGGGAACTTTGATTCGAAAATTGGCGGATCTGAACGTTCAGCCCTACTATGTCTATCAATCAGACATGGTGAGTGGCGTTGAGGAGCTCCGTACTCCCCTATCAACAATTCTCCGCCTGGAGGAGAATATTCGAGGAACGATTGCGGGGTTCATGATGCCCTCATTCATCGTCGATCTGCCGGGAGGTGGAGGCAAGAGACTGGCGCACAGTTACGAGACATATGATGAGCAAACGGGAGTAAGCACTTGGAAAGCACCTGGTGTTGCTGGCGACGAGATGTTCACCTACCACGACCCGATTGAAGACTGAAATTGAAACGGATCACGGCCTGATAGGAAATGTTTACGGAATCGCATTTTGTATGGGGTGGATAGCGTTGCTTCAGATTGACGAGACCCCAGTAGTCATTCATAGATCATTGTGCTATGTGCGCAAGCGTCGAGCTCATCGTTCTCGAACCGAACGAGTAATGTCTCGCTTCAATTCCTTCTATGACGAGACACACAGAGCAACTTTCGATCTGTTCAAATACCTAGGAAGTCTTCTTGCTGAGGATGTAGATTTCCTTGTGGGTGCCGGCGATAATGCCTACCAATGATGATTAGCGTCATCACTCGAGTCTCGCATATGTGGGAGCGCGCTTACCCAAGATAACCTTTACTGGGAACGTCACGGAGGCGACATTGGAGCCGTCGTTTGGATGCGTACCAGCAGGCTCAGCAGCGGCTTGCGAGGCGGTGTGGAGGTCGCTCTGGTAAATGTCGATGGAGCGAGTGAGATGCGGGATAGCCTTAGTGCTGAACTGGAGGGTTTGATCTATGGGAGCTGTCAGAGGGATCGCGCGCGCAGATACTCAGCGCATGAAGGGAAACACATACCGGCCGCGAGGATGTCGGTCAGCTCCTGGTGGGTGATCACCGCGAGACCGTTACGAACAACTGGGTGACCCTCAGCCCGGTAGTGGTAGACAAGAACTTTTACGTCTGCCATTGCTGCTTGGTATGCTTGTCCTTGTGATATTTTTCGCTCCCTGATGACTGATTTACCGTTCCTTGCTTTTCGGCGTCGAGTCGTGAGGCTGTCGGTGGATGCGGACTCGCCGGATGAGGAACTCGTCAAAGAACTTTGACTGTTGGATGAAAAGAAGCGGCGCATCCTCAATCAGGAGTCGAATAAAGAAAGCAGCTCGAGTTCGTAAACGTCCGTGCGGTGGATAAGTGAATATTCTGTCAAACCTAAGATGCGACAGGCAATGCATAGGATACGCTGCTGCTGAAAATGGATCGTGATGGATGGATTTAGCGGAGAGACAAGAATTGGTTATTGAGATGCAGCCATAGTTTGCAAGACCCGCGACGAGTTTGGAAGATGAGAGGAAAGAGAGATCTGGGGACGATTGACACGAGGCAAGAGAAGGCCATCTGTCTGAGAAACGGCAACATGTACACTACATGTACGTAAGGATATCGTGGTGCCGCCCGAAGCGTGAGAGCGACTCTTGCCGTTCGCAAGTAAAATGGCGGGTGAGACTGAGATGAAAGACGAGAGAGAAGCGGTCGCCTTACATTAGGTCGAATCTAAAGAAGTCAGAGCTGTCGCGGCTTGGATAATGCATCAGTATCTGCCAGATCGACCATCTCGCCCGTCGCGATGTCTATCCTCGCGGCGTCGATCGTCTCTCCGGTCTCTCCGATCGTCCTTTCTGTCGTCTCTCCTCCGATGATCACTGTACTGTTCGCGATGTTTCGGGCTACGGCTCCGTGACCGAGCTCTGGGCGGATCCCTTGCACCAGTTCCCTCCCCGGCAGACTCCCGATCGCGAGGCTTGCCGTCTTTGTCAAAGACGTAGTCGTAGTGTCTGTTCGAGCCGCGGTCTCGACCTCCTCGATCGTCCGAACGGTATTGCTTCCTTTGTTGCAAACTGTCGATTCCACCAAAACCACCACGCGATCTTGCCGTTTTGGAACTGGTGTTGTTGCGCCAATCTGCAGAGAGCTTTGACACACTCTGAGAGAAATCCACATGTATGCGATGGTCGTCGATGAGAACGCCTTGCATTTTGAAGTAGGCGCGCTCACAATCCTCCTTGTTCGCAAACTCGATGAAGGCATACTGGAGGCTGTCACCTGACTTTTTATCTCGAATCACTTCGCACGATAGGATCTTGCCAAAGCGTGAGAATATGAGCTCCAAATCTTCATCGCGAGTCACGGGATTCAGCTTGCAGACGAACAGAATCTGCTCGGGAGGTGTGACGTCCGCGAATGGCAGATCTCCGATTAATTCCAAGGTCAGAGCTTGAGCACGAGCTTCGCGTTCTCTCCGTATCTTCTCCATTTCCTCGGGGTCTGTGTTTTCTTTCAAGACTTCATCATGTGCAATGCGCACTGTSGCTCGTTGCTCAGCCGAGGGAACAGGGCTGCCCGGAGGCTCGATCAGACCAGCGGGGTCATCGTAGGGATCATCGAGCACGACTGTGTGCAGGATCCGAATGTCTTGCAGAGGTCTCCCGCTGCTGTCCACAAAAGCCGAGTTGATTTTCTCCAGGGCATCAAAACCTTCCACGACCTCGCCAAACACTGCCGCCTTGCCATCAAGCAGCTCCAGGTTCTCGCCCAAAGTGATGATGAATTGACTGCTTGCAATTCGTTCATCCGGATTCAGTTTTGAGGCGGTCGTGGCCATGCTGACCGTGCCACGCTCACCATGCTTCCTCTTTCTGGAGAATTCGGGCTTGAACGTCGCCTTTTCGGGACGTGTCGCTCGCTTGGTGGTACCGTCTGGAAGACTCCACGCCGACACCCCGCCATCGCTATCTTTGGATTCGGGTCCTATGGGGTCGCCGGTCTGGAAGGAAAAGTTGGACTGCACATTGTAGATGGGCGAGTAGTTGTAGTATTTGACCTTGCAGAGCTTCAAGAAGCTATAGGCACCAGTAAATGTCTTAGCAGTCCGATCAGCTTTCCAAAACGCCGACACGGGGACGACGAGACTCACTTTTCGCAGCACAAGGGCGCGTCCTGCACGAACAGGTCAATTGTGATGTCACCCGCCGATGTCTCCAGCAAAACAGACATGGCGGCGCGGGATGGATTGGCGGGCCGCGCGTTATGTAAATGCTGCTGGGGTGACTGGGTGGAATTCGGCAACGATGAGGTCAAAGAGCAGATTTGCAGTGCAGTGAACCAGCAGGTGTCGCACAACGAAGCCTGAAGGATGGGAGGGGCCCTTTCCTTGTTGTTCTCGTTCTCGTCTCCGCTAAGGTATCGACTGGCCCGCAGCGGACGGTACGGTACGGATCTTGTGGCCCGATGGCCCGATGCGCTAGTCCGCCTCGGCACTCCGCAGGGTTGGATCGACCTCCACCTCAACCTCCACTCGTTCCTTCGGAATCCCACCCGAACATCCCATGCTCAGGTCACGGTGATGGCGTTGAGTTTGACCACACCTGGTCTTTTTACGGCAGCCGCTTTTCGCGCCTCGAAAGAAAGGCCTTGGCTGAGCTTGTCTTGGAGTTCAATCCGATGAACTGCGGAGCCATATGCAGTCGGCATTGTCTGTGGCCAGTATCGAGCGCCACGCACAACGACATCCTGGCAGCTGCACCTGTGTCTTACACCACCTCTCCGCCCAAGTGTCGATAGCCGGATCAAATTATTAACATTCTGGTTGCGAGTTTTTGACAGCGGACTGCAACGGACCGCAATCTTTACTTCAGGCGGTCTGCAGGTACCCTGTCACCACACTGGCTTCCGCTGAGAGAGCTGAGGCCATCTCCGACTTTGTCGAAGAGCATCCAAGCTGCACGGTGCTAGCCCTGCAATGCCCTGGATTACGTTTGCCTCAAACACGTCCCGCCATTGTCGCAGGCATATCGAGGGCACGCACTCTCACGCACATGCTCGGTGCAACACGCTTGTCCACCATCATCTCGAAGCCACTGAGAATGGTAGCGAGGCTCTCATGTCGGAATAGACCTGCATCTGGCGGCGAAGAGCTGTATCACCGAGTCTTGAACTTCGGCAACTGCGGCGAGGATGCAAAATACTCCCCACCAAGATCCACTTGCCTACCGCTGTAGACGGGAACCGACCGCGGTATAGAATCAGACGGCGGGCTTCCGCCCGTGCGACGGTGCAAGTGTTACGCAACCTGTGAACCTGCGGTGTAATCGAAGGGTCCAAACAGAAACTTGGCTGGTGCAGCACGAGATAACCGCCTATTTCAAAGACTTTCTGGCGCGAGGACCTATGACTACGACAGGGTATATTCGGACTGCAAGTTGCGCCACTGGTCATGACCACAGTACCTCCATAATCCCAAGAGTACGGAGCCACTGTCTCAAGTTTCATGCCCGGAAACAGGCTCCACTCCTTCTGCGCTCCACACTTCAACCATTTCGAGCAATCGGTGCTGTTTGATGGCACTCAAAAGGGCAGCTCGCATGCTGTGCATATTTCGGGTGCCACATCCTGTTGGTGGRATGTCTGGCGACATATACACGTGGCTTGTCGTACTAGCAGCGACTCGAAGCAACTCTGGCACTCAACGTAGACTGACAGGCACTACTGCAGGTGCACGAGCGAATGCCGTGTGGTCCGGCATCGCCCATCTATCGTATGAGATCGGTATCGATGATGGCCTCTAGCCCCCTGCTTTGGCGTCTGGCCATACAGGCCAACACTACCCGTTTCTCGGCGCTGTGAATCTAGATGGTGCAAGTCCCTTCCTGGGAAGCGATGAGAACGACCCATGTCTATCCATTCATTAGGGGTCTCGCACCACATGCTCCTTTTTGGGATTGATGAGACGGTTTGTCTTTTCTGCAAGGGTCGTTAGTCTGTCATCTCGCCAGGTTGCAACTACCCGTCAAAGCTGACCACAATCGTTGGATGCCGATCCAAAGCACGTCACTTCAGGCGGTCTAAGCAACCCATTTTGCTCACTCTCTTGCAGCGCCCGGGTCGATGTAACTCCCACGGCAATCGCGACCCCAATTGTGCGCCTTGCATTTGGATGCGAAGGCTCGGTGATCGCCTCTCCGCAACCTGGTTGGATGGCGTGGGGTGCAACATGTCCCACGCAAACATATTCTCCGCACAACGACCCACCTCATTTAGATATTGGTCCATCAGTGTTTGCTAGCTCTCTGCTCGCGCTCAACTCTCCAACGGCCCTCAACTCGACCTTGTCAACGTACAACCCCAGTGCTGATCTGGAAGTTCAACTTTTGAAGTTCAACTTTTGAAGTTCTGGCTTTTGCAGTGACATCGCTGCCTTTCTCATATTGATTGCAAACTTCACACTAATTGGCTTGGCCGAACGTTCCTGTGACCTGGTGCGGCTGGTTGTGTCCTTCCATGCCTCTGCAGGAATGGTGCCTTGGTCCGGCCTTCGAAGATGATGACGCAGTCTTACTATGGTGATGGTTACGACGCATTCGGTCGCCCGAATCCACGAGCCCCGTCCTCTGCTGCGTACTATGAACGTCCGAATCCCTACAGTCACAGCTACTACGACGCGAATCAGCAAGACCTCCGTTCGGACTACGTTGGCCGGAATGGCACTCGTACATTGATTCAGGAACAGGGTTCGGAACACGGCCCTGCCGGATTGCAGCGCCGGCGGATTCAAGTTGCAGTAAGGCCCACTTTATGACTTCGTCAGGGCCATTACTGATGCCTTGTTAGTGTTCACGTTGCAGAAGACGGAAGATCAAATGCACCGGAGATCCAGGTGACGGCAGTGGCTGCTCAGCATGTCGGTCTGCTGGAGCCGACAGATCTTCTTGCACATTCATTCGAGTTCGTCCAACTTGATTGGAGCTCCAGCACGCAAGCTAACGACACATAGGTTGGAAGTCACTCTCTATCGACACAGGTTCTAGACGTACTCCCCACAACTGGAGTAGAGCGATCAACAACGCCGACTACAGCTACCTACAGCGCAGCAACGTTGTCTGGCGCCTACCAAAACGGAGTCTATCAATCTGGCCATCGCCCATCTCTGCCGTTATTACAAACACGATTGGCGTATCCCGAATACGAATCGTACGGTACATCTCCCCCCGACGAGTACTCCTGTAGTTCCTCGTCACTCCCGCGGCAACATTCGTACTCCAGCAGCAACTATGGAGCAGAAAGTTTTCGCCCATGGACCGCCGGTACTATTGTCGCCCCTGTCACGTCTACCAGCGTGTACTATGAACCTGGAACGGCGTTCTCCGCTAGCTTCGGCAGTTTACAGGCAGCTCCGTCATACACCCCCACAGCGTACACTCCGGCTCCCGTCAACCGGCTGCCTGGCGCTTCGAGCGAAGCTTTTTCCCCACTGAACATGGCCTCAATGCATACTTCGTTGCCATCACAGACGGTTCAGGAAAGGCGCCTGCCAATACCCTACACCCAAACCCATGCCCCACCCACATACATGACTCCAGAAGTCCCGCAGATCCGCCCATTGGGTTCCTTCACGGAGCCTCGAGCTCATATCAATGGCATCTACAGCCGCAACGGCATGCCATGGTCTTCTGATAACCCAGCAACGTCATCCACATCGTCTCGTGTTGGGTCCCTCAGCAGTATCCCCAACCCTCGGAACGACTCTGCAAACACTACATCGGGAAGCACCTCCTCATCATACACAAGTGATCCCATTCTTGGCTACCAGTTCAGTGCATCGACGGGCAGTCCCACGACATCACCAACAGCAGGTCCGCCACTGTCTGAAAGCTTTCAGGGCGCATCAAACACGGCCTCTGCATTCATGCTTCCTCCCGCTTCCAGAACCCGTATCCCGCGCGGATCTTCGTATCCAAACCTTCCATCGTTGACTGGTGGAAGTGGAGACGAGTACCAGCAGCCATCTTCTTCCTCCTCCTCCTCCTCTCGGGAAGCTGCCGCGAGCCTTTACAGTTTCAGTACAGGCGTTGATCTATCTGACCGCGTCTCTTCTGAACGTCAACGCCACCACCGTCATCGTCACAACAATGACGAGCAATCTCATACCAGCCACCGCACATCTCAACCACAGCATGCCGCGAGTGTTGATGAGTTGAGACGGAGGTCTCACGATCAGCAACAGCGTTCTTCTACCGCCCACCGAATGTCGGTCTCGAACATTAATGGCAGGTGTTGAGGGCGCAGCATCGACTTGATTTCAATCGTATTTGCTTTTCTATCCCAGTGCGAAATTAGTCTAGTTCCTTCAGCGTAGCGTAGCGAGCGAGCGTTGCTTCTTTGATCTTGTTATCTTGCTTTGGGCAGTATGGGAGGAACGGGACACACGACCTTTACGAATTTAGATAGGGCATTCGAAAAGGGGTTTGGGCATTTCAGATAGACCCGCAAGGGCTAGGGAGAGGAGTCGCGTTGTGACTGGGCGAATGGGAGCTGTATTGGATTAGTATTCGATGCGATGCATGTTGATGGGTGTTGTGATGATACCAGATTTAGGTACCAAGAAGAACGAAGTCATGTAGAGGTTGGATATGAGGTTAGCTTAGTCTATCGTATAAACGCAAGTTTGATGTACAGTATGTTTGACGCGTTGTATTCATCTCTTCGATGTCATCGACTACTTTTTTAACGAGTGATGGRAAGCTGGGAAAATTGCGGAGTGAAAAAATGTATTTTTTGATTTGCTGATTGGAAACCTAGAGTTGAAAGGCTAACATTGAAAGGCTAGGGGCGCAGGCTAAAGACGAAATGACGACGTAAGGAACGAGAGAAACATGTAGCACGCTCACTCACCTTTCCCCTCCGGCCCCTTTTGGCCAGAAAACTTACCATGTCAGCTCCTGCATCCACCCCATTGGCTGCACCTCGTGCTTAGCAGCGAGCGCAGCGATTTTACCCTCGTCCTGACCAACCTCCCCGGCGTGAATGCCCGTGCCGATGATCCAAAGCCCGTGACAGCCGAAGTTTTTCGCTCCAAGCATGTCCGTTCCGGCCCCGTCACCAATCATCAGCACCYTGGAGGGATCGACGTTCAAGCCCGTCAACGCCGTCTCGAAGACCTCGACGTACGGCTTTCCGTACGCCCCAGAGACCTCGCCTGACAAGGCAGTGTAACGCTTCATCAACTCACCTGCACAACACCAGAGCTCATTTTGGCGCATAACCTCGAGATCGGGGTTTACACAAACCATAGKGAGCTTGGCGTCCACGCAGACTTGGAGAAGGGCGTCCACCTCTGGCATAGGCTCACCCACACGGTACTCCTCAGGAGGGCCGGTGTTGAGGAGAAAGTCAGCTTCGGTTGGAGTCGTGACGGCCTCGATATTCAAACCGGCGAAGACGCTTGCGTTCTTCTCCGGTCCAATGTGAAAGAGTTTCGGGCGTCCGGGGAGCTGTTCGATCATGTTCCGGGCGGCTTGGCCAGAAGTGAGCAACATGTCGTAGCAGTCGTCRGTGATGCCGGCAGTTACCAAGGCATCGCTGACATTGATGTTAGGCCTTGGCGTATTGGATAGGAGAATGACCTTGAGGCCCGAGAGCTTGCATCGACGCATACAGTCGAGGGATAGGGGGAAGCTTGTCTTACCGTCCCAGAGGGTACCGAACAGATCGACCAGCAAGACCTCGTAGCGATCCTTGATTGTTGAGAAGCCGGTGATGTGCGGGATATCCGCAGCGGGGGTGTGAGAAGCCTGCATGGCTGCAGCCTCCAGGGCTTGCATGCGAGCTGTAGTAGAGCGGGTTTGGCGGGTGGTTGGAAGAGGTGCGCGTTGAACGCGACCACGTGCGGTGCGGCTGGGCATGTTTGGAGAGGACTTGTTGGTGGTGATGAACACTAGTAGCAAGACCGGCTTGCTTGTAGAGTTATGGAGTTTGTGGGCTGTTGAGCGGTTGATCGTGTTGTGTCCGAAGCAAAACTTGATTGATTGTAGAGTGATGAGGCTCGTACGATGCAGAGATGCTTGATGATCGTCTACAGAGAGCGGAGCGCTGGGGTGTATAAGTGTATGGAATCCTCCAKGACTGACAATGCACTTGTTGACCTGGAGTATAAAGGAGGTAACAAGGTGACAAAGAAATGCTTTGATACCCACGACTCCTTGTACAAAGAGCCGCCCGTATGAATGGCTTCCAGGCGCTCAATCAACAATACCCTTGTTTGCATTGCAGTGATTTGTGTGATATTGAATATCGACAATGGCGTTGTTGGCCAGGTGTTAGAGCAACGTAGGGACTGAATATTTTTGTGTGACTTGCATGGAGGAAGATGGCTGGTGCGTGTCAACGAGGATGTTAATAACATTGCTAGTATGGGTGCAGAGGTTTCTGATGTCTTTCGAAGTGCCTTGCAATGCCATGGATGTTTTGAGAGAGGGTTTCTCTCAAGGGGCCGCCGAGTGGAGGATTACTAAGCTATGATGTTGAGAGTTGTTCTAAAATGGATGAACTCTAATTGAATCTACTTAAGGGAAAATTCCTCGGCTATATAGTCCGGCCTAAGTCACGTGGCTACTTAAGCCTTAGGCATATATACTTAGTTCTTAAGTAGAGACTTTAAGAACATCCTCCCCTACTAAGTCGTTTTGCCCTTAAAACTATAGGAGTTACTTAAGAGACCTAAGGGGTCCCCCTAGGTTATTTTATAGAGCCCTATCGCTTAAGTAAAAGGCTTAGACGTAGGGTTTACTTCTGCCTTACTACAAGCTATATCCTTTATATAGCTAGCGGCTTAGAGTAGTACGTATATAGCGTATACGATTAGCTACTTCGGCTTAAGTAGGTAGTTATAGTATAGTAGAGCGGGAGTAGTATACGGGGTGTAGGAGCGTCGAGGCGTAACGCATATCCGGTAGCTTAAGAGCTACTAGGGTATATATTAACTTGCCCTCTTAAGCTACTAACCTTCTCCTCCGTATCTATATCTATCTTCCCCTTCCCTAATTAAGTCCCTTAATTAATACTTCCCCTTCCTCTATCTATTATATACGTCTTCTCTTATACTAGCTATATAT